TTGGCGAGCCAGCTCTGGGGCAGTCGCATGGTCCGGTATCAATCTTCGGTCATTGAACCTATTATGAGCAACAAGACAATTGCTCCGGCTGGAGCCATGTCTCCTCGGTGACATTTCCGTCCTAAGCCAGGCGTTCCAAAGCATTGGAAACCATGTATGTACCAACAGGGTCTGGTGTTTACCACCGGTGATGGGTTATTAGTAGTAGATACTTCCTTTCGCGAAGAAGGGCTCAAATTAGTGCTCGGTTATGGTTTTGATATGCCAGATGGGTCAAAGATAATGCAGGCGATGCTCAGTCTATTGACACATGTAGGGCCTGCGGGAAAAGAGACCCTGGTCCCAGCTTCCCGTTGAGGATTCTCATGGTCTAAACGTCTAGCTAGCACTCAATCATTGCTGTAACACAAGACAAGTGGCAGAGGCCACATGGAATGGCGGCAGCGGCGATACAGTACTCAGTATCTTGCGTGCATGCTGTCACAATCAACCCCGAATAGACCCTGGAAGGATAGGTCAAAGTTGGGATGACAGCAACTCAGACACGAGGCGAAAAGCACAGGGTATCAAAGCGCGCTGAATATCGTCGTGGAACCGTCCCTGTTAGTTTAGTGCAGATCTCGATCCGAGAGGTCCTCACTTCCAGACCTGCCTTATCTGACTCGCTGTGGGCGCAATGGTGAGACACATTGTATCCAGCAGGCTGGAAATGGTAGGTCCCGATTCAGGGCAGTCAATTCTGGGTTTTGGACGAGTGTCTTGTGTGTGTAACTATGTATGTATGAGAGCGGAGATCAGCCGAGAAGCGCATCTGTGGACGAATGTCATGATTATCGCGCTGCTGTTGTTGGTACAGCACCAAGCTACTTGACTCGTCAAGATGGTCATTCCGCAGTCTGGTACGGATAGTCAGTCAACTGCTGCATGGCGCCGCTGTACCTTGATCCGTGCGTTGGTTTACCTCGTGCGCAGATAGCGGCAGGGGAAGTATAGCTGAACCTGTGGCGTATTTTGAGCCTTGAGGTCATCTTTTCCCATTTGTTTGTCGAGAATTGCCTCAAGTTGGGTTAACAGCGAACAGAACAGGCGCACTTGAACGCCCAGGCCAGGCGGGACGAAGCAACGAGCCAAGGCTCGATCGCGCAGGACCTTCCCCAGAAGGTGATTCGAGATTATGTACACCTGTATAAGCGATTGGCCGGGTCTAGGGCCGGAGAGTCAGAGTCGCTATTCAGGGCTCGGGGGACCTGAATCCCAGTTCCCAGCGATGGATGATGGATGCTATCAAGGGACGGTGGGGTTGAAGGCTTCTCTGACGTTACATTTAGAAGTCGTCTCGTCTTCTTTGGACCCTTCGACAATTTGACAGCCTATCACTAGCAGGGACGGCTGGTTGGGTCGGTCTTGCCCTTGTTTGGAAATGCCAAATTATCTTATCAGGGAAGGTACCAGGATTCATACCCAAAGCAAGGTTCCTGGGGACGATCGCATGACTGAAGCAACGTTGGTCAATCCTTTGAAATTCCATCAAGATAGAGACCACTAAAAGTATACGAGACGAAATAGTTTAATCATCTTATACAAGCTTAAGCTAGCAGTTAGACCACTTTATTTTGGCAGCCGACGCGTTAGAGGACAATTCTTCTGTTACCCACCTAGAGGTTTATGGAGAAGCACCAACGTTTTGCTTGAATGATCAGCCAGAGCAGTTACTTATCTCTCCAGTTACGGGTAGTAGTTAGGCAGTTATTAGTTGATCGTCCCATTGGTACCTTACATCAAGGTCATAACACTTACGCAAGCCGACTTGCTCATCGTCATAACGCGGCAGCGCCATGCGAAATAGATCATCCACTATGCCCATCCACAACTGGCGCACAGCAGCATCCACATGCTTTTGTGTTACAGATAATTGTGTAAGCTCAGCTAACACTGCTCATTCAGGTACGAGGTGCCAGCTAACGCTAGTTGCTATCCATTATCTCGTACTAATGTTTGAGCGGACAAGAGATCCAAGTTAGTTTAGGATTACAGGCTTGCCCCAACTTGGTAGGTGCCGCTGGCGCTCCGTCCCGTTCAGTTTTATGCAGCGGCCAAACGTCAGAGAGCGCAGCACCCGAGTTTGCCGCATAAAATTGATTCTTGCTCAAACACTGAATATGGGCCCACTTGTACCTGTGTGCACTATTCTGGGCATAGGCAGTGCTAACCTGCGCCTACATATCGCTCTCTTCAGCTGGGTCTGGGACATTTTTTGGTGCTTCCTGCCGACCTTGTTGCGCCTATCGCTGATCAGTTTAGGCAGGTAGTGGCCCACATGGCAGTTGCTTGTCTTCATTGAGCCAAAATGTTCCGTTGTTTTAGTGGCATTATTGGGTATTATTCGTTTCGACATTCACATACATGCCTACCTACCACGAGTTTCCGACAAACCGGTTGAACTGCAGGCTGCACTAACAAGGACCAGAAAGCAAGCAAGCAAACACTTGACTCGAGGATGAACACTCGCTCAGAATGGCTGAATGCCGCTTTGGTCTGTTGCACCATCTCAGTGCATGATACGAGTCAAGCGAAACGTGCGAGCTGATAGGCAAGCCTGCAGACAGCAGCTCAGCAGGCGGGCAGACAAGAAGCAATCAACAAGAGTTTGGTCAACAAGATCGACTCAGTCTGACAAAGACGGCAGCCACTCAACGAACTAACCTGACCAAACATTGACTGCAAAGGCTATATTGTGATCAGATGTCTGGTTTCCGATCGTTGTTTCAACTTGCAGCGACCACCAACGATGATTGCTAAAGGTTTCCGCCAAATAAGCGTCCCGATCCATAACCCCGTTCGATTTTACGGGCTGTATGTCCAACCAGACGTCGACGCACCTCATCGTCACCACAGGCTCCCTCTCACTTGGGTCGTAAAGCAATGCACAGATGAGATGGGATGAGATGGGTGACGTCTGTCGCTCCACCGAGTCGAGTGCCTGCCAGAGGCCGCTTCGAGGTGATCAACAAGCTCAAGAGGCCTACGGGTGAAGCAGCGTCGACTGTACCTTGCATAGTATGTCCGACCATGCATCGGGTGGATGTGACACGACATAGCCCGACGAATGGAAGCGTGCATGTCGGCGCCGTCGACAATGCAATGGGCAAAGCGGCGCACAACGCAATTCCGAGTGGACAGTTTTGGAGTTGTGCACGGCTAGGACCCATCTTGGACGTGCCCAATCTTCATTATTACCATACCGTATATGTTATTTATTATTCTGTTACAACGCGGCGCGGCGAATCCAATGCACGCCGATGCCCGGCGACTCGCCAAGGTATCGTCCTATCGCTGAGCGCGATTATGCAGCCCTTGTGACGCGGTTTGTGGTTTGCGTGCCACCTAACGATAGAGGGAGGCCGCTGGAGCGAGTAGCAATGCACCATGGCGCGCCTTGGCTAGGGTCATGGCATAACTCACAGCGTGTCTGGTATTCTAGAGAACCCCACTGGCTGGCGACTATAGGATAAGCATGCATCACAAAGCCATGCAAACGAATGAAAGGGATAAGTCCAGGGAGGAGGAAAAATGTGCAACAAGATGTGCTCATCATCAATGGCGGCTGTGGCATTCGTTCCGTTCGTCGGATAACAAATTGTGCTAAATGGATGGAGGGCTGGGTTATGCTCTGCTGAGACTCGCAAGTCGGGCAGTGGGTGATGAGCACACACATAATCACCCACCACGCGCGTACACAAACCAACTAACAAAAGAAAAAAAGTGACGGAGAGCACAAAAACCACACACCAGGCAAGACATGGAAGTTGTGCACACTCGCACACGTCTGCACAAGCGACCGAGGACGCTCTATTGCGAACCTTTGGCCCTTAGGTACCATCCATCCTCACACACTTGCATCCACATGAGCATCCATATCCATACCTTTTATCCACTACATTATGGCCGAGCTCTTTATTCAGTCGGGGCATGGGTTGTTGCATTGGTACGGGACTGTATAGGCTTCGGAGGCTACTCTCATACCGCGGCGGGCCATCCGGCGACGGATAGGCTCGAGGTTTCGTCCAGAATTAGAAAAGAGCAGTGGCTGCGCCATTGTGGTGTGGATGGGAACCGTGGCCCCATGGTCCGTACTGGCAAGAGTGGTAGAAGCCATCCATGGGCTTAATGTGAAGAAAGACCAGGGACGCCCAGGCCCGCACCTCATGTTTCCCTTGCCCCAGACATGACTTGGGTGCTTTGACAGGGGCCCGGGGGCAGTCTGCCGTCTGGTCCGCCGCTGGGCCCTGGAAGGGGTGTATGGGCGTGGACAGATTGCCAGTGACAGGGCCTAAAGAGTGAAGGTAGTGGATCCAGAGAATGGGATGTGGTAGTGGTGGATCTTGATCCACAGCTCCCTGACCCTGGCTTGTCGAGTGAGACACGACATGGAGGGTTTTCTAACTGCCTATCGAGCATCTGGTGTGAATACGCCAGGCCTCGTCGTCAGTACTTATCACTCCACGGTCCCCGTGCTTGTCCATCCTTCGTTTCTTTCCTCATCGAAAGGTATGATCGACGGATCTGTGTAATACTCTCTTCTCTTTTATACCAGGTTCTTCCTTCTTTTTTTGTGAATCGTTCTTATATGCTGGATATCCTCGTCCTTGGGAGTCCCTCACATTCATTATAAACCACCACTTGCGGCACTCTCGATATACTTGATAAACCTCTTGCTCTTGCTTCAACTTGACTTGAGACTTTACATGTACAACAAGAACGTCCCCAACCAACACAACTAATAACTCGAGTCACCACTCGTCCTCCACTCTTTGGAACAACACAAAAGGAATCGAACACCACACCATCCTTAGGCCGACTGCCACAGCAAACTATACACCAATTAATATTTAAACTCACCAATACCACAGCCAACTTTAAAAGGTTTGTGGAATCTTGGAAATACCAACCGATGGACGAGGTGGCTAACCTAATGGTCTCGATTAGAAATGGATTCCACAATGATGCCCCAGGCCATTGGCCAAGCGCCCTTCTATTTCTACAACACAGAGTCCAAGCATGATGTGCGACAACATTATCCTCAACAGCAGATGCACATGTACCCCATGGTCCCTACGTTGCCTTCAACTCCCGTCTACTCTCGACCCAGCTCAGCCAGCAACTCTCAGCCTCCCACTCTGTACAGCAATGGTCCCGCCGTCATGACTCCTACCGCCTCTCCTCAGCCCATGTCGCATAAGCCTGCCATTCTGTTGGAGAACGAGCTGTACGAGAACTCGTACTTCCCATCCACACCACCTCTGTCAACATCTGGCAGCACAATCGGTAGCCCCAGTGCCTGCGAGGTGCTCCAGACTCCCATGAACCCCATGTTCTCCGGTCTTGATGGAATTGATGGCTTCAAGGAGGCTCTTGAGCCTGTTGAGACAGCAGTCCTCGACTGGTCGAACTGCGGATCTCCACCCATGACACCTGGTAAGTCGATGATTTTCATCATTTCCTCTATCTCAAACTGCCTCAAACATGGGATTACACCATGGTATTGTGCTGCAAGCTCGGGCTTGAGCCTATTTTTTGGGGTTGTTTGCGGGAAAGTTGGCGGTGCTGGCCGCCTCAGCCCAATCATGTACTGAGGCGCAGGCCTGCAGTGCGCTGTCATAGCACCTGAATAGTGGAGCATATACGGGAGTGAATTCAGAAGCTAACTAAGTCTGGTAGTCTACCTTCAGTCTCAACTCGGCAAGATTCCCTCTCTTGGCAACACCGCCAGCGACATCGCGTCCACGCCGTCACTGTCTCCCTCACCCGCGCCCTACGCTCGATCTGTCTCGACTCCTGATTTGGACGTTGACTTCTGCGACCCAAGGAATTTGACTGTCGGCACTGGTGCTATCAACACCACTCTCGCTCCTGAGTTCTGCGCCGACGAGATCAAGGTTGAGCCCAAGATTGCTTCTCAGTCCTTTGACTTCACCCCTGCTGCTCACGGTCTCCCCACCTTTGAAGACTTTTCCGACTTTGACTCTGAGGACGACTTTGTCAACAGCCTCGTCAACCTCACTGAGCAGCCTGCCGGTGCCTCTGCTGACATTACCCGACCCCGAGCTTGCACTGGTTCTTCAGTTGTCTCCCTTGGCCACGGTAGCTTCATCGGTGACGAGGATCTTTCTTTCGACGAGAACGAGGCTTTCCAATTTCCCTCTCACCCCAGCCCTCCTTCCACTTGTGCTTCCGAGGACTGCCACAAGGATAAGCGTGTGAAGAAGTGTCACTCCGAGGCGAACCAAACTAGCCCCGTCATGAATGTTGCTGCTTCCGCTACTGAGTCTGGCAACCACCAGGAGTCCTCCAACCAGACTGCTGAAGGCAGTGACTCCGGTGCCTCCTCCGGCTCAGAGGGCTCTCCTGCCCCTCTGCCCGCCCCTGCCAACCGTCGGGGACGTAAGCAGTCTCTCACTGAGGACCCTTCCAAGACCTTCGTCTGCGATCTCTGCAACCGCCGCTTCCGTCGTCAAGAACACCTCAAGCGCCACTACCGCTCTCTTCACACACAGGAGAAGCCTTTCGAGTGCAACGAGTGTGGCAAGAAGTTTTCCCGCAGTGACAACCTGGCCCAGCATGCCCGAACACACGGCAGCGGTGCCATCGTCATGAACTTGATCGACGAAGACTCGCACGGCTATGATGCCTCCATGGTGTCTGCGACAGACGACTATAGCAACTACGGCAAGGTTCTGTTCCAGATCGCTTCTGAGGTTCCCGGTAGCGCCAGCGAGCTTTCCTCCGACGAGGGAAGCAACCAGGACAAGAAGAAGCGCAAGCGTTCCGACTAAATGGTTATTTCAACCATTCATCATTTAACATGATCAAGAGAGCCAGTCGACTGTCTTGACATATGCCCGATACGACGCTGACGACCTTCTTCTTCTTTGGCCATCCGCAAACACTTGGCGGAGGCATTTGGGTCACGGAACATTTTTCCATTTGGGTTATATAACCATGGGTAAAGGGAATTCACACAAAAGAGTGCAAGCGGTAATGAATGCATTTAAAAATCGTCACTATACCTGTATCAACAAATACCCACCACTTCCTCTACGCATGACGACAATGGGGAGGACATTTGATTTTATCGACATCTTGTTTTTGTTCAAGAGTTTCAATGCATTGCGATCGCCAATCGCGCACATTGCCGGTTGAGCATGGCTACCTGGGCGACTTTATTTTTTGAGGGATACATCTGGCGCGAAGAGGGGAAAAAATTACTTGGTTTTTGAGATTTGGGAGCGAAATTGAGGTGGGATGAGTTTGCCAACGACAACGACCACCATACACATCTGGCGGCTTGCTGTTCTTACACTCGTTGTAATCATCCTGGGCGGCCGGAAGCTGGAACTGAAGGCTTGCTAGGGCGACGGTATCACTTGAGAGCCATGGGAGATGGGTTTTTGTCTTCCATATTCTTGTGTTTACTCTGATTCTTTGTCTGTCGTTTGCCTGTTGCTGGATTTAGAGATGTCAAATACAGGAGTGTGCCGGTCACAATCATGACAGACACTCATCCTCACAACACTACATGTACACATTAGAAGCTTGGTCTATTGATCAACAATTTATACATTGCTGCCATACTTCGTCTTTCGCTCAGTGACTGCCTCGGTGTTTTCTCTAGCCTTTGTACACGATAACACAGCATTTATTCTATCGATGTCATTGAAGCTTTTGGGCTCAGGCCTGTCTGATGAAGCCCAGTGAGTACTCATCTTGCACCAGCGTTCTTGTACTGGTACTGACATTTAGTCGCGCCAAGCTTTTCAAAATCGACGGTAGCACCCGCAAGATCTTGCATGAACCCTGAATGAGCCACCAAAGCATCACACATTTGCCCGCGTTGCCGCGATAGCTTGGAGAAGCTGTTGGCTACCTCTCCGCAATCCGTTCCGCTCATCTCGACGGACATTTCAGTCGAGGCTAGCAATGAAGAAAGAGGTTAGATCGGCGATCTCATCTGTTGCCCCAACTTAACTGCGCTCAGGGACAGTGAGCGACCCTGTCTATCCCGTCCGTGTTGGCGTTGGTGTTGGTGTTGAAAATCCACGGGTAGCGCTTCCTACAGGTGGGACTGATTGATTACATTACTCGTAGTGCTGGCTAAGCCAAGAGCAGGATCCGTAAAAAAGAACCCTTGATGGATTTCGGCAGATGTCGTTTACTTAACGCTCACGGCTATACCAGAGACCCTGAATGTCTCACGCCTTTCTTGGGTGATCATCATGGCTCGGACAACAACTACCCACTATCGTACGCCTTAACCATTAACAAGTCGGCTGAAGGGAGAAAGGCTGAGAGGGAAAATTACGCGGGACGGAAACGAGACTAATTTTAAAAAAAGCCATTCACATTGATCGACGCCTCTCCAAAGGCTGATTTCCGGCTGGCCAGCTTGAGGCCCGGGGGACAAGATAAGGTCTTGAACTAACCTCTAGAGAACAAAAATGTTTGTTCATGTCCAGGAAGTCCCTGAATTGTTAGTTCAGTCAGCGGTCGCCCGAGATGAAACATCCACTGGATATCGAGCTAAAGTCTTAGTCGGCCATCCATAACCATAACCATCTCTCTCAGGGCCTTGGGCTGGGTTGGCCGTCTTCTTGCTTGCCCAATTTGGTGGTTGTAAGCTCAGGCAGGGTCCACAGAGATCAGTCTAAAACATCCACCACCGAATAGAATAAATGAATGAATCAATACTCTTACACCATCCATACTTTTACCTACCACGCCAGGCTGGACTACGCTACACCACAGCAAATCCCCGCAGGTAATCTAAAATACGCCATAGGCTTTTTTCTTTAATCCTTCCAGCCTGTCTTCTGAATCGCTGCTAATTTGACGCCAGATAATTCTTGTCTGAGGCCTCATTTCCCGGCCGTTGGCTGCCTTTCTGGGCAAGGCAATTAATCCCACTACCGTGCTGTCACAACAACGCCCGCAAGGCGACATCATAGCCACCAGTCATGGCTTCTGAACAGCTGAATGTCATTGCTCTAATCTCGGGAGGCAAAGACAGCTTCTTCAATTTGATCCACTGTATAGAGCACGGTCATCGGATCGTAGCTCTTGCAAATCTTTTCCCAGGATCAGACGCTCTAGCATCGGACTCAACAGGTCCAGGTGCCAACGTTATCCCAGACGGACAGTCACCGTTCCGGCAGGAAGACGCCACCGGAGCCAAGCAAGAGACCGGTGGCCAGACTCGTAGCGAGGTTCTGTGCCCCGAAGGCTTCCAGCATATAGATCCGGAGACGTGGATACCCCCGTCTTCCGCAAGAGACGGACATGACAGCTCTCAAACTGGCCAGGGCTCGGGTGAGCCTTCCGACACGGATCTCAATAGTTTCATGTACCAAACTGTCGGGCACGAGGTTCTCCCCCTGTACGCCGCTGCAACTGGTCTACCACTATATCGTCTGCCCATCACTGGACGTGCGGTTCGCCACGAGAGGGACTACGATGCCACGGCCGACGCTCAGGACAAGGACAAGGGCAACAGCGGCGACGAAACAGAGTCCATGCTGCCCTTGTTACAGGCTATCATTGCCCGCCATCCAGAGGCCAATGCTGTCTGTGCAGGTGCCATTCTGTCAACCTACCAACGTACCCGTGTTGAGTCAATAGCACTGCGCCTAGGTCTCGTGCCCCTGGCCTACCTATGGCAGTATCCGATCTTGCCACCCCCATCCGGAGCCATTTCCGACGATACGCAACTGCTAATCGATATGGCCAATGCTGGTCTAGAAGCACGGATCATAAAAGTTGCCAGTGCTGGTCTAGACGAGGATCATCTGTGGGAACGCGTGTCAAGCGAGACTGGCTCAAGTCGTGTCAAGAGCGCGTTGCGCAAGTTTGGTTCGACCCAAGGTGCCGCAGCGTTGGGAGAGGGCGGCGAGTTTGAGACGCTCGTTGTGGATGGCCCTTCCTCTGTGTTCAAGAAAAGGATTACCATACCAGAGCAGGGGCGCAAGATCGTGCGTGAAGGAGGGGGTTGTTCATGGCTGCTGTTGGCTGGTGCACAGGTCGAAAATAAACAAGATCCTGCGGTCGAATCAAGAGTTCGGGTGCCCGATCTTCTCGATGCGCGATTCAAGGCTGTGTTTGATGAACTACCGGTATCCCTGGACCAGCTGAAGCATATGGACCTTTCTACAAATGCAATGAAGCCGACGCCACTACCTCAAAATACAGGGTTCTCAGTCGAGGATGTCGATACTCAGCGTTGGTCTGTTCTTCCTGATGTCGGCACAAGTGAAAGGCCAATCCAAGACGAGACTCTCCAAGTGGTAGAGAAGATCAGGGCGCTAGTGTCGGAGGCTGGTGTTCAGCTCTCCCAAATCACAAGCACTATCATTATTCTAAGACGCATGTCGGACTTCCCCAAGGTCAATGGTGAGTATGGTAAGCTGTTCCCTAAGCCAAACCCGCCCTCTCGGGTGACTATCTCCTGCGGTGACATGCTGCCGGAAGGCGTGAAAATTGCTGTATATCTATGTGCACCTGTTTCTGAAGCGGCACAGGGCCGCAATGGTCTGCACGTCCAGTCAAGATCTTACTGGGCACCTGCGAACATCGGCCCATATAGCCAAGCTATTGATGTGCCAGTGACAGCTCGTAAACAAGATACAGGCCTCAGATCTATCTCTATCGCAGGACAGATACCCCTGATCCCAGCAACAATGTTATTACCTGGTCCGTCTGAAAAGTCGGACGAGCTCCAGATTGTGCTATCACTGCAACACCTTTGGCGGGTAGGCCAAGAGATGAAGGTCCAATGGTGGACAAGTGCTGTTGCGTATTTCCCCCGCGTCAGCGCTTCAACTGAAATTCAGCGCTGTGCCCAACTTGCAGGATATGCTTGGAAGCAAGCACACGGGTCTCCGGATGATGAGGAAGAGACTGATGAAGGTCCTGATCTTTGGGATCTGAAGTTCAACCCTGCTTATATGTCACTCAGTAATGATGATAAGGCAGCCCGGAAGGTCACTCCTGACTGGGACGCCCTCACCCTTCGTCAGCAGAACGAACCTGATACATGTATCCCCCCTATGTTTGCTGCCGAAGTTGAGGAGCTACCGCGACAGGCTGCGGTTGAATGGCATGCCCACAACGGCCTTTCTAAATTGGAAGAAAGCAGCCTTGTGATGACTTCTCAGTCCGAAACCGACGTGCCCGGGTGGAGAACGTGGCATTCTGTTGTTACGACCGAGGTTGCAATTGCTGTCTACAGCACAGCAGCATATACTTGCACCGACAAGAACCAGTCTTTATCTCTGAGCGACTTGAAAACGGACATGCGGGAAGCTGTTCACACGTCCTTCCGTCAGTTGCATCCTGGTGGACCTGATTCTATACACAGCAAGTTATCTTTGATGTACGCAGACACTGCTCAAGTCAAGTCTATATGGGATAATATCGGAGAAAATGTTGGATCGTCTCTCATTCCTTGCCGGTCAATCTGGTCATCTGAGGGACAGCATGTCACGGTTCTGGGCTTGTTTGAAACGACCTTGATGCGAGAAACATGATTATATGAAGTTATGGAATCATATGGGAATATCTAAATACAAGCTGTGCAAATATGTGTATATCCTTTCTTCGACTATTCTGACTTGGTATCTTTACCCGTCTTGCTCATAAGCCTATGCGTCGACATACTTCATATGCTGAGGGGGGTATCGCTCGCCTGCTGGCGTGAAGGCAGTGAGCACGCTGTCAATGTCATGCAAATCCTCGTCCGTCAGATCTATGATAGTGGCGTTCTCTCGAATACGGTCAGGTTTGGTAGATCCAGGGATGGGAACTATCTTGGGCATGCCTGGGCGACGTGAAAGCGACAGCAACCAGTTGATGGCGATCTGGCTCACAGTGCAACCCTTCTTCTTTGCAAGAGCCTCAATATCGTTGACAAGTTGAATATTCTTGGTAAGGTTATCTCCTTGCCAGCGAGGATGCATCTTAGCACGAAGATCGTCTTCCGGAAGGTCCTTGGCAGACTTGATTTGACCTCCGAGGAAGCCTCTTCCCAGAGGCGCTAGAATTTATGAGCTTCATTCGTATTGTATCAAAGAGCACGGCACTTACAGTACGCGAGAACTGCAATGTCAAGCTCACCACAAGCTTCGAGGAGGCCATTTGTCAAGGGATCTGTGGTGAAAAGAGACAGCTCGATCTCGATCGCCGTCATCTTGAACTTTTTTGCTGCGTTGCGAAGAGTGTTTGCGTTGAGCTCACTGCAAGAGATGCCGTCGATTTTGCCATCCTTGACATACTCGTTGATGGTAGCAAGAGTGCCGTTCTCATAATCGGTATTGGGGTCTCTACGGCCAACTGCGAATGAAGCCATTCGCCCAACGGGGCCTAGGGTCTTGATGCAGTCATCAATACTGCGCTGGACATTCTCCTTACTGCCATCAGGGACGTAATTGGCACCCAGGCCTCCTTTGATGGTAAGGACGATACGATCGGCGTCTTCGGGATACTTTTCGAGATATCGACGGATGAGAGCTAGAGAGTTTGCGTCCCGTGGACCGTAGAACTCTGCACCGTTGAGCCAGTTACAGCCTGCATCGAGAGCAGTTCGAATAGCAGCGAAGGTGGTCTCGTCAGGAAGAGGGCGGGCAGTCAAGCCTGAAGGACAGTTAGTATGGATTTGAATGTGCTGTGTAAGAAGGGTATAATTACCCATGAGGCCATAGCCAATAAGGCCAACTTGCTTTCCGAGGATGTTGTGAGACATGTTCATGTTGAATATGCTGTAGAGAGAGCTAGTTATACTGCAGATAGAATTGAATTGAAGTGAGGTGAGATAAGAATCAGGGATGAGTGTTTATGGTGATAAAGTGATATTTCGGCCTGTCAATGGACTGGTATTTATTTGCCATCTGGTCTACTCGTTAACGGAACTTTCCTTGACATGTTTTCTATCCATGATGCTATCGTCGTCCACTTATACGGGCATAAGGGGCCGACAGTCGGAATTAAGCTGGTGAAACGTTTAGCCAACCAGTGGAGACCAGTATTGATTTCCTAAAAAGGAAAACAATCCAAACGGCGAAACGGTGCCGAAGATTAAGCTGGGCTCGGCGTTAAAGAGAGTTACGGGCTTTGCGGTGTTGGAAAGAGGGATTCGGAAGATGTGGAAAGTTATAAATTATATTATTAATAACTAGGTATGGGTTTCTTTTCTATTTTATTTTCCTTGTATTGGTTCATGTTTAGTTCGTTCTGATTGTGTGTGAGAGAGGCTCAAGTTTACAAGACTATGGTACAGATTGACCGAATGTTCCTACAATGTATCTTCTCTATCGTTGTTGAAGCGGCAAACAGAAGTAGTAAGGCTTTGAATGCTTTGATGTGATGAATGTGCCATCGATCATGTCAAATGCCAACTTGATCACGCTGCTCTCTAGAGTCAGACGACTAGGACAGGACACCATGGACACTGAAGACGATATGAATACAGAAAGCAACATGAATCAAAAAGACAAGTGATGATTACCAACTACTAATACTTATCAAGACACCTACTAAGGTAGATAGTTCAATAATGCTTTTGATATAATGTTGCTCTTCTGACGTCTCTTTGTCTTGGTCCCAATAATGGAAGGTTCGGCCGCTAGACTCTCTCCAGGCAATGGAGGCTGACTTGAGCCCCCACTGTAGCTTCCCTACGTTCGAGCCAAGACAACAGAAGCTTGTTGTGACCTCACATCAACATTTGGATCTCTCTAATCTTTTCTTTTATACCTACATCAAATCTTCCGCAAAGTCATCACAATAATCCAACCCAACGCTGTAGACACTCGAGTCTAGTCGTATCAGATCTCACATCTCATCGCCCTACGCGCCGCATGATCGATTAAGAAGGTGCCAAGCCTGTACTGATTGATCTCGTGATGGCCGAGACTGCGCCAGAGACAGATGCAAATGCAAATGTCAAGACCAATACCAATGTCCCCGCCCGATCTTCCAGCGTTGGGTTTCACATGGGAAGGCACTCTTCATCAAATGCGCGCATAAACGAGATATTAGAGGTGGGTGAATTCTCCTCCCCCCATGCATCGTGTATGAGAGAGACATTGGAGTGGATGGTTTATGAGACAAAACACGGGAAGAGATCTACAAGCCTCATAGATCCTCTTGCTCGCTCGTCATGCGCGCGGCTATACGCGTGTCTCTCCAATATGCCTACCTATGCTCTTCTTATCACTCTCAGCCGTGCCCTTGCTTGGACTATCTTCACCGTACAATTAATTGGTGGCGTTCATCGCATCAACTACCGGCGGATCTTCCCCCGTTGGACATAGCTTCCGACAGATCAGCCCAATATCGCGTGCTCAGCTCTCGTCCTAGTCCCTCTTCTTACTCTTCTTTTCTTATTATTATTATTCTCCTCTTTCAGTCAATTCCTTTGATACTGAAGTCAGTGCTAATATCCTTTGTTGCCTCCAATAGAACGCCCGTGAACGCGCAGAGTCAATGGCTGCTATTTCTCCCACCAACCTCTCCCCTCGGCCTACCGGTAGTCCCATCCTCCCGCCCAATTCGGCTCTTAGATCGAACCCTGTAAACGATGATAGCAGCGCCGACGAGGCCACAGGTTTCATTTCTCACACGCCGCCTCTGAACTACAGTTCTCTTAATACTACAACCGCTGCTTCTGGGCCCCGCGCTCGCAAAACCTCGACCCAAAACTCCCACCAGAGACCGTCCTCTCAGCGAAACAACAATGGAGCTGTACCAAGTCCCCAGACTAGTCGACAAGATGAATCGAATAATGAAAGTCAGTCATGGTGGAAGGCACAGGCTGAGAAGTTCCGATCAATAGAGCTGGAGAATAAAGGCAGTGTCGCACGTGATCATCTCGCTATCGGTAAGCTTCCATCACATCCAAATACTCTCATCACTAGTCATCTAACAACTGCCCAAAAGAACGAACATTTCTAGCGTGGCTACGAACTTCCTTAAGTTTTGCATCGATCGGTATAGCTGTTACTCAGCTGTTTCGCCTCAATACCAGTCTCGAAAGCGGCCATGATGGCGACAAGATTTCCGACCGAAACGCTGCAACATTGAGACACATGGGCAAACCTCTCGGCACCACGTTCCTGGGTATCAGCATATTAGTTTTGTTTCTCGGATACAAGCGTTACTTCCAATCTCAACACTGGGTCATAAAGGGCAAGTTCCCTGCCAGTCGTGGCACAATCATGATTGTTGCCTTTGTTGCGTTGGCCATCATGGTTGCGTCTCTCATTGTAGTGATTGCTATACACCCCTCCGAGCATGAGATATAAGATATACATGATTGAATCGAATCGGTCTGCTCAGAATAGTTTGTCAATTGGTATATAGCTGGTAGTTTAATGGCGGGGTTGCTTTGGACAAGGCGCATTTATGTGGGATCAGTATCATGACTTGATACCAGGAGTATTTGTACGTATGAGGTTTTTGCCAGAGAAATCGCCTCATTCTATTTGTCATTCATAAGAGATACCAATGAATAGCAATATTATCAACGAAACACACCTTTGAAAGCTCTCATGATGGCATTCATCATGACTGCCTATTCCAGTTTCATGAGTCGCCAGACGTCACCGTCACCAGGTTATGGCGGGGTCCATTCTTAGAGCTTAGAGCTCCCCCACCAAACAATCCCATCCCACTATTCAACCTGGAACTCTTACACTGACTGACCTTCACTTCTCACTTGTACTGTGACAGCTCACCTCTTTTTTTTCAAGTACCTCTTTGCACGATCGTGCACTATTCAATCATGGCTCCCAATTTAGAGCCCGTTGACATTCCAACCTTTGCCACCACTCAACTCGCCCTTCTAGACCAAGAGCTTCAGACCGAGATCAATGAAACCAGCTCTCTCATCTCCAACCACAGTCCCACAGCTCTACAGCGCGCTGGTCTCGCTCTGACAAACCTCGTCGTCTCGGGGCAGCGGACTGGCCTTGGTGGCCGGACTGTTCTCGAGCTGTCTCCTGACGCTGCCACAGGTTCAGCTGACGAATTGCCTGAGCATGGCCTACGTACAGGAGACATCGTCCTTGTCGCTGAACAGCCTGCTGGAAGCGCCAAGAAGCGAGAGGTAAAAGACTTGGAAAAGAAGGGTGCTAGGGGTGTGGTGACAAAGGTGAGCAGAGGATGGGTTGCTGTTGCCATCGACGAGGGAAAGGAGGAAGTTGCCTTCACGGGGAGGGTTTGGGCGGTCAAATTGGCAGACGAGGTAACATATAAAAGGTACCTTGACTCATTTCTCACTCATGCACTGAAGATATGTGATGCTGATTACATGGCAGAATGAATTGGACAATGGAGAAGCTGAACAAAATGAATGAGTCGGAATATTCAAGCTTCATCAGAGTACTCTTCGGCTTGTCAAGTCCATCGCCAGTCGCTGCAGATTTAACACAGGATGAGAACGTGGGGAATCTTACATGGTTTGATCCCACGCTCAACGATTCTCAAAAGGATGCAATTCGATTCGCATTGGCCTCACGAGAAGTTGCCTTGATTCATGGACCACCAGGAGTAAGTCGCCAAGGCTTATGTAGACAATATAGTACAGCCCCGCTGACTTATTTAGACCGGCAAAACTCACACTCTTATCGAATTGATTCTTCAGATGATCAAGTTGGAACAGAGAATTCTCGTCTGTGGCCCTTCTAACATCTCAGTTGACAACATTGTCGAGAGATTGGCTCCTCACAAGATCCCAATCCTTCGTCTAGGCCATCCCGCTCGTTTACTTCCTTCTGTTGTAGACCATTCACTCGATGTACTTACACAAACGTCAGAAGCCGGTGGCATCGTAAAAGACATACGTTCCGAGATGGACACGAAACAGGCCTCGATCAAGAAGACAAAGAGCGGCAAGGAACGCAAGGCCATATACACAGATCTCAAGGAGCTACGAAAAGAGTTTCGCGAGCGAGAACGTCGGTGTGTTAGTACCCTCATTGGCGGTAGCAAGGTCGTTCTCGCGACACTACATGGAGCAGGAGGCTACCAGTTGCGAAACGAAGAATTCGATGTTGTTATCATCGATGAGGCCAGCCAAGCTCTCGAAGCTCAATGCTGGGTTCCTCTCGTATCTGCCAAAAAGGTTGTATGTGCTGGTGACCATCTGCAGCTCCCTCCAACTATCAAATCGAGCAATACCAAGGTTAAGGCGCCAGTGAAAGATGGAGTCCAAATCAAAAAGGGTGCCACACTTGAAGTTACTCTGTTTGACAGACTACTGGCATTGCATGGGTCTTCCATCAAACGCATGTTGACCACCCAGTACCGAATGCATGAGAGCATTATGCGCTTTCCTTCTGATGAACTCTACGACTCTAAGCTTATTGCTGCCGATGCAGTGAAACACCGTCTCCTCAAGGATCTTGATTATGAGGTCGAAGATAATGAAGATACCAATGAGCCTGTCATTTTCATCGACACACAGGGGGGAGACTTCCCTGAGAAGAACGAGGAAGACGACAAGGACACTCCCAAGAAGGGTAAAGCAAGCTTGCACGGCGACAGTAAGAGCAACGAAATGGAGGCGGCTCTTGTACAACAACACGTGAAGCAACTCGTGGGTGCCGGGGTCCGTCCGGAAGACATAGCTGTTGTGACGCCTTACAATGCTCAGGTGCGTTGAACATACAAGCTTAGAGGTGGGACATGTACTGACAGTGGGACAACATTTAGCTTGCCGTCTTGGCTCCGCTGAAGGACAAGTTCCCTGGCATCGAGCTCGGCAGCGTCGATGGTTTTCAAGGCCGCGAAAAAGAGGCGGTGATTGTGAGCCTTGTTAGAAGCAATTCTGAGGGCGAAGTCGGATTTCTTGGCGAGAAACGACGTCTCAACGGTAAGGTGACATCCCGAGGCTTCCCGTTCTGAAATGGGCAGACGAACACGGACGACGTTTTAGCTAATGCAGGTCCATACAGTTGCAATGACACGTCCCAAGCGATCTTTGACAGTTATCGGAGACTCGGAGACCGTCCAGAAGTAAGTGACAGTCACACCCACGACGTGTGGCACCAGGCCTCGAAGCTGCAGTCATTGGTTTGACAAATGCTGCGCAGATTGTTCCAGCCATACACCTGAGACGAAGCATCACTAACGTGCTGGTTTCACAGAGGAAGCAGCTTCTTGAAGAAATGGATGCAATACCTCGAAGACAACGCTGACTTGCGATACCCCGATGCGTCCAACTTGACACATGATTAGCCACCTGTCGAAGGCCACCGAGCCCCGCCTCGCCTGCAATCGGCACATACTTGCTGGCGATACTGATACGCAAGGCCACGTTAGAGAGTCATTTTTTAATATTTCGGCCGATAGATTGACTGTTGATGTCACCTGGAGTCGAACGCGCTACTTAGCGACGTGCGGAGGGCAAACGGGAACGGGTGATTCCAGCTTCTCCTGAAACATCGCCTATAAAAGCCCGCTTCCAGGAGCTGAAGTTTGAAAGAGCTGAGAGAGCCATCACACGGGAATGGCAATCAATCCGTCTTTAGTCTAATCAACATGTCAAAATTAATTGGGAGATCTGCTAAGGCAGTTGCCCAAGAGACGCAGTCGCGACGCTATTATCAACATCCTGGATTGTTTCAGGTTCCTCGTTTACTGTGGGACTTTACCGAACCGTGGGGGACTGTCTGTGAACTATAGTGGGATTTTCTTCCAGAACGGTAGCTTTTTTTTCTCTCTTCTGTAGTCTGGTCAAGGGAACAAGTACGTATGCGACGTTTCTCTTGGTATAGTGGTGGATCGAAGATCTCTCGATTGACGAAGAGGTTTGCCAGTTGTAACCGTGTCTTAGCGGACCAAGTATCGTCTGGACCTGCAAGGGTAATAAGACCACCCTTGAGGCACAGATTCGACATTCCAAAGTATCTGTCAGCTGAAATTGAGAATTGATAGATTGTGATATGAGAACCAAAACTCGGTCTGGTGACTTGGCAACTGAGTAGTCTAAATAACGCCGTTGTGTCAGTTTCAGGAAACCTTGGCTCCCCAGCTTAGAGCATGTATTGGCTTGCTGTTGAGCATGACAGACTCTGAAATGGAAAATTCCTACGTGTCACTCTGTGACGAGGTAGCATAAGCGTTGGGCAGAACGGATAGACAATATATCTGCGAATATCTGAGTAGATGCTCTGCAGATGATGCACAGCAAAGACAACCGAGATGTTGGAAGTCATGACTTCATTGGTCGGAAAATATAGCAGTATCCCTGTCGTCTGGGTCCCCGCCTAAAACTGTCGAGACGAGATGGGTTCCTGAGATCGAGCACGTCAGGGAAGATCCATCGATGATCATCGAGAGCTCTCAAACGCAAAAGCTTGTTATCCTGGAAGGCTAGAATGCAATATCAGTAACAGAGTGCCGTGTGTCTCCAAAAAGGGGGATGCAGGTACAATGCAAAAGCACCCTTCAGGAAAACACATGCCAGAAGAGGCTCATAAAGGCCATCCCTGCTTATACGTGGACCAAGTCGAGTCAGGATATCAGCAAAGCTCTCGACTTGGCTGAGCGCACATATCAATGCAGCATTATCGTAGGTAGGTAGGTCCGTATCCGTACCTAGTCAAGATCTGTGTTACTATTGATTGGTTCGCTGCACGTGTAGTCACAAGAACTAGCTCGAGACCGATCGCACAATTTGAATGCCGCAGGTGAGAGGTATCTGTAGTTCATTCTTCACCGAGGGTGCAATACAACATGACCCTGCACTATCAACATCAGTTGGGGGTTGTTCTGGAGAACGTGGCGCTGCGGTTGGAGTTATGGTCGCTTTTTGCGGTGGCTCTAACGCAATGTAAGTAAGTCGAGTCAGATGGACGTTAGCGACAACGGGCGCTAACTGGTTAAAGCTTCCGTCGTGCTTTGCTAGGTCGCGTGGGGCCGCAGATAGTTACCTTAGTATCCAGATAGTTGATTTCCTTTGCTGTACTTATTATCATCCAGAGTTCGAAAGTCTTGAACAACTGAGAGCGGGTGTTCTTTGATGTTGGAGGTTTGCGTGGTAATTCATTGATTGATGAGAAAAGGGAAAAGATAAACCAAGGAAGGTGCTTTACTCGACCTCTAACGAGTCTGAAGCAGCCTGCATGAATCTGGCAGTCTCGACTGTGAGGGTGCCTTCCTCGCGAATGGCCAGTCCTTTGCCAATGGGGGAGGTGCCACCCTCCAACCCAACATGAATTGACCCCAAGAAAAGAAAGTACCCCGACCTGGAACACCATTGTCATTTTTTCTGTCATGTTTCAAGCTCACAACCCCATCCATAAGTTGCCACGGGTTGGCGCCATTCACGAAAGGGAGCAAAGGCTGGATTGGATGCTACTATCCATTTGATCCAAGTTGACGCTCTAGATCAAGACGGCACGTTACTTGGAAGCACCGCACGCCGATTTAAATATACTACTAACAAGCTACCATGGCACGATAGTTTCGCAGCCAATAGCTTCACTTGAGTCTTCAAACAGGTCAGGTTCGCTCAATTCAGATGGTTGTGAATTCGTCTTAATTGCGCTGATCGAGGGACCTTGTCTCAATAATGCAACAATGCCCCGGAATGTCATGCACCCGGTCGTGAGCCACGAGGCAAGCAAGGCAGGCCGATATGAGCTCTCGGACTGTTGAAATCTCTATCAAGAATACAATGGACCCCTGTCTTCTAGTCCAGTGCTTCAGTTCAACTGAAATGTCATATGCAGGGTTCATTGCAGTGCGGTCATTGCGGTGCTTCGACAAAGCACAAGTCAAGCCCGAAGCCCGGGCTCTGTTCTGCTTCGTCTGTTGAACTGACAAGGGTCTCTCTGCAAGAGCGTGCAACCAAGCTGTAATTGGATGACCCCTGTCTTGCTAGCCGCAGCATAATGAGCCACTGAGCGATTCCGCAGGCTCTGGACCTTGACACGACACGGCGCAAACGCATGGCATGGGAAGCTTCCATTCTGATTCACCCAAGCTTCAATGTGCTCCTTTATGCTCCACTCAACCTGTATTTCTGCCGTTTGAGCAATCGTACATTGGTTGAGGTGACTCAACCAGACTGGCCGTTCCTCTGATGTCGTTCACCGCTTGAGCTAACGGTGCTGGGAGGAAGCATGTATGGTCTGCTTCAGTCAAACTATTTCATTCCCCGCCGGGCCCCTTGTCAAATTGGCATGCCTTACAACACCCCCTTTCGTCCCTCCATGTCATCCAGCGTGGCATTGAACGTTTCGTCGCGCTTCAAGAACCCGCAAATGGTCCCTGGCCCGCTGGCTCAAGCGCGGTTTCGCATGGCGTGCGTTGCATATCCATCCTGCTGACCCGACATTAATAGGTGCCAGTCGCCCACCCGGACCTGCAAGCCCGTATGTGTGTTTGTTTCAAACTCTCTCGTCCTGTCATTCTTCCTCTTTGGACATCTGCTCGCCCTTTTCGGACGGCAAGGGCACCTTTTTCCCGCAATGCCATAAACTGATAAATTGCCTTTTCTTTTCTACTTACACTCGTTCGTTTGGCCGCTCCGTGCCGTGTCTTTCTGTGCCCCTCGTCAAGTCAACCGGAGATAGGCCAGGCTGCCCATGTATAGGTAGACGAGCGTGCACGGGTCGAGACCTTGTTTTATGAGCACTCATCCAAGAATATGCATCAAGGCATACCGTCAGTTTATCTCGTCTGACCGCTTTTATTTTTATCATTTCCGTTCTCTTACTGTCTCATTACTCTCGTGTCGCATTTTCACCTTCCCCATCGACTCAAATCTATTTGTTCCCCGCCACGCTTTCCACAATGAAGAAACCGTGGAAATCTGGGGCCAATGCTGCTCCAGGCGCTCAGCCTGTTGATATTCAACAGTCTGCTATCCGGGGCAGAATCTCAGGACCGGTTCCCATTTCAACTTCTCTGGACGATGAATTTCCAATTCGCAATCCTGGTACCAACATAGCGACGCCTGTCCAGAACGAATTCCAGGAATCTCAACCCGAGCCCACCCCATCCCGCAGTGATTTCAGATCACCAACTCTTCCAGAAACTCGTCGAAACGGACCACACAGTTTCAGAGAGGAGCCAAGATTATCAATCCATGCCCGGCAGCCTGGTACACCAAGCCGGCTGCAAAAGGCTGAGCCATCAAGCAATGCCAGGCATTCTTTTGTTAGCTCAGATCGTACGCAAAATAAAGATAAGGAGCGCCCACAACGAAAACAATCGACCCTTCGTGGTGCTTTGGGTAAGCTCTTCAACCGCAAGAAGAGGGCCAACGACAACGAGAGCACTGGAAATACCGACTCAGAAGCCGGGTCAGTGCCAGTACGCCCCGGGCCTTATCGCCGATCGACCGGCGAGGATGGTCGAGCACAAGATTCAGTGCCCAGCTTAAGTCATAAAGATAGATCGGCTCCTAGAGCAAGGAGTCGCCCTTTCCCTGGAGCAGAGTCTAAGCGGTCTGCCTCACTCCCCATCACCGAGTTCGATCGAGCGTTGAGATCTCACTCTATCAGACCGGAAGACGTACGCGCCATTGAGAGCGCACGTAACTCATTGAGCGCTGACTTCGGTCTAACTCATGCAGCAAAGCTACGTGAGTGTAATCTGGCAGGTCTTTCTCCGCGACCTGCGAGCAGTCATGGTCGAGAAAGCCGTCAGGATCAACATGACGAGAACGTCAACGAAATCGGGCGTGCAATTACCAGCGATCTTCCAGGAGTTCGACGAAGATCGCGGAGCTTGTCAGGTCTCCCAGATGACAGCCATATTCATACTCGCCGGCGCAGTGACGAGATCAAATATTGGAGAGAAAGCTACGATCCTACCTTCATGCACCCCATGTCTTCTAACGTTGTGGACGGCGAAGATGGCGTCGCCGCGGAAGCCGATTATGTTCAGCATGGCGAGGAAGAAGATTCACAGCAGCAACAGGCGGAACCCTTCAACTTTGGCTCTTTTGCAGACATGAAACAAGTGGGCAGCATGAAGATTACACATGCAGCGAACATGGAGACACGGATCAACAATCTTGAGTCCCGCGTTTATCAGTTAGAGCAAGTTCTCGACCGAATGCGCGACAATGGCTCGAACCGACAATCACACCTGGACCCCCCTGACCGGGCTGCGCCCCCAATCCCAATCGAAGAACGGTACACGGCAAAGGTTGCAAATGACCAAGCAGATTGGACTGAAAGGGACAACAGGAGAGGGTCGAGGCGACTCGATGGTCATCAAAAAGCAGGCCAAAGAGGAAGTATGTTTCTTGATCTACAGTCCCCAGCCATTTTGGATGGCAGCAAGGATCGCCCTACATCCACAGCAACAGTCCGTGGCACGACTAGTCTACCCAGCTTGCTCAAAGATGCACCCGAGGCTTTTACGATGGATCATTACACAACACTTCTAGCTCTGATTCATACCGAACGTTCCGCCCGACAAGCTTTGGAGACTCAAGTCAGGACACTTGGTCACCAACTAAGCATTCTATCAAATTCAGCAGCTATGAACGGCGGGTACGACCCCCCTCCGACAGCGAAGTCCTTTGGTGACAGATCGGCGTTCGATCACGACGACGATGATGATAACCTTGCATCCCTGGCGGTCATCACGAGATCGCATAGCCGACACGTCGACCCCGAAGATTCGGGTATTGGGACTGGCCATGGCGACGACAGCGAGTACTCCGATACATTTGAGACACCTCGTGAAGAGAGTGGACATAACTTTGGCGCTTTTGGCGAAGACCTCGATAGGGAAGACCAGGCACAGACAAAGGCGGCACGGACGTTGTCTTTATCACAATTAACCATGGGCAGAGGTACTCAGAAATCTTCGCAGCATCTTCGTCGGGTCATATGACCGGTCACTGTTCTGAGCAAGCCAGGTTGCACTCCAGAACCACATATATCTTACCTTTGCTAGCGATACCCATTGTACGATATTTGGTTGCAGATGACTTATGAACTTTGAGGCGGCATTGCTTTCGAACCGTTTTCGTTTACGCCCCTGCGTATCCTCACCACCCACCACATTCCTTATAACCACTTACTTACATTTACTTTTGTCTTACCGACCGTTACAGTGCAGCGCACTGGAAGGCTTGGACGTTTTTCTTGTTATTTAGTTTATCTTGCTTTAGAGGCCTGCCCACTTTTGGGTGTCATAGCTTGGCGTACCGGGGAAATCTGAAGGGATAGCGTCATGTCGCTTTGACTCAGCGAGCTGAAATCATCAGTTAGAGATAATAACTGAGCCAAAGAGTTATCATATTGACACAATCAATTCTTGAAACATAAGGATGATATATCGTGCAATGCATGCATGTCTGACTACAATATATGTCATTGCTGTGTTACTTCTATTTATATACCAGCGTATACACTTGACGGATGATGATCATCCTTTATTCCCCAGCTTCCCACCAATGCCATAGACTTCTCATCACCAGGCGCAAGTCTCTCATCTCCGAGGGTATCAGACAAGCAGGTCCAAGGATCTCTGCCACCTCCCCATTTCAAGAGATTCTCTTTCAGCCGCTCTCCGTTCTCACGGTTGAGGGCGCCACCGTTCTCGCCCGCTTTGAATACAACACGCCAAACACGCTCAGCGAGAACACGGTCGAATAGGTAGCTATAGTAGGTACTGCCGTAACTATGCAAGTGGCCAAAAAAGCCCTGCCAGCAGGTACTTGGCGGGTCCCGGGGACCATGAGCAAAGCGAGATTTGATATCATGAAAGATAGAGGTTGAGTCGAAGCCCGCATCTTCGATAGTCGAGGAGTGGTATGCCTGGTCTACCATTGCAAGTATGATTTGGTTCTCTGTTTCCATACCCTCGAAACGCTTAGTCAAGCCAATTCTTTCAGCGACAAGCTCGTATGGTAAAGCTCTATCTGATTTCCAGTGGCGCGCAAACAGAGATAGAACGGTAGGGTCGGCAGCGAAGTGCTCCATGAGCGTTGAAGGCAGCTCGGCGAAATCAGTGGCGCAACGAGTGCCAGAGACATTCTGAAAGCTGGTCCGTGCAAGGATAGAGTGAATGGCATGTCCCATTTCATGGAAAAGAGTCTCAACGGACTGGTAAGAGAGCAATGATGGTTCTCTGGAGTTCTCGCTTGGGAGGAAATCACACACAAGCGCGATTGTAGGTAGCTGCTTAAGCACGCCGTCCTCTTTCGAAACCTCCATACCGTCATTGGCTGCTAGCTCTGGTGACTCAAAGCTCGGCCCGTTGCTGTCATAGTCCGCAGCAATCTCTGCGACTTCATCAGGTAAGATCTCTCGAGAGCATCTCACTGTGAAGTGAGCAGGATTGCCAGACTTTTGGGGGCGGTGAAATAGATCGCAGTAAAGAACGGCGATTAAGTCGCCTTTATCGGTAATGACATCAAGTCGTTTAACTTCAGGGTGCCATGTTTCTCCAGGCAGAGTTTCTCTTGGAACAAGACGGATACCGTAGAGGCGATCAAACAGCCGTGAGAGGCCCTGTATCACTGTTCCGACAGAGAAGAATGCGTTGAGTTGGTCTTCTCGCCGCTGCCGAGATCTTAAATCGACTCGAATCTTTTCCATATAGAAGTCCTTGTCCCAGGCTTGAAGCTGAACATCTGGGAGATTGAGTCGGTCTCGCTTCTTTGCGACCAGCTCTTGTAGTTCGGCTTGGATTATCGGAGTGTTATTGTCTCTCAGAGCAAGTAAGAACTCCATCACAGATGTGGGCGTCTTAGCCATCATGCGGTCCTTGAGAGCCATGTGGCCATAGCTTTCAAAACCGGCAAGCTCTGCAAGCTCGCCTCTAAGCTTTAACATGGCCTCAAGGTACATTATGGTCTCCTTAGAGGCTGTTCGTTGGGCCAGATATATCTCTTTACGAGTATCTTCATCGTGCACGCTCTGAAGCGCTCCAATCGCATCTGAACTGAGAGTAGGAAGTGTGATGTTTTGTCGCACCTTGAGAGTCGCCGCGATCCCAGGATAAAGGCCATAAAACTTATAAGCCGGCAAAGTTAGAGACTTTATCGCAGGTTGCATCCCTTGTGCAAAAGCCGAACCTATTTCACTAATGCGCGAAGATAGATCTACAAATCTGTCTCGTGAGGCTTTCGGTAGGTTGACTGCCGATTTCGTAAAGTCCAGTTTCAGCTGTTCGGCAACTGTCCTCTCTTCCTCTGACCACACTTTTGTAACCTCGGGCATCGATAAAGCCTGGCTCAATTGATCGCTTAAACCAGTCATGGTATTAAGTTGGTTCATATACTGATAGACCATTCCCCAAGCATCGCCGGCGGCTTCTTGAAATCGAGCATCCGGGTGCGTCATGCGGACGAAGTCTGAAAGGTCGAGTACTCGGCATAATAAATCGCTGAGTCGATCGAGATCGCGAACGACCGTCCGGTACTCTTCTATTGAGGAGGCATTAAGGACCTTCTTGACAATCTTGGTTGCTCGCTCGAGGTTCTTCTGCGCGAATTGGTGGAAGCCATGCGGGTTTGTAAGGTATCGATTCTTGAATAAACCCTGGCTCTTCTTTAAACTGAATTTGGGGAAAGACCTTCCGGCGGGGGCGTCGAATAAACTGCGCAGGACGGCATCATCGTGATTCGAGCTCGTGGCATGGTTGACTGGAGTGCTTGGTGAGACAGCTCGAGCTACTGCGGAAGCGATAGACTGCCATCTCCGCTGGGGAGATTTTGTCGTGTGCCGAACACATCTATTGCAGATCCAGAGGCGAGTGCCTCTCGAACGCAGCATTGTAAATGTACTGGTAGGAAAGCGATCATGTATCTATTGAGGATGGGGTAATTGAAAACAAAAAGTATTCGTGACGACAAAGAGAGAAACAGATACAATACGTATGTGTTTGTGTATCGAATAAGATGCAATAGATAGAATCTTAGATCTGGGGTACCTATCTACATACTAGAGAGGTACTGCACTCTTGCCCGCCTTCGAACTTTCCGGCGTCGGATCCAATCGCTTGTCCCTTGTCGCCTTCCCTGTTTGGAATATTTCCGCCCTTGTCGACCTGGCTGCTTCGTGCCTTGGTCCGGGATTGAGCCTTAGTCATCCCGATTCAACGCCTGCCGTGCTCCATTCTGAATGGCCCAGCAGAGCCTCCGTCCTAGATTTTCCGGCTAGTTAGTGGTGATTGTGCTCAGCAGCATCCAACGTCTATCTTGAATTCGCGTGACGTCTTTTCTCATCCACCCGGCAATTGAGCGTACAATGGCTTCACGAGTGGTGTTCTCAAGGGTTAGTCATGCCACCTAAGCTTTGGAAAAGCTTCTCAATACTAATTGATTCTTGCAGCGCTCTTTGGCGCCTTTCGCAACCATGGCCCTCGGTGGCATGGCACTGACTCCAGCCACTGTTTTCGCCGAAGGACCTAGCGACCTCAAGGTTCGTTACTTTCGTTCTACATACAGAGCTCTGGGGGGAATATGCAACCATACTAACTATATCATAGCGAAAACCCATTTACGACGACTTCGAGATCCCAGCTCCAAAGCCCTCACCTGTGACACCACCACCCGCTGTTACGCCGCCCGCTGAGCCGATCGAACAAGAGGAGGAGCAGAGGCACCACTCGCCCACTCCTACGGACCGTTTAGCTGTTTACGTTGGAATGGGACGCTTGTCTCTGTACAAGTACGCTGTTGCTGCTGAGAACAAGGTCAACGAGACCATGGATTCAGCCTTCAACCTCGAGCAGTCTTTCACCAGCACCATCGCTTCGCTGGCTCCCTCTCGCGAAAGCGGCGAACAGCTCATGCCTGGCGCTATCTACGTTTTGGTTGCTGCCATGGCGGGTAGCATCATCACCCGCAATCGCAATATCATCCTCCGCGCATCGCTTCCTCTTGCCCTGGGTATCGGTGCCGGCTGGACTGTTATCCCCGTTACCATGCGCAACATCTCTGATCTTACTTGGAAGTATGAGCAGAGATTCCCTGTTGTTGCTCAGTCTCACATCCGACTTCGGGAGAGCATCCTCAACAGCGCCAGCTTTGCTAAGGCGCATTCACAAGTTGGCGTGAAATACGTCGATGAGAAGGTGACAGACGCGAGGGAAGCCGTCGAGGGCTGGGTTCAGAAGGGCAAATAAAGGGTTTTAAAAAGCGAGTTGAGAAGAGATGTACTATCACATAGAGTTCCGAACACTGTTCATTTGTATCAAGAGCCGGTCCCGCTTAGAGTCGGCTACCGGAGCGCTGTATGTATTTTGAATAAGCAGGTTCGTCATGGTGTCAATACCAAGATATTGCTTGCTAGTTATTTTCCTGCCTACTCGACCACGAAATGCAGAGCTGCTGTGGGCTCCTTGTTATCTAACTCTACAACGTTGGGACATTCTAAGCACATCACCATTAAGAAGAAACATTTTCTTGTCAGTGTTTATTATCCACCCGGAAGCACATTGCCCGTCAGATACAAATCTTGTGTCTGAGATATGATGCTGTCAACTTTAATTGAGCGTCTTGGTGTCCTGCCCAAGCCAATACGGCAAAAATTTGTCATTTTCCCCTGGCCATTTACTTAAATGTTTTCATTTCAGGACTCTGTATCTGCTGAGCCTGAACCCTGAACTCCGTAAATGCGAATCTAAGTTTTGTAGTAAGCCGTACGCCGTCCGTTATCCCTTTTTCACTATACTCAGTAGTTCCCCTAAACGGCCGTAGCAATTGGTTCGGGCTCCGAGGCCTTGGCTTGCTTCGCGGGTCTGCTATCAGACATCTTTCTTTTGCGTTTCTGTTCCTTTCCTTGCTCTGGTCTGGTTGATTGCGCGTTGGCGGCTGCATTAGCCTTAGCTGCCGCCTTCTTTGCGGCTTTTCCCTGAAGAGGCTGATCGAGACCACGTTTTTTATCGATGGCGGAAGCGGCCTCAAGATACTTGTCAAGCGACAGCGCCTCGCAAATACTCTTGTAATTCTTGGACTGATTGACAGGCTGATGAGACTTGGATTTTCCGGGAATCATATTGGCAAGAAGGAACTTCGTGTTGCCGAAGCGATTGTCGACATCAATGGCAGTCTTGACATATTGGTCGACAACTTCTTCCCAGGGCGCCATACCGCCATCGGCCTTACTCCTGAAACAGCTGGGGTTTTTCTCGGCAGCAACTGCAATCATGGCACCGTCCGCTCCGAACTCTTCGGCGAGCTGCAAACCATGGTCCCGACCCTCAACATCTCCATTTACGAGGCAGGCAACACCATACTCATGACAGACTTCTGCGATCATACGTAGCTGTCCACGGATAGCCCGTTCTCTGGGCCTCATAGGGGTTGTGCGGCAATGTATGGTTAATCCTGTGATGCCTGTACTGCAAAGCTGACGGACGAGAGCTTCGGTTTCGGCAGCAGTGTCGAGAAGTCTGATCTTGACGCTGATTCCGATTTCAAACTCAGGGGTGATGTTCTTCACAAGAGCCTCAAGAATGGCGCAAAGCTTGTCGGGAGTCTTGAGAAGAGCAGCACCCATGCCTCCGCTAGTGCTAAATGGTTTCGGGCAGCCAGCATTGACATCGATGCCAGCGACATCTGCGGCTACCAACCTAGCGGCTTCCACCGCACGATCGGGATCTGAGGTGCCAATCTGGAAGATGAGCTTGTCCTTTTCAAGCTCGGGATGTAATCTATAAATGATGCTCTCTTTGGCATCAGGAGGTGGATCTTTCTGTCCATGGGAAGAAATACGGAACCACTCTACTGTCTTAGACTCTTCATCGAAGCGTCGAGTTGTTCCAATCATGGAATGATCAACAGTCTCCGGTCCTGTCATGTATTGTTAGTGGTCTGGTTTCTTAGATTTCTTCTCGGGTTATGTGACTTACCCCAGACAAGATCTGCGCCATATTGGAGAGCCAAAAGTCTCGAAGGAAGCTCTCCCGAGCGGACCATGGGTGCAAGGACAACCTTGCCGCGATAGTCGACACCTCGACGAGGGATAGGCACTCGCTTGACTTCTGTAGCCATAGTTCTTCGTATAATCTGTGTGAGCATAGCCTACTTTACGGTATTCAAGAGCTTCACATATCCTCAAAGGACCTTTTTATAGCAGCGGCAACTCTCATAAATACTTTAGAGTTATGGGATGGAGGCAAAAAGTTGTTAGTCATCCTTCTAAACCATTTATTTATTTTTCTCTTATCGATAAGGCAGCCACAGCAGATTGAGTCCCGATTTCCTGGTGCACTCCAAAGTTACCCCACAAACATCGATTCTGAGTCTCGGCCAACCTACTAGAAACTACCTGTTCTCACACCGCAAAAAAAGATGCACCTAACCTAGACCTACAACGAAACAATGAATTTAGTTCAGTATTAAACTGGACGAGCTAAAACAAAAGATGCCCATGTAAGAAGAAAACCCAGATGAGGAGACAGTGCATGATTTCCATTTCGTAAGGGCGCTTAGCAGATACATTTGAATCATGACAGGTAGCATCTAAAGCAGGGACTTTGGTATGTTTCATTAATTAGCCCATCCCATTCATTGTCATCCGAGCCGGAGTTTCAGAATCATCTTTAATCATTGACGTTCAAGCTTGGCTCATTACAAACAGTTGATATCGATTACTCTAATACTCGCTATGTCATGCTGGCAGACATATACAGATACACACTCTATGATGCATTCTGGATTGGTCTAGCTCTTACATAAGACATAAACCACAAATTACATGCCAACTGGTGCTGGTACTTTCTGCATTGAGCTAAATGCCCGCTACAGAGCCTCGGCATGCGATGCGTTGCGTAACTATACGATACGGAACATACCTAATCCTTCAACATAAGCTTTGTGGACACCCAAAACAATACGAGATCTAAAAAGAGACCAGCTCGAGTTGTTTTTTATTTGCGTCGGTACTATTTGCTGCCCACCCGACGGATATTTTACGAATAGCCCAACGATACGAGAATCTCACGAAGCAGGCCTGTCTGGTACGAGAGGCGATATGCTCGGTGATTATCCAGTACCTGCATCATTGATAGGAAATGAGTTGATATGAGCCCCTTGGCATGTACTTCACACGCATCACGATCGCTGGCCTCTGGGCCGTACACTTGACACAATATCTTGATTTCAAGTGCTTCAAAGCCGAAACCGCGCATTCCCTATCAGGCGCTTGTTGGGTTCAAAGCGTACGTATCCTTCAGCGGGGCTCCATACCAACGTCCCTTACTGCACCGTACCACAAGATCTGACGCTGAATTCCCATTTCTATGAAAGAACTGCTAGACAGTCTCGCGGTGGAGGAAGTAAAGGGGCCTCCCAGCGTCTGCCCCACGTTCCATGCAGAACGCACCGTCGAGATGCTAGTAGTACTAGCTTGAGATTGAGGCTTCAGGAAGCCAGGAATAGTGAAATACCTTAGCCGACCTGAGCTAGGGTGAGCCAGGACCCAAGTTGAGGGACATGATGAAGAGAGACATGCGAGCCAGCTAGGGATATGGATATTATGGACATGTAGTTTTGAGAGATGGATCATGACTGAAATGCCGCTGTCAACAAAGATGATCACACCGGAGTTGTGACGAGTAGCGTCAAGTGTTGGTGGGTAAATGCGACTCCATTATCCGTATCTGTTAAATACCAGACATTGGACGTTCCGATACTTTGGGTGGATGCTGGGATTGGATTAGTACCTCTCAGTACCTAAAAAGAGCTACGGCCATAGCCGACGGTTTCTTTTTAGGGGACGCGCCCGTGAATGTTTCAGCCCGGCACTCACAAGCCACGAGCGAACCCGCCGTTGCGGCGCGGCCTCGAGTTTCTCTTTCTTGGGTTTGGACAAAGCAAATAACTCAGCACACACGAGGGAGGCTGCCAAATTAGGAAACCCTCAAAGGTGGCAGATCTGCTACGTATTTTGACTTGACGTTCAAAAGGCCCCGTCATCACTCGGTACAACCAGCAACAGCTTGCGCAACCAAGGAGGTCGATCTGGCACTAACACGGCCTAATGAGTGTGAGTGGAGGCTGGTGAGTCTGGAGTGGATGGGGAAATCGAATTAAGGGTCTCGTTCTGTACCTTCACAATTTCTACTATCAAGGATGGTATCTTGGCTGTAGAAGCATCAGCAAATATCTTGACGCTGTTGATGAAGCTTTGGGCGCATGACACATGGAGATCTGCTACTAGTAGTCTGATATCCTCTTAATGGCACTTTGATAGGACACCATGATTGACCGTAACCTGACACCAAAGTACCTCGCACTACTGCGTTGGAGGAGACGGGACTACTGTACCATTATACTTTTGATCCAACGGTTTGATCATCTCCAACCATCCAAGATTGTCAGACGCGGTATTAAAATAACTTGTTCCTGTGCTGCGCTGCACTACGCCGGTGCAATTTACTGTAATAATACTGACACTCGCTGGAGATCTTATTCTTGCCTTGTTACCAGGCAGCCCAACCAGGGACCACTCACTGTCCGTTTTATGTTGATCCCTGTGACTCTGAAACTCCCCTGGATCATCGTAGAGTCAAACCAAGCAAAGCACACGACGCTCCCGCCTCCCCTCACTATACCTTATTACTTCACCTCACTTTTTCTTACCTCATCTTTTACTTTCCCCTCTGCTCTCTCTCCCTCTTTCTTGGCTTGGTACTTTTCATCCCTAGGTGTTGTGCTGGTCCTATCGCAACGCACTGTCTTACTGTAGGTATTCTACAACTCAGTGCAACCGGGTGCCTCCAGCCCGCCTAATCTCTCGTCCATTGCACGGCAGACGAGCCATTTCCTCTTTACGTACGTACAGTCGAAGGGTAAACTCAGAGGACCCTTCTTGGCGGGCTCTCCCTCTATCATCCCTGTTCTGCCCTGTCCTCTCCCCTGCTGGTTCTATCCCCTGGCCTTGCCCTGCCCTGCCCTGCTGCTGCTAGCTCTCCGAGGTGGTGCCCTGGCGACAAAGGAGAACTGCCTGTGCATTGCATCCATTGTAGCGCTGTGTAAGTTCAGGGCTGACTCTGAGGGTGTCTAGGTGTTGCCCAACGGGTACAGTAGATCCCTACTGTAACATTCGTCAAGAGGGTGGTTGTACATAGGTAGTCATTCACACAGCAATCTGGGATTGGCTGTTGTCCTGTTTGATCTGTCTACGAATCTTTGTGCACTTTCTTTCTCTTTCCCTTTTCTCTCTTTGTTATTCTATTTTGGCTCGAACTAGAGGTCTGCATCGTAGCAGCACACGACGCCTCAACCCAACTACTTCCCCGCCATAGGTACCTACTTACTGGACCTTAACCAAACATCCACCATCCACATCGCAACAGCTACCAAGGTAGGTACCTTACCTTAGCTCCGCCTCACCTCACCTCCCCCTCCGCTCACGATTGCTTATCGCAGATATCCCCTGATCTCACAGCGACCGAGTCTTTGTTAGATACCGCTACAACAAATACTTCCAACGACGACACGGCCGACCTTACTGGAATATTAGCCGACCTCCAAGCGCCGTCTACAGTGCCATTGCCCGTCTACACCATCCCCACATGCCTACCAGTTGATCCTCGTGTCGCCAGAAACAAGCCAGCCTCATTGGACGACTCCACTATCTCTACTGCTCCGGTACCGTCCTGTAATCGTTCCAGCAGAGGTGACAGCGACAAGGAACCACGTTCCTCTGCTCCTGCAAAAGACCTGGGGTCTCTTGTCTGCTTACTACCTATTTATTCTCATCGCTTCGTTACTCCTCGTTGGGTCAATGACAGTATACTGAGCTTGAGCCTTTCACTACTCCGCCATTGCATCCCTCATGGAGAACGATATACCTACCATCCAGGCCCCTGATGGGCGCTCTTCAAGGCGAGACCGCCTTATGGGCAAGCTCTTTGGTGGTAAAGACCGCAAAGGAGAGGAAGCGCGCTCCGCTGCCAACGTCGAATCATTTCTTCACAGCTCCTCAGATAATCTTACAATCACAAACCCTCCCCCGCCTCCCCCGCCGTCTTCGCTTCCAAAGCTAGCCAAGCTCGACACCACATCGATCTCTCGTTACCCTCAAGCTTTAGCTGTCAATCATGCAGCTCAGCAAAACCGGCCTCTTGTCGCAGGCGCACCGCGGCCAGATACCACCAAGTCGCCGGGACGAAGCCCACGGCCCAACAAGAAGGGCCTGTCAGTGAAGTTCGACGATACCGCCCCCGAGGTGATCGGTGAAGGAGGAGATGAGTCCGAGATTCCAACTCAGGAAATCTCCAAGCGCAAAGCGTCCCGACCGAAACCACAGCAAGCACCACAACCACCACAGCCACCAGCACATCGCAGGGCCCCAATGCCGCCAGGCCGTCCTCCCCCCGACTCAACTGGACCTGGCTCGCCCGTGGACGAATTCCGACCAAAGTCGCTATCCAGAACCCAGACAGGTTTCTCCTCCATTTATACACCTGCGTCGGACGACGAGTCTGACGCCGGAGCAACACATAACACCAATCCAGATGAGCTTGTGTCGCCCATCTCCGCACAACAGACACTTAGTCCAGCAAAGGCGAGGTTTCTGGGCCCAGCAGCAAGACAAGATGAGAATAGACGGTCGTACATCGAGATCCACTCTGCGCAGCAGCGTGAAGCCGAAGGCAGAGTCTTTGCTGAAGCTGCTCGTGTTGCTAGTGCGACATCTGCGTCTTCCCACAATTGGGACGACCCTCATTCCGCCACCCCGCTATCAACCTCTCCTGTTGAATCTCGAAGACGAGGGCCTCCATCCCCAGAAGTTCAATCTGCGAAACCAAGTCTCGAATATAGTCCTGCGGCTTCTGTTCATTCCAATTCTTCATCATATTCACCGCCTGCACCTCCTGCCGCGATCCCGGCTTCTGCTTCAGGTCCATCTCCGGCCCCGGCCCCGGCACCTTCTGGGTCTCCCGCTGCGGTTCCCACTCTGGCCTCTGGTACATCTGCAGCCTCAACTCCAACCTCAGAAGTCAATCAACTGTCACGGCAGCCAAGTATTGCGCCACAGCGTGCTCCTCCTATGATGGCATCCAGAGCTTTGTCTGTAAGAGTTGCTGATGGTACCTCTGCAGCTGCTGAGCAAGCTCTTGAGATCTTTACCACTAGAACAAGCCATCTTTTTGAACTTTTTCGACTTCATGCGGAATCCATCAAACCTTTGTCAGCTTGTTCGTTGATAGACTTTGGCCGTGCTGCGCTGTGGTGGTTTCTTAAGGGTCGCATGGGTCTAGAAGTTGCTATCAGAGAAAGGCCCAATTCTCCACAGGGCCAGATGCAAAACGACAGAGATCGTCAACAAGCTTATGCTAACTTGGCGAAGGCTTTCTGGCTTTCTGAGCAGGTTATCCCTGAAGTTGCACAAACGCAGGGGGTAGAGATTGACTCTGAAGTCACCGACGTTAGTGTTAGTCTGGTTTCAGCGCTTAAGAAGCTGGCCATGTCTATGAAACGGAACGGATTCTTGCCCCCTGAAGATGCATTTTTACCGCAGAGCATTGACAAGTCGATTTGGGTTGAATACCCGCCTCTCAGCCAGGATATGATTGCTTTGCTCTCAGGCAACTGGGCTTCGGGTCTTACTGCGATGACGAGTCCCATGTCCAAACTGAGGCTATTGGATTCCTTACCCGTGGGAGATACTGCCGAGAACTTCAACTATGGACGAGTGCAAGCCGACGCCTATCTCATGGAGCAGGGCCACGAAGATCAGAAATTCTACTTCCCCTGTCTGCTTTCGATGGTCCGACCACAGAAGTCCACGGGACTTGTTTTCATCTTGACCAGCCAGAATGGGCACGTCCAACTTGCTATACAGGAAAACAAGAATGTCGGTCCTGTTTGGGACGATGTTCGCTGGCGAAAGGAATCATTTACTGTCGATATTCGGCTGCGACGTGGCTTCATGTTAACCATTCAGCTTACGCAACAGGACTTCAGAACGCTATGGAACATGTATGACTTCGGAAGCAAGGTCAATAACTCACTTTATCCTCGTAACGACGAGAGTATGGTGTTCAGATCAACCTTGCGGTCATTCCAGGTGATGGATGTCGACCCCAACTACCGTCAATTTCCTAAAGAGCCAACACCTTATTGCGAGATTTCACTTTTCGAAAAGATTTATAAAGAGAATGGACCTGCGGCTACCCGTACATGGCATCTTGGTTTCCGAATTGCCGTGGTAACAGGGCCCAAGACAAGGACGCTAAGCGGAGTTCAGCATGTCTACTCTCCAGCTCAGCCTGTTCAGTTTGGTTTCTTCCGCGGTGATGGCGATGCCCCTTCGTTGGCTATCAAGTACGACAATGGGAAGTCAAAAGGCCGCATGGTAATGGTCTTTAGTGACGACAAGGCGAGAATCAAGTTCCATTCCATCCTGACTGGAACAGCTTTGGACCATGACGAAAAGATATATGCGGACGTGCCCCTCAAAAACTTCTCGGTAGCCCAGAGTCTTCGGGAGCCTCTTGGCATGGCACCGTTCAGCCGTATGCCCTGGAAAGCTGTGAGGGTCGTCAACGACGAATATGGTGGGGACATGCCTCCAACAGTATTGGCCGACCACCTAAAGGTGGTGATAGATTACCAGAACGGTAATGTTGCTGATCGTATCAACGTGGCGCCTGGCGAGTTACGTGTAAGACTGGAGGTAAGCAACGCTAAAGTCTTCCGAGTTCTTCGACAGCCCCAGAAAGACATGACTATCTCGGTCTCTGAAGCACAAGTACCCAAGGAGCTTCCCAGGAACATGTCTGATGCACTGCAACTGCTAAGACATAACCAAACCATCCGAACATTCGAGTTCAACAACCTGAAGGACTTGCATAACTTCCAATATGCGATGACGGGCTTCGAAGTAATCTTTGATGCACTGGCAGTGACATTTGCGATTCAGCGACGTCGTATGGTTGTGCCAATTCACAAGAAGTGGGAAGCAGGCTACACGCGTATCCAAGTTATTAGGAATGACGACGGACAGCTGCAGATTCTGGCCTTCTTCGAAGATTTCCAGCACGGACACTGCATGAATTTCCAGTTGAAGGGAACCGATGTCTACGAGAGTGTACAACGAAGCAGCAAATCTGGTATCAAGTTTGTTGACGCCAAGTTCCCTCTACCACGACTACCAGCGGACAAGGATGGCGACTACGATGACATGGCATTTGTCTGCCTCGATCTTCCGGACCTACCGGGCGAGCATGACGATATTTCCATTTTATTCGAAAACGAATCAGGTAAGTGATGAGTACAGGATGACCAGACGTCGAGACCATACTGACAATGAATTTAGACCGAGATGCGTTGGTACAATGCTTGCCCGCCCCGATTAAAGGTTCTTCAAAGAAGAAATGAAGCAACTAAACGCTCAAAAGCGATAGCATCATAATACGCGAGCATTTGATTGGCGCATGTGTTGAAATGAGATTAAACCTAGCGACTGGAGCGTTACATGAGTAAGGGATGTTATGACGGCTCAAAACTCGCCAGCGAAGGGCGCTTCGGAGATGCGGGTCGTTACGGAGGCCGAAGATAGTCCCTGGCGGAATGATGAGAAAAGCGAGTTCAATGGCAAAGGCTCCTCTTCGGTATACGGAGTCGATCAGGGAACCGAGGTCACGAGAACTCAAAGGATGTTAGAGCGCGGATATGGGCGCACAATTAAGATACCCGACCTGAACCGATCCAGAAGCCTTTGTTGAACGGGGCTCGGACATATGATACCTTGCAGTTTGGTTCGATTCAGTCGGAACTGCCGGCCTTTGAGGAAGGGCCACTATGCATTTGCGGAGGATTGTTTTATTATTGAATACTTATTCAGAAGAGTGACGAACAAGCGGTAGACGGAGCTCTGCATGTAGACATCATGGTCCATCTAACTACCTAGATCTAATTGGATGGCAGATAGAAAGAATGCAAGAACTGACTGTACTCTTCTAAAGTGAATATGCAAACACCTGTTATAAATCGTTACAAACTTAAAAGCCACATTGCTGGTGAAGGTGGCTTGGTTACAGTTGAGAAGTTCACATGCTGAAACCGAATGGGAATGAGCTTCAGCTCAGCCTTAAGAAGAGGTGGAGGAGGGGTCCATTCTGCAACAAGTTACAGCACAGGAAGGACAGGGGCCGGGCCGAGTCTGGACCTTTCCATTGCGTGGGGCCGGCGCTTGACCATTTCGAAGGATGAGATGATTGCATTAGAAGGGTGAAGAGGTCCTTGATTGAGTACTAAGGTATGGAGGAGTCATAATCATTCTTACATAGTGATGACACTTTGAGAGGGTTCTGATTTTCCCCGAATGCTTGTATAAGACAGGTTTAGTAAGTGAAATATATTTTGTCTGCGATCTGTAGCTGTGAAGAGCTGAATTGCTGAAAAGCAATGAGAAAATCGAAACGAGTATGTCGTGCAACTGATTTTAGCTGCATTGCTAACATTGATTCTAATCATCACAGGATGGATGATATCATTCACTTTGGTACAGTCAGCAATGGGCTGGAATGGTCGGTGCGTTTTAGCTCTTGTTTCTGACGTAGTTGATGAGCTACAGTGCAGGCCCAGAAGCCCAAGCTACTGGGACATTACACAACAGTAGAGAGCTCCAGCGAATCTCGTTGTAATGGCTGAAAGTTTGCAACCTCTCTCTACATCTGCCACTCACACAGCGGAAGAGTCGGCGTACTTGTTTGCTCCATGGAATCGATATGTCTAATACAGATAGATATAAATACCGGGGAGTGTTATATTCCTCTGCAAGGTTACTCCTTGGCACTCAGGGCAAACACTTTAAATCCAACGGCCCCCACTTTATGCTCGAAACAGCCTGGAAAGAAGCCCTTCACGACGCGGGGCACATCAACTTTTGCTTCTGATTGGGTCTTTGCTTACGTCTTTGAAGCCTGCAGCGGTACACTCGGGTTCAAAGTGGACGCCACTTGCCCATTACTTCACTGTCGCTGGGTAAAGTTGAGAGCCCGGTAGGTACAGTAAGGTATGTTCAGTAAAGTACTAGAGTAGGAATCTGCCTTGGAAGGTGCCCAGAAACGTGGATCGCTCAGTGCCTTCCCTTGTCTGTACCTTCACTGGCGTCACCTCTGTCTTGGACCGGGCAATCCGTTCCGTCATATGGCCAGGCTTGGGTTGGGTTGGATTGGATTTACCCATTCTTTCCATATCAATATTCCTGATGTCTCGTCTCTTTCCCTTCAACACCACCCTGACTGTCTCCCCATAGCCTCAACAACTCTTCCTATCTCGTCTTGTCTTGTCGCCAACTGCCACTCGTGAATCACACCCATCTCTATTCGTCAAACTCCGTCCAAGTTCGAGAAGTGACAGCGCATACCTATCACCGACGCTCTGCCCCACGGCATCCTAATAGATCGTTATATAAATTCTCCGCACTCGACAAATCTCAAGGTGTTTCCTTAACGGACCTCCTGTATACTCGCCCAGTCGTTGAAGCCTTGGAAACACCAACTCGGTCTCGCCGTCTCAGTTGTCGCTGAGCCCAGCATTTGAAAGTCTTGCGAACGCAGGCAGAAGCCCCAAACTGAGAAACAATGGTCATGGGTCTTGTCTCTCATGGACGCCGAAGGACAGGCAGCACCACTAGTGAGTGTGTCCTTTTCTAAACAACTTCCCGTGACGGCCTCGCTTCCCAATCACACGGAGTCTCCCGCTTCGAGTTCAGCACAGCAGCCTGAAATGGTTGGCGTCCTTTTCAAGACGTCACCTAAAAGCTGTGGTTGAGCTTTGTAGCTTCTAGTTAATTAAAGCCGCCCCTCCGTTTGGTTCAAGCGTGCTTCTCACTCATCCACCTCCCCACTCAACACGTCCCGAAACCTCCGCCGACTTCAATATTGACTTCTGCCCCTCCAAATCTGCACCCTCCAACAATTTCTGTCAAGAGTCGTCATGTTAACCAACTGGTTTTCGCAACCTGCAGGCACACGGTCCTCGACCGACGACCCTCGCGGCCCCGACGCTGAGGATGACACCCTTGTGATGGAGCCCGATCAGGGCAATGGTGAGCCCCTCCCTCGCTCCAACTTGCGTCGTCTCTCTCAATGGTTGAGAGGTCGCAAACCACCTCCGACCTTACTAACCAGTATGATGTATTAAAGTCCTCTCCCACATTATCTCCCAGTTACGACCGGGAGCCGATCTCAGTCGTGTCGTTCTTCCTACCTTTATCCTCGAACCCCGCAGTATGCTTGAGCGCATCACAAAGTGAAAACCCCTGTCTAAGTCACAAAATACTCGATGTTAACGTCGTTGCAGCTTCATGTGCCACCCGGAAATGCTACTCCCAATTCCAACCATAGATGATCCTGTCGAACGCTTCGTATCCGTAGTCAAGTTCTACCTCAGTGGATGGCATATCCGCCCCCCGTGAGTGCTATATTGCAGAGAGACTTCAATGCGCTAGTCGCTGACTATTTGTAGAGGCGTCAAGAAACCCTTGAACCCCATCCTCGGTGAAATCTTTACTTGTTACTGGGATTTCGAAGACGGAAAGCGCGCATACTACATCTCCGAACAGACTTCTCACCACCCACCCAAGTCGAGTTATTTCTACATGGCACCCGATCACCATATCCGTATCGATGGAACTCTCAAGCCTCGAAGTCGCTTCCTTGGAAACTCGGCTGCCAGTTTGATGGAGGGTATTGCCTTCTTGAGCCTGCTCAACCGAGGCAAGGACCCTGCTAGGGGAGAGCAATAGTAGGTTACCCCACGCTTTACATGGTTTTCTATATCGATTTCACGAACATGTTACGCCATCAGTTCATAGGACCAAAACTGACAATCTTGCAGCATTCTGACTCAACCAAACATGTATGCCCGTGGTATTCTGTTTGGTAAAATGAAATACGAGCTTGGAGACCACAGCTTTGTCCGATGCCCCGAGCTCGATCTGGTCGCTGACGTCGATTTCAAAACGAAGGGCTGGGTTGGTGGCACTTACAACGCCATTGGAGGGGTGATTAAGAGAGAGAGCACCGGTGAGGTCTTGTTCGAACTTTCTGGTCTCTGGAGTGAGGAGATGTACATCAAGGATATGACGGTGAGAATGAACACTAGTACTGCCAGCTTACATGTTGCTAACAAGGGCAGACCGGTCACCGTGAAATGTTCTTTAACGCTCAACGATCGAAGCCCTCATCACCTTCTGTGCGGCCAATTGAGGAACAGGAGGAGCGAGAGTCCCAGCGACTCTGGGAAAAGACTGCACGTGCCGTAAAGGAGCGAAATCACGAGCTTGCGACAGACGAGAAGACCAAGATTGAAGATCGACAGCGTGAGGAGGCTGCTCAACGAGCCCAAGAGAACATTGAGTGGCACCCACGTCTGTTCAGAAGAGCCCAAGGCGGCCCTGGCGGTATGGAAGAGGGTGAAGAGGATCTCGAATGGATCATTAACGCGAACATGTAAGTGCTAACTGCAGTCATTCAACTCATGTCCCGCTGACATTGGTTTTAGCGACCACTCCGCACCTCCAGAGAAGCAAGCTGAGCAAATTATGGCGATTTACCCCATCATCAACGGACAAAAGTTCAGCCAACAAAACATCATTCCTCCCCACAGTCCTCCCGCGCAACCACATGCCCAGGCTGCGACAGCAGCACAACCTGTCGATAACCATATCGACGACAACCTGATCAACTTTGATGACACACCCGCCCCGGCCAAGACCGAGAACCCTCCGACAGCTGAGCAAACGCCAAAGGATTCTGAGATTCAAGGTATGCTGAGCTCTACAGGAAAGCCAGCCAATGGACCCCTCCTTGACTTTACATCCGACATGAAAAAGGACCTACCACCAACCACACAATAATAAAACGACGAGACGGCTTTCAATCATTATCTAGATATGGGAAGTGGACAGCGAGGACTGGTTCTGCTTTGGAACAGTTGGAATAAGATGGAGGCAGGGACAGGCTATATCAACATCGGCGCGTATCAGGATTAGTTAAACATGGGTACTCGCATCACCCGTTGGGTTACAATGGTCATAAGGGTTTCAACACCAGCCCTCGCCAGATGACATTGCAATATTCATTTTGAGACATATTCAATGAAGGAAGGGTATCCGTAATGGTTGAATCGCCCATAAATCCTTACATATAACTATTAGAACAAACCCAGCCCCTAGAACGCCGTGACCGTGCTATCCATATTGGATTTCTCTCTCCCCATAGTTTCATCTACGCAGCATCACCGTACACATGGCTAGAAGCGGCGTCTTGTAGGCTCAGGTGTAGGTGAACGAGAGACACTCCTCTCATCACGACCGCGCTGCTTGAGCCACTTCTTTGTGCTGAGGGTAAGGTCGCGATCGAGCTCGTCGCTAGGGTTCTTGCGGTGGATAAAGTTGCAGAATCCTCCTCGAACACAGCCTTCGCCGGAGTTCAATCGGCAACAGGCTTCTCGGAAATCGGTGACAGGGCTCAGTTCACAGTATATCGGGCGTGCGGCGTACCATCGGCTGTTGAGCTCGTCGCAAGCCTTTTGGGCTGACTCTTCGTACTTGAAGCGAGCGTAGACGTTGCCGATCAAGTCTTTTGAAAGTTAGCATTTGCGAGTTAGGCGAAGATTGGGGAAATGACATACGATCGTTGTTGTTATCGCAAACGACAAGCTCCTCAAGCTCGCCGTATTTGCACAGCTCGCACCAAATATCCTCATAGAAGGCATCGAAGTGGTTCTGGAGCTGAGAAGGGTTCATTCGGTTCTTGGGATCGTATGCCGGGTTTTGGTACAGGTTGGGCATAAGAATGGTTTGACTGTAGGAAGGCTTGACGTGCTTTCGAGAGCAGCGATCGCCGTGACGACAAGCGCCGATTTTCTGTATGCGCGCGCATGGAGTCAGTTATCTGAAATGTTGCGACATGAGACGCGTTTGGGAAGAACTTACAAAGTAGAAAGAGCAGTTGACTTTGTCAAGCTCGGTACCGAAAATGGAAGCAAGGAAGTTGGCCATGTTTGCGGTTCTGTGGGAGAAAGAACGAAATGCGGCGACAACAGAACGGATTAGATATCGAGAGGTGGTGATGGAGACTTGGAAGTTTTGAGGTCAAGCAATCCAATTGCCATAACGCAAGGATGCGAAGTTGAGATCACGTGTGGCGCGATGAAGTGATTATGTGGCGTTGTGGCTGACCAAGCTTTCAAACTCCAGCACAGCCAGGAAATGAATCACTGGGATTGCATGTGCAAGAGAAATGGAAGCTGGTCAAGCGTGGAAGATTTCTGTGTGGAATTGTATATGACTGGACCGTGTATCTCATATAATGCCGTTGTAATTCTATATTTCTTACTACTGGTTTTGCTTGTTCCAATTGATATGATACAAGCGTTTGATTAGTTGTTATCACTCTCCTAGACGAAATGTTTATTAGTGCCGTTGGTACAGTAGGTAGGCTTGGGCTTTGAGAGGTTCGGTTGGCTAATCGGAAGCCTTTGGTGGAGCGAAGAGCTTCCCCAAACCTTTCTCGTTTTAATTTCGACAGGGTCCTTGTTTGTAGGGGACGGGAGATGGCGCAGAGACCAGCTGCAAGAGAGTCTCCTATAATTCTATTCCCCAGTATACGACCTTGTTTCCTCGATCCTACATATTATACTACCTACCCAGAACGGCCTTGTTCCTTACAGAAGACGATATTCGCTTCTGTCCGAGGTAATACGCTGGGAAATGACTGCGATATCGTAACATTTCTGCTCTCCTCCGCGATTCTCTCTCTCTCTATTTATTTACCCTCAGTACAGCATCCCCTCGACCTTGACCTCGACCGATCATGGATCAAGCGGACATCCCTGCGCTGCTGGCGCGCATGGCCAGTGACGAAGATGCGTCGCGCAAAATGGCAGTGTTCAAACTGCAGAACTCGATTAACGATCCGGCTTTCGCAGACGTTTTCATTTCGTCGGGCGGTCTTATTATCCTCCGCCGACTTGTCATGACATCTGCTGGCAACACACTCGCTTACTCCCTCCAAAGTCTAACACGACTGTTGGAAGTCGATATGGGATGGGATATCTTTGAAGGCCCAACAGCCGGTGATCTCGTCGAGCGTGTTGTCGAATTGATCGTCACAAACCCCCTGGTCAATATTTTAAGAGGTGCCATGTCCATCCTGGTCGCTCTCGTTGGCCATTCTCAGTCTACTCACCAAAACGGTACCACGAACCGAACTCCAGGAACCTTTGGGTTCCGCGCCTTAAAGCCAGCCGTTGCTGTGTACCCACAGTTCTTCGAGTTGGTCATACAGCAGTTGCAGAGTGCCGACCATGCTCTGTGCGCCAACTCTCTCATGTTGATCAACGCCCTGATCCGAGACGCCGTGTCAGACGAGAGTACCATGAACGGCGGAAAAGCCAATGCTGGCTCGGGAGAGGACTGGGCGAAATTTATCAAGCGATTGCACGACTTGGGCCTGATTAAGGCTGTCCATCGGCTTATGCAGAGCTCTGCCCTTCAGGATCTGGCGCATCCCATGCTGGAGTTTCAAACGTTAACAAAAATACTTTTGAGGAAGTGGCGCGAGGTTGATGTTGATCTAGAGCGGCCGGAACATCGAAGAGCTCTTAAGGGACTTCATCTAGCGAGCGCACCGGAGCGAGTTCCCGTGAATGGCCATTCGCCGGGGCAGGACTCGCACGAAGCACCGACGAAGAAAGGAAGCAGGCGACATAATCCGGAGAAGTGGAGGAGATTGGGCTTCGAGACTGAGAGCCCTGCCCAGGAGTTTGGCATGACAGGCTTCCTTGGTATGATGGACTTGACTGACTACGTACGCAAGAACGAAGATGGATTTCAAAAGATGTTGCTCGAGCAGGCGGGGAAACCTGCATCTGGGCGATGCCCCGTCGCCAGGGCCAGTTTTGCTGTTACCATGATACTGTACGACCACTTCGACGTTGACAAGACGGACCTCGACGATGTCAGGAGCTACCAACTATTGGAATCCAAGGACCACGACAGACTATTCAGACCCCTGTTACTTCAGTGGTCTCGGCTACATACCGCAGGACTATATGCCTTTTTCCGGGTATGGAAACTTACCGGCGCGGAACAAGGTGATTTCGAGAAGGTGGCCGAACTGGTTAGGATATTGGTCGATTCAGTTGTCGGGGGTGCCAGACGAACAAAGGACGTAGCCGAGGTGGAAGAAGAAATGCAGGAGTACGACGTGCCACGATTACGAGAGCAGCAGATGGGTCTTTTGGAGATGTCATTTGAGAACACTTGGGGCCAGCACCTGCAGCAAGTGAGAGAAGAGCTCAGGCAGGAGGCTTTGCAGTTTGTCAAGGAACAGCGGATTCGTTGCTTGCTTCAAGGATCCTGGTTCTCGAAGCCGACACCAAAACGAGACAACAACAGCCAAGTTAAGCACCGGCTATTTACTCCCACGCCTTGGCGATTTGCCAAACTGTCTCACAATCGGCGATATCTTCATTACGCTGATTTTGAAGAGAGGACAATTACAAGCCCCGGATTAGATTCACTCGCCGAAAAGGTTGATCTCAGCACCATCAGCTCTGTCGTTTCTAACGTATCTGCGCCCAACGAAGACAATCGAAGTACTCTAAGTGATATGATGGGCAAGGATACCACTCCAAAATCAACCACCAAGATTACTGTTTACAGTTTCGTGAACCCTACGGAGGCATCGCGGGGAGCGGAAGCTAAAGAGCAGCCAATCTTGACGCTGTGGCCGCTGAGTCACAGTCTGGCTTCGGAGTGGCTGGATGGTCTTCTGATGCTATTGAACCAGGCCCCGATCACGGCAGAAACCAACAAACTGGTTAATCTCGTGAGTGAGTACGGGCTCAAAATTCGACTCTTGAACGTGCGAATGGACACAGGTTTCGAGGGCCCGGAACCCGGAGCTGGAGTGATTCCGAGCCGGGAGGGCCTGGATGAGGACTACTTTTTTGAGGTCTGATAGAAAGCTAAGCTAAGCTTAGAGTTGCTTCTTGTTGTTTGTAAGTGTTTGTTTATTTGTTGGCGATTCATAATTATACCCCATTTCGTTACGCAAAGGAGCCTATTCAGGCAGGCATAGCGAGCATTGTTTAGATGAGACGAAGATAGCTGTACATGGTAGAAAGCATAATAAAGGACAGGGCTGCTGCTATCGTATCCGATTTGACACGTTGAGTGTTAACTAGGTGACTTGTCATGAAAGGTATTCTCTGTTCCCTTGCTTGAGCAGGTAGCATAGCATCATGCCTAGTGCGTTGTTAACTTCCATACATGCCCGATGTAGGAAGTCCGAGACCCATAACAAACTGGATATGCCAGATGCTTAGGCCGGGTTGTTAGATGGAATCACTCCGGAAGAGATTTTCTTCACCATGTCTCAGGCTTGCGTTTTTAGATGCATGAGGTGTTGTTATTGTTTACTCTACCTAGTAGATACTCGATGAAGATCACGTCCAAGTAAGGAAAGTATCTGCTGTTTCTCAGATAGCGGTCACTCATGCAATATGCAAAGCAGAAGCATCCAGTATGCAATGGTGACCAGTTCGGCTTCAGGCCGTTTCGAAGGACGGGCCAAGGAAAGCGGTCCGGGGGTACGGGGGGTTAGTGTCTAGTGTCTAGTGTCTATCCGTAGGTACCTACGGGTTCATGGATGGGTCGGCAAAGAACATGTACCTAAACCATTTGTGGGTAGAAGCTAAGAACCATGGCAAAGTCAGGATGATAGGTAAGGAAGGCATCTGGTACCGAGCTTGTTGACTATGGTTAGGTGTTGATACCGCAGTCATGCAGTTTAGGTTGGGAATTGTTGCATGTAAACTCCACAAGATTTGAGTGCTTTTTACACGATACCGACTGATAGCCGAGTCAGAATCTAGAGTGTCGAATAGAAGGCAGTTAGTTGGTAGAGTTCTTAGTTGTAAGAGGTCGGAGGATTGTGGGTAATCTTCCGATCAACAATGGATGGATAGGATTTTAACATAGTAAGTGCGAGGTTGGATGGAGCTTGGAGGAGTGGATCTGCATATAGATCGTGGATCATGATGGTTGGATCGTGTAACGCTGGAGAGAGATCCAATAGGTAATGCTTGTCAGGTCAGGTCAGGTTTGGTCAGGTCTTTTTGGCCTTGGTCTGAGTCTGATATGGGCTGAGCCTCTATCAACCTGTATCACATGTATTTTTGGTCAAGTACCTTGGAACTATCAATGGCATGAAATACCAACGTCTCAATCTAAAACACACTCTATTCCTTCCTGCATTGTTAATGAGACTTGGAAACAAAAGAAAGTCTAGATCAGAGCTAGGTAGGTTACCCCAAAAAGTCAACCTCTAGGTACTGTAGGTACAGTAGCTTGTCTGGCGGTAAACTGGGGATAGCTGCACACACGTCAAAAGCGGTGACGAGTCGCCTTCCACTTGGCTTGCTGCAACTGGTGTCGCGTGCATAAGCGTGAGGCCCCTCTTTCTGCCACTGCAGCTTTTCAGTGTCTACCTAGGACCTAGAATCCCTAGGACGAGAGGAGAAGGGAAAGAATGGAAGGAAAAGAAAAAAAGTTACAACCCAGTTTTTTTTGTTGTACGAGTCTTTGTGCAAGCAAGCTCCCGGAATGGCCAATCCAAGTTCCCCCCCTCCTTTAGAGTCCAGCGAAGAAAAAGAGGAGTAAGTCAGGTTTAAAAAAAGAGTGTAGGGATTGCGGTGTGCGATTCAATTCGATGCATGATCATCTGTGATCTGTGGTTGGATCCAATGTGTATGTGTATGTGTATGTGTATCTTTTTTGTCTTCCAAGGCGTTTGTTGCGCTGCCAAACCAAACAGAAAAGGAAAAATGCGGAGCTAGATACCTAAGGTACCGATACCATCGGATAGTAAGGTATGGATGGTATCCGTCGTAGTTTCTCTATTTATTTTTACCTTTTCCCTTGGATCCCCTTCTTTTTCCTTTCCTTCTTTTGCTTCTCTTGGTCAGTCAAGTCAGTCAGTGACATGACCCTCTTCCAATAGAACCTCATTGTTTGGGTTGGAGAGGGGAAGACACCTGCGAAGTTTAACTTAACCTTCAGCCTCTCTCTCGAGTACAGGGAGAGAGGCATTGCGAACGGGCTGCCGGCCCAAGGGACAGGCTGAGGATCAGTCTCCGTCCATCACCAGAGAGATTGGATATTCTGAATATCCCTTGTATTTGATCGAATTCCTTCCCATCCTCGTCCTCATCCTCCGAGCTCGGTACGTACAAACTACCTACACAGTTCCCCTCCAGTTGTGGAGATGGGCTCCTCTTCGGTCTCACTCTCAAGTCTTAACCCTTGTCTTTTTGGATTGAAACCGTTTGGCACTGGAGACCTGGAGGTTCCCCCTGAAGCCCAAGACCAAAGCTGACTGAAGCCCTGCCAGCGAATCACGACTCGGAGAAAAAAAAGTTGTCCCCCAAAAAGGACAACCCAATCTTATCAGAAATCTATACAGTACTTGATTGTGCTGTACTGTACCTACTCCAAAGAGATCAGGCTTCTCCCCCCTGAAGTTATCTCTTAACATTACGGATTCTCTGCAATCGCAATCTGCGACATTCCGTTCTCTTTTGAATCGCGACTAATTGCCTCTTGGTATGTTTCGGCCCCTTTCTTAATTCAGCAATCCAGTCTACCCTATCCAATCCCATTTTGATTTTCGTCAGCTCGTGGCTTTCGCTTTTATTACCTAGCCTGCGCCTCGTATCCCCTGGTCTTCTTCTGCCAGCTTGTCCTCAACTTTTTCTGCTGCCTACACTTATTATTATCCTCTTCTTGCGCTAACTTCTATTTTCTCTTCAGCTCATTACAAGAGTATCCATTCTTTACCTTGAACACGCAATCGGCTTTCGTCATTCTTCTTGATCGATAATTCTGTTGCCTATATACCAAGGCCATAAAACCAGTCGCTCTCGAATCCTCTATACTCTTTTACAACACACAACCTTTCTACGATACTACATCAAACAACTCCGCCATCATGTCTCGCATTCAGATCCCGCTCGACGTTATTACGTCCCGCCTCAACTTGGGCGACCGCTTCCAGGGCCTCCGATCTGGTCCTCTCAGCGGCCGCTTCTCCAACCTGCGACCTGTCAACGAGTTCCTCGACTTCAAGCGTCTCTCCAAGCCTAACAACTTTGTTGAGATGCAGTCGCGAGTCAACTACAACCTGAGCCACTACTCCAGCAACTATGCCGTTGTCTTTGTTATGCTCAGCATCTATGCCCTCCTTACCAACTGGCTGTTGCTCTTTGACATCATCCTTGTGGTTGTGGGCATGTGGTTCATTGGAAAGCTTGACGGACATGATCTCGAAATTGGCACTTTCCGTGCCTCGTGTTCGCAGCTTTACACTGCACTTGTTTGTGTCGCCGTGCCTCTGGGTCTGATTGCTTCGCCTTTCTCGACCCTGCTCTGGCTCATCGGCGCATCTGGCGTGACCATCCTCGGTCACGCTGCATTTTTGGATAAGCCCATCGATGAGGCTTTTTCCGGGGAGGCGGTCTAAGTGGTCGGCCGCAATCTCCCGAATTCGCGCCCCAATGGGGAAGACCATCGAGGCGCAGACAGAGGAGAACAGATGGGGATGCTGCGTCTCGCGGACGTCAAGGAGGAGATGTCCGTGTGGAGGAATTAGATTCAGGTGATGATGCACGAGGTGTCGGTGCTTCTTCAGGGGCCCGCTTCGCGAGTGACCCTCTTCGTTTTACAGGGGTAGATATGGGTAACTCTGAACGGGGTTTGGTACGCAGGGGACATTATGAGGAGTCGGAAGATTCAGAAGATGACAGTGAAAGCAGTGAGGATGAGGAGTTCGAGCAGTACCTTGCAGAACTGGCCTCTCGTGATCGGGAAGAGGCGCTGGTACAGTCAGCATTGCACCGTATCGAACGTGCAAAGGCCAGGGGAAGAACAGACGTCGATCTCAACGACGAGGAGATGGCGGCGCTGGAGCGACGACGCAAGCGAGACGAAGCCGCGAAAAAGAAGAAGAGCAGCAAGAAGCGCAAGGACTCACGAGTCGCTGTGCCTCTGACCCAGCTCGACCCTTCATCCCGCAAAAAGAAGGATTCTGTCTCAAGCCAATCAAGACAACAATCACGATCTAACAGCAATCTTGTTGAGGACCAAGATCGTCATTCGCGCTCTTCCCTGGGCAGCTTTCCACCAACAGCAACAGCAGGTCGGCCACGCTCAGGCACTAGCACTACTACTTCATCGCAACGACCTCAAAGTCGGGTGAGGGCGCCTTCCACTAGTCGCCAGCCTTCTGATAGCTCGGCTATTGTTCGCCGAGGCAGGAACTCAAGCCAAGCCCCCAATGACCCTTTCCAGTTCCAGGTTCCTGGTACGCAAGCTCCCAGCCCCGCTGGATCGTGGAGACAATTCTCGGGAGCCCAGCGAGGCTCTGGATCCCGAAAGAACTCTCAGCTGAATGACGGCACAAGTGAGAGTGATGACAGTGAAGAGGAGTCCGAGGGAAGGGAGGATTCTATCGAGACGACTTCTAGCGACGATATTGGCAGTGGTGCTCAGATCGTTGTCGAGGAATCGTCTCCTGAGCCTACCAAGCCCGAACCTACCAGGAGAAATCCTACTCGATCTTCTACTTCATCCTCAACATCTAAGAAGAAGCCGGCGACAACAACTTCCAGTGGACGACGGAAGAAATAAAGAGTTATGATACTAGGACAAAAAGAAATACCCCGGTTTAGAGAAACAAGTCTCTGTTCAGTGTTGATAGATTATCTACCTATTCGCTCACTTTTAAATTGTTCCATTGTGACTTTGATATTTTGAGATTGTCGTCCATAGACCCTTGGATTTTCACATGAAAGGGATTGCTGATCGTTGATCTTTGCTTCACTGGTCTAGCTCGAGCCACATCAGCACAGCCACTGTGAGATGTGCTGGTGGTACCGAGTACGTATCGCCATCCTCGGTTCTGCCCGATCTGATCCCTGTCATGGAAACTGTCGCCAACTCAATGTACCGAGGGGAAAGCTCCAGCGCAAGGAAAGGAACCTAGCTCCAACTGACGAAATAGTCACGACCCCAGACTAACCGGAACTTCACCTCCAAGGGTCTCAGCTGGACATCCCTATCCCCAACTTCGATCTTGCACCAACTCCAACAACACATCTACTCTAATAGCTGTTATCGCATAATCATGCCACCATCATCATCAAATACAGGCGCTGCGTCGCGGAGTGCAAGCAAGCGACTGATTAAAGAGTTGGAAACATGGGGTAGGGAACAGAAGGAAGAGAAAGGTATAGAGCGCCTCGGGCCCATTAATGAAGGCGATTTGATGGAGTGGGAAGCCGTCATCAATGGACGGGGTATAGGTCAAGGTTACGATGGTTTGTCTCCCTTTTTTTTGCTTACCTTTATCTATTGACAGTTTACTCACATCCACTCAAGAAGGACGCTGGCTCGTCAACATCTCCATTCCATCGACCTACCCTCTCGCGCCGCCAAAAATGACCTTCGTCACACCTATTGTTCATCCCAACATCGCACTACAGAACGGAGAGATCTGCCTTGACCTTCTCAAGGACGCTTGGACACCGGCTTACAGCGTTCTCGAATGCGTGCGCGCCGTGCGCATGCTGCTTGGATGCCCTGAAACGGATAGCCCTTTGAATGTCGACGTTGCAGCGCTGTTGCGCTCGGGTGATGTCCTGGGCACTCGAAAGCTCGTAGAGTATTGGTGTCGAGATTCTGACTCGAGATACGAAGGACCATGAGATGCCATCTACGCTAGATTTGACGTGGATACACAAGAGATGGGGTTGGTTTTGGATGTTACTTTGGAGTTATTGGATTCAATTTCGGTAGTTTATTTGCAGGCTGTGAACCTTGGGGAGAACAGGCTTCCTATGCACGCATTAAGCGATAGCGGATAATTCTCAGTCTATGTCAAGTGCAACGTCATTGTGTCGCATTTCCTGTCAAGAGTCGGTATTCAAGAGATACTAGAGATGTAACAGCAATAAAAGGTTGCATCCGTAGATGCTCATCTATTTCACAATCCTTCCTCCATGCTCGAGTTCCTTACTTTCTTACAAGAACACCTATTTAAACCAATTCAAGATGCCTATCCCTGCCGAGGCGGCTTGATTTTCTGCAACAGCAGCTTGCATTCCCTAAACTATAGTGTTTCCCTTTCGCCTCTCTGTTTTCGGAAAAGAAAATGTTCAAAGGATGCACTACTAAAACGCCGTGACCTGTACCCGCCCAAATTGAATCATGAATTGCCCAACGATGACTACGGTGGAGCAGCCATTCCGTTCATCTTCTTCCATGCAGTAAAATCTTCTCCTTGATACGACGAGCGTGAAGAAAGAGAGCCCATTGAGTAAGTTGCACATTTGAAGTTTATACGGCACAATTACTCATTATAGTGGTAGACCTAGAATAGGGGTTAGTGCGAGATCTTATAATGCTGAGGTAAAAGTTACTGACCTTGTAGTTGGGAAGGCCAAATGGTTGCCAGCCCAGGCGCTTAGCCATCTTGGCAAACCCTTCAGTTTCAATGAGATGGTAGAAAGAGAAAGGAGGGAACATGGCACCGTCACGATGGACGTCGGCCCTAACGAAAAGAGCAGTGCCTCCTACACCATCAAGAGGTATGACCATGTTGCGATCACCACCTTCCGTCGCCAGATACGCCATGAGCATTCGATATGTCGGCATTTCGGCGTATCCCTCAAGAAGGATATCATCAGGACCCATCTTGGCAGCAAGGGCTTGTGCTGTCTCGCTGTCTTGCCAGCTGTTAAAGTCATATGGTCGCTCGGACATTTGCTTGTGCTCCTCATCGTAGTATCGCTGGAAGCAGTTGGGAACGATAAGCGGCTTGTCGTAAGATGCGAGGTCCTGAATCAGTGTTGGGGGTGTTTCGATAATATCGGCATCCAGCCACAAAACCCAAGATGTATCCGGACCAAGGGTAGTAAAGAGTAGAGAGTTGCGAGCCTTGGACATGACTGCGCGGCGGGCCTTTTGGTTTTTAAGCTTGTGGCGCTCAGCTTCGTCCTGGGACACAATGGCAGGCTCAAAGTCCTGTCGCAGAATGATAATACTCTTGAATTTTTCGGCTTCACGGCCATGTTTCTGCGTCTTGTGGATGAACTCCTGCAGTTCAGTGGTTGCTTGGTTGCCCTCTTTCGTCTTGGGGAGGATGAAGCCCAGGGTGATGAGTTCATGAGGATAGCTCAATCGCAACAGATTCTCCCAGTAACCAGGATAAAATCGTGACATGGGAGTGAGAATGAGAATGTTCTCACGGTTCTCGATGGGCGACTTGGTGATGGTGACATTATTAAGGTTGTAATGCACGACGGGTGGTGGCTTGAGCGGTACACCAGATCGGGATTTTGACTTTCGGTACGGTGAAGTCGGCGGCGACAAATGATGCTCTGCGGTTATGGATTCGAGTCGACTGGCGGTGACGGATTTGCCTGAGGGGGAGACGAGAAAGACGATGATGAAGATGCACAGAATCGCTCCAAGCGCAAGGGTGATGGGATTCGTCTTCTTGAGGCGAACAGCCCCCATGGGTCGGGCCATGAGTGCTGTATTATCGCGCCTGAAAGGCGACGTAGAAGAGTTCGAGTGAGCAGAAACGTGCGACAGCACCGGCTATCGCGAACAAGTCGAGGGCATCAAGTGGGAAACTTTGAAGCTAGTTGAGGATGCGCCGCAAGGAGGATGGCAGGAATAAGTGTCAGGTGGACTCGTTTCGTCTGTGATGGATTACAGAATCGATTATACCAAACCCTCGGAAGGCCGCAGAAGAGGGAATCAAAGAAACGAAAGAAAAGGTCGTACAAAAAGATCAGACCGACAGACGGAGAAGAATACGAAAGATGGATGGGCTTCTAGCCTGCCAGTACGAAGGGATAATTAAGACACGACGACTGATTGAGGGTTCAATCCAATTGGAGTGTCCCACAAAGGGTTTAGCGGCCAGTCGGGTAGTCCGCCAGGGGGTGCAGCAACTGGAACTCTTCTATTAATATCAGCCTCAGGGCTGTACCGACGGTACAGTATAATCAGACTAATCTCGTCATGAATTCATTTAGGTTTGTAATTCTTGTAGTAGACAATCCTTTGTCTACCAATAGAGAATAATCTGCGAGCTATATACTTTTAAGAGAAAGTGTTTTCTGACCTTCAACTTGAGGGTTAAGGGGGGATAGGATTCTACAGAATGACGCAGTAGCATCAGCATGAATAAGGCCAAGCAAGTTTTCCCTGGCGCTGAGTAGTATCATGATTGAGAATAAAACTATAAGCTATGAACTTGGAGACTCTGAAGTATCATAAACCAATATCATGGATGCTCTCTATTCTAATGCTGTATCCTCAAAAGTAAGTGCTTGTCTAATAACAGAGAGTCTCCACATTTAGCCAACGCCCAGATGTGGCTGCGCCCATGACATCTGCTCTGCAGAACAGACCCCCAAGCATTGATCCAGATCCAGATCCATCACAACCTCTCTTCCCTTTTCAACCCAAATCTTCTGTATTTCTCCTATCGAAAAATCTGCCACAACTCTTACAACATACGCAAATATGGCTGACAAGATGGATCGCGGTCTCGACGAGATCATCGCTGATACTGTAAGTTCTTACCACTCCATCTGGCTGCTATTCTTTTATGCCATGTCCCGTTGCTCGCACGCGCTCTCGTCTTGTCTCGATCATTCAAGCTGACCTGTTTTTCTGCTTCATAGCGCTCCAATCGACCTCGCAACAACCGTGGCCAAGGTCGCCGACGTGAACCGCGTAATGATTTCCCTCGCGATGGTGTTAGAAAGGTTGGTACATGTGCTTTTCCCGTCATCATGAGGCTTTGTTGACATGGGCGGTGCAGGTTGACTTCCCTCGCTCTCCAATGATGCCTACTCGACCTGTACAACCCTCCTCACAACTCGCCCCTTCGGTGCTCGGAGCCTTTGTCGATTGAACGGCTTTCCACTCTGAAAACCTCTTGCTGACCAGAGCGTCCCTCCCCTTTGCAGTCTGCTCGCGACGATTCTCGAAACATTGATAGGTCAGTTGCGGCCAACCCGTTTGGCTACCTGCTTTTGCTAACAGTATACAGCGAATGGGTCCACGACCGATTTGAAGAGAACAGTAATACTCGAAGCTTCCCCTAAGCCCGACATCCTTTTGACCATCGTCCAGACAACCGCCGAGCACCTGCTCCCCGTCGTCGCCGTGATTCCCCAGAACAGTGAGTCTACGGCTCTCGGGTGAAAAACAATTCTAACCTATTCGAAACAGAGATTCCAAGGGCACAAAGATTCGCGTCGAGAACATCCACTATGATCTCACTGACGATGACCTTTCTGTATGTAGCATGTGCACTCACAACCATCCAATAACTCATAAGTTTTCAGGAGCTATTCCGACGAATTGGGCCCGTCAGCCGCCTTCAACTTCGATACGATCGCGCTGGAAGATCTGAAGGCACCGCCTACGTGACCTACGAACAAAAAGAGGACGCCGAAGAAGCGGTCAAGCAGTTCGATGGCGCGAATGCCAATGGTGAGCTCATTTACCCAAGACACTGGTACCGCAGCCTAACTAACGGAATGCAGGCCAACCTATTCGATTGACCCTTCTGCCCAGCCGAAACCCCTTCGATACTGCCGTTATGCCTGGCCGTCCATTGTCGGAGCGTATTTCCAGCCCTGGAGACAGACGATCCCATTCGCCCCACCGCCGACGCGATGACGACGATGCTGCCCGTAGAGGAATCGATAGATATGTTCCTGGTCAAGGCTCTCGCCGAAGCCCAATGCCTCGAAGCCGCGGTCAGGGCCAGGGTCAAGGTCGGGGTCAGGGCGGGCGTCGTCCTGGTGCTCGACGTGAAGGTAGAGAGGGAGGCGGCAGAGACCAGGAGGGAAGCCGAGGTGGCCGAGGCAACCGTCCTAGCAAGAAGACACAGGAGGAGCTGGATGCAGAGATGGCTGATTATTTTGGCGGAGACAACGCGCAGGCCGCAGAGCCCGGTAATCAGCAAGATGCGCCCCCTGCTCAGGCACCTGCAGCTGCCCAGCCTCAAGCACAAGCTGCGACCGACGACATCGACATGATTGAGTAGCCGTGTTGTCATTGTCATGACACTATTTCTCAACATACTCGAAACTATGTACACCACTCCGCCCGAATGTTTAGCGCATTCTTGACCAAAAACCCATACCTTGAGATTGACCTCCTTGTTAATAACCGAATTGTCACTTTATATTACAGTTAGATTGATTGTCTCGATCTGAATGAAAACTTGATCAATCCCCCTGTGCACTGCGTCGATTCCATCCATATGATAGTGAACCCTGGATCTTGTCAGCTAAAGTGTTTACAAGGACATAGTTTATGGGAATATATACCCCTGAGAAACCTAGATTTCGACCCGTGACAAGGCCGTTGAAGGACATATCGACATTGATACTCATGTTAAAGCTGACGCTGTTTCTATTCATCGGTCTCCGCTGTGGTCCGTTCATGTTTTGACCCTGCATTGTCGTTTGCTCGCTGTAACTTCTTGTACCGCGCGTTATGCCTCCGTTGTTTTGAGTTGTTATCCAGCGAGTAGTTTCGCTTCTGGTTTGTGTGATTGTGAATGGCGACCCTGGAGTGTTCTTGACACTTCGATCTGTTGCTCTCCTTGTCAAGTGCCGAGGCGGTAACTCTTCGACGCTGTCGTCCGAGTCATAATCTGAGGAGTCTTCTTCTGATGAGGATTCTTCGTCTGATGATAGATATACGCTCTCGGCATCGTCGGTATCGTTATCTTCTGATGATTCGACTCGCTTCTGTTTTTGTTTTGGTGTGAATGTCTTTACTGGTACTGTTGTGTCGGCTTCCTCGATCTCATCTGGTTGTCGTGGTGTTGAAGGTGATGCAGTTTCTGATTTCTTCTTTGATTGTGATGGTTTGGATGTTTTAGATGAAGACTGTTTTGCCTTGTTTGATGAAGTTGCTGATGTTTCTGGAGGAGCCATAATGAGCTGTGGTAGACTTGTGATTAGATGTCTGGAACAATAATGAATATGATAGTGTATAGTATGGATAGTCTAATAGTTGAAGTGCTCTATCGTAAGTTGCAATTCATAACCTCGACTATCAGAGGTTCGTCATCATGTGCTTGCTATCTTATGAGAGGCGAATCGGGTCATGAATGGTCCCCCGCGACACAAGAAACAGGGTCGGATCCTTGAAGAGTGACGTCGCTCTCACCACCAACAACACTCTGGCTATGGAAGCCTCGGCTCATCTGTGAGTGGTTGATTATCATATCATTTCACTCTCAACTGTATACAAAACCATCATCTAACTGATTATCAGTAGTTATTTCATGCTGTTTAAAAGCTCCATCTATTTCGGATCTAGTTCTGTATTATGGTATAGACTATCGATCTGGTGGCGACCGTTTGGATAAAACGGCGGGGATATCCACTTGTCAGTTGAACTAGCTTCGTTCTTTTCTATAAGTCATCTACATCAAGAATACTGTACAGAGCGAGACATCAGGGTGTCCAGAAGAATTGGCCGCCGAGAGCATAAGAGATGAAATACTTTGGTCATTTTATGATAGCTTAGGAAAGCACCTAGGCTACTTTATTTTGGCGTCCTAAGCCTTGGAGGACATTTCTTGTGTTACCCGCCTAAGAGGTCACTTGTGAGTATATCTTCTACGTTCCCCCAAAAGTTGCTTGCAAAAGATCTGAGCTGAGTGATGGTGCCTCTCTCTGAATGATTAACAAATCATTCAGTCAACTTCCCATACGGGATGTATGCGTGGTCGTGAACATTACTCTATACACTATAGCATTTCGTAGCAGACACTTTCCATTTCTCAATCTATCATACCCTCCTATACTCTCGTAAAATCTGTGCAATCTCAAAGCGTGATTCTTTCTCGGCAAACTTTGCTGCATCCTGACATCTCTCCTCCAGTCCATCATCTTGGTCGTTCTCGAGTAGCAGGAAAATCATATCCAACCTCCCATGTTCTGCAGCGCCCTGAAGTGCTGTTCTTCCTTCCACTAAAGCAGCTGGGGCGTTGACAAGCGCTCCGTTCTCGAGAAGGAAGATGGCTACATCTATATGCCCTTGCATTGCTGCAAACTGGAGTGCAGTCGCGCCGTTATGCGAGGCTGGCCGCTCATTGATTTCCAGACCTTGTTTGACAAGGCTTCTGACCAGTTCAAGGTTACCAGTGTTGCATGCTGCTTGGAGAGCGGTCTTTCCCTTTTTCCAAAAGGCCGGTACGTGTATATCAGCCCCTGCAGCCAAGAGGATGTCTACAAGCTCCTCATGATTGGCATCAATGGCATATTGGAGGGCTGTCATAGGGGTTTCTTCTGTCGTGGGTGCATTGACTTCAATCCCAGCGCCGATCAGCAATCTAACTACCAGCTCAACGATTTGGCAGTCATCGGTCCCATAAAGTCCCGAGGGCTTCCCGAAAACTGCTTGAATGGTAGTCCCACTGCCGAACTCCCCTTCAAATTCGAAGCCATGACCCATGAGGGACTTGAAAAAAGATATGTCAGGCCACCAATCCATTCCTGTTAGAACCATGTCAAAAGCATGCATTCCTGTGTTCAAATCTCTGATGTTTGGGTTGGCTCCATGAAGAAGCAGTTTCTCTGCGACTTTATATTGTCCTAGTCTTAGGGCTAGCAACAGAGCGGTCATGGATCCATCAACAAGACGGTCGACGTTTGCACCGCTCATTATGAGAAGATCAACTGGACAAGCATGGTCTGAGTCATCCTCCATACAGGGGACGCAGCGAATTGCATCCGCCATGGGTGTTTCAAGTCGGTTACCCTTTACCTTGTCGATACAAAGAGATGGACGGTTGACATCAACACCAGAGATTATCAAGCATTGTGCTACAGCCGTGTTGTTGCGAGAAATGGCTGTCCAAAGAGGTGTTGGCTCGCCGGGAAGAGGCTGGTCCAGATCAGATTTTAAGGCCGCGAACTTGGACATTAACAAAGTGAAGCAACGAACTGCATAACCTGCACCAATTATTGCGCTGTTCAGGATACGACAGGCCCTCCCATCTGCATTGGGGTTGACTCCGGATAGGAGTAGGCGACCTAGCACATTATTGTCGTCGTGGGCAACAGCGGCTTCCATGGCATTTATAGCATGTTTCTCAAATCGTTCAGTGTTCTTATCAACACAATTCTCGAGAACCATATCCACGAGTCGAACATTTCCAGATTTGGCGGATGCTTCGAGGTATTCAACCCAGTTGTCGTCTATATCGAGCGCAGATAAGTCTGTTTTTGCGAAGTGTCGGATCAAGAAATCGACTAAATTCTGGCAACCAGATGCAAAGGCTCCTTGCAGAATGGAAGCTGGGTCGTTGCAAATCGCGCCTTCCCGGAGCAGCAATTCGACCAGATCGACATCCCCGGCTCCAGCAGCAGCTTCAAGAGCAGTCTTCCCATCCAGTTGAGCAGCTGGAGGTGCGTTCACATCAGCTCCCCACTTCAGAAGTAGTTTGGCTATTTCGATTCTGCATTCCCCCAACGTTTCGTTCCCACATACATACTGCAGTGTGGTCGACTGCATTGTATGTCGAGTGTCGACACCTGCACCTGCTTTGAGTAGCAACTCAAATAACTTAAACGTATTCTCCCGCCGGTTAGTATAGTTGAGATAACACCCGTCTAGCTTGCTCGCAATTTGGAGGGAATTTAAAGCAAAGTGGCATTCGTAGCATGCATCTTCGTTATTTGCCGACATATCCAAACATATTGTGCCATTAGGGTCCGCGCCTGCTTGTAAAAGCCGTTTAACAATAGTAAGGTCGTTTAGCCCAACGGCATTCTGTAGAGGAGTGCCTAGGGGAATGGGATAACCTGGAGATAGATCTGATCGAGCGATCGTGAGAGTTGTCTCCATCTCAGCTCGGCAAAAGAGATTTGGATCTGCTCCGAATTCGATCAATAAGCTGACCATCGCAGCGTTTTTGCATCGAACTGCCACATGAAGCGGAGACAGATCTTTCGGGTGGAAGAGGTTTGTATCAGCTCCTGCCTGTAGCAGTTGTCTCACTCGCTCTTCATCTTTAGCTTTGATAGCAAGCACTAGTGGTGTTTTGAGGAGTATCATCCTATCAGGGGTGGGGTCCCGTGTTAACGAATAACTCCTATCTACCAAGGCTTCTGCAAGTGACTTGCTATCGTAGAGTCCCATGTGCGACGGGCTCTGCGGCTGTAAGGTTGGAAAAGATGCAAATGGATCTGCGCCGTGGTCCAGGAGAAGCTGGACAGCTCCTTTGCGTTCAGAGGCTACTGCTCTCTGTAAAGGTGTCCGAGTAGAGTAAGCACTGTTTGGATTTACTCCTTGTTGAAGTAGGTATTGGGCGAAATCAAAACCTTTCCTCTCAGGTATGTCGATAGCAGCGGACAGTAAAGCTACTGAGAACAACTTTATCGTTGGTCCCTTCAGAGAGAGTGCCTGCTTTAAATCTTGCAAAAGCCCATAGGAGATAGCCAGCTCCAGAAATTTGATCAACGTCTTGTCTTGCCAGCGATTGTTTGTCGAAAGAAATGCCATTGAGAGAAATAGTCGAGACCAGGGGCCAAGGATGTCAGATTGTCCAGTTTGCAGTTCTGTGCTGTGCTTGTTCCTATAGCTAAATGGAATTTCTTCATCCAAAGACTCCAACATAGCGGGAACTTTCAAATCATGATCCGACTTCGATGTACTCCCGGACTTGATAGAAAGTAAGAGGGACCCTACAAAACCTTCCATGGTGACTTGGTCCCGAGAAGTGGATGGAGAAGATGCGGTTGGATCATGAATTGATGCTATGGCTCTATCCAAGATCGGGTGTAGCCCATTACCAAGCACTATCCACGGTTAGAAACAAACCATTCTGAGTATAGGAATAGACTTACTGTGACTCCTGAGTTGTGTTTTCAGATCGAACCACGGTAGGTTAAAGTACGTAATGTCTTGATGTAATGTTGGAGGCGTCTGAACGGCAACAGATTCGATATGTGGCAGTACAGGACTTTCCACTTCCTATGTGTTAGTTAGGTAGGTATACAGAGAAGTTTACTCACATGTGTCTTTGGGCGCGTACCTCCTAGTTTCCCTCTTACTCCTCTTGTCCGGTATAATCTTGCCATGAATGGTGAGTTGGGTCATTTTGCCTTCAGCTTTGCGCTTCAGGATCAATGCACTCGCTTGCTCCCATTCTTCCTTCTTGGTATTCTTTCGGAGCTTCCAGTTGACTGTGACTTTGCGTATATATTGTTTCTTTCTGTACATGACATTAGTCTCTGTCGGTAATATGGTAGAGTAGACATACGAAGCATAGAACTGATGGTTCTCAGCCATGAAGCTTATGATCTCATCAACGGTTTTGTTTTGTTCAAGATACAATGACTGTATGGTCTCCTTGTGCGCTTCCCATCGGGTGTCGGGGATCCTGAGGGCCCTAGACATGGTGTAATCTCTGGGAATCAGCAAGAGAGATTGGAGTTGAGTGAGGCCAGGTCAGTGATAAATGTGCTGTGTTGAAAGATATGAGAAGGAAATATTGAGAGGGAATCTCGTCCTTTATGTACCCATCTAGTGGCATGAAAGCCATATTTTTATCAGGCCAGGACACCGCAGGGTGTAGACTATCTTGTACTTTTGACCAGAATTCGCATTGTCTTAGACTAGCTGCGTAATAACAGAGAGCGCGCTTGCTGGTGCCAACATGGCCCAGGTGAAACACTATTAGACTAGGAGCCCATTGGACATAACCAGAATTCTCTTCCAAGGCCTCTGCAATGGATGGCTGTTGAGAAAGCCACCAACAAGGATAGTGACGCGGGCTAGCTCAGCCTTTGATAGTAAACGCCACACTCCCGAATACCAAAATTCTCATTCCTGCGTAGCTGCTCCTTCGGCCTGTAAAACAAGGCCAAGAGTCAAACACCTGCCAGTCTGCAGAGACTTGAACTGGGGAGGGCAATGGCTTTCTCATAAGCTTCTTTGGTCTGTCATCAAGATCCATAGAACTCATTATGTCTATTGTGGATGTATTCCGGCATATACTGGCCAAGGTTACCATGTATCTGGACAAGAACAGCGCTGTCTGCAATTGCTTCTTCTTTTCTTCTTTTTTTCTTGTGTAAGTCACTGGTAACAACCTCGTAGGTATCTATGTTCCCTGTCGTTGTTTTACTATGGTCGTCCAGAATTCTCTTTCGAAGGCTTAGAGTGCTTGGGCGCAGCCAAGGTCTTGCGATTCATCACTGACCAGAATTCGCAAACACCTTTGCTATAATTACCACCCAAGATGCCACCACTATTCACAATCTTTCATGTTCTCATTTCATTCTTTTCCTTGCTTTGCGATACCACATCTCAATCTCCCAAGCATCTACATTACCTAACTCTCCAATCACGAATGGCTGCATCTCAGGAGGTCATCGTAGCCATAGTTGGCGTTATTGTCAACCTTCCCACCTTTGTTCTTGTGTTCTGGCGCTTATGGATCAAAAGAAGAAGGTTGAAGGCAAACCAGAACTCAGGTGTGATATCTTGTCCTGAATGTGTGTCTCGTATGCTGACAGTCCCAAGAGAACCATAACTCCAGCCAACCCCTTCTACTTCAACCTCGCCGGTTGACTAACGATACCATGTTTGCTCTTATCATTCCATACGCAGTACCGCTGCTCGATGTCAGATCTCACGAAGAGCCCTAATGACTCTTGGCTTTGAACTGTTTCGGTGGAATACTTCCCTATATAACCACAAGGCAAAGTTACGGATGGAGGATTGTGAGCAGCTATGAAGGATATTAGAAAGTTTCGATTCTCGCAAAGAGACGTTGAAATTGTTCATTTAGTGTATACAAACGATAACTCGATAAGTTGGATGGTTAATAGACCACTCACTAGATCAGTCGCTTTGATTGTCCCCAGCTTGTAAAATGTATGCTGAAGAACAATAACAGCAAATCTAAAACTAGAAAAGAAGGAGTTAGCCGTGGACAGCAGTTGGTAGTATTTTAACCCTTAAGAAATATTATTTTTACCTTAGTACCTACTAAGGTACCTCTAGGCAGTAACCTATATGATGGACAAATCCTGACTAAATGCAGTATATAGCTTATCTACCCTGTTCCCCCACCTCAACTCATACATCATCAGACAACAATCTCAAACTCATAACCTTGGCAAATACTTTGTTTAATATCCATAAACATGTCAAATCCATCCGACCCTAAGCCAAAGATTGGCCTGCTGTCAATTGGCGATATGGGCGTCGGCATTGCAAAGCTGCTGATCGCTCATGGCTTCATCGTTGCAACTAACATCACCGGCCGAAGGTAATTCAAGTACCTCGCACATCAAGACAACAATACTGACAATCCGCTCAGCCAAGACACGATTGAACGGGCCCAAGATGCCCAAGTTGAACTCCTCGAGTCTGATACTGAGCTCCTACAGCAAAGTTCCGTTATACTGTCTGTCGTCCCACCCAGGGACGTTGAGGCTACTGCCGCTCGAATTGTAAAGGCATTCAAGGAGCTGGAGACCAAGAAAGAACTCTATCTGGTCGATCTTAATGCAGTTGCACCTTCGACTATCAAATCTGTAGAAGCGTCTGTCAAAAAGGAAGATGTGCCTATTCGATTTGTCGATGGGAGTATCCTAGGACAACCTCCAAAACTTACAGCATCGTCTTATGCCGAAACACAAGCATCTAATAGCAACAACTTTTCCAACTGGTATCGCCCTAGTATCCCCGTTTCTGGACCCGATTCTTTAACTTCACTACCTTATGGCGAGAAGCTCATTTCTGTGCTCAACATGAAGCACATCTCCCCCGATATCGGCGCGGCGAGCGGACTCAAGATGTGCTTCGCTTCCTTGTCCAAAGGTTTTACTGCCATCGCCACGCAGTCCTTCACAGCGGCCCATAATCTCGGAGTCTTAGACGCTCTAAAGGAGGAGCTGAACACCCTCTACCCAGCTACCCTCGCCAATGCTGAGAAGGGCGTGCCTGGCATGCCACCCAAAGCATACCGCTGGGTCCGAGAGATGGAAGAAATCGCCCTCACCTTTAACGAGGAAGCAGGCTGGGATAAGGGGATGTTCGAGGGCGCTGCCAATATTTATAGAGCTATCGCGGAAGACGAAGTGCTTGGAAAGGAAAAGGTGGGTAAGAGAAAGCGTGGAACGACTTTGGATGATGTGGCAGCCGCGGCAGCAGAGGGTTTACAGAAGAAGAGAAAGTCGCAGCAGTCACAAGATTAGTTAGCTGTCACGAGATGGATCTTTATCTCTTAGACATTAAATGGGGATAGATACATATCTTAATAGTACACTATACATATGCCAAAGCAGGCATGCAGATGAAAACCATAAACTCCAAACTAACTTACACCTCACATCTAGATGTTGACGTAAATTCGAGAGTTGGGAACGTTAAGCTTCCAATCATTGTTGAAGCCAGGTGTGGTGACCGCTGCGGCATCAGAAGAGGTGACGAAGATACCATCGTTGGAGAGAGCACCGAAGTGGTCTTCCAGCAACCGAGCCTCTGGCTGAGAAGACTCTGAATCAGTCTCAGTTTCGACCCTGCTGGCTGTTCCGAAGACCACGCCCGTCTCTTGAGCGCCAGTTGGTTCGGTGGCCGAAGTCTCTGTCGACGCAAAGAACTGAATCTTGGATCCCACAGGGACGAAATTGCCACCGTCCATGGCCTGAATGAACCTTTGCATCTCCTCCTCTTCGGAAAGGGAAAAATGAGTGCGCTGAGGGTCAAGCGATAGTAAACCCTTCTTTGCGCCCCAGCCACCACCACCGCTCACTATACACCGTTAGTACACAGATAAAGAGTAATGGGTTTCGAAAGGGTTCCGTACAGATCTGATATAGCCGGCCACCTTGCCTGTACAGGTCAACCAGGTGACCGGATGTGGAAGCGACTAGTTCCTTGATATTTTGACCATCTCTGAACGTTGCCTCGGGATCAGGATCAGTAGAATTTGAGTTGCTGCCTGACTGGGCAAATGTTGGAGGAGTAATGATTGACCAGATCCCCATAGGCGACTGGACCAAGTCCGATTTCCGAACATGTAGTTCGTCAACCGCTGGTTCAAGCTCGTTAGAAGCAGGTACCGATTCGTTTTCAACACTGACTCGTCGCACAATGTTTCCAAAACTCTCGGTCACCACACGAGGATGTGTCAAGGGTACAAGAGGAGCCCAGATGCCGAGGTCATCAATTGAGGGGAGCTGCTTCTTGAGAGGAAGTGATATTTGCTGCCAATACTTTTCATTCTTCTCGACCAGTTTGGGCGAGCTCTGTGACAAGTCATAATGCCTGACAATGAGTGTTGAAGTCTTGTGATTTTGAAAGGTTGTGTTGGTGAGAGGAATGGTAATGTGAGGGTTACCAAGATCCATAGTTAAAGCTGCTACTTTGTCGGCGTCTTCTCTAGCCTTGGGGGGTTCAGGAGTCCATAATCCAGGAAGAATTGAATCAAGTTTTCCACGAAGGATAGATAACCCCTGAATGGGCTTGTTGCTCGGCACTGGAGGAGCAATATGATCGACAACAGCACCTAAGATGTGAAACTGATCTGCTTTCTCGGACCCTGAGAGTAGATCAATGAACTCTGCCATGAAACCGTCCTTCTCAAGCCATTGCGCATACTGTGGAGTTGCTAGAATGACTGCAGCATCATGACGACTAGGATTGGCGATTTTGACCTGAGATCTGACGGTTTGCAATAGTTCAGAGAGATCCTTTAAAATATTAATAATGTTTCAGAGCTCATGGTGGGAGACTGACCTTTGTTTTAGGATTTAGCTCGACAGTAAAATAATTTGATTCTTTACTTGTCGAGTACTTTCTCCGAGCTGCAGCAGAGAAGCTATTGAGTACACAGCTCTTAGGAGCTTTCAACGCCAGCCGAAACGACATTGAGAAGGTGGCTAGCAAGTTGACAGAATGATTAAAGCTACCAGGTATATGTAGTCCTAACCGAATTATTCCGTTTCAATGGTTGCAAAATGTGCCTTTTTTGGAAGCGACGCCGCTTGGAGAACGATTGTAAAGTCTGGAATGGATGTCATCACTATCCGTAAAGCTCGAAAACATCCAGCCCGGATGTGGCTGGTGCTGCCAGCTCCACAATCATTAAGGGTCTTGGAAACATGGCGGTCCGGTATCGTTCTCTCGTGGAAGAAATGCGTTAATATAATTAGAGTAATAAAACGACTGTTTCACCGCTTGAGTCACAGAATGTCAGCTGAGACTGGTTATTACTGATTTTTTACTTTCAATAGATGCTTAAGCTTTCCAATACTCAGGAAGGTTACATCTGCCTGCCTCATTGGATGTGGGACCTCCGAGGCCTTCGTTCCTTCCCACTGCGCCACGTTCTGCCCCTCCATCACTAAAAGTTATCCCCCGCCATAGGAAGGCGTGACTCAATCTCTACCTACCACTACTAATATAAATTCGACGTGCAGGTCATTGCTTGAAGCCCCCAACAAACGGGCTTCATTCAGTCATCTCAGGCACAACGTTTAGACTCGCGGTTCGAGCACTCCGGGTGCGATCTCTTTCCCCAGGACGACCCTTTACAACCACGCGAGCAATCATGGCGACCAACAGCGGCAGGGGAAACCCCAGTATGTACTCTTCGATCGCATGAACCATATCAAATTTCCTGTTCGAAACACTAACCATGACATCCCATAGTCGGCGCCAGCGAGGGCATCCAAGATGTCACCAGCACACCTCCGGCCGTTCCCGCTGAGGAGAAGAAGGAGATTGCTCAATCCGCTACTGACGCCCATGCTTCCGGCCAAGATGCTGGCGCAACTGCTGCCGCCGGTGGCCCCCCCAAAGTGAAGACTGAGAAGGAATGTATGTGCATCATCGCAAATTGATACCGACTCGACGTGTCTCTGACTTGATACCGCAGTGGAGAAGGAGCGAAAGAAGGCCGAGAAGCAGGCCAAGTTCGAGGCAAAGAAGCAAAAGACTGCCACCGCCGCCCCCAAGGCTCCTAAAGAGAAGAAGCCTAAGGAGAAGAAGGCTGAGGAGGAGCCCATTCCCGAGTACGTCGAGGACACCCCCAAGGGCGAGAAAAAGCGAATCCGATCGTTCGACGACCCCCATTTCAAGGCCTACAACCCTATTGCCGTCGAGTCCGCATGGTACGATTGGTGGGAGAAGGAGGGTTTCTTCAAGCCCGAATTCAAGCCTGACGGAAGTATCAAGGACGAAGGAAAGTTCGTCATTGTTCATCCTCCTCCCAACGTCACCGGTGCCCTTCACATGGGACACGCTCTTGGTGACTCTCTCCAGGATCTTATGATTCGATGGAGCCGAATGCAGGGCAAGACCACCCTGTGGCTTCCTGGCTGCGACCATGCAGGCATCAGTACCCAAAATGTTGTAGAAAATATGATCTTTCGTAAGCATGGCTTGACCCGACGCGATCTTGGCCGTGAGAAGTTTGTCGACACTGTTTGGCAATGGAAGGAAGACTACCACAAGAGTATCAACAACAGTCTGGCCAAAATGGGAGGATCTTTTGATTGGAGCCGAGAGGGTATACAAACAGCCATGAACTATGAGAGGAAAAGGCCACTAACTTTGACCAGCTTTCACAATGGACAAGAACCTGTCCGCTGCCGTCGTTGAGACTTGGGTCAGGCTCTACGAGGAGGGCACCATTTACCGAGCCAACCGACTTGTCAACTGGTGCACCAAGCTCAACACTACGCTTTCTAACCTTGAAGTCGTCAACAAGGAGCTGACCGGCCGCACCCTGCTCGATGTCCCTGGATACGACAAGAAGGTCGAGTTCGGTGTTATCGTCCACTTCAAGTACCCTGTCGAAGGATCCGATGAGCTTATTGAGGTTGCTACCACTCGTATTGAGACTATGCTGGGCGATACCGGTATCGCTGTTCACCCTGAGGACGACAGATACAAGCATCTCGTCGGTAAGACTGCCGTCCACCCCTTCATTGAGGGTCGCAAGCTTCCTATCGTCGCCGACGAGTACGTCGACAGGGAGTTCGGCACCGGTGCTGTCAAGCTCACTCCCGCCCACGACCCCAACGATTTCACTCTTGGCCAGAAGCATGGCCTTGAGTTTATTAACATCCTGACTGATGACGGCCTCATGAACGAGAACGCCGGTGCCTACAAGGGTCAGAAACGATTCGACGTTCGCTACACTATCCAGGACGACCTCAAGGCCAAGGGCCTCTACGTCGACAAGAAGGACAACGCCATGACTGTTCCTCTGTGCGATAAGTCAAAGGATATTATCGAGCCTATCATGAAGCCCCAGTGGTGGGTCCGCATGAAGGAGCTCGCCGAGCCTGCCATTGCTGCTGTCCGAGACGGTAGCATCAAGATCCGACCCGAGAATGCCGAGAAGAGCTATTACCGATGGCTTGAGGACATTAACGACTGGTGTATCAGCCGACAGCTCTGGTGGGGTCATCGATGCCCCGTCTACTTTGCTAACATTGAGGGTGGTGCTGGAGATATTCCTGAGGAGAAACTTTGGTTCGCCGGCCGAACTCGAGAGGAGGCTGAGGAGAAGGCCAAGGCCGCCCTACCTGGCAAGACTTACACTCTCGAGCAAGATGAGGACGTTCTAGACACATGGTTCTCTTCTGGCCTCTGGCCCTTCAGCACCCTGGGCTGGCCTAACCAGACACATGATCTTGAGAGTCTCTTCCCTACAGATGTCCTTGAGACAGGTTGGGATATTCTCTTCTTCTGGATTGCCAGAATGATCTTTTTCGGTATCAAGTTGACTGGCAAGGTCCCCTTCAAGGAGGTTTACTGCCACGTTCTTGTCCGTGACTCCGAGGGTCGCAAGATGAGCAAGAGTCTGGGTAACGTCATCGATCCCCTCGACGTTATCGCGGGTGTCAAGCTTCAGACACTCCACGACAAGCTCACTCAGGGTAACTTACATCCTAGCGAGGTCGCCAAGGCCACCAAATACCAGAAGACTGCCTTCCCTGACGGTATTCCTCAGTGTGGTGCAGATGCTGTGCGTTTCACCATGATCAACGCTACCACTGGTGGCACCGACATCAACCTGGATGTCAAGGTTATCCACGGATACCGCAAGTTCTGTAACAAGATCTTCCAGGCTACCAAGTACGTCTTGGGAAGTCTTCCCCAGGACTTCACTCCTTCCAAATCAGGTATTGCCCGTGGCGAGACACTTGCTGAGCGATGGATTCTTCACAAGATGAACAGCGCTGCCAAGGAGATCAACCGTGCTATTGAGGACCGTGAGTTCTCCAAGTCGTCTCAAATCATCTACCGATACTGGTACAACGAACTGTGTGATGTCTACATTGAGAACTCCAAGGCCATCATCCGTGACGGCACCAAGGAGGAGCGTGAGTCTGCTATGCAGACCCTCTACACTGCTCTCGATGCCGCCCTTACCATGATCCACCCCTTCATGCCCTTCATTACTGAGGAGATGTGGCAGCGTATGCCCCGACGACCTGAGGACCAGACCAAGTCAATCATGATCGCCAAGTACCCTACCTACCAAGAGAAGCTTGACGACCCCGAGTCTGAGCGTGCTTACGAGCTTGTTCTCGGCTGCTCTAAGGCTGCTCGATCATTGATGGCCGAGTATGCCCTCAAGGATGAGGCTGAAGGTAAGCACGACAACCCTTGATAGGTGTAATGCTAAGTACTAATATATTACAGTAATTATTCAGGCCAATAACGCCACGTCTTTGGCCACCGTCGAGGAGCAAGCATCTTCTATCAAGTCTTTGAGTGGTAAGGGTATCAAGGGCGTTCAGATCCTCGGCCCTGATGCTACTCGACCTGCTGGCTGTGTCGCCTACCCCGTCTCCACTGACGCTTCTGTCTTCCTTCATGTCAAGGGCCGCGTTGATCTCGACGCCGAGATTGCCAAGGCTCAGAAGAAACTCGACAAGGCTAAGGGCAACATCCAGAAGCAGGAGAAGATCCTCAAGGACCCCAATTACCTTGAGAAGGTTTCAGATGCTATCCGAGAGGCAGACGAGAAGAAGCTGGCCGATGCCAAACAGGAGATGAACAGTTTTGAGGAGACAATTAAGCAGTTCGAGCAGCTGAAGTTGGAGTAGAAGCTATTCAAGATAGAAGGCTTACTAGGAGATATGGGCTGAGTCATTGTACCACTTCTAGATGTAGAAAAGTAAGAGATGCGAAAATGACAATTCCATGATTAAGTTTACACTACAGTGTCCGATTTTAAGGGTGGTTTCGCTCATTCAGTCACGATTTGATGCAATATCATGAAACTCACTATTATAATTATCCTAAACTATGCTTTTGTCATAACATCGGACCAATAGGCATACGCCTTTTAATGCTGCCAATTTCCCTTTCCAGGCCCTTCATCCTTGTCTTTCTTTGCGCCACGAACCGGCTTCGATTGGGCGGCCTCGTGTCTTCTCAATTCCTCAGGAACCTTGGAGATGGAGCTCTTGCTCAGGATCTGTTTGAGATCGTACATGGTGTCAGTATCCTCTGGACCCAGGAACGTAATGGCCACACCACTCTTGCCAGCACGACCTGTACGACCGATACGATGGGTGTAGCTCTCGATGTTCGTAGCCATGTTAAAGTTGACTACGAGAGAAACGTCGGGTACATCGATACCACGACCTGCGAGATCTGTCGCCACAAGAACCTGTGTGTGGCCGTCGCGCACAGAGAGGAGGGCTGCCTCTCGCTGTTCTTGGGTCTTTGAACCGTGCAGTGTAACAGCAGACCAGCCCATTTGCTTGATGTCTCGAGCAACCGCGTCACAGTTTCGCTTGATGTTGACGAAGACAATAATAGGTGGTCCAAAGGCACCTGAGGCGAGAATCTCCTGGAGTCTCTTCTTGCGACGGTCTTCGCCGGAAACAAACTCGACACGTTGCTCAACTGTGTCAACGGCCTCGCCTGCGTTACCGATGGTGACAATGGCCGGGCGACGGAGATACTTCTTTGCAATTCTCTCCACAAGAGGCGGCATGGTGGCCGTGTACATCATAGTTTGTCTGTAACGATCCCTGCCACCTAAGTAACGCTGCATCATCTGTGCATCTTCTGCTTCCTCAGTATCTGGCTTCTCGTTTGTGACTGGTAGTGCGTCAAGAATCTTGTTGACCGATTCCTCGAAACCAAGATCAATCATACGATCGGCTTCATCCATGATAACGTAACAACATTGTGACAGGACAAGCAGTCGACGCTCAATACAATCTAGCAGACGACCAGGTGTGGCGACAACAATTTCGGCACCGTCACGCAGGTTGTATGCTTGCTCTTCAATTTGGTGACCACCAACAATACTCACAACACGGAAACCCAGAGGACCTGCGAATTTCCTGGCTTCGGTTTCAATTTGCTGAACCAGTTCTCGAGTAGGGGCCATAATAAGAGCATAGGGACCATCGTTCTTGTTGATTTCATCCAGGGGCGGTAGATCGGAGATGTAGACAAGTAGCGGTAAAAGGAACGCAGCGGTCTTTCCTGAACCGGTGACGGCGACACCGATAAGATCGCGAGCTTGCAGGGCAATAGGAATAGCGGCTCGTTGAATGGGTGATGGCTCCTTGTATCCGACATCTTCGATGATGTTGAGTAAGCGTTTCGGCAGACTCGACTCTTGCCAATTGCGCATGGGGTTGGGAATCATGCCGCCCTTGGTAGCGATACCAAAGTCCTCCTTGAAGATGCGCCAATCTCTTTCGCGCATATCATCCAGCGACTTGTCAGACCAGTGCTTACCCAATCCTCTACGATCAGCTCGCTGCCTTGCCTTGTCGCGAGCTCGGAAAAAGTCCTCCATGATACCCTCTGCTCTCTCTCTGCCATTTTCTGGGTCTCTTTCCTCGATCATTCGCGCTCGTTTGCGCGCTCGTTCTTCAGCGCCGTCATCGAACTCGCCGCCGATACCAGCAAATGATCCATTGTGGCTAAGAGCGGTCTTTCGGTCGTATAGGGGATCGTTGTCGCGAGATGTATCTTCATCTGCGTCCCATTCGAAATTGAACTTCTTCTCCGTCGTTCGCATTCGCTTCTTCTTTGCCGAAAAGTTGGATTGCTGATTCACTTGGGGGCCAAGGTATCGAGATCGTAGAAGGGTAGCTTCGATGTCCTCTGCAGATTGCTTATCAACAGGCACTCCCTGCTTGTCGCCTTTTCTATCCTTTCCTCGTCCTCTTCCACGGCCTTGGTCGCGATCACGATCTCTATCTCGATCTCGGTCGTCTCGCCCATCGTTCATAGATCTGGGACCAGTAGGTACGCGTGAAGATCCGTTTGCATCGTTAGGTCTTGATGAACCATTTGATCTCCATTTCTGTTCTTCATCTTTTCTTCTTTGCTCGTCTTCGGAAGCTTTGCGCTTCTTGTCGTCTTCTTCCTTCTTTGCTTTCTCAGCCGCTAGTCGCTCTCGTTCTGCCTTGGGAATAAATCGGGGTTTCGCGGCAGCGGCATCAGCTGCCTTCTTTTTGCGCAGTATCTCATCGAGATCGAGAGGCATTTTGGCGAAGTAGATCTAAAGGGAAAGACCTTCAATCTTTCTGAGAAAGGGGGTTTCACGTGTAAAAGAATAAAATCTTGGGCAACTACTCTATAAGTTTTGACGATGAGTGCCTGTTTGAGATGACTTGAACACTGTGAAACTAGAGAGGCTAGATGTTTGTGGCTAGTGTTGCTGCTGTGGCTGGAACGCGACCTTCTTCCGATTGGCCAATGCATCCAATATTCCGACGTCTTGCATTGCGGAACATTTGACCCCTACATTTGGAGTCGGCGAGAACAGTCAAGCATCTTCTATTTAGCAGTGTATAACTCGTTTCGATCGTTGTATTGTAGTTAGAGAAGTTGACAGGCAGAATATATCATGTAGATCGTATAAGTGCTGACAACAGTACACTTCCTATAGGCCAAGTCAGTGGCCTGTTTCCCTTCAGATATCCCATTTTTCAATAGGTCAGTAATCTACCATTACAAACTGTTAGCACCTTCGAAAGCATATAATAAGCTCGACGTAGATTAATAGAGTGGTGACTGGCTGTTAATGTTCTTTGACAAGGCTGAGATGTCACTGCCTTCGTATCCAATCAAGGCACACCGTTGCGTCGCGGAAGATCCACAGTAAAACTCAGGACCACCCGACACTAAACGATAGCCTTGGTGATTGAAGAGCTTCGAGTTCGTGATCATTCCTCCTCTTTCTGGGGCGCTCGAATTGACAGGCCTTCGCCACAGCAAAACATCATGGCCTCAACATCGCAATTCATCGGCCTCGCAAAGTCGCTGCCCGCTCCTCTGCAGCGCTTCTTTGCCCGATATCCCCCCGCCGCCATCCTTCCCGAAAACGCATCCCAGACTCGATACCAGGAGGCGAGACCGAACCCTTTCCGCTTCTACAAGCACCCCGTGACAGGTAAATGGCAGGATCCCGTATACTCCCAGCGCCGCCAGGCTGAGCTGGTCAAGATGGCTCGTGAGAACGGTGTTGAGGATTTGCTGCCCGATACACGAAAGGCTACCGAATACCAGCTGGCTCATCGGGTCGAGCACGGCTTGAGAGTCAAGGGTACTGGTGTGGGACAGAAGGTCAAGGGTCATATCCACGAACGACACATGATTGCAAAGTACGTCGGTTGTCTTGCTGTGGCATTGGCTACATACGGGCTATGCTCTACAATGGGAGATGGGATAGCAATGGCTAACGACACCACAGGATGGAAACAAGGAGAAAGGCTATGCTGGAGATGCCCAGTCTCATCAAGCGCTGGAAGAGGGTAAGCTTTTCCCAAGCTATATACTACTCATTTCGAGCCTACATTGCTAACATTACTTGATAGGTGGGCAAATACGGATGGACCAAGTTCCCCAAATAAACAAGAAGACGACAGATGGAATGACTACTTTCGCGCACCTGTACATTTACCCGTGTATTTTTACGTACAAGAATATCTACAATGGTCTTGTCAAAGACTTGCAACGGACCAGCCAAGACTCAACTTCCAACTGTGATATGCATAAGCACCTTCGTATCAAATAAGCAACCCTACCTTAAGAAGCATAGCACACCTAATTCCCAGCCAAGTTCAACCTCAACTTCTGCCACAATGGGCTTACCATACTTGTGATCCTCATACGAAGTTAGCATCTCAGAGGCCTGACCTTATCACGTGATGCACAAAGATGAAGCCTTCGACTTTTCAGATAACCAAGCTCTGATACTCCAAGCACCTTTTGTAAAGGACAGAGAAACGTCATGGCATCTTCTCAGTATGCGCCCATATCGGCAGACACAGCAACACATTATCAAGTACTCAATATCACGCCTGCTCTACTAGACACACAACATGACTCTGCACCTCTCATAAAGCGAGCCTATCACCGAGCTCTCCTCCGCAACCACCCAGATAAAGTCGCAAACGCAGATTCATCATCAGTCTTCTACACTGTTGACCAAATCACCACTGCACTCAACATCCTCTCCAGTCCTTCTTCCCGCTCGGCCTACGACGCTGCTCTACGAGTGTCTCGCCCGACTGCGGCTGCTGACCGGGATGGCTCTTTTCAAACCGGCGTCGAAAATGTCGATCTTGATGATCTAGCTTTTGATGAGGGTCAGGAGTGCTGGTATCGACCTTGTCGTTGTGGCAATGAGCACAGCTATGAATTTCGTGAGGCTGACTTGGAGGAAGTGAGCGATGAGGGTGAGCTCGTAGTTGGCTGCCTTGACTGTAGCTTATGGTTACGGGTTCATTTTGCTGTTATGGATGATGAAGACGAAGACGAAGACGATACAAAACCTTCAGATAATACCCACAAAAAGACAAGTTGACACAAGACTTTCCCAGCGATCATGAGTTTCGGGGGTTTGACCAGAATATCACAGTGTGCCAAGATTGGCACTTCGTCCGCACACGATAACGAAATCAAGTTTCAACCGGATTAGTGACTTCAATACCTCTCAGACCGAGCTGACCTTGACTGAGACCTGGGAATCTACACGGCATACACAAACCTTCAAGTCATCACTAATCATGTATCGTCGTGTATTGAAAGTAATTTTAGTATTTTTATTGTCCAGACGGCCAACGCATTAACAATCTGGAAGCGGAGCGTAAGTTTGCCCTTTTCCAGACTCTCCTTGCTAGCCCGTTGGTGTAAAAGTCAGCCCCTCCATGGCGCTTGTCTGTGTACCGAAACGATGCCGAAGCTCTTGATCAAAAACGAGGTCTTCCGTCCACTCCGTAGACACCAGTCCGCCCGACACCTGCATAGACAAAACATACTCGACGATTCCTTACTCGGCCTTGGGCTCCTCAGCCTGGGGAGCAGGCTCCTCGGTGGTGGCAGCCGCGGGGGCGTCCTCCTTGGGAGCCTCGCCCTGACCAGCAGCGGAGGTCTCGGCCTCGGAAGAGGTCCAGAGGGTCTGTTATCGTGTTAGCTACCGTCATACTCATTGCATCAATCTGGAAATCTTACAAGGTTGTCGCGAAGCAGTTGCATAATCAGCGTAGAGTCCTTGTAGCTCTCCTCGCTCAGAGTGTCAAGCTCTGTAGGTTCTGGGTTAGCAAGTTGCAAATCAACGGTGAATGTTCCGCGCGACGTACCGGCAATAGCATCATCGAAAGCCTGCTTGGCCAGGTGGCAAGCCTGGTCAGGAGCGTTAAGGATCTCGTAGTAGAAGACGGAGAAGTTAAGGGCGAGGCCAAGGCGGATGGGGTGGGTGGGAGGAAGCTCAGTCTGGGCAACCTCAGTAGCAGCCTTGTAGGCCTCGAGGGACTTGTCGGCAGAGTCCTTGCGGCGGTCGCCAATAGCGAACTCGGCGAGGTAACGGTGGTAGTCACCCTTCCTGTGTACCTGGTTAATACCAATTTTTGAAACGGATCCTGGTGAATTTGCGCCTACATCTTGTGGTAGAAAACCTTGGACTCGCCAGACTTGGCAGAAGGGATCAGGTGCTGGTCAAGGACCTCGAGGATATCCTCGCAGATCTTGGCAAGCTCCGCCTCGATCTTCTGTCGGTACTCCTTGATAAGGGTAACCTGAGAAGAGTTGCCCTTTGACTCCTCCTTCTGCTCGATGGAGGTGACTATGCGCCAGGAGGCACGGCGGGCGCCAATGACGTTCTTGTAGGCAACGGAGAGAAGGTTTCGCTCCTCGACGGTGAGATCTCGGTCCTCACCGGCGACAATCTTCATGTTCTCAACCATCTCTGCGATAGGCGCGCGCGCCCTTTGTTAGCGCGCAAGGAATACATGAGATTGAATGCAGGGACATACCCTCATATCGCTCGGCCTGCTCGGCGAGCTTGGCAAGGTAGACAGCATCTTCGTGGCCCATTTTGGCGGTATTTGGCGACTGTGGTAGGAGGTGAGTCAGTAAAGGGGGTGTTCAAGCTTGTCAGACGAGATAAAAGTTGGAGGCGGTATGTGCAGAGGTAGGCGCAAATGGACGTGTAAAAGAATCGAGGAATCGCAAATTCGAGTAGTTGTTGTTCAGGGACAATAGTGGAATGATGAGTGAAGCTGCGAAGTGGGCGAGGGGCGATAAGTCGATGGATCGTCTTAAGCGATAAACAGGGAGAGCAGTTGCGCGCCTAGTGCGTGGCTAGAGCGGGCGGCGACGATTCGGTGAGGCTCCCCGCTCTTGGGCTGTCAGTGGCGGAGGGGGTTTCTGAGACGACGGCCTCCTGAGAACAGACAACAGCAGCAGCGACGAGCAACGAGGCGGTGATGGGCGAGATATCCTTGTATTTCGTATATGATATCGTCGACAGTAGAGAGAATGCGGCTATCGCTTATTCGTGGTGGTGATGACGCCCAAAGAGGATCCAAGGGGGAATAACTGGTGCGTGTTCGTTTCGCTTTTGAGGGGGGGTAATGACGACAGAGGGGAAAGGACACAACAAAACGCAATCAAACAACAACAAAAAAGAGAGTATTGCCGTGATGAACAGGACTCTTTTAGAAGCAAAAGAATACCAGAAGGGTATATTGAAAGCAGAAAGGGTGAAGCGGTGTAAACTTACCTAAAGTCGTGGAAGTTGGTTTAGAAAGGTTGTTTAAAGGAAAGGGGAAGGAAGTAACGAAATTCAGCTGAGAAGAAGCTTTCAGATGAAGGAAAGATAGATGGTGATGGCGAACGGAATGAAAGGCCAAGAGTAGAGTAGTAGAGGGATGAAAAAAAGAAGTGGCTTTTGGTTTTGCGGGACGGAACCTGAGTGAACAGCGAGCTGGTAAGATTGACGGGAGGACGGGGGAGTGTTGTTGGGGATTGGACTGAACTGGACTGGACTGGGCTGGGCTGGGCTGGGCTGGGCAATGGGCAGCTTTTGGGTGACGAAAGCTCTCAGCGATATTAGATCGACCTTTGGAAGGGGCACCTCTGATGCTCACTGCCAATTGACAATCAGTGTCAATGCCTGTGAAGTGTCGGGTTGCCCCACTCTTAGATACCGTACTCCCCTGGCTTGCCTGGCATGGGCTGCTAGGCTGCCCAAGGTACTCCCCGCTCCACCCCACTGGGCTGTGAGCCAGCGGATGATGATGAGCTGTGCCCTGGAACTCCAGTGGATTGATTACTTCTAATTCATGCTTAACCACCAATCAACGCATCCTTTATCCATCACTCGTTCTAAGTTGCCAAATGGAATGAGTTTCTATTAAGGTCTCACGTGGATGAATCCATGGCAGATCTCCATGGTACCTTTCTTTATCGCTGCTCTCCAGTACAGTACCTGGCTTGCCTTGCCCAGCATCGTCATTGCTTCACGCCCTGATCGTATAGTCTGCAGAATCTCCATGTTCCGTGCCTTGACTGTGGTCCTATCCTAGTTGTCTCACTGTATAGGAACCAACTCAGATCTGATCGAGAACAAGACAAGACGCCGTTTAATTCACCAAAAGACAAGTCAACGGCCGAGCGACGGGCGGTTTTAGCATTAGATTAGGCTTCTTTCCTACCAACAAGAGAAAGAGGGGTCCAAGGTGTCAAATGTCATCATCGTCATCATGCGACCTCCTTTGTCCTGTCAGTTCCAGGCGGGCTGTTGGTGTGCTCGGAACAGCCACACAAGTGCCGACACGAAACTTCAATGTGCGACAGGAACCATCATTCACGGGTTCTACCGTTGGTTCCAGGAGAAGCCATTGCATGGAGTTGTCCCTGTGTTTGATCTGGCTTCTTTTTTAAATAACTATCATGCTTTACATTCTATAATAAGACTGCCATAAGCCTGCTAATGACCAGTGCCTCACGATGGTTTCAGGTTGTATAAAACTGGGTTTGGATATGGGGGTGAGGACTCAACTCTGTACTATCTGCTATGTACGCTTTAATCCTGCCTGCTTGGGTTGTTCTGTTTTGCGAGACATAAATGAAGTTACACAAGCTTCCGACTGACTGGAATGTACATACCAAGGCACAATCTACAACATGATTATTGCCAACCTACCCTTGCAACGCCAGTTTCTGCCACACTCGTGGCCAGGATGTACCACATGATCAATAGATATAAATCACAAGCTATTGTTCTGCTAGGTAGCCAATATCGTACCTTTGTTCGTATTAGGCTCGTAAACCATTGTCGTCGCCCTTTTAAGGAAGAGCTCAATCTAAGAGACGGGACTCTTGACCCACCAGGGATGCTATAAGCTTCAGTGCAAACCCAGTTGGATAACCTGATATGTAAGTCTGATACGATAAATACTGACTATAAATTGTGTGCCACATGATGCTTTGCGGTGATAGTAGCTGAGGATAATCTCAGCTCATCTTCACAAGGCGACCTTGTTTGTTGTTCCCAAAAAGCCATGTCTCCTCATAGCCAGGATTCAGTGCCTGGATGAACCCCACTTCGAAAAGAGCTCTGATGTCATGTACAGGCTGCTTGAACTCCAAGCTACCTCTAGGTCCCATCACATGTGACTTTGTTGTGTTCACAAAGGTCAAGAAATGAGACAACAGTGATATGGAATTTGAGTAAAACTGATAAAAGAAAGGGCATTAAAGCGAATACAGGGTAGATTGCCTCTGCCAGGCACCCTGGAACCAAGATCTCGACCCCAGCTACTGGATTCTAATGTCTTGAAAGGTTGGCTGACAATCAGTCAGATCCGAGCTTCCATACGGAACCGGCCGGGATTTACCGTCAGTGGTCCACCGTTGTTAGGGGAGTACCTACCAGTCACTAGAATCTAAGGTGGGCTCTAAGTACAGGCCTATTCCGGAGCTGAAGTACAACGCTTAGCCCGACCCAGAAGCTCACTGTCACTGTCGTCAGATCATCTCGGCTCTCCCACCAACACGGCAACGTCATCGGCTACAAAACAAACCACGATCCTCAAACCAATCCATCTTCTGTTCCTAGCAAGCAACAACGAGTAATTGGACACATATCGCAACAATGCTTCGCACATCTTTCCGCCAGACGGCCGCCTTCCGGCCCATTCGATGCTTCTCTACCACTCCTCGCGTCATGTCCGAGGGTGCTACTGGAGCTCCCCGCGCTTCCGGAGGCGGGTGAGTTTCAGAGCTGCGATTCCAATTGAGCCATTCTAACCATTGCGCTTCTAGTGATGCTTTCCAGCGACGTGAGAAGGCTAGCGAGGACTACGCTATCCGCCAGCGTGAGAAGGAGAAGCTCATTGAGCTCAAGAAGAAGCTCCAAGAGCAGCAGCAGCACCTTGACCGTCTCTCCAAGCACATGTATGTTCCTCGACCATCATCTCTGTGATGCTCTAGCATCCGATTCGAGCGAAACACTGACATCAATTCCTTACAGTGATGAGATCACCAAGGAGCAGGGCGGCGAGCAGCACTAAACAACTGCGACTACGGACCACCGAATAGGTCAGGTAAAGCGTGAGGGGGAGACCAGAATTCAGCGAGATCCAACGCGGCTCGCCAGGGTCACAGGGGGTGTTACAATTATCAATTGAGAGAACTCGGCATGAAATCGCAATTCATTCAGAGCTTGACTTTTCCATAGTCTAAACTAGTGTACAAGAACATTGGCACATTTGCACTTCCCAAGGTTCAAGTCCCAGGCCATTCCTGCAGACTGATTATCGACCGTATCCATGGCTACGCATGCTTTCTTTCGTATTTCATCTTTGATAGAGAATTACCTGGATCCCTTGCCTAAAACTCCAATCAATAATTACAACCATTCTCTTCATCGCCGTCCCATGTATGAGCGATAGAAGCTCTCCGCCGCATCATTATCCGAGCCAGCATAGTGGCTTCCCAGGTTGCTGCTTGATTTCTGAGCAGCTGCCACCTTGGCTTGTAGTGACGAGGCATTAGCATCAATCCACTGCAGCTGTGTCAGGTGGCCGTTAAGGACCCGGACGATTTGGCTTAGCTGTAATAAAGTGTTAGCAAAGTTTAGTCTTTGTTTTAGAGCCGGTATGCGACTTACAGGGTCCTCGGGTTTAGCGCCCTTGTTCAATGTACCAGAAATGTCGTTGATTTCCTTAACCATCTTGGACAAATCACGGGACTTCTCATCCAACTGTTGTGTGAGCTTCTCAGCCAGCTTGTAAGTACGCTCACGTTCCTGATCAGGTCCAGCCAACTGTTCGCCAGGGCCAAGCTGTTTAGCGAACATGTCTTGAACCTCGGACTCATAACGGTCCAACCATGCCTCAAGCTCATCTTGTTGACTCTCGACAGCAGCAAGTTGTCGCTCGATTTCGTGGCTCGCTCGCTCGGCTTCAAACGTATCGAGGTAGAGCTTCTGGATCTTCTCGCCATTCTCTACAAGGCTTCTATCCCAAGTAGACACGGTAGTAGCTTGCTCCTTAAATTCTTTCTGATACTTGGAAAGATCCGATGCCCATCTTGTCACAATGTCTTCCATGGTCTTGTTCTTGAGGCGGGCCATCTGGGATGTTGGGCCAGTTGTAGAGGCGCCCAGAGGACCGGGAGTGGTGCTGGTAGTCGCAGGCTTAACCGCGTCCTTGCTGGCATCTGTGGCTGGCTTCGCACCGAACAAACTGCTGGCTGGAGCAGGAGTAGAGCCCGTTGCTGGAGCAGACGTGGTCGTTGATGCGCCAGTGGTAGCAGTGGTAGCAGCTGTCGAGCCTGCTGCTTGACTGCTAGCAGGAGCGCCGAACAAGCCACCAGCTGGCTTTGTGGTAGGTGTTTCGGTAGAGGGCTTAGGAGCGCCGCCAAAAAGACCGCCAGCAGTTGAAGTCGCAGCAGGAGTTGCAGCAGAAGTCGTGGTGGTCGCAGGCTTGTTTCCGAACAGTCCTCCGGCTGTGGCGGTGGTGGAACTTCCAGATGCAGCGGAAGTTGTTGCGCCGCCACCAAAGAGGCCACCAGCTGGTGCTGAGCCTGCTGTCGAAGTCGCTGGGGCTGCAGGCTTAGCACCGAACAGAGATGTTGCAGTGGTAGAAGGGGCTGAGCCTCCTTGTGATGCGGCAGCAGGGGCAGCTCCTTCAGGCTTTGCGCCGAACAAGCCACCAGCAGCAGGAGCGGGAGAAGGGGCAGCTGCTGGCTTTGCTCCGAAAAGACCTCCGGCAGGAGTGCTGTTCCCAGACTGGCCTCCTCCACCGAAAAGACCACCAGGCGTTGCTGAAGCCGTCGTGCTAGGCTGAGCAGACGATGTGGTGGTAGTTGCTGGCTTTGCTGCGTTTCCAAATAGTCCAGAGGATCCGGTGGAGGCTTGTGCACCAGTGTTGCCAAACAATCCACCGGCAGGCTTCGCGGCATCGGTAGGCGGTGCTCCAGCTGGGGTCGTTGATGGTAAAGAAAAGGTAGGCTTAGCGGGAGTAGCAGCGCCAGCAGCAGCGTTACCGAACAAACCTGACGTTGAAGGGGCTGCGGTGGTGGCAGTTGAGGTCTGGTTGGCGTTGTTCTGGCCAAACAGACCACCAGTGCTACCAGCAGCGGCAGAGGAGCCACCACCTCCGAAGAGGTTGCTGGCAGGCTTGCTTGTGTTGTTTCCTGCGTTTCCAAACAGCCCTCCAGATGCAGGGGCCGTAGTAGTGCCGCCGCCGCCAAACATTCCACCGCTGGAAGGAGCTGTAGTTGCTGCAGGCGTGGTAGAGGCACCTCCTCCAAAAAGCCCGCCTGTCGCAGGAGTAGTAGAGCCTCCTCCGCCGAAGATACCGCTGGAGGAGGGTGTAGTAGAGGTGTTGTTCGCAGTCGCGCCGCCGCCAAACAGACCTCCAGCGGGCTTCTGAGCTGTTGCGCCGCTTTGTTGACCACCGAACAAGTTGCTTGTAGTGTTGGCGGTAGGTGTCGAGTTGTTACCGGCGGCGGAACCACCGATAGAGCCGAACGAGAAGCCGGGGCTCCCAGTAGCAGCTCCAAACAGGTTGCCAGAAGCTGGCGCAGTCGATGTCGTGTTGTTGTTCGATGCGCCCGAAGAGCTTGTGTTTCCGAAGCTGAACGACATGTTGGGGGTCAGGGTCGAGGATCAGCTGGCTCGAATCGGAAGAATTGTCGGGTGTGGTATTTCTGAGCCGACTTCAATGAGATTCAAGACGTCGGAGTTGATGTTTCCCGATGGCCAAAAGCAAGACCTGGGATGAGATGACTGCGATAGTCGGGATGTGAGAGTATGGTCGTTGATGGCAACGGATTTATTGAAGGCTGGTCCATAGCGCTTGGGAGCTTTTTTTGTGGAGACGCGTTTTGAGGTGAGCACACCGTCAATCTGAACCGTGCCTGAGCTAAGCTGCTTTTAGACACAATTTCAGGCTCCGTTTAAGACGGTGCTGCTTTGAGCTGAGTGTAGCGATCTCGATGAAGACGAATATCAAGTTCATCACGCGGTATTAATGACTAGACAAATGAAACTCACAAGACGTATTTCTGATCAGGGTAGCGGTAGATGTAAAGCGGTCAAGACAGCATCAATTCGAAGCATTGTCCTGAATATCAGCAATAGCTACATGTTTGTAAATACCAGGTACTAAAGTTCCATAGTAGTCATTATAAAGCAAAACTACCTACTAGCTAATACTTAGGTACCATAGGTCAACTCATTCAATTATCAAGATGGCATGAGACACCGACAACATAAAAGAATACACGTAGAATAGGAGGATGCTGGGGCACAATAGACCTTGAGATAGAGTCTCTCTAATTACCTGTAAGTTTTTACCCAGTCTAAGTGCCATTGACCTGGTAGTATTCAAGTGGAAGCGGCATATATATTCTAAGCTAAGAGATTCGGATCACACCTACTCATGTACAGTATCAAGAAAGAAAAGTCTGTAAGCATCGCCCTTTTACTATGCCATCGTCTCTTCCAGGTTTCATCTAGTCTCACGACAGCCTATACTAATGTAGTGTCCTGCCAAGTATTCTCGCACGAGTTGTACCATCCTACCCAAATTCGGCGTCCCTGTCGTGTTCTAGACTAAACTGATGCAGGGATAACTCAAAAATGCCAAGTGTGAATGGATGAGCCGCGCAAAGCCCCACGTGATGGTACTTGCCCACTAGGTAGACGGAGCTCCAGACCAGACCAACTTCAAGAGTCCAAACTGAACTCCTTTCATACGTACTGTACAATCATATTGACATAGACAACGTTATTAACTCTGCTGCGCTGATATTATCGGCATTCTTGCGCGCTCTTTACTTGATAGCCGCTCGTAACACACTTACCACCCCGAACAGGCTCCCACGATTCCCTCCTGCTCAGTTCCGATTATCAATACCGCATGCTGTAGAGCTCAAAGCACCAATTCTATCCGACTTTCGTCATCATGACAGACGCCGAGAAGCTTGAGCCTCCCAAGGGTGCTCCCGTCGAGGACCCCGGAGCCCGCGAACTTGGTATGAGGACTACCTGATACCCGTATCGCCCGTACACCTTTGCTGACACGACCTAGCTGAGGAGTCCGAGTCCGATGACCAGTTTACGGATGCTGCATCTGGTTCCGGAAGCCCCAAGATTAGTTCACCAATTCCCAAAACCCGGGTCGAGAAGGTCGACGACCAACCTTCGCACGGCGAGGTTCCCGGAACTCAAGCGTACGACTTGCGAGGACAAGATGCTCAGCCTGACGAGATCGCAATTGTACCTGAAACAGCCACATCCGATGATGCCGTCTCAACCCCCGAAGTTAACCCTCCCACAACCGTCGTAGAGGAGGCACCAGGGACCAGAAGCCGATCGTACTCTGTCCAGTACGAGGAGAAGCGCAAGGCGGATGCTTCCCCAGATATTCTCGTGGATTCTGATGGGCAGGTCAAGGAGATTCAGGGCGAGAGCACAAATGTGGAAAGCAATTCTGGTACGGGAGTAGCAAAGTCCTAAAAATCACAAGAATGTTCATTGACCGCTGAAACTTGCTCGCGTAGACAATTCAACACCCTCCCCCGATCCTACAAACACGAAGTTACAAGATGAACCTTCCGAAGAGCCTGGCGCTCTAGCTGCTCCCTTGCAAAATGGTGACAGTGACGGTGATATCGGAAATGACGACATGGAACAAGATGATGACGATAACGAAGCCAATGACGATGATGAGTTTGGTGACGACTTTGACGACTTTGAAGAGGGTAATGAGGATGACGATTTCGACGACTTTGAGGATGGATTCCAGGAAGCAGAAACTCCAGCGCCTGTTGCTGCTTCGCAACCCACGCCGCAATCTACATTGCCATTTGTAAGTTGTTCCCAGAGATGTGTGGGCGTTTAGCCATTGACTATTATCCAGCCCATACCCGACTTTGACGGCGTCGATGCAGAAGGGGTCATGAATGCATTGGAGCCCTTCCTCGCTACGCTATTCCCCCCGGAAGAGCTCGACCTCCCCCAATTCCCTCCTCTATCAAAAGACTCCGTGTTCTTTACGCCACGATCAGCATCTCTTTGGTCTCAACTCGTTGCGCCCCCGCCCCTAGCCCCTCCCGACTGGATCCGCTCTCGTACACGCCGCCTTTTCCTCGTCTCGTTGGGTGTCCCGGTTGATCTGGATGAGATTCTGCCCGCCTCCAAGCAAAAGAAGCTTGTTCTCCCCTCACTGAATGTTCCTGGACTCTCCCCTCGAAATTCTACAGATTCCAGATCTGTCTCACGGTTACGGCAGGGCGAGGGCAACAACTCATCTACGTCAGTTGATACCCAAGGAAAGCCTTCTGCATCGTCAAGGAAGCGTCGTGGGCCACCGCCGCAGCCAGAGCTGGATCTCGTGGCTGCTCGTTACCTTTGCCAAACTACGGACGAAGCTCTTGATGGTATGACAGATAACGAACTCAAAGCTCACATCGCCAAGCTGGAAGGCTTAGAGGAAGCGGCGAAAGAGGCGCTGGAGTATTGGAAAAAGAGGACAGACGAAAAGATTGGCGACAGGGAAGCGTTCGAAGGGGTTATAGAAAACTTGGTCAAGCACGCGCGCAAAGTTCGCAAATAGATATTGTAATATAATTCTTGGAGGTTTGGTCATGATAATCTCTTCATTTCCTGCTATGACCACTTGGCGAAAACTTTTGCTCTCTCCCCTGTGAGGTTGATGTGACCCCTTGATGCATTTACATCGCAACTACACAGCTTGTCCGCTAGTCGCAACCACAAAAGCTTGAGGCATGTTGACCAGGACATTTCTATAGCCCCCTTTTCCCTCGCCCCCATGCTCCCGTAAAAAGACCACTTTTAACACCATGCCTGGTCCAGCGCCAACCTTCTACTCAAATTGCCTTCGAGGACTCTGTTCTTCAAAACTTGGCGTTCTCGAACTCGGCATATCACGCAGCTGAAAAGTCCTGCGAAAAGGGTTTCAATTGTTTCGTTTCTACATGATCATTTAGGCAGTGCTAGGCTCGAGTGTCACACCACTGTTAGAAATAGTTAGCCGAGATGTTCTCTCAGGGGGGTTGGGAATATTTAAGGGAAAGTAACTTACGCAGCAATGGTAGCCCAACCAATAAGACGCCAATGCTTCTCGATACGTCGGCTCAGGGCAACCTTCTCGCCGATGTTGGTACAGGCAGGGCTGGTCAAGACAAGTTTAGCAGCATCGTTCTTGATAGCGGCAACCTTGGCACCGGTAGAGGTGGAACCAATGTTGACCATGATAACCTCGTTCTTGGCGAGCTTGGCAACCTTGGCTTGTTTTCCATCGGCAGTCCTGACACCGAGGAGACGACGGAGGAGGTAGAAGTTAACCTCGATCTCACTGTAGATCTCGGGCAGACGGCCCTTGAGACCCAGGACGAAACCAACAAGACGATCGGCTCGGCAAAGCGTAGGGTCGATTCGGGTACCGACACCAATGAGACCACCAGGAACAGCGTACTTGAGGTCATTGGCCTCAGAGTTGAGCGAAACGACTCGGCTGAAGATGGGAGTGCACTTGAGGGCACCGCTTTCGTCTCGGGCAACGATACCAGGTCGGATCTCAATCTCATCACCCAACTTGACGACACCATGGAGGATAGAACCACCAGCAACACCACCCTTGAGCTCATCGATCTCGGAACCGGGCTTGTTGACATCGAATGATCGAATGACAATCATGTGAGGGTCAATGCTGAAATCTCTAGGGGGGACGGGGATGGTGTTGACGATGGCCTCGTTGACGGCATCGATGTTGAACTTGAGCTGGGCAGAGATGGGAATAACTGGGGACTTGCCAGCAACGGTTCCTCGGATGAACTTGAGGATGGACTGGTAGTGCTGCTGAGCAGCCTCTTCCCGCATAAGATCGACCTTGTTTTGGAGAATGATGATCTTGTCGAGCTTCATGATCTCAATGGCAGCCAAATGCTCGGAGGTCTGAGGCTGGGGGCAAGATTCGTTACCGGCGATAAGGAGAAGAGCAGCGTCCATGACAGCAGCTCCTGACAACATAGTGCTCATGAGAATATCGTGACCAGGGCAATCGACAAATCTGATAGTGTCAGCAATCACCTCCTACGGGAGGTTTCGGTTTCCAACTTACGAGACGTGTCTCAATAGTCTGTAAGTACCGCCACATCCATCTCGTTCACAGGGAGGGTCGACCTCCTTCTCACTCTTGTAACTTCGGTAGCAGCCAGGTCGAGGGCATGCCTGGTTATCACACTTGTAGATCTTGGCGTTGGCGTAACCCAACTTAATGGTAATGTTTCGAATCAGCTCGTTCTTGAATCGAACGGTCTGAACACCAGAGATGGCCTTGACAACAGTAGACTTTCCGTGAGCGACGTGACCGATGGTACCAATGTTGATAGTCGCTTGTCGAGCGATAATCTCGGGTGTCAAAGGAGTCAAGCTGGCGACATCGAGGTCTTTAGGGTCGGTTTGGGGGGGCAGCGGAGGTCTTTGAGCGGCGGGCTCGGCGATAGCTGGGTTGGAATTCTTGAGGGCCGACTTGAGAGGGACATCGTCAGCAGCCTCGTTGTGGCCGACAGACTCTCCGTCAGACTCGGACTCGATGTCGTCGATTTTGGGGTCGCCGTTGGCAGACATGATGAAGGCGGGGCAATTAAGGCGGCGGTATTTCAGATGTGGTTTTTCGGTCGTGAAGCAACGGAAGGGCGGATTCGAGTCGAAAAATCGGTCGTCTGGATCGGGGGAAAATTACAATCCAGAAATCAAGGATTTAGCGAGTGGTTCTCGAAGTTGAGGTCGTCAAGGGCCAAGATTTTACGTATTTCGCCTTGATGATGGCAAAAATTCCTCGTGTGCAGTCTGTCGAAATGGGCTATGACTCTTACGCTAATCCTATTACGGACCGATAAACTGATAAGCATCGAATGCCCCTCCTTCGGAAGAGCTTCGGCTTTTATTTGAGACTCTGTACCCTCTGATCAAATGTGAGCTCCGTGATGTTGAAAGTCGAGTGCTGACTCGATGGTAACTTGGATAGGTATGAGATAAGCAAGCCTATGCATTGCAACGGGCTCGATGGAAGAGAATAAATCCGTCATTATCCCATTTCATCTTCAAGTGCAGGAAGTCTGACCTTGTACGGGGTAAGGCCAGATTATTTCCATATGGGATGTGTTGTTTTCAAAAAGAAAGAGCTACTCTAGGCTTGAGAAATCAGGATGCCTGCCTCTGTATGTAGCTTATGGAATGTGCATTTTGATGAGGCACTGTGGAAGAACCATGCTGGTGTCGTTCACAATTGTCATTCTCTAATTTAGTACTGGGGGTTCAACTTCGGTTCTGAAGCGTTCATGTGCGAATGGCCCAGCCACATCTGATGAAATCAAAGGTGTTTGCAATTAATGGTTCGATATTTGTTCTAGTCAAAATTGACCAGCTTTCGTTCTTGACTGTGCATCATCCACGTGCTGGAGAAATAAGGCACAGAGCTTTTGCGTTGGTGATAAGCCTCGCCGCTTGCTGACAGAACGCCAAGAAGAGGGGATAATATCCAGTATACCAACCTTTAAGTAAGTTACCAACCCAACCTGGAAATCAACCAATTTTTCCGAAAATAAGAATCACCAACTATATCGAAACGGTACCAGAGTTGGGACCAAGACGTTGATCAACCTTGCATTTGATACTATCTTTATCAATTTTTGTATTCCAGAAACCACACTATGGATACTTCGGAATCCGCGTCATGTACGATTCTTACCATGCTGCGTTAATGGTGTCTCACTGTTACAGTGCAGTACATGAGTAACCATGACTGCATCTTGGAGAATATCCCGCTCACCTCGTGTGCAACCAGCAGCCTGGCTACCTGGTAGCCTGCTTGACCAATGCGTTAGACTTGAAAAGTCACTCACTCATTCTTCTGCTTCTGCCAAGACTACCGGGACCCTTGTATACTGGCGCGTCTTCTGTGAAGCTCCGAGTCGATGGCAAATCTTAATTCAACATTCTTGGTGGGCCGAGCCGTAGGTTGATCTCTTCACGTCGAAACAAAAGTCGTTTGTTGCCGCCGAAGCCTGCATGTGGCTGGGAATACACCCCAGCTCATCACAGCTTATGACAAGCTGATTGGACACATCCGAGTGAAGACCAGAAGCGCTTGCAGAAACATAGCCTATCAAAGCGGCAGATCAACGGCCAGGGTCCAAAGAGCGGCTGTACAATCCAGCCAATGGGATAACAAGGACGCCCTCTCTCCACGATCCACGCTTCAACTCCCAGCAGTCTTAACCGCCGGGCGACTTTTACTACCCAGTGATATCGCTCAACACGGGAAGCGGACAGGATGGATCTGTCAGGGTAACATGCAGAAATTGTCCCGGATGATTCCAGCCGGACATGGTCTCTTTTTGGCTCACGAGTGCCACGAGAGCACACAATACCACTGTACCCTGTCCGCAGCATACTCTCTCTACCTCCACTCTACAGTAACACTTCACATAACACCGCAGCCCTCCCAAATTCCTCGGTGAACCCCTCCCTTTTGCAACTCAACTTGTCTATTCGTGGCCATCTCTCTGAGTTCCAAAGATCTTCTAGCTACCTTTCTCTGGTATCACAGTTCTTCAACACGGCGACACAAGGTTATCTGTTCATCCGCCTAGGTTGTGATCAAACCAAACCAGGCCAGCGGAGCTTGACCTACCATCCCATCAACCACTTGGGCGTCTAATTCCAAGGCGAGTCACTCAACGGGCGGTTGGCATCTGCCTATCACAGGTGTTTCTGCATATCCGCCCATCTTTTTGGTAAGGCCATCTTGTGTTTCTATTTGCGGCACGCCCCTCACTCCAATGTCTTATCCTGTCCTTGGTGTCTTTTGATCTTGTCGAATGAGAGTTCTTGTTCCTTCTGTTGCCGCCATCCTCAAAACTCGTTGCTTCCCACTCGAGTCCGTCTGGCCGGACCTCTCTCCCAATCTCTCGATAGCTGGTCTCTCTGTTATTCTGCAATTTCTCTTATTCTATTACGGGGTGCGAGCTTGGACTGCGTCGAAGCTCTTATACCTGCTTCATCAACATCTTCGACTCCTACTTCCCATTTAGCTGTTGATATTTTTGTTCACTTCCACATTTACTCGTTCTAAGAATGGCTGGTCCAGGTCCGTCTCCAAGGGAGCAAGCTTGTCATATTAAAAAGGACTGCTTACTGACTGACTGTCTTATAGAAGATAAGAGAAGGCCTGCCGCGCTCAACCTCGCTGCAGCTCGACCTGGAACATCCGAATCATCATCCTCAGACGGCTCATTGAAGCCTCGAACTCCTCGATTCGCCGAAGCAACTTCAGTTCACTCACCCGTTGACGCTCGATCACCATTTGCCGACCCCGACAAGTCTCACGTCGCTCAACCTCAGCCTGCTGACGTTGGTTTTGGCTACATCGCCCAACGAGAATCAATTCCCGTCCCAATGACTCCCAAAACACCACTGAAGAGCGCCATGAAGGTGCCGGGAACACCTGCTCATCTCAAAAATCCTCTGAGCCCAACCTTTCGAGAAGAGGATATCCTTGAGAAGCAGGAACGGTCTACCGAAAAGGAGCAGGCTCGCGATGTGGTATGTATACCCAGTTCATGAGCCCTATTATGTGATCATCTCAACTTACACATCGCCAGAAAATCAAAGCCCGCGTTCGCCTGGCCAAATTCGCTCTCAGAGGTGTCAGCTTCAGTTGCTCTCTTATCATTCTTGCAATGCTTTCAGCCTCTTTCTCTATCTTCAACGCTACTCGAGCCCTCCCAAGTCAGAGCAAGATGCCCCCGTGGGCCAAGAACACTAACCCATGGCAACAGAAGCTTGTCCTTGCCATGGCTTGCGTTTCTCTTATTGCTAGTGTTTTTGTCTTCATTGCCTACTGCCGAGGTGGCCACCGACGTGCCGAGAAAGTTGGAGCCTACTACACCATATTCGCCATCAGTTGGGTAAGTCGAACATCTGAACACCTGATTCATGAACGGCACTGACTTGCTATAGTTCATTTTCGCTCTCATCCTCTGGGTCATCACTGCTGCTCTCTTCCAGAGCTCAAGGAACAACGGCGACAACAAGGACATGTGGGGTTGGTCTTGTGTGAACAACCATCGAGCCGACCTCTTCAGCGACAAAGTTTCGTATTCACTCGTTTGCCGTCTGCAAAACTGGGCCATGATTTGCATGATCATCGAAATCGTTGTTGGGCTCCTCGCCATTCTCCTTTACAGCGTCGTCTTCTACCGCTACTACACCAAGCAACGCCTTTTCAAGTCTATGGACATGCGAGACCGCGCCCGCTCTGATCTTTACCTTGCTCAACTTCGCAGCCAGTCTGCTCCCAACACTCCTGGCTTCGGACCCAAGTCTCCCGCTCTCAGCGCTTACGCCATGTCACCCCGTCACCCTCCCGCCGCCTACCGAAACTTGTCCGACATCAGCGAGAACCCTAACCCTTTCACGCCTGGTACACAGTTCGCCGAGCCCAAGTCCCAGTTCGTTCCTCAGGACACCGGCTTCAAACTTCAGGCTCCCCCTACCAAGGCACCTTCTGCTACCCCGAAGCTGAACCAGTCAGCTTTCACGCCTACTGAGACTTCAGCCCCGTCGCTTCCCGCTGTTCCTACCGTTCAAGTTTCCGAGCACGGTGCTATGGACTCTCAAGAGCCAACGTATGAGGCTGTTCCCATTCCCGGTGCTTATACTGGACAGTTCATCAGGAGCCCGCCACCCGCGCAGACATCTTTTGGCCAAAGCCACTACTAGAAGATGTTAATATAAAAAAAAGGGCGCAGCTTGTGTTTGAATTGGTTCTGCGGGTCTGTCTTCTTGGTGGCTACTTAAGTCATATTTATCACGGGGCGGCGATACCACACATGGCGTTATAAGGACGGGTCCAAGACTTGACCCGACTGCATTTTTATCTTTGATTTCATTTGTTCTCAATCTCCTCACAGATATCAGGAGTAGTATATAGTGTAGCGTAATTTGGAAATGATTGTACAGTTAGCAATGTGCAGAGGATGATGAAGAGATGGATCAACGAGCTATATACAGCACTTTCATTTATACGAGAGCCTTGATGGACTATCTCTATATGACTTCCCATTCAATTATAACATTGGTGTTTTTGTCTCTTTCTCTTTAACTGCAAACCTGATTCAGATCTTCTTTGATTTTATAAACAATTATAGCCGCTTTCAGTGAAGTCAAATCTGAATAAGTGAGGTGTCAAGTTGTATTAGCTACTGATTCTAATGAAAATGGACATGTATTAGCAGCTGATAAGCTGTACGCAAGGTGAACGTTTCCTTCTTCAACCTTCAGCCAGCCCGGCAGACATTGATTCCTATCGTTCTACTTTGCCGTGGGATGAGAAGAACCCTGACTTTCACTCTACTACATACCTAGTAAGAATAGACATATTGTAAGTACATGCAGCTACATCAGTTTGATACTAGGGATGAGATTTTACAAAAATAGTGGTAGGATGAATGATAACAGGATACCCCCACCCCAGGTGGGTGGAAGAAAAAGCGAGACTTGTTTAAGGATGTCATAAAGATTAAAATGGCCTAATCTGAGCTTTAGTGTTTGAGTATATCTAAGTCGTTTTGTCAATAGGCTTCTGTGTTCTGGTTATTCTTTGAACCACCGAACCCCTTCCCTATCTATGGTGTATACTGGTGTATAGCCCATTGAGACGGCATAACAAGATCATTTCTTTACAAAGTGAGAGTTTCGAATCATCACGTTCACGTAATTGCGAAGAGAGAAAAGGTTTTGAAAGATAAAAAAGAAAAGCATTCATCATGATAACGACACCCTAAATAACAGAGACAAAAAGCAGGTCGAAAGAACCATTGCATTACTTTTTGGTAGCCCCCTATGCACCTCCCAAAGGTATTAAGGCGCAGAGGAATACCCCGAAGCCTTTTCTCATGTGGCCAAGTCAAATTGGGACCTCTTCTCCACATGTCGCCTTCCGGACTGGCGGCAGCGCAGCATGGTATGAAAGGCGTGCCGCCCTTCCAGGCGATACTCTAGAAACGAGATCTATCAACAACTGCCGCAAGAAATTTCTCCGTATGACCCTCCCAAAGATGCCAGGCTGCCCTGTGTCGTCTGGTCGTAAAAGCTGGCGATGCAGCCAAAGAAACGGATTTTGGAGGATCCGTGTTGCTTTTTTCACTATTTTTTTTCTGGTTTGAGCTTAGATGAGGTCGGCAACGTTCATAGGCATCTCCTCGATCTGTGTAGAGTAGAACTGTTCTATCTCCCTCATCATGCGCACACTGTAACGTAGTTAGCATAGTTGTCTGACTTAGATAGGATTGTAACTTACTCATCAGCGGTAACGAAGTTGATGGCGACACCCTTTCGGCCGAAACGACCACCACGACCAATTCGGTGGATGTAGTTCTCACGGTTGGCGGGGAGATCGTAGTTGATGACCAGGGAAACCTGCTGGACATCGATACCACGGGCCAGAAGGTCAGTGGCGATCAGGACACGAGAAGAGCCGGATCGGAACTCCTTCATGATCAGGTCACGCTGAGCCTGGTCCATGTCACCGTGCATGGCGGAGACGGTGAAGTCACGGGCAGTGAGCTTGTCGGTGAGCCAGTCAACCTTTCTGCGGGTGTTGCAGAAGATGACGGCCTGGGTGATGGTGACGGTCTCGTACAAGTCGGAAAGAGTGTCGAGCTTCCACTCCTCCTTCTCAACAGCAATGTAGAACTGCTTAATACCCTCAAGGGTAAGCTCGTCCTTCTTGACCAGAATGCGGACGGGGTCACGCATGAACTTGGTGGTGACCTCAAGAACGTCCTGGGGCATGGTGGCGGAGAGGAGGACGACCTGGGTGGACTGAGGAAGGAGCTGGAAGATGTCGTAGATCTGCTCGGTGAAACCGCGCTGAAAGGAAAGTTAGCGCCATGAATAGAAAAATCGAAAACAAGGTCTTCTTACAGAAAGCATCTCATCGGCCTCGTCGAGGACGAACATCTTCATGCTGTCGGTCTTGAGGAAACGGCGCTGCATCATGTCGTGGACACGGCCGGGAGTACCGACGACGACGTGAGGACCGTCCTGGAGGGCCTTCATGTCCTCACGGACGCTGGTACCACCAATGCAGGCGTGGCACTCAATGTTCATGAAGTCGCCAATAGCGACGACAACCTTCTGAATCTGCTGAGCAAGCTCACGGGTGGGGGCGAGGATGAGAGCCTGGCACTGCTTGACGCTGGTGTCGATCTTCTGGAGGACAGAGATGGAGAAGGTAGCGGTCTTTCCAGTACCGGACTGGGCCTGAGCAATGACATCGTGGCCCTTGATGACGGGCATGATAGCACGCTGCTGGATAGCAGAGGGGCGCTCGAAACCGTAGGCGTAAACTGAGCGATATTGTGAGCGACTTGTGGGATATATAGGGTACGGTGCGCAAGACACTTACCACCTCGGAGGAGCTCAGACTTGAGGCTCATGTCATCGAAAGAGTCGATCGTCTCATCGTAGTTAGACTCGATTTGTGCTGGTTATGATTAGCATGAGTGTTGATAGCTTGTAGTGCAGCTGGTTTGTGATGCTTGTTCATATCTTTCACCAAACCCACGACACACTCATTCTTATATTGAGTTGTGCGGGCAGAAAGATAAAATAGATCAAGGCGTCGCAAAGCAGATGCAGAGTAGGAATGCGAGACTCACTCTCAGGGACATCCTCAAGACCCTTGTCAGCCATGATTGCGGTTGAGGCTTTGGAAAGTCTAGATCAAGCACAGCTCGACCTAGAAATGATAAATCGCGGGGTGACGGAAGCGAAGAAAATGGGCAGAACTTCTACTGGAGAAGACTGCGCCTGGTGATCGTTTGTTTGAAAAGAAAGCTGGTATCAACTAGACTCGAGATTCTCAAATAAAGAGAATCAACAAAAATCTAGGATGGAGTTTGCTATTTGTGTTGTTCCTGCTGGATGGAGTATGAAGGAGAAGAGGAAAAAAAGTCGAGTGAGGGGCGGTCGTGGAGGCAGTATTTTTTTTCATCGCTGCCCACCCGCTTACCTCAAGTCGGGCACTGACCAATGAGACAAGGTTTTAGCGGGGCATCAATCGGATTAGGGTACATTTGGCCGACCTGTGGTGCTTCTTGATTTGCCTTTTGGCTCCAACTTTTTTTTTTACCTTGGCTTCCTCTGAAGTCACAGGGCATCTACTCGCTCACAGAGTTTGAACGCAGCTTTTTTTTTTCTCTGCCGCTATGAGAAAGTTTTTTTCTCCTTCCTACGTTTCCCTCCACAGGCAACCATCCCACTTTGCCCCGCCATGAAGAAAAAAATGTGCCCCTCCATCCACTCACGGATCACTACCCGCCACCCACGACACAGGATTGTTTGGTGTTTTAGTGACTGACTCTGATTATGACTCTTGTTGTCGACATGATGTTACTCTCTATGAGAACCTATTGTTCTCTAACCTTGTCAATTCTATAGTCATACCAATGTTATGAGACATGTGGCAGACTCAGTACTGATCTAGTATAAGTCAGTCAGAGATAAAGACAAACAGTACCTAAGAGAAACTATATACAATGGTACATGTTTGAAACTCTGAGCACTCATACAAGCACCGTTCTATGCAACCTGGCAACATAGAGGTTGAATATCAATTCCAGAAAGTAGGTAGATAGCCATGGGACATGTCTACGTAGTCTCCCACTCAAGAAAAGGATTTTCCTGCAGTGCAACTCTAGTCTCATCTTTGTCCTGTTACCGAACCCATTCCTCAGCCGATTTTTCTTCCGCCCTACGCACTAAAAACTTGACTTGCAACACTTGAAAGTACATGTCCATCTGACTGACCCATCTCAATATCTACTGTGAAGCTGTACTCAGCTTGTATCGTACCATTTCTACGATACAATACAGCTCATTTCTCCACAGCCAGCCCTGTTTTTGCCTATTCTGTCCTCCTGTTCTTTTTTGAATCTTATCTTTCTCACCTCATATACAGTGACCCTAGCTTCAACCACCAAAAATGCCCTCGGCCGTTGCTGATAATAGCACTCGCCAACACAGTTCGCTGTGTGATAGGACGAATGACATGTCTGAGCCAACACTTCACAGTGACTCAATCCCTTCGCATCCTCTGGGACTCAAGCCTCTAGGCAACCAGTACCTCTTTACAGGCCGTAATGCCAGGCGGTCGATCGGAGCATGGAGACTTCTTCCAGACGAAGTTGTCTCCCTTGTGCTTGAGCAGTTTGACGCTGAAGCTCTGTTGAAGCTCAGTCATACTTGCAAGTTTTTCTATGCTTTTTGCCACTCAGATGAATTTTGGAAGCCAATATTCTTGCAGTAAGTTCACTTGACTCATGAAGTCAGATATGTATATCCTGAGGTGTCAATGAAACGGTAGCTAAACTCAATCAAGGTCACCACCAAAAGACAGCAAAGATATTCGATGGCGAGGTTCATGGAGGTCGACCGTCCTAGGTTTCCCAGATGACTATCAAGCCAAGATTGACTGCAGCAACGTCTTCTCAGATGTCCTCCATCGGCCATTCGCCTGCAGTCATGTCTTGCTTTCTCAGTTCACCTCAAAGATTCCCAAGGCAAACCAAATCCGCCGCCTTGAGAATATGACCTACGATCAATATGCCGAAAAGTGGACTGAGCAGCCATTCATTCTCACCAAATGCATCCAGGAATGGCCAGTCTTTAGCGAATGGACCATTGACACCTTACTGGAGAAGTATGCCCACGTCGACTTTCGTGCCGAAGCTGTGGACTGGCCATACGCAACTTACTATAACTACATGAAGAACAACAAGGACGAAAGCCCTCTGTATCTGTTCGATCGTAAATTTGCGGAGAAGATGGGCATCACACTGGCCGAGAAGGGAAATTCGGCATACTGTAAGCCTGAGTGCTTTGGGCCTGACCTGTTCGAGGTGCTTGGAGATGAACGACCTGCCCATCGTTGGCTAATTGTTGGTCCCGAGCGAAGTGGTTCAACCTTCCATAAAGACCCCAATGCAACAAGTGCATGGAATGCTGTTATTCAAGGAAGCAAGTATTGGATCATGTTCCCTCCTGCGACACAAGTGCCCGGAGTCTACGTTTCCGACGACAGCAGCGAGGTGACCAGTCCCCTCAGTATTGCTGAATGGCTCCTCACTTTCCATGAAGAGGCACGACAACTTCCCGACTGCATTGAAGGCATATGCGAGGCGGGTGAGATTTTGCACGTTCCAAGCGGATGGTGGCATCTGGTGGTCAACCTCGAGAGCGGCATCGCTCTCACGCAAAACTTCGTGCCACAAAGCTTGAACCTGCTGTCAGAGGTCGTCTCCTTCCTACGGGATAAGGCTGATCAAGTCAGTGGTTTCGATGACAAGGTCAAGGACCCATATGGACTCTTTATGGAGAGGATGCAAAGTAGCTATCCGGAGGTCTTCGAGAAGGCGGTAGCTCTTGCGGATAAGAAGAGCGGAAAGAAGCGCAAATGGGATGCTGCTGTTGGCGCTGCAGACGATGAGCAGCAGGGCGGAGGCGGTTTCAGCTTCGGTTTTGGAGGTGACGACCTCGATGAGATACCCTAGACAAGAGATGCCCCTTTTCCGGCTTCATTGCTTGGGTTGCGGGTTACCAGCCAGTAGATAATTTGTGCTTTTAGCGATATATGAATGAAGAGGCGAAATTGAAGATAACATGCATTGGGATAGTCGGGTGCGACCACGGTGATCTAACTACCAGTACTCCATACTTATTCCCATTAACTTGCCAAGACTAACAGACATGGAGGTTGATTTGAGACGTGTCAATCAGTCGAGTTTTAACAGACCATTCTTGATCAACACTGAACAATCGGACGAAGAAGCACCGAGTGCCATCTGGTAGCTGTCACGGGTTCCCACTCTTCAGATAGCATACGCCGTAGAGCACCCAGTCGGCAGATATCGTTGCTCGCTAAGAGAAGTGAAGCTGAAGTATGAAAAGTTCTCGGCAAACCATCAGCACCAGAAACGATGGTGTTGAGCGTGCTGATTGCATTCGACATGGGGGTACATCCAATCAAAGCTTACTGAAGGAGGCAAGCTACCTGGATTGGACTGATGATTGCTTCGAAAGCTGGCGACTAAATTTAGGTTTCTCTGCATAAACAAGGCATTGGGTCATAGGTGATTAGATTCATCCATGGATACGATACATAAAAAATGTGTCACCTATTCGATGACGCTACTACATACGCCCAACAGCTGAACCTCTCTTGACTTTGTTGATGCGATTGGGCTATAATTTAGCCAAGTCATTCGACCAGGGTTGTTGTGATACTCTTTGCTTTTCATCCCAAAGACCCTCATCCACCCCTAACAATGGGTGTGAGTTTGTGGATATTCACTCAAAGTGCTTTGATTGTAATAAAAAAGTCTTACGTAGGCCAGTTGAGGATTCATTCTGCTTGTCGGTGAATCACATGTCACCTCGTTGTCAAATACTCATATAAGGCTAAGGCTGGGTGGGCTTACTTGGCTGAACTACAGTAGTTCCCAGCGCCACCGTGATGAATGGAAACATCCATTGCTAGACGGGAAGCTGGGTATGTTGAAGTCGACACCCACATTTGAACGAATGCTAGCATCCATACAGAGTACACAATCCCTAAGAGGCGGACAGGGAGACGTTTGTTGCGTACAAAGTCAATGTTAGAATGTCACCGGGCCTTACTTTCAACCCGCTTTCAACCCATGAACACTGATACAAAGTAAGTAGATTATGCACGAAAGACCTGAAAATTACTATGTGTATACCGGCAAAGCTATCCGCTCTGAAGGGACCTGTCTCTGAATTTATGTAATTATGTATCTAAAAACAAAAACCAGACCATCTCTTGTTGTAACTCCGAAACACGTTTTGATTCAGTCCGCCCCTAATTAACGGATCAAGCTCAGCTAAGTTACCTGTCATCAAGAAGCCTACGCCCCTAGACCTCCCCTGAACCAACCACTGCAGCCGATTCACAACCTTCTAGAGCTTAGCACGTCCTCTCCCTGAACGAGCTGGAAGTCTCCCCGGGGCCCGTGTTGGTTGATCCCCACTCCGCTTCCCGTCCGGGCCCTCCACCTTTCCATTAATGGACCTGGGACTGCATCATCTCCCATCCACCTCCTCCTCCTTTTCACCGTCCGTTGTACTGTAATCTTTTTGCTTGAATGCGCTTGCGCTTCACTTCTCTTTGCTTTCACTTTTGTTACCTCGCCTCTGTCGTTCTTGTTTTCCCATTCTTCTTCTCCTTGGTTTCGCTTCTGTTGTCATATCTTTTAATCTGTAAGTACAGCACAAAGACTCCTTTGTCCGGGCTCTTTGTCCCATCCCCGTCTCTTCCTCCACTTTACCTATTACTACACCTACCTATCTGTCCCTTCTCCAGCTCCTCCACCTTACTTGCTATCACGTACCCGGTTTAGGCTAACAGAAGACGATACAGCCTCTCGCCTTCTTGTTCTTCTTTTGCCAACATCCAACTATACTCTCTCGAACCCCCCAACGAACAACGTTGCTCCTCGCATCAGATCCACACGAGCTTAGACCCCTGTTGCGCTATTGCGAGCCTCGTCTTCCCTCCGACTTAAGCTATCCCTAGCTTCACCTTCTCCGGCTCGAAACCTATTACGATAACTCTGTAATCATGGTTTCCGACGAGCACTTCGAGATGTGCTTGCCTGTTTTGCAGGATACCACATTAGAAGACGAGGATAAAACGGACAGGCTTGAGGAGCTCTTCCGCAAGGAGACGAATCTCACCGGCACTTCCCTCGACAATGCAATATTGGATGCCCTCTGGCGCTATCGTGACGGCGGAGGCTCATCAGCCTCGCCGCCTCCAATAAGACCGGCAATTCTACGACGTCCCTCTCCAGCCTCCTGGCGCGGTTCGCCAACGCCTATGTCGGGTTCCCCGAGGCTCGCCGTGAGCCCCCTTGCTCCACCAGGCTTTGTTCCATCGACCTTTGGCAGAACCATATCCTCGACAGTATCACCCTTCTCTTCGCCTCGCGCCTCGCCTCGCATGGCCCTTGCGACACCTGTTATTCCTCATAGTCCAAACTTGAATGCCTACGAATTTGCCAGTGATCCAACTCCGGCTGCCGAAATCCTAGGAGAATACCAGACCGAAAATGTCGAGTGGCTCGTTAGTGATGATGCTGTCAGCGTAACCTCATCTGTCAGCACCCCAAGCGCCTTAAATGCTGCTGCCCCGGAATTCTCGTCTATGACTGCTCAGACCGCTGATATGTCGCCATACGACATGCTGCGTTCCATCCTCGGACAAACCAAGACAGACGATGAGATCGAGGCCGCTTTGGCGCAGAACGGTTACGATCTCAGTGCAACCATTGTCTCATTCATGGAAAGCCAGTCCATCGACAATCAACCCGGCGGCGTTTCTTTGGAGGAGCCTAAGAATGTCTTGATCGGAAAGTCGGTGGATCGTCCCTCTACACCCCTTGGTCAGCAGAAGTCTGGGGTCATCTGCAAGTTCTACATGTCAACTGGTCAATGCTTGCGTGCCGACTGCAGGTTTAGCCACGACCTCAGCAATCACTTGTGCAAGTAAGTTACTATACGCTATTTCTATTTTGAGGACGAGACTAACAAGTTATTCAAGATACTGGGTAATGGGCAATTGCTTGGCCGGAGAGACATGCATCTTTTCGCACGACCCTACCAAACTTATGAACAGGCTCGCACTTGATGGCGCCAGTACGCCACCATCTAAGCAGGGAGGTCTACAGCTAGGAGATCTTAACTCGTTCCCTTCACTCCGACCTGGCACCCCTGATCATCTGAGTGGTTTTGCTGGAAGCAACAGCTTTCCCGGTGTAGGCATAACACCACCGCCAGGCTTGAAACATCTTCAAGGAACATCCAGTCCTCGTGCTCGATCTCGTCCTGGTAGTCGTCATCAGACTAGAGAACCAGATATTTCGGCGCCTGCTTTAGATGACAACGATGCATTCCCTTCACTTGGCTCCGCTTCCATGAAACAGGGTAAGAAGCATCATGGCAAGCGTGGCGGCCACGGCCACGGGCATAAGGAGAACATGGCCCCCAATTCGCTAGCCGATATCGTCAAGATGTCACCCTCTCCCAGTCCTGCTCGTCCTGACCTCAAGAAACTGGGACGCAACGGGAGTTCGATAGCTACACGAAATGGGGAGAACAGTCCTGCTGCTCAAGCGATTCCTAGCCCCAAACACATTCCTTGGTTGGAGACTGGTGAGCGTGCCAACAAGGCATATCTGAAGGCTCGCCAAGAAGCTCTCAAGCATGGCGGCCTTCGTAACAAGTTTCTGCAAAGGTATTTTCTCTTGACTTGTGATACAGTTATGATATGGGGCTGACATACCATTCTAGTGCTGCGCAAGCATGGAATCGAAATGATGCTAGGGCTGCCAAAGCTCTCAGTCTTCGAGGACAAAGCGAGAACGATCTCATGCGCAAAGCCCACCGCGAAGCTGCAAGGGAGTTGTATGAGGAACGTAACAAGGGTGGTTCCGACGGCCTTGAGCTATACGTCGACCTTCACGGTCTTCATCCTGAGGAGGCGGTCGAGTATCTCGAGAAGGTCCTGATGGAGAACGGCCGAGAATCTCAACCCATTTATGCTATCACAGGTTCTGGGCACCATAGTAAGAACGGCAAGGACAAAGTTGGCAGAGCGGTCCGTAACTTCCTCAACGAGTGGAGATATGCGTATCGTGAGTTTTCAGTCCCTGGAGACCGCAACAACATGGGAGGTATTCTCGGAATCGACGCCCGCAGCTGGGACAAGTCTCTCGCAAAGGATGGAGAAGGCGACGATGATAAGGAAGAGGTGGACATTCTAAGTCAAGGTGTCGAAATCGGCGACGGCAAGGTCAGGCTCTTGGTGCGTGATCCGCCCAAGGGTCCTAGCGGTCGTCGATGACGATGCGAGACTAAAATAGAAGAAAGAAGTAAAATAAGACTCCGTTCTAAATAAGCTGCATCATTTCATGTGATCATTTTTGAGTCGGAACGCTGTGGTATCACAAAGTACGTCGAGTCTGACCACGGGCATGATGCTCACCGCCAGCCTTGATGACTGAAGAGATGAATCAAACTTGGTCTTTTATGTTTTGTCAATTGATTTATCTCGGTAAAATTGATTGCGCAAACTCATCGAAGACCGGATAACCATTCGTTACAGCAAGAATATCAGAGAGGTCCGTACTGATAATGCAGTCTCTCTGTTTCTAAACATACTAATCGGAACAGGCATGGTGACATGCTTAGTGGGGCCGCTCCCGCATGGAATTGCCACTAGCAACGTCATGTAACCTCGAGTGCGACCCCAAAGACGACAGGTACAGCTTTAAACGACCTTCATAGTCAAAGGACCTCTCGTGGTATCATCGAATGCGATAAAATTCATTACCAAAACCACACCTTCAGCTTCAGTATCTGATAAACGTTACGGTACCCACCATACACCGTCCTTGCGCCCCTCAATCGGAGCGCTATAGCCTCATTTCCATCCGCGCGTTCCGAGTCTCACGTACACCAAAGCCAGAATCCAGACATGGCCGCATAGTTTATATTATCACAACATAAAGTAAATATCGACGAACCCCTCATTCTTATACCGAATATGCCTCCGGATTACAACTCGGCCGCCCAGGCCCTTGCTCTGTCTCCAGGCGGCGGCTCCTCTCCCTCGCAGACCCGGCCGCCCTGGTCTGCCACATCGTCCAGCCGCCGTCTATCGAATCCGCTCATCAGCCGTCGTCGCGCAAGCAGTAGTTATGCTGGCGGCGGGAAAGCTAGCTTTGTGCGTCGCATTTGGGGCTCGGTCAATTTGCTTGGAGAGCAAGTTCTGAAGGTATATTTGCGCTTGTCGCCCCTCCAAAGAGTCCTTGCTCTCGCAGGTGTCGTGGCTGTGGGAATACTCGGCATTTTGGCAATAATATACTCGCATGTCTTCTTCAAGTGGCTCGAGCCAAAGGCTGAAGCATGGCGTGCCCTCCCGGGCGGTTGGATTTTAGCCTTCCTTCTCGTCTTTGTCACTTCTTTCCCGCCTATTGTTGGGTACTCGACTGCCAGTACCATTGCAGGCTTCGTGTATGGATTCCCCCTGGGCTGGCCCATTGTGGCATCGGGATGCACGGCTGGCGCTCTCTGCGCGTTCCTTGCCAGCAGGACTATTTTGAGCGGCTATGTTGATCGCATGGTTGGTCAGGACCACCGTTTTGTTGCTTTGGGCCAAGTCTTGCGTCAGGAGGGACTTTGGTATCTTACCGGTATTCGTTTCTGTCCACTGCCATTCAGTCTGAGCAATGGTTTTCTCGCTACGATCCCTAGCATCACGCCGCTAGCGTTTACTATCTCTACAGCTCTGTCAAGGTACGTGCATTAAGCGGAATTATGATCATTCATATTAACCAGTCTATAGTCCCAAGTTGCTTGTTCACGTTTTTATTGGTAGCCGTCTCGCTCTCCTCGCCGAGAAAGGCGATAAGATGTCTGCCGGCAGCAAAGCTATCAACTACCTGAGCATGATACTTGGTGGCGCCGTTGGTCTTATTGTAGGCCTTATCATTTACAGGCGCACTATGGCCAGAGCTGAAGAGCTTGCTCGACAAGAAGGTTTAGACCCAGCCGGCACGTCTGCGGAAGAAGGTGAAGCTGGCTACGCGGATTCCGACAACTCGCCTCTCATGGACCCTGAAGATGCAGCTGTTCTTATGTCGGATGACGACATCTCGCTGTGGGAGAGAGATGATACTGAGGGCAGGTATCATGACGAAGATGATGAAGATGAAGGTACAAATAAGAGAGGGAACCAAAGGGCTTAAGATGGTATATACTTGGAAAGGGACTTTACGCAGAGCCATCAATGATGAAAAACATTAAGATACAGTTGAGTTATCATGCGTTAGACAGCGTTCTGGATTTTAATACAAGGATTCAAATCAATGATACAGTTGATAATGATAGTATAAAGCAATTATTCGTGCTATAAGAGCCAAATTTGGATATCATGTCGCTATACTAGAATCAAAGTTTGCAATCAATCGTTACTTGCAACTCTTATGGCTGCTCAATACCATTCAAACTCAGTGGTGTCTACATCTGAGAACACCCATAACCCCATCGCTAAGTCCCAGTAAATCAAATACACCAACTCCGTCGCTTATGCTTGTAACAATGCGAAAATTGAAAACAGAAATAGTACTAAGGTCATTGATAGAATCACTGATTCCCTCTGTATTGATTCATAAATTGTATGGCCTGGTCCATTGGATATCCAATGAAGACAGGTCCCGTGAAAATCATCTGGGGTCCGTTGTTGACCCCCTTTGTCATATCGGGGTTGATAAAAGCAGGTTGGGGTGGTGCCGCATGTTGATGAGGAGGCGGTGGTGGAGGGGGTCCGTTGTCTTCCTTGGTAGGCGAGAACGATCGTGGGTGTTCTGGTCCTTCGTGTGTTATGTGTACCGATGATGCATCATGCTTGAAAGGTGCAGACATGCCCATGGCAGCCAACTTTGTATGGTCGAATGGACACTTGCCAGGCGTCTTTTTGGTGGAATCTTGAGCGCTAGGTGCAGTTCGAGCCGAGATAGGCATACAGACTGGCGCCGGTGGTGGTGAAAGAGGTTGGTCGTCGCCCTGGCCCGAAAGTTCGTAGACTGGAATCGATATTCCCCATGGTCTACTGGGAGATTCTCCTACTCGCACTTCCTTGAGCGGTCGATCAAAGTGACTTTGCCGGTCTCCGTCCTCTTGAGTTTGCACCTGAGTATCGTCGGGGTCCGAGTTTACACTAACAGCCTGTGCCCAGTTCTCGACTCTCTCATTGGAAGGCTGGGCGACATCACTTGGTCGATTCGGATCATCCTCCGCTTCGGGCAACATAGGGGCATGAAGCTGACCCAGGCCCTCTATCATGCTCACAATGTCGCCGTATTTAGAATCTATCTTTTTGATCTGGTCTTCGTCACGCTGGTATCGACGGAGGCAAACTTCATGGCTGCGAGGGAGTTCATGCTTATGCGTTTCAACATAGTGGGCAATCTCCTCTGCGGAATGTTTATCCATGTAGCGAATGGGACATTTGATAGCGGAGGAGACGTTTGTGCGAGCCTGCTGAGATGTAGATTCTTCGTACATGGCTGCGCAGATGGGGTCCGTCGAGTGGTGCGGAGTGGTATCCTGCGCATCATCGTCGCGGGCCCCAGAGCCGCTGGCCGTGGCGGGTTTGGAGAACGGGCATTGAAGATGGCCCTTCTTTCCTTGGACCGTGAAGTCTTGTTCTAGCGCGGTCGACATGGAGGTGGCTACGTGGGAAGGTTGCGACTCAGTCTCTCGGCTAGAGGCAGTTGTTTTACTCGCTTCGCCCAGCGAGGCAAGCTGATTAGCTACTCGGCGTCCGTCACGGATGACGAGGGCAAGTTGATGTTGGGAGCCGGAGCTGTACGTGCGTGGTAAGGGCAGAGGAACAGGAATTGAATTATCAAGAGGTGTATTTGGAGGTATCTGGAGCTTAGCCAGGGTATCGGCTATTTCTGGCGCAGCCGGAGCATATTTGTCAGCCAAATACTGGAACTGTTTTTGGTTTCGAGTTAGCGACGAATCCATGATGAAGTTTTCTTTCAGTGGGGAATGAAAAGAAGGAAGTTGTCAGGTATCAGAAAATAAAGGTTGTCAATCTCGGCATTCAGGTTCATTCAGCCTGATGCTCTTGATCTAGAGCTAATAATCATCATACTGACTTGGGGGGGAGAGGACATTCGAGACAGCTCCGCTCCGGTATCGCCGAAGCGATGTTTGAAGCTTGCGCGGCCAGGGTAGGAGAGAAACAGGGAAAAGCCGGGTTGTGGTGTACTGTAGCATCGAGGGCCACTAAGAAAATATGCAGTGTTGTTTCTTACCTGTTCATGAGCAAAGCGCAACTTGTGCTCCAAGACAGTCTTTCTATCTGTCAAGGTCTGGACTTCATCAGCAAGGGCGTTGAAAGCATCTGCCAACGTATGGGCAAGATGAAGATATGCCATGCCCTTGGCTGTGAGTTGTTAGTGAAAAAGAAAGAAGAAGAAAGGAAAGGGAAAGTAAATAGAAAGAGGAAGGGGAAGCCAATATTTATTGGATGGGTGAAGAAAAGGAAGAGATTTGCGAGATCCAGAAGGGAAAGCTGTTGCTAGAGCGAGGCGAGATCAAAGTGGGGGCAAGACAGCGAGTGAATGAGTATGATTGGTTTAATATGGACTGAACTGCGATGATGGATGCTTTAGTGGGTATGGTTAGGTGGATATGCAACTAAAAGTTAGGGTCCGTTCAGAACATACCTAGAGACGGCGCTGCCCTGGTTTGAACGACCAGCCAGAGTCCGTCAACTGTTAGCTCCAAATCCTCAGACCTCACCTCAATAAAGCTTGTCAGCTGTACATGATTATGCAGCTCTGATACTGTGTCTTTACCATTCTGCAGTGCAGAGCTTGCATTCCATTCTGACACATGCAGCTCCATCATGAGTCCAATGTCTCAGAATTCATCATTGAAGGTTCATTTTGCTGGACCAGCGATTAGGTTGTGGGGTTGTTGTGGTGAGGTCAAGCCGAGGCATGAACTTACCCTGTAACATTATTCTTGAACCATAAAATATACCACCAAACGCCATGCCCTAGGTCTTTGGTGGTTAAGGATGAAGCTAGGATGATAAGAAACTCAGTGTTTATTCAATCGTTGTCGTGGATTGTATTCCTCGATGGCTATTTAGAAAAAGTATTAGAATAGGGGTTATTCCGAACTACAAAGTATGATATCAGGTGCTGGACATCGCACTCCCCGACTTCATTTTCGTCGGAGTTTCAAGTCTGTATATAGAAAGAACTGGAAGTACTATTAAGAGCTATTGATTAATGCTATCTACCTAAGCTACCTAGGTACGTATAAAATTGTCATCTCTACCTATATTTGTTGGTCGTAACCGATAAGGATATACCTTCCTGTCTACCTACCTAGTAGGTATGATATCGAAATCTCACTGTTAACCCCGCCATCACCAAGAGCCACTTCTGCCATCAACATCAACACCAACATCATATTCAGCGATCCAAAATTAAGATCATGTCTACCCCCGAAATTCTGTCCATCCCACCTGCGGAGATCACAAGCAGCAAATCTCATATTCTGCCTGGGCAATTGCATGTTACAGAATTCTTCTTCACCGTCCCTCTCGACTACAACAACATCGATGGCGGTTTAAGCATCAAGCTGTTTGCCCGTCGAGTCAAGAAGCATGAGGTTCCCATCTTCCCTCCCGAAGATGATGAGAACAAGAACAATGCAGATTGCAAATCTGAAGAGGCGCCTAAACCATACATGGTCTATCTCGAAGGTGGCCCTGGTTTTGGCAATCGTGAACCGCAAGATCATCCTCTTACCCACCACGCTCTAGCAAGGGGATACCAGCTTCTTCTGCTCGACCATCGCGGCGTTGGACTGAGCTCACCAGTCAGCCATGAAGTTCTCAGCCAGTGCTCCGACAATGTTCAATACCGTGCTTCCTACCTCGGCCTCATGCGTCAAGACAACACAGTTCGTGACTGTGAGGCTGTCCGCAAGTGCCTTACCGCCTCATGGCCCGCCTCTAAGCAGACATGGTCTCTCTTCGGGCAATCCTACGGAGGTTTTGTTTCTCTATCCTACCTTTCTATGCACCCAGAAGGCTTGCGAGAAGTCTTTCTCACTGGCGGTCTGGCCCCTGTGGGTAAGAAACCCGACACAGTATACGAAGCTACCTTCCGCAGAGTTATGGAACGCAACGAGCAATATTACGAGAAGTTCCCAGAGGATGTGGAAAACGTCCGTCAAATTGCTAGTTATATCGAGAGTAAACAAGGCAAGATTCCTTTGCCGTCGGGAGGCTTCCTCACAGTTCCCCGTCTCTTGACTATGGGCATCTCCTTTGGAGGTCACGGAGGCTTCGCTTCGGTCCACGCGGCGATCTTGACTCTGAAAACATCTCTTGACATGTTCGGGTTTCTCACTAGAGCATCTCTAGTGCCACTTGAAGGCTGGACTCCATTCGATACTAATATCATCTACGCCATCCTCCACGAAGCAATCTATTGTGATGGTCCCGGCGTGCCATCTTGCTGGTCAGCAAACCGTGTGGGAAGATCTCTCAAGCCCTTTGCTTGGCTCAACAGCGACTTCTCCACGGCTTCAACCAGTGGACCGCTCTACTTTTCAGGTGAAATGATCTTCCCTTTCCATTTTGAGACACACCCAGAGCTCCAGATGCTTCGTGACGAGGCTGAAATCCTAGCCAACCGCGACGACTGGCCTGCGTTATACGACCAAGACAAGCTTCACAACAACAAAGTTCCTGTATATGCTGCATCATACGTCGAGGACATGTATGTTGATTACGACTTTGCCAGAGACACAGCCAAGCTTGTCAAGGGCACCAAAACCTTTGAGACGAACGTGATGTATCACTCGGCTTTGAGGGCAAAGTCAGAGGAGGTTTTACATCAGCTGTTTAGTCTGAGAGATGATGTTATTGATTAAATCCGGGGTGTTGTGTATGGCAACACATAACTAGTGAGAGAATATTTCCAGGATGGATGAATCACGACTTGATAGACACAGAACTTTTAACCGAAAAAAAAAGCGTGGCCTCGATATGCCCCCAATCATTATCCTCTAATTTCTGAAGACACCGTCCAGAACAGTTGAACCAAAAGTAGTGGTACCACCTTAAGACCTTAAGTTGTAACTTTGGTATATACCGGGCAGACTGACCAAAAAGAACCTGACGAAAAGCTCATTCGACTTTGAAGCCCAAACATACTCCCCCTAGTCGTAACGGTTGGGGCGAATACGTACAGGTGGACGCCGCCCCAGATGCTGCCACTCATCGTCGTAGGCTGAAGTATGCGCAGCCTCCATAGGCGGCAGGTCTGCCGTTGGCTGAGAATGCCTCATAACCGTCTCTCTTAGGATAGTAGCTGCCAGCTCTGGATTACTCACCAGAAACTCGCCGGTTTCCTCAGGATAGCGTTTCCATAACATTGGTTGCAGGAAGCCTATACGCGCCAGCACCATTTTGAGCAACTCATCTACCTCTGGAACGCTGCGGTAAAGCTTTCTGCATAGATGCATCATTTCTGGCTGTGCGGCGTCCCAGCCTGCCGTCTCGAGCATGTCGACGCATGAGCGCATCACTGTTCCTTTAAAGTCATCCATGAGAAAGCGGTTCGCACAGATGTAAACATCGAGGTTAAGTTCATATGCTAGAAACCATGTCCGTAGATCCTCGCCTGTGATGCGCTCGGGGAGTTCCGGCAGGGAAGGCATCGGAATTCCTGCAGTGGGAGGAAAGATGCCTCCTGGAGGCCGTACACCTTGTCTGGGCCCCCCTCGACCAAAAGGTAAAGGTACGTGGGTGTTGACATCGCGAGATCGGCTGGCACCACACTGCCAACACCTTTTGAAATCACGCCTTGCAAGACAACGAGGGCAAGGGCATCCCGGGCGGTGATGGCCAGGCTGCTTCTCCTGACTCTCTTCAGTCTCGGCGGGTCTGGTTTGTCGAGCTCGACGACGTCGTCGCCATGAGGAATTCGATGTTCCAGAGATGGAGGTATCTGATGAGCTCGAATCCGAGGTTTCTGCTGGTTCTGGGTCGACTTCAATAGCTTTTCCTTTGTCGATCTCGGGATCTACCTATGAATGAGCACCCAAACCTGCAAGTGAAGAAAGGAGTGCTTAACTAACCTAGCACACTCGCTGCTGGCCTGATGGGCTCGAAGCTGCCTTCGTACAAAAAGGCAACTAGAAAATGGAAAATAGCGGGATCCTCCTCCGGCAAGTCAATAACTTGTTCGCTAGCTTCTCTGAAATTACCGCAAAGAGCTTTCTGAAACCACTCAGCCTGAAGAAGAATATCTCTATGGACCTAGACGAGTGTCAGCTCTACGGCTCTTGACCTGGGTGTCTTCACTTACGTAGAAGGTTTGAATATTGTTTATAGGACCGACCCGTAATGGTATAGGCGGACGCGAATACCGTCCATCTGCCGAACTAACCCAGAGATCCTCCGTTGTGCTGGGGATCTTTTCTGTTTCTTCTTGGTAGTGTGTCTGTATCACGATGGGTGGAGGGACACCCATAGCATCAGCCGGAACATGTGCCGTGACGGTCGAACCAGCAGGCTCGGCATCTTCTGCCATAACAACTTTATTGAAGTATCCGATCTATTGTCAGGTAATGAGTGATTGCAAGTAGAATTAGAGGGATCGCGTGAGAGCGCGTGAGAAGCGCGAAACGAGGCTTTGGAAATGTTCCATCATTCGAATTGTAGTCGGAGCAGGAAACAGGCAGTCAGGCAGGCAGGCATAGCAGGGACTACACCACGCAGACCATCCATTCTATCTTGGCTAGAAACAGCCAACGGCATGTCAAACATGTGGGTGGACGATGGCTGCCAATTGCGAGCTGCAGCCACCCCAACCTTTTGGCTCCCTTCCGTGCAGAATAAGCAAGGCGCAGACCACCTGCAGCGGTACAAGCGCCTGGGTAGGATAAGACATGGCTTGGCCACCTAGAAACCAACGATTGCTAATTTGATGTCCTCATCGAGCTTTTCCAACTTCAACGAGGTTTGATCGTACAGATTGTCCGATTGAGCGCTTTCTGAATAGTCCAAAACCAGGATCATACACTGGTTAATCTCACGTAACACTCTGGGATGCTGTGTTAGTGGAGGTGGCATATGCACTCGCCTTGTCAACAAGGCGGCCATGCAGGGATGTTGATCTGATTCTTGACCTCGACCTGTTCTCAAGCCCACACTTCATGTTTGGGCTAGCAGAACCTCGACCGGAAATGGTAATTGCACCTAGATCTCGAACTTGAGATCAGCCTGTGATATCTTGGCAGCAGACATAGTAATACTGATTTTAAGCTGTTGTCGATTCCCATCCCGACTTTGAGGCACACGCCGTTTATTCCGATACTGAATCCCAGCTCATTCGCTATGCTCTATGCAGCCATCTGTCACACGCCTGCATTAGACCGGCTCAACCCATTGCCCCAGGCTTGTTTTCTCAAGGTCGTATTTTATGTCAGGATCGCAAAGGAACAACTTCATTATAGTCCAACTGTGCACTCTCCTGGTTGAGGCTACTCCTCCTCCATTTCGGCCTGCATCTGCAGTTCTTTGAGGGCAAATGTTAGTTCTATCGAGTGATGAGAATGCCTGGTTGACTCACTCCAAATTTTGCTCGCAGCGTCGGATATGACCTTTGCCTTGACGAGTAGTTTCTCTTCATACTTCTCGTTATCTTTGCCCTTAAGACGAATTTTATTTGGTTGTGCCTGGGCGGATTAGTATCATTGAGCACAGCAAAATCGGAGACCTAGTAATTTTGAGATACTGACCTGCATCAGTACGGGGAGAAGCTCTGTCGGATCTGCATTCGCGATTGTTGCTACCGTACGAAAGCCATTCTCCCAGAAAACACGCCTGTGATATGTCAGCAGTGTGCCTGTTACTGAAGCCAAGGCACACTTACGCCGTGCGACTTTTGATGAATGGAATTTTTGCCAAAGCCAGCAGGTCAGCTCGTGCACCAGCCACCAGTCTATCGGAGAAATGGTCAAGGGCTGCAGCCATTACACTGTGATCATGTTAGTCACGCAACTCAAGAAATCGACGGCCACATACCCCCAGCTCATTTGCTCACAAAACTTGATCATTCCAGCAGCGAAACCTTGACAAGTTTGTGACAGGTTCTGAACCATTCCACGGGGCACATCGTATTTGCGTGCAACTATGTGAATGGGCACCTCGTTGCATAAGTCCCGTAACTGGAGGGCAAGATAGAAGCGTCGATGAACGCGAGCTATCTGCTTCTCCTCTTGGGTGGTCTCTCGAAGCGTGGCACCCTGAGCTCTTTCCGATCGTTAGCATATATGCAGCTGATGCGAGATAGACTTACAGTTTGAGGATTGTAGTGGGTTTGATGCCTAAAAGGCGCAGGACCCGTAAACCACTCTCATCTAAGCCCTCCATTTCATTTCGAAATACCTGCCAGTTCACCATGACGCCCGACTCCTGGACCGGTGTAAAAGCATATAATACGTGCATTTCGCCGTCCATGACAAAGGCCTGAAGAGCTCGACTAAGTTCATCGTGGACGAATACACCGTCATCCGGGTCGATGGCCGAGGCCACAATTGCTTTCCCTAATCGTGTCGCCGTGAACATCGACAGAGAGTCGCGAGTAATAAAACCCATAGATTCTATTTCTTCCAGGCTCGATGTAATGGATTTGTCAACAAAAGCAGCATCGTGCGTATGGCTTAGTAGCGATTTCGAGAAATAATCTGATATTGACTCATGGCTTGTCGCGAGCCGTATAGATACAACCTCGAGAAGTGCACTGTATTGTGTTAGTTCAAGATAAAATACTAGTCTGGATGAGAACTCGCCGTTGGATACGTCGGTTTTCGGTATTCAAACAACTTGCGACAGGAGGCAGTTCGGCATTCATGAGCTCTACAACCTGCTCGAGATCATTCTCTCGGCAGCAGAGGTATGTTTCGCCAATGGGTGCCTTGCCTTGCCTTCCTGCACGTCCTCGCATCTGCCTCAGCATACTGGGACCAACAAAGTCCCGGCCCATACGGCAGTTATGCAGAATCACTCTTCTTGCTGGTCTACTCTTGTTAGTAAGATTTCTATACTCGAACAGCCATACCCACAGATTGATACCAGCCGCCAGACTACACGTGGCGACGCAAACGAGCAATGTTCCAGCATCGTACGCCGCCGCGATGAGATCTCTCTCTTCGGTTGTTAAGCCCGCCTATATTGTCAGGATGGTTTACCAGTTCTATTGTTCGAAACAACTCACATCTATTGCAATTAGCATAGGGCCTCCGCAAGTAAAGAACTGTTCCACTTACGATGAAATGCAACGCCATAAAGTACAGTCTCTTCCAACACTGGATCAACTCCAGTGTTTAGGCTCCGGAGTTCTCCCAGCAGATCCATTCTTCTGTCCACGGTATCAATCTTCAGGTCTTGTGGTCCGGGCATTGCTCGACTGATCCATCGTGCATCAGACTCGCACATACCACGGCTCCCAGCAAAGACAAGGGCCCCGAAGCCTGCAATAGCAGTTTCGCAAGCCAGTGTCACCACTGCGTTCAGTACAGGATCGCGAAGTTCCTTATGGGCGGAAGGCTCAATCCGTCGAATGGGTTTTGCCTGTGCCTGTGTTTGTGTAGTTCGACTATTTAGTTGTGCTGCTGTCTTGATGAGACTGCTTGTAGAGCCTGCGGGATAAATGTTCCCATCATGCACGAGATGCTCCTCAATGGGAACCGGTCGATACCGAGTTTCGTAACAATGTCCATCAAGCCACTTAGCCATCAAGCCCATGTTCTATTTATATGTCAGAGAATGCAAAAAGGTTGACAAACGTAAGGACCGAACATACTGGAAGAGTAGCACTCATACCGACGATTTGCACAGGTTGCTCAAGGCTGAGCAACTTGGTCGCCATAAGTTCCAGTAGATATCCTCGATGGTCATCATCGACCATGTGGAGCTCGTCGAGCACAACTGTGCGCAGTTTGGAGATAGAACAGTCGTCGATGGCAGTATTAACGAGCGCATTTGCCTTGGATTTGTTAACGATGTACCCAAGGCGATCATTTGCATGTCGAGAACTGACCTTTTCCAATGTGCAAACACCAATATCAAAGTCAGCCCAAGTCGCTCGAACCTTGCCCCCTCCAAAGAAACCCACAACACGGACTGTATTTTCATCAGCCCGCCGGCGCCAGATGCGCTTGTCATCGTCGAGAGTTGTATCGGGAGCGAAGCGTAGGCCCTGTACCACACTACGAAGCCAACGAACCTTTTCTTGCACCAATGCAACATATGGTAACACAAGGAGGGCCTTTGTCCCCTTTTCTTGCAAGATTCTCTTGAGCATAAGCACTGGAGGTGTCAGTCAAGCCCACATACTACTAAATCCACTCTCACCATCAGCCACAAGAGATTTGCCACCGCCCGTCGGGGCACAATACACAAGGTTTTTCTTGCCTGTCAAGAGGCCAGGTCCTTTCAGACACGACTTTTGCCATGGATATATCTGTTTTATACCGAGTGCAGCAAAATTATCAACCAGCTGCTGCGGCAGTTCATAGGTGGGGTGGCTCAAATCAAGCTCAGGATCACTAGTGGACGTAGGAGTTGCAGCTATAGCCGCTCTTTGGGAATACTCGGAGGGTCCGACTCGCTCATCTAGACGAACAATGCGGCTCGCCGAAATTCTAGGAGGGGCCGAGGGAAGACTGATAGCCCGTTGAAACTGAACTGTGGTCCGAGATGCAGATGGACTCGGTCTATGTTCCTCTCCTGTAATAGACAAGCTCCTTTTTTGGCCAGCAAAAGAAGTCGTAGCGAATGTGGTCTTGTTCTCATTAGTTGTCTGTACACTAGTCGTGTGCATCAGACCTCGCATACTCTTCATGATCAAAAAGAGAACCCGAATATGAAAGAAGGAAGCGAATGGTATCCGTACAAAAAAAAATTAACAAGAAAGATTACAAGAAGCCACCAAGCCCAACATTCTTTGTTGATAAAAAGGTCATCATAAATTTAACGTGACTCGCGTGTCTCGACGTGTCGGTAAACCCTGGGAGACAGGCAGCAAACGCGATGTCACGTGTCACTTAGACGAGGATGTGGGGGTCTGAGGGTGTTCCTGACAATTTGTGCCCCGCGACAAGATGAAGAATCATGATTGGCTGCTAAACCCTGCGCTGTTTCCCATCAACCGCCTATGGCAGGTGGCATAAACCTGACCTGCCAGCCTGTCTAGTAGGTGGTAGTGGTAGGTGCTGTTGAGTACCTGCCCTGCTGGGCTTGCCTCTTCTGTCCACTAGCCACCCATTCAATGTTCCTACGTTAGTGCCCCTGTTTCCATTGATTGAGGGTTTTGGTCGCATGGCCTTTAAATTATCTCCACGTAATTGGTTATTGCTTTCCAGTGTTTCCGTCAGCAATAGAAAGAGTCGGTTTCTCCTTCTCTGTTCTCCTATTTAAACGACTTGACTCTGTTTCGAACAACGTGGTTTACACACCGTAGACGCAGATTACAGCATGTACGGCAATTGCAGACGCAGTGCACATCTCCAGCCCGTCCACGACCTTGCATCCCATGTGCGCCACTCCCTCTTTTGGCAGACGTCGGTTACCTATGGGGATATACCTACGTGTTCCAGCACTGTCTCCCTCATCTAGCGGCAAGTAGACCGACGGTTTTGAGGAAGAAGGAAGAAAGAATCAATTTGTTGCATTTATATAAATCATTAAACCAACCATGACTACTCGCCTTTTACTTTTGTCTTAATTTGTTATCAACAATTTATCGTCCTGTTTCCTTGTCGCCCTGCACCGAGTCTCAAGTGTCGTTGACCGTTCCCCTGCGGCCGGGTCGGGTGTTTAGCCCCACGACCCTTTAGCACCTGGCTAAAGCATGTACGGTAGGGTAGGTACGTTCCTTTTTTTTTTCTTCTTCCCATTGAGGGGCCAGTTATTTGGCTTGGGGGGTGTGCCTCCTCCGATCCGTCCATGGAATCTTGATTCGACGACCACTTGACAACACCGTGCAGCAGCAGTCGAGAGAACATTATTCTCGCAGCCCCGGAGCCTTGGCAACCAGAGCTCACTCGACTGTCATCTCTTTCTTCCTTTTGTTCTTTTGTTCTTTAATCTAACCAATCTGCACGATTAACACTCGACTTTTACTGTGACACCTCAACGTCTTTTCTAGCTTCCCCTCCGATAGCCAGGTCGGCTCATTTCGCGCGACAGGCTGTGATTCAGACCAGACCATCGTCGAGACATGTCTGCCGTTTCAATTTCAGCGTGGCTGTTCTCTGATTACGGGTCAAAGTCGTGATAGGCCTCCCAAGGCCATGCTGAAAGCATAGGCTACCTAGGTTGCTACAGCGCAGCACTTCTTGGTCATTTGTTCAAGAGGCACACGAGAGCCTCACCTAGAATAAAATACGTACCTCAACTTGTGGTATATCTAGGTTTCGGTGAAACAAACAGCCACCTATTTGGACGATCGGACAACCGCTGGCATGTGTGGCCAAGACTAGATCCGATAAAAAGGTCACAGACTCGAGGTGACAGGTTCTATTTGAGATTGCCGTAATGATGCCAGCACTTGGGTAAATTGAAGCAACGAGGGAGTTGAGACATTCACGTCCGATATGGTAAGCTGCTAAGCAAAATCGACATGGGCCAGACGGGAAAAAAGCCAGTCGAGTCCCAAACAAGGGGGGTCTAAGCCCACCACCATCCATCATTGAAATCATTAATGTAATTAGTCTGTTATTTCCATACTAAGTCGTGCCTGAGAGAGAACTCGAACAGATCAGGATAGCAAAGAGCCAAAGACACAAGACTGTCCATCGTTCCAACCTACTAGAGGTTCCTAGAGCCAAATCCTGGTCAGAGATGAAATACGTACCGCGATGGATCCGCTGCAGGGCATCATCTCTGGGCAAGCAACCTTCTGTCCATCCAACCGGAGCCCCGGCCACGTTTGGTGGAGCTGAGAAGGTTCACTACACCAGCTCAATCTTTAGCCCTATTGCCGACTCCCTCTCGTCAGCTCCCCCCCCGACCCCGAGGATCTCAACATCATCACCGCACATTCGTTTTTTTTTTCTGGCGCGAAATTGACGGGCCTAGATCTAGCTGGGGTTGCCGATGGGTGAATTGTCTATTTGTACTAACTAGTAGTGTTACTCTACTCGCCAGGCTCCGCAGCAACTGATTGGCCTCACTTTGTCGGCAGTGGACGGCATCAGCTTCGTCGTAACATTGACCAACTACTGTAGTACAGTGCTGTACGGATACAGTCTTGACAATTCGGTTTGTCAGTGCACGCTGTTGATTGCCGCTGGTTCGTTTGATCAAGACGTCATGGTGGTGGAGAGATAGGAAAAGAGCTAGCGATCTGAGTGAAGCAAGAAATTGTGGTGATTTCGGCCAAGGGGTTGGCTACCTAGTGACGGTTTCCCTTCGAGTTTTAATGTCTGCGTGCCAGAAGTGACGCGCGACACAGGCTACCCACCGTCTATTATGTGGCCGTTGAAGCTTATGGTGACCTGAAGATAGACCTTGCGGCAGAGGTAAACCGTAGTCAGTGTATGGATGTCACATCTTGACGATTGGTACTAGTAGTTTCTACGCTAAATACCTACCACGTCCATTGCTTTGGGGATCGTAGTATGAGCACTCTCTCTGCAGCGCAAAACAGGCATGAGCATAGCATACCTACCTGCGGTTATATCACCGTGAACCCTCAAGCAAGAACGCGAGGCCTTGATACCGGGCGACAAGTCTGTATACATTCATTCGATGGGTTGAGAAGACGGGAGGGAGGGTACAAGGGTGTGGGAGATGCAACGGGAAATGCGATGACTTGGCGCCCCATGCTCTTCCCAAACTCACGTTCATTTTTTGCAACAAGCCTTACATTAACATCGTCACTTTATCCTAATACGGTGCAGAACTCGAAGCAGACCTAACCTCCACGCAAATTTGGCTCAGCCGACGCGTATGTAGGCATATGTGAGTTTCTACAGTTGTACAGTGCAGTGTGGCTTTCGAGTCGTGGCAATGTACATACAAAGTCATTGTAAAGGTCGATCCGGTCAGTGGTGCATGACGGACCAGGCTGGGCATGGGATGACATTATATGGGAGAGTGAAAAGGGTTGCCAAGTCGAAATGAGATGTATAGTGAGATAGTGAGAGAGGGCTTTGATTGCTTCGTTCTCAAGTACTGTAGAGAAGTTCTCGAAAAGCCTGCACTTTTATCTCCGGCGACTTGAAGGCAACGCGATGGATGACACAAGCAAAGGACAGGTAAAAATGAGACAAGACAAGGTTCCATCATCCATTCATTCGTGCATATCCCATCTGGATCATTTGGCCGACTATTTAGCTACCAGCCTGCCTGGTTTGCCTGCCTGTTTAATTTTCGATGCTTCTTACACCGGTTCACGCTTGGCAAGGGGATATCATGAAGGATGTCAGTACGTGAGTGGACTTGATACGGGTATTCGTTTCATTGATATTTGCTTCTACATGTTGTTCTTATTTCCAGTTCCAGTTCCAGTTCCTGTTCCACATAGTCAGTCCTACTTTGCCGATTCCAGTTTCGACAGTCTCGCAGAACCCTAAGCTAGGGACCTACTTGGTAATAGGTTGATTTTCCCACCAAAAGGTGACTTGAAGTCTTGACCAAACCAAACCAAGCCAAACCAATGCAATGCAATCGGTGGTGACCCTCGCTCCATGGTCTGCTCTTCTCTTCGTGGGAGGACCCGTGGACCCATGGGACACGCCTCAGAGTTGGGTTGAGATCCGTCGGCTCGTCAGTGCTGCGAGACCCAGATGGACCCCCGTGGAGACTTGAGGTAACGCTGATGACCAGGGTGCTCAAAGTAGAAATTGAGTAAACGTTTATCGTGCCTGGGAGGTCTAAATGCATTTCCCTGGGCGCTCATCAGCCGCCACCTGATTAGTGGCTACCTGCTCGCTACTTTCTTGGCTCTAAACCAACCCCTGCCGTGCACTATAATCAGAGTGGATGCATCGACCAGGCCAGGGCCGCCGCCTCGGGGTGCCAGTGCCAGGACGTTTCTTCTCCCGGCGCCTGGGAATCATGCCTCTTCCTCCTTCTTAACCTTACTCACTCCATCTTTCAGAGCAAATAATATCTATTTCGAGCTTCTAGCTCTGCCGAACTGCTTCTCACTCACCATATTGACACACTCGATCGACTTTCATCTCATCTCATCTTGTATTTCACTGCACCGCACAGCACAGCTAACAGCTAAACTTGCCTTATTTCATCCTCGCAGCTTCCGCCATCAAACCATCACCTCCGGGCATGCCTTCATACGCGATTCACCTCATCTCGTTCTTGCGCAAGTGATTCTCTGCTGGATGTCATGGCACAACAAAATGTGAGTCAAATTATTAATTCCCCTTACACAAATCTTCGCCCGCTTTCTTTCCAGTATACTTTTTTTTTATGTTTATACAACCTTGTCTTGTCCCTCTCATTTCACCTGCAACTTGTGTGGTCATGAGCGCGGTTGTCCCTGATTTCTAACACATCACCCAGGACTCCAAAGCCTCAGACCCAGATGCTCAATCTGTTTCCGACCCAATGACTGTTCAATCAGGTCTGGACAGCGCAGATGCAGCTGCTGGGTATGGCACTCGTTCCCGTAATAGGAACGGCTCATCGCGTGTCAACTATGCTGAGGATAGAGATATTGATACCGATGTCTATGATTATTACCAGGACAAAAAAGATAGTGACTCCAAAAAGACGTCTCGTCAGTCCAGCGCTGCTGTGAACAGCGATGCGCCTCGTGCCGGTGCCAGCTCGCGTAAGGCTGGTGCCGACGAGTCCAAAGCTGCGCAATCTGCAAATGCTTCCAAGGAGCAACAACCAGGTGGCTCAAACAGTGCTTCCACGACAACACAGTCGGCGGCTGTTTCGCAGCCTACACGGAAGCGCAAGGTCGCTGGCAACTCGGCTGGTTCCACTAACCAAGCGACGTCGACTACAACCAGCAGTACAACAAAAAAAGCAACAAACCTTGGAACAGCGGCGGGCGTTTCCTGGCCCGACACCAACATGTTGACTTTTGAAAAGTGCAAAGGACGTCCCGTTAATGGCCAGATGGTAGCCGACGATGGCACGGTCTTGGGGCCGAATGGTAACATCTCCCTCTAAAAAAAAAAGTCCACCAGAAATTCAGATCAAATGTGGCTAACCTGGCGATGCAGATCATGTGTACCTTGTCTGTGAGCCACCTGGAGAGCCCTATTATTTGGGCCGGATCATGGAATTTCTTCATGTCCAGAATGACAACAGCAGACCTGTGGAAGCAATCCGCATAAATTGGTACTACCGACCAAAAGATATTGGCCGAAAGACCCCAGACACACGCATGGTCTTTGCGACTATGCACTCAGACAGCAGCCCGTTGACAGCGCTTCGCGGTAAATGTCAGATTCATCACAAGGCCGAGATTCAGAATATGGACGTTTATCGCAAGACACCCGACAGCTTCTGGTACGATAAGCTGTATGATCGGTACATTCAGAAGAACTACGACCTAATTCCGACGCGTTCTATTGTCAACGTTCCAGCCAACGTGAAAAAGGTCCTTGACGAGCGCTGGAAGTACGTGCTAGTCGAACAGGGGCGTGGCAAGGAGCTCACTAGCGCCGTTAAGCTCTGCAAGAGATGCACAGGCTATTGCGCAAGGTACGTACCGCACCACTTTGACTTACACTGCCCCACGTCCCCGTCTCCGTCCCTGTCCCACCCATGTTCAGTGGCTGACTTGATTGGCGCACTGCAGCAACGACTCAGTTGACTGTGCCGTATGCCAAAACACTTATCATATGAATTGTGTGAATCCGCCTCTACTGAAAAAGCCTTCGAGAGGTTTCGCATGGTCATGTGCTGCTTGCAGTCGTGCGCAGGAGCGAAAGTTGGAGGCCCGCAACACTCCTAATGTGAATGATCCAACTCTCGATGCCGACGATGACGATCCAATGGACGAAGAGGATGAGGAGATGCAGGGCGTTGATACTACCCGCACGAGTCCGGAAGAAGAGGACCATGCTCCTCATGAAGGCACCGCAGAACAGATTTACCAGGCATCGCTTTGGCCTTACCGTTATTTAGGAATGCACTGCAAGCCTGAGGATGCACTTGATTACGACGATAGAATTCATCCTCGCGCGGCTACAAGGATTGGACCCAGGAACCAAGCGACAGTGTTGCCGTGGCCGGGACAGCCGGTAGAGTATGTTAAGCCACTCGAATTCAAGAAAAATGGCAAGAAGGACACCAAGTCAAAGGAAGCTTTGGCTGCGATTGAAGCTGAGAAGATCTCGCGAGGCAAGCGACCAAAGTGGGTTCAGGATATGCCTCCTGGCTACACGGTTCGAGGCGAGGATTACGACGAAGACGATCCCAACTGTACTGCGAAGCCCATGTGGATACCCCCCTCAGAGGACGTCATCAAAGAGAAGGACATTAATGAATACATGGAGAAGGCTAAGGGAATGGCCCGGGATCTTGGACTGCCAGAACGCTCGACAAACCTCCAGGATGTTGCTGCTGATACATTGTATCATACTGGATTTGACACTAAACGTGCCCTCAAGGCTCTTTCCCAGAAGGACAAGGCGGAATTCAAAGATCCCATTCTGACACCAGCAGAACAAAAGAAGTTTGAGGAAGGTGTCGTCAAGTATGGCTCTGAACTCTTCCTTGTGAAAAAACATGTGAAATCCATGCACTTTGGCATGGTGACTCGCTACTACTATGCCTGGAAAAAGTCAGAACGCGGTTTACAAGTTCTGGAGAACACGGCAGGTCGAAAAGGAAAGAAAGAGGCTAAACGGGCGGAAGCGGCCGCTAACAAGCTTGCCGACGACGTCGCGGACAACGAAGACGATTCCGCCTTCGATACTGAAAAGGCGAATCAGAAGAAACGAGGATTCGTGTGCCAGTTCTGCTCGACGACCTCATCACGGCAGTGGAGACGGGCCCCGAATCCCATCCCCGGTGTCGTCAACGATAGTGGCTCCAAGAATTCGAACAAGGACAAAGGCCAAGACCGGGTTGTTGCGTTATGCCGCCGATGTGCCGAACTATGGCGACGGTATGCTATTCGATGGGAGGATATGGAAGAAGTGGCCAAGAAGGTGGCTCAGTCAGGTGGCCGAGCCTGGAAGCGCAAGCAAGATGAGGAACTTCTCAAAGAACTGCAAGCCGCCAAGGAAATGGGAATGATGACTCCAGAGCGTGCATCAACTCCTTCAGCAACGCCAGCAGCTGCAGCCAGCACACAGGAACCGCCACGGAAGAAGCTCAAGGGTGCGCCTCTAGATAAGGATGCCGACAATGGCCATTCCGATACCGCTAGCGCCGCCGGCTCTACCACGTCTAAGAAGAAGGACAAAAGCGTGGAAAGCGTTACAGTTCCTGAAATGCCAAAGCCTCGAGTTCTGCCTTGTGCCGTCTGTGGTGAACTAGAACCCCAAGGGGATCAGCACCTATCATGTCGAGAGTGTCGCCTAACAGTACACCGCAACTGCTATGGTGTCATGGATCATCGGAATTCTGGGAAATGGACGTGCGATATGTGCGTCAACGATAAGAACCCCCAGGTCTCGATCCGCTACAAATGTGTTCTCTGTCCTCATGAGCACACGGAGCATGATTTCGTGGAACAGCCAAAATTGACACACCACAAAAAGAAGATGTCAGAAAAAGACCGCGAAAGGGAGCGCTTGGAAGTCCAGCAAGCTCGAAAAGCTGCAGAATTTTACCGCAAGAAACAAGAGGAGATGAACCGACCAGTCAACCCTCGAGAGCCACTCAAGAGAACCGCCGATAATAATTGGGTTCATGTTACTTGCGCTGTCTGGACTCCAGAAGTGAAGTTTGGTAACGCCAAGGCATTGCAACCGTCCGAGGGCATCCCTTCAATTCCCAGAACCCGATACAACGAGGCCTGCCAAGTCTGTAACAAGACTGAAGGCGCATGTGTATCCTGTCACCAGTGTCGCACCCCCCGTAAGTTCATGTGGCAGAACGACATGATTTATATATGCTGACTCGAATTTTAGTACATGTGGAATGTGCACGACAACAGGGACATATCCTTGGGTTCGAAATTGCCCCCGTGAAGAGTTCTCGGAGAGACCAGGTCAATATTGTGACCGTCAATGGAGAGAGTGGTACCATGTCGGCAACCGTATGGTGCAAGGAGCATGCTCCCACCAAGACTACTATCCATCATATGCACGACACTGTCGATGACTCGGGACTCAACGTATTGCAACTCTACGTACAGAACTTCAAGCAAGCGGATCTCACCCTGACAGGCACCGCTCGCAAGGCCAACCTCATGGCAAACGCAGCGAAACTAACTAGTACTGCAACCCAGCCTGGCGGACGTAGATCTTCGACAACCACTCTTCCTACGGGCCAGCAGCGTAACGGCGAGACAGGAGAAGCCGCCTCCGATCCCAGACAGCCAGGCGGAAAGGTTTGCATTACTTGTGGCATTGACGTTAGCCCGAGGTGGTACCCGATCGACAACTCACAAGAACGTGAACTCACCAATGGCCATTACGGCACCCTTGGAAGCGAGGCGCAGAAGTTCGTTGAACAGCGGCGATTTCAATGTCACAAATGCCGCAAAGCCCAGCCTGCTGCGAAGGCACATCCGCCACGACGCTCACCTATTGTGGCCGAGGCTCCAGTGCCTCTCACTCACGAAGCAGCTATGCCAGCCACTGCGGCACCCCCTCTACGCAGTCCGCCACAGATGATTGCTCATCGTGAATCGCATCCTCCCTCTTATGCATGGCATACTCATGGTCATACCCAGCCGGGACCTCCACCTATGCAAGCGCCTGCGCTTGTCGCAGATCATGCGCTTGGAGCCCGGCCGCCAGCTCCTCACGCCTATGCGGCTCCGCCACCTCACCGACCAGCATACAGCGATTGGGGACGGCCTGCAAGTCAACAGGGCTCGCCCCCTCGCCATATAAATGGAGGACCTCCCCCTCCCCCTCCTCCTATGCATAACGCACCGCCGATGTCGAACTTGTCTTCCTTGCGGCCACCACCTGTGGTTGGACCCCCACCGCCTGCACCACCACCTGCAAACCATCACAGCGGTCATCCACCACCCCCGTACACTAATGGGCTGCCTCCATCTCCTCGCCAACTCAATGGACCAGCACCTCCATCTAGATACGCTCACCCGTACCAACATCATGGGCGCCCTGGGCCCCCCGCACATCTACCGCCACCAACCTTGACCAACGGGGCACCACCGCCTCCTCCACCACCACCTAGAGGAGATGGTTATTCTCGTGAAATGCACCCGCAAAGACCTCCGTACACCGCTCCTCAAACGAGTCCGCCTAGCTCTCGAAATGGGCTTCCACCACCACAGAACCGCCCGGCGAGCGGAGCAAGTGCCAGCCCTTCACTGCGAAACCTCTTGTCGTAGATAAACGCACAAGGCGGTATCAAGACCTGCCTATATCCAAGTTAGATGAGGGCGGGGAGTTGATAAGGCGGGCACAAGGTCGATGACGACCTGATCCGCGCAACCTATTCTAGTTATATACAGCCCTAAGAGGGAACAGTTGTTTCCTTCTTCTTTTCTTTTGGAAGTCGAGTGTGATGGGGGCTCATTGATTGTTGGGATTGCATCTTGGGGAGGGGTTAGCGACTTGGGTATTTTCATGGGAAGTTACAGGTATACAGACAGAAGTGGTTTTGTTCGAGTATTGTTACAAAAAGGCACCGGAAGTATAGCGCTGAATCTTTAGTTTATTATACCTAGATGAATCAAGAAACGCCAGATATGATGATTATATCCATTTTTATTGTTAATTTTTGTACATACTAGGCACTATGTGATCCTGTTTCCTGATCTTGGTTGTTCACTTTGATATTGCAGTCAAGAAAGGCAATTATCCACCTTTCAACGAGATATAGTCTCAGCCAATCAGAAGTAAGGTCTCACTCCATCCGAACGGTAGCGAGTCGAACTACTGGAGCTAGACTAGTGGTTCCATTGACTCCACCAAGAACTTCGGTATCGACCTCTGAGTCTATCTTCTGACGATAATAAATTCCGTTCCAAGTTAATAGTGAGTGTGTTTCTTACTATCGCTCTATCAGATGAATATATAATTTCTTAAATAGTAATTAAGGTTCTTTTGTATGAGCAATCAGTGTTCCAAGTTCAAGACTGCTTTGCACGATCATGAATCGTAGATGGTAACAGGTAGGTAGTGGAGGCAGCCAAACCAAGGCAGGTACGTACAGCAGTAAGTCGTGGCGTTTCAGGGCTGAGGTGGCTCAGACTCTGGGACCTCTCACCTTACCTCACCTCAGTTCAATCAACATCAGCTAGCACAATCTCGGCATTCAATCTTTCCACCTCCCTTCTTTGACATTGCATCATTCTTTACAGGCTACCTACCCGCAGGTCTGCTTTGCCACAGTGTAAAGGATACAGGACAATTCGATACCAATACCATCACCAGTGTCGTCATCTAGCCAATTGCGACCGCGATACCAACCAACGTCTCTAACCACACTTGTCCCTGCCGATCCATATCTTTACTACGGCACGAAACTCTTTCCCCATTCTTTCGCATACCGTTCTTCGATAGTTTGAAGAACTTGTTTCGTAGCCGGAAGGCGATTGAATACGAGTCGAGGAGACCTTTAGTTCCACAAGCTATCACATCTGCCGCTCTTCATCATGGCGCAAGTCCTCCTTGACCTGTTTTACTCTTTCGGGAACTGCCTCAACTGCTTCCCTGGGAACCCGAACCTCAAGATCAATAATAGAAGCTTCAAGATCCTAAGGCTTCTTGGAGAGGTAACTTTATAGTCCATGGCCTTCCGAGCAATCCATTGCTGACATGTGCCAGGGCGGTTTCTCTTACGTTTACCTAGTCGAAGACACCTCTACCCACGAACTCTTCGCCCTCAAGAAGATCCGATGTCCCTTTGGTGCCGAATCAGTCCAGCAGGCCATGCGCGAAGTCGACGCCTACCGCCTCTTCTCCCACGTTCCGACCATCATTTCTGCCATTGATCACTCTGTTGCGACTGAACGTGGTGCCGACGAGTCTACGAAAACAGTTTATGTGCTTCTACCATACTACAAGCGCGGAAATCTCCAGGACATGATCAATGCGAACTTGGTCAACCACGATCGCTTCCCTGAGCGTCGCCTCATGCTACTCTTCCTCGGGGTATGCAAGGCTCTTCGTGCCATGCACGATTACAAGCCTGCCGTGGAGCGCATGAATATGGGGCGAGAAGAAGACGAGCTGAACAATGGCGAGAGAAATAACACAAGAGGCAAGCGGACCGAGGAAGAGGAAGAGGGTGAACAAGAACGAGGTCTGCTGGAAGGGGAAAACCAAGTTAGCGGTGGCAGGTCAATCCAGCACTATTCCCACCGAGACATCAAGCCAGGTAAGCTGATCGCAATATTTGATTGATTTGTTTCACATACTAACGTATTGCTATAGGTAACATTATGATTGATGATTCTGGCTCAACTCCAATTCTTATGGATCTTGGCTCCGTCGCACCCTCACCCATACCCGTAACATCACAATCTCTTGCCCTTCAGATCCAAGACACGGCTGCTGAGCATTCAACAATGCCTTATCGTGCGCCCGAACTCTTCGATGTCCAGACTGGCATGGTGATCGACACAAAAGTTGATATCTGGTCATTGGGGTGCACACTCTACGCTTGTCTCGTTGGCAAGTCGCCCTTCGAGATGCGCTCTGATGAGACCGGTGGTACTCTGTCCCTGTGCGTCCTGGGTGGCGACTGGCGTTTCCCCGATGAGGGCCCTGCCGGTGTCAAGCGATCCAACAGCATGCGTCCACAGCAAGGACAGCAGCAGCAACAAGCACCAGCCGTCGAGATTAGTGAGCCTATTCGCGAAGTCGTGAGGAAGTGTCTGTGCGTCGAGCCTGCGGAGCGGCCTGACATTAATGAGCTTATCCAAATGGTGCAGACGGTTATTGAGGAGCTGCCTGATGATTCTCATTAGGTACCACATGTGTGCGTGTGTGATTTCAAGGTTACTGTGCTACAGAGCGAAGAGTTATGGGTACCAGGAAGGACATCTCCTTGCGGATCTTGTGGTCGAGGATGTAATCATCTTGGCTTGAATATTTACTAGTATCAATTCACATTGAGGAGGTGGCGTTTTAGGAAGTGCCATGATAGAGCCATTTATTGATAATCGACTAACGTTAAGTCCTTGTTTCGAATCATGCTATTCTGGGCTCCTTTGCCAACCGTGCCACTACTGATGTCCTTGTTGCATGGAATGTTCCGAGTACCGCCCAAATCTCATTCTGTTAAGTTACGAAACTGACCAATACTAACTGGTTCATTGGTCTTTCAAACAATAACCCAACGTGTGGGTTCTGGGTCTGTGCAGACGCAGTCCTTCAACTCTGCGTCGCTCTACAGCTGGAGTTTGAAGGTAGCAACCTCAAAAGGTCGCAGCGTGATAGGAATTTTGCCATCTTCCATCTCGATCTTTTCCAGGTCGTCCTCTAGGATGTTTGTCTTGGTGACGTGTTTGACGTTAAAGCTCGTTTCGATGGTGCCACGGCTGCGACCACCCAAGGATTCGTACACACGGAGAATAATGCTTTGGCCCTTGTTCACGCGAAGACCCTCATTTCTGGTAACGTCTTCATCATCTTGACCTCGCTTGATGGTGTCGAGCACAAGGGATTGGGATTCATCAGTGTTAACGAGCTTGATCGGCGCACTGGAAACGCTTTCGAGGGCGGCCTTGGAAGCAGTCACAGGCTTCAAGGGGTTGTTGAAAGCATACGCAGCCTTGACCGTGGCTGAGGATAGGCTGCCTTTGTGGGGAAGGATCGCCCATCGAATCGTGTGACGTCCCATATCTGCATTGGCGTCAGGGGCCTTTGGCGATCGAAGAAGTGACAGTCGCATCATCTTGCCGGCGGTCGCGAAGCCATATTTGCAGTCATTCAGGATGGAGACGCCGTAGTTATTCTCTGAGAGATCAGCGAACTTGTGGCAGCACACCTCGAACTTAGCCATATCCCAACTTGTGTTGTAGTGAGTTGGCCGCTTCGTAATGCTGAAAGCAGTTTCGTAAGAGGCTTCGGTGTTGACAACGTTGACAGGGAATTCAACCTTGAGGAACTTGGAATCCTCGTGCCAATTGACGTCAGCTCTGACATCAATTTGAGAGGGCTGGCCTTTGAGAGCTGCTGAGAGGGTGGTGTATGACTTGATAGAACTGTTCTCACTGATCTTGATCTCGGTAACAAGAGTAACTCGATGGGCTTTCTGTTCGAAGATCTTGGTCTTGCCATATTCGACCTTTCTGCGCGCATCAAGATGGTATACTTCAACATCCCATGCCTGCCAGTAAAGCGGAATATCATCGAATATGACAAACTTGTTGGCCTCCCCGCCTTTCTCAATGACCTCACGGTCGTTATCAATGTCGTAGATTGATGTGATGACACCGTTTTCGACGACAACACGAAGCTGGTCATTTTGCAAAACATAAACGTCCGTTGATTGCTCCATTACGGTCACAGCAGGCTTCTCTTCCTGTACCTTAAACGTACGGAGAGCCAGCAGTTGGCCATCGCCACAAGCGACACCTACTTCACTATCAGAAAGCTCTACAAGCTCCTTCCGGTGCCAGGGCAGAGTGTTGATGGCGACCGATTCGTTGAGACAGGACGAAAACTGGCTAGCAACATTGAGTGAGTCGTACAACTCGTTCATAAGACGTTTGCCGGTTTCGAAAACTTCAGCGTAGACCTAGAACACGGTTAATCAGGCTCCTGGGTAGTGATGCAAATACGAACCTTATCAGAGTCATCGTAGCACATCTCGATGCTACTTCCTGGTAGACAGTCATGGAATTGACAGAGGAGGACGGCTTCCCACATGTCATCTAGGTCCTTGGTTGGGTATTTATACTTCTTGTTCTTGATCGATGCAAAGGTAGCTAATTGCTCGATGTCTCGTAACATCACCTCGGCCTTTCGGTTGTAGTACTTGTTGTTGGCCTGTGTGGTGTACGTTCCTCTGTGAAGTTCGAAGTACAGTTCACCATACCAAGTAGGAAATTCGGTGGCCTTCTGGTTGAGGCGATCGAAATAGTCGTCGACAGTCGATCCCATCTTGATCTTTGGAATACCACCAATAGTGTTGCTGATTCCAGCACATCGACGGAGCTTTTCGAAGTGTTGCCAGGTTGGGCCACCGCCACCGTCACCCTTTCCAAAAACAAGGAGAGACGTGCTGTCAACTCGCATTGTCTTGTGCTTTTCAATGCTTCTCTTTAGGTCACCAAAGTCGGCATTCGCTGTGTATGTCTCGGAAGGAGGCATGTGACAAATCACCTGGCTTCCATCTGGACTCACCCACATGAATGTTGTGTGAGGAAAGTTATTGATATTGTTCCAGCTCAGCTTCTGGGTCAGGAAACGATCCATGTCAGCCAGCCGGCATAGCTGAGGGAGTTGGCTCGAATAACCAAAAGTGTCAGGAAGCCAGAATGTACGGCATCGAGAACCGAACTCGGTCTCAAAGAACCGCTGGCCGTAGAAGAACTGTCGCACAAGCGATTCACCACTGGGCAGATTTGTGTCGTGTTCAACCCAGCTGCCACCAATGGGATGGAACTGGCCCTCCTTTACCTTCTGCTTGACACGCTTGTAAGCAGCAGGATAGTATGTCTTGAGCCATTTATACTGTTGAGCTTGGGAGCAAGCAAAGTTGGCTTCCGGGTAGCGATCCATGAGGTCACACTGGTTCGTCCAAGATCGGACAACCTTGCGCTTTGTCTCAGCCCAGGGCCAGAGCCAGCAACTGTCAATGTGACAATGACCAATTCCGAATACGACAGGATCCTTTCCTACTTCATACACCTTATGAGAGTCAACATCGGGACCGAGAATTTCACGAGCAATCTCTCGACACTTGAGGATGGAATCCTGGTTATCGACCTCAAAAGTGTTGATGATCTTCATAGCCACAGCTAGAGCATGGTTCTGCTCAGCGGAATTTTCAGGAAGCTCTCGGGCAGCATCGCCAATCTCCCAGATATCTATGTGAAGCTTGCGAGCTGGCACATTGACAGCCACGATATCGGCCTTGCTGAGGTTGAAACGTCTGTTAGGATCTGGTGGGGCAATCGTAGTCGTGCCATTGGGGGCGTTTCCGAACATGCCATTGCACGCCATTTCGATATAAATGGTGTGTTCCTCACCATCGCAGAATGAGTCGGGGATAATCCATTCAATGCGCTCCCCACTGCCAGTGAGGCCTTGAATGGGGACGCCATCCTCAGTCCAGATAGTGCCCTCATTGCTGGCATCCCAGTGTAGCTCGATGAGCTCCTCGTCTTTGATATTCTTGGGAATGCGCAAGACAACCTTGAACCAATGAGTGGACCAGGAAGGACCAAAAGAAGTTCCTGTATGAGTTTCTCTGAATTCGTGGCTGACAGCCTCCTCAAAAGTTGGACGTGAAAGATCTGGTGCGTCCCAGACGAAAAGCTGCACATGAGGTTTGCCTGAGTATCTTGCATTGTACATGTTCCTATAACAATTAGCAATAGCTTCACGTTCGAAGGACGGAATATCATACGCCTGCAGATTGACCTTATAGTACTGTCCTGACTTATAGAACGGTTCAATGCGACCCTTCAGAATGCTCGTTTTGGGAACGCCGACGGGCCGCTCGGCGAAAAGAGGGTAGGAAGAGTCATTTCCCTTTGGTTCGCTACCGCCACCCATAGTGAAGACGTCAGGATGTCCTGGGGCAGGAGGGGCTGATCGGTTCGAGATACGTCGCAGCTTTCCGGATCGTGGGACTCGAAGCTGGTCTTCTGGGGAGGGAGAATGACGAGGACAAGCTGCCGAAGTCGACGACACGCGGTCGAACGTATTGTTGATACTACTGAAGTATAGTGAGCAGACGCTTGACAATAAGTGATGACGTCAAGCGGAGAGAAAACGAGGGTAGAAACGAGAAGACTGTGATAGATGAAGATGGAGCACGTCACGGAAAGAAGAGGAGAATCAATTGTTATTGTATTGCTGAGTTCGCTGTTGATGAATGTAGTACGGCACGTATGTATGTCTGTGAAACGTAGGCGCGGAAAGCAAGCTCTGTGTTAAGCTCTGTGCTAGGTCAAGTGAGCTCGGACAAGCTCCAAAGAGTGGATGCTGTGACTGCCGATCGGAATGTTGATATTAATAACTGTGCACTGCGCTGTGTTGATGGCGAGGAAGCTTTTCTGTCGGGATGGATCAAGCGCCAAGCCAATGTGGAAGCGGGGGATTGCTAGCCACAAGGAGAAGCTCCATTCTCGTCGAGTCCCTTTACAGGGGTTGACACACTTGCGGCACGGCAACCGGGGTAGAGGCCCGCTAGACTCGGAACGACCAATCCTCTAAGCCAAGCAAAGGATGGAATGGGGCCAGGTGATTCACTGATCGGGTATTGGGGTGCTTTTGTATGCGGGGGAGATGGAGCCGGCTTTCAAGAGGTTGAACATGTTGTTTCACAAATAAATCAAAGGTCACGTACCTCATCGTGCCAATATTTCAATTCCCGGCCGACAGTATGCAGAAAGATCTCGATAGTGGTTTCGGATCAAGTAACGACTCAATAAAATGACCGGCAAAGCGATTGCGGATGGACATAAACAGACTGAGAGCGAGGATGGAATGTTGATGAAAGGTTGTTTGTTAGGTAGCGAGAACGAGAGGTATGGTCAGGTGGAAAAATGTCAAAGTTAAGGTACGAAGCATCAGAGAGGTATGGATGAGCATTTGCCTAGTAGGAAGGCACCTACCTTGTCGGAAGCCACGGGTGGGCTTGGTTGAAGATTGCTCTAATGACAAGACCAAGCTCTTGCCATCTCATCGAAGCTCTGGGTTAGGCAAGTACCTACCTAGGTATGCAATGATGCCAGGTACGAGCCGTAAAAGCTGACCCGATCAAGAACAGGCAAGAGTCCCTTCCTAGTCTTGTGGCGGGTAATATTTGAATTGATATTTTTGTCAATTTCGTTGGGGACGGCTGAACGAGAGCCCAACGTTTATATTTCCAGTGACTGCGAATTATCAGAGGTTTCATAACTTGAATCCAAGTTACTTGAAGTAAAGGGTTTGGTCGATAGTGTATTAGGTTGAAATGTCAAGACAAATCAGGTGCTATTGAAGATGAGCAAAGTGTTCCACTAACGGGGAATCTAAGGTATTGGAATTCGGTGAAGAGACTGCCGTACATATGTTTGGAGTTCAGAAGCTTATCAGAACATCATGCGAATGAATCCAAATTATACAGGTACTGTAAGAAAGTCGAGCCGTGAGATAAAATCGAGACACTTGGACTAATGATATCGTCAACGAGGTAAGGAAGAATGTAGCCGGACTAGGTGGGTAACAGAAGAAATGTCCTCTAAAGCTTTAGCTACTAAAATAAAGCAGTCTAAATGCTGATCTGGAATAGCATAAGATGACTAAACTATTTCGTCTCTAATGTTTATCTTATGTTTATAGCGGTTCTTCTGACACCCTGCGGGCCGGAGTAAGACTTAATACTTGGACAGTGGATGTTTTGCAGCTCCTACTAATGCTACAAATCTATGAAATAGAAGCCACTATAGCCGCAAAGAGCTGCGGAATAACTCTCATGAGACTTCCCAATCCTATCAATCGTCTGCAAGGGCCTGGTTGTTCTGCTGGCATCAAGTCTCTCACCGGTTGACTCAGCATTTGCATCCCATCCAGTGCCTAGCATCCAGTACCCAGCACTCAGCCCGCTCAACAGCCCTAAATAGCAAAGTATCGAACCATTTCTCACCCATCATGACCTGTTCCGCTTCCGGCTACTCCGTACAGTACGCACAAGCGCCGTCCCAAGCGGTACGGCACAACGAAATGCTACGATAATTGCCTCTCACCATTCGATTTCCCACCTGTTTGATGTCTTCCCCTCCTTTAGTTATCACCGTCTAATCTGGACACTGTACCGCCTGTCTGTAAAGGCACTTGCGTTGCTAGGTAGGACCGTTCTCGCGACCTGGTATATCCCAAAGAATTTGTGCTGTTCACCCCAAACTGGATATCGCAGAAGTTTGGATAAACCGGTAGCCACAGATAATCTTCATCTTTGAATTTACAAGATTAAGGAGTGATTGAAATAGCCAGTTGTGAATATCTTCGTTTATGTTGATCGGAATATATACATACACCCACAGCGTACGTTGTCCACCGAATCCACCGCCAGGTACACCTATAAAGTTGTGCGAGAAATAAATCAATAAACCTAAATATCCCATGCCAGTAAAAGGTATCATCCAGGTGTAAATGCCGTAAAGTAATAAGAATGTGAGATGCCCTTAACTCCAGTGAAACTTGATGTGTGAACCGTTGTCCGCCTGCAGATTGCGCCGCCACCTAAAGCAAGACCTGGTCCTGAGAGTTTCCACCATTGTGGGAGATTCGTTGGCAATAGGTTAATGCTTTGTCTTTGTCTTTGTCTTTGTCTTTGTCGTTGTCATTAATGAGGTGTCCCCACCGTCCCGTTGAAAGGGGGCTTGTTGTTGGGTCGTTGAAAGTAAAGCGGCTGGCTTATCATGAGGATTCACTGAGATTGTTGTTTCGGCTGCCTGAGCCAGTACCTGTGCCGTGATGAACAACCTCTGAGGCGCCATCTCCTGTATACTCAATTTCGTCCTCGTCGTCATATAGTTCGTCATCTTCCACTTCGTAATATTCGTCATCCTCGGCGGGGTCTTCTGCTTCATCCATTTCCTCATACTGCTCTGGCTCGTCCAGGTCGCTCTCGCTTTCGTTGTCGCTCTCATCAAAGTTGAGCACACCCATTATGGGGACTTCTATCTTCTTGTATTGGCTCTTTATAAGATTATCGGCCATCTCAAACAGCTTGGTATCTTTATCTGGCTGTGTCTCGCGATCCATTGAGAACTCGGCTTCTTCTCGGTCGGTAAGCTGGGTGCCAACGGGGTTGTTGGGTGATTCTGGTCCATCAGGAATCTGCTTGACCCAGCGACGGACAACCTCAGTTTTAGCGATCTTATTCTGATCTGTCCTGCGTCTCAATCCAGACCGAAATTGACGCTTCTCCCTTCTCCGCCTGCGCTGGATGCGATCTCTTACATACCAAGCCACCACTAGCATAGATGCCTGCATCATATCTTGACACTTCTGCCTATGCATGTTGGCCCAAGCCTGACATCGCTGTTGCTGGTAGTTTGCTACTGCCTGGCATCTTTGCTGATAATAGGCGGCAATACGAGAGACCATGGCGAGGTATTTGGGGTCGAGGTTTGCACCGGGAATGTTGGGAATCTCGGGTGTCGTAGCCTCGCTAGACTGGGGAGTGCTGCTAGAGCTTGGTCCTGAACTAAGGTTTGGCGACGCGGACATCTTAGGTTGCGAAGTCGGGGGAGGAGGTGGTGCCATCATCGTGGGTGTGTTGAGACCTGCTAGGCCGCCGAAAGGGTCTTGTGAAGAGGCTTTGCGCTTGAGGTTGTTCTGCAACGGTCTTTGGGCAGGAAGTTTAGGAAACGAGTGACTTTCCGGCGGGGGGGTCACCGGTGTGAAGGGGTTGACAGACGACATCATAGCCGCCATAAGGCGTAGTTGTTTGGGTTGGGGCTTTGAGTATATATATGTAGATAGTGTGCGATGTATTCAGGGCACTGTTCCGATGAGAAACCGTGTGCAAGGGTTGTTGGGTACTGAATGTAATCTGTAAATGGCAAGGATAAAGTTGCTCTTTTATCTTTGGAGCCAATTCGGAGATTTGAGTCGCGTTGTTTGGCGGTTTGATCGTGCGGTTGATATCAGAGTAGTCGTAGATTTCGGTGGACACGGGCGTGTAAGTGAATAAGTGGGGCTTGTATCAGAGCAGTTGTGCTTGTGCAAGTCACAAAACGAATAATTAAGACTGAACTCGTTGGATATAATATAGTTAACACAGTAAAGGTGCGTGAAAAGTAGGGGCGTCTTTTTGGTCAGCAAAAGCGCACAAAGGGGATATATAGCTAGGTCACAATCGACAGATGTGGCCGAGGGTTTGGGCAGGGGGTCTGGCGACGTCGTGTGGCAGCGGATCCAAAATGGGCTGAGGCTCTCTCGAGAATCGGCCCACGCCGACCCCGCGAAGAAATATGCTTATGCCATCGTGTTGTTAGCAGTACAGACTGTACTGCGCCTGGCTCCGCTCGCTCGCTGGGTATTCGTTATCTTCTTGTTAGCTGGAGACAAGCTGTCTCTGCTTCTGCATTGGCTATGGCCAGACTAGATTTCGAGTAATGCTGTCGCACCATGGAATGGGGAGCATAGCACAGTGCAGTACTGAATAGCTCAGTTGATTGCTGGCTGATGCAGCAAATTCTAGTTCAAGGTAGACTTCAGGGTCAACCTCAACCTCAGACAGCAAAACTATGCTTTGACCCAGTTGGCCATCTTCCGAGGCCGTCAAGGATGCTCCCTGGCATGGAGACAGCCGTTGGATCTGATGCTGACTCTGGATCTCATGCGTTGTCTTGTGTATGCACATAGTATGTTGTTGCTATGTGTGCGCTGTTTTGTTGTGTGTCGTGATGTATCTCGCATTAATGGTGTTGTTTTTCTCTGGTCGTTTCTTTTCCTGCTTTGATTCCATGCCATATCCCTTTGACCCTGTCTGGTATGATTGCTTAAACTGGAAGTGGTGCTGTCCTCTTGTGACGAAACTGGTATCTCGATGACTCTTCTTGATACCTTCGATGGTCGCCTTGCCCTTTCTGTGCAAGATGGAACCCTGGGAACATGGGGAGCGAGGATAGCGGACGATTCCATGCTACGTTGGCGATACTTGGTCATCTTTGGAGTCCATCAATAGCCCATGTCTTACCGCCTACCCACCGATCAGATTGAGACACATGCATAATTGCGGTCGGTACATGCACAAGCTTCTCAGTTTGACTGGAGTGTTTGAGGTGCCTTCTCCAGCAGCTTGGGCAGATTTGCAGGGCCCATCTGGTGTTGAGGGATGATGATGACGCTAACATGGGACCACGAGCTGTGGTTTCCACCTGGAAGTGGAGGGGCGCTAACCCGCACTGTACCATCCATGGATCGCTCCTGCTCCTGCTGCACCTAAAAGTTCCGTCCCATTAACACTCACTAGCCGCATCTTCATCTCCCGCCCGTCATGGTCCAGGAATGGGCATGATAATGATGTTGCTTTAATGGCACCACAAGACACAAGCTTGACAAGCGCTCTCTCTCGCTTCACACTATAGACGAGAACTCTATTTCTTACAATCGGGGCCGATGCGATGCTTTCAGAAGACATCGGGACCTGTAGATCTCGGAAATGCTGTCCATCGATATCAATTGGCTCCTGTCATTCGAGACGGTTGATACCTGGGCTGTTTACTCACACGTTGTTCGCGAAGTCCCGGGACCAGCGCCTCCATGGGCAGATTCCTTCTTCATGTGCTGTCTTGTTAGTGGGCATTGGCGCTTTCCATCTCCGTGAAATCTCTGGAGTACCTGGCAATTATCCATCCTTCAGGATCGGGATCCGAGCACAGGGTCCCTACTATTACCGAGCCGAATGTTCGTTTTCCTTATTTGTGAAGTCGGAGATGGGAAGGGTCTTGCCAGACTGGGTAGACTGGTTGGTTACCTGGACTAACCCAGGCATGGAGGTTAGGTACTATATTTAATGGCTTGTAAACAACCTCAAACCTGGAATGTTTATGCTGACATATGCTACAATTATACCTAGTGATTGAATACCAAAATCTGTTTCGCAAAGTCTTCTATATCTGTAAATGTAGATCCAGACGCGATAGCTCCAGTATCAGATGAGACCGCTGCAACAGTACAGTAGCTGCATAAACTCCACGTTCCCTAGGTACTCAAGACGAGGCTTTTCTTTTTTCTTCCTTCACCGATCGATACCCCATAACGCTCATATCCGTTTTTCTCCACAAGAAGCCACAAAGGACCAGAGAGATCAGCTTGTCTTGTTGCAGAGACATGCTGCAACTCACCGAAAGTGTTATCATCAGATCTCTGCAAATCAACTACTAGGGGGGAGTTTCTATAAATTGCTGTGCTGTATCATGGAGCAAGCCCTTTCGAGTTTGAAGGGTTCAGCTGTGGGCCATAATCCATTCATCTTTTTTGTCTCGCCTAATCATATGAGCCCTGCATGTTCTTCACCACATCTCATTTAGTGTCACCATTAATGTACACCAGATCTTGGTTCTGCTGTAATTGTAAACAACTTACAGCATTACATTAATTAATTAATTGACCGACTTGACCACCTACCTATTTTTGGTTGGCGGTTAGTCGATTCGTCCACTGTCTGAGCCTGTCACTGTACTAAATCAGTACGGGAAGTCTCGACTCAGCACGCACCATCTTTCCTTGAAACACCAAACATGTTATCACCACCATCGCCACTATAGCATAACAGCCCATCTCAGATCCATGCCCCGGCCGCATGGTGCCCCCAGTAATCGGCATCCGCCATCTGCGGCCCCTGACATCACCATCTACCTCAGCCTCGACACCGGCCTCTAGGCCTGTTTCAACCTCGCATCCATTGGCCAAAGCTGATGATGCAGCTCAGGCTCAGGCTTTAGCTATAGCTCATACAGCTATTGCTACTACTGCTGCTGCAATCCCTCAAACATACCGTCATATTGGTCACCCACTACGTTATGGCTTCTCAATCCGTCCATTCCTACCGGTGCCATCTCCCCATCGTCCCCTCCAAATCAGGGGCAAAAAGACCACCACTACCTTCCAGCTGTCTGATTTGCCCCAGGGTCTAATTCAGCCGAAGCCCGTATCACCTCTTCCAACGTCATCAAAGGCTTCGTCTCCCCACGATGAGACCACAGAGCCTATGCCGCAGCCGCTCCCGCTGCCGTCTTTGCCCCAGGATCCTCCCGCCTACCCTACCGTGGTCCTTCAAGCCCGTCAGAACATGCTCAAGTTTGATAACTGTGTGTTGCTGACGAGGGTGGGAGGTTTCTATGAGCTTTACTTCGAGCATGCGGAAGAATATGGGCCCTTGCTCAACATCAAGGTTGCTAGCAAGAAAACAAATGCCGGCTCGGTTTCCATGGTAAGTTCATTGCTACCCGCCGTGCTATCACTGTCATGTCTTGACATCTCACCATCATCGTCCGTCTTGTAGGCCGGGTTTCCTTTTTTTCAACTCGATCGGTTTCTCAAAATTCTTGTTCAAGATCTCAACCGTCATGTTGCCATTGCTGAAGAGTTTCCAAACTCCCCTACGGCAAAAGTCAAGGCCGGTGGGCTGATGCATGATCGTCGAGTCACACGTATTGTTACTCCAGGTACTCTGATAGACGAGAACTTCATGGATCCATACGCAAATAATTATGTGATGGCAGTCTATATTGATCAAAGACTTGGAGCTACAGAAACAAATAATAACATCGGCCGAGTGCCGACTCCTGATGCAGGGTCTGTGGACCACAAATCCGCATCCGAACCTAGATCAGCCCATACAGTACCGTCAGCTGTTGGTGTTGGCCGAGATGTCGGGCAGCCTCAGGGGTCTCAAGACGCCATGCCACTCGGCCTGGCATGGCTCGATCTTTCAACCGGCCATTTCTGTACCCAGCAAGCCAATCTTGCATCCTTACCTGCGATCCTATCCCGACTATCTCCGCGCGAACTTCTCTTGGACCAGGAATTGCAAGCGTTCCCCAATCACGGCATATTTGCTCCTCTCGCTGAGGAGCGTGGAATTATTTCCTACGCACCGCGGCCCCATGACTCCCCCTTACTGGACCCAATCAACTGGGCGCCCATGCTCGAGTCTGCCCTGTCAGAAAGTGAAGTGATTGCTTTCTCTTCTGCTGAGGTACACGCTGCCAGCTTCCTTCTGAGCTATGTCAAGGACCAGCTGCTAGGCATGAGTATAAAATTGCAGCCCCCACAAAGAAACGAAAATGTAGAGGTCATGGCCATCGACAAGAACAGCCTACGTGGCCTTGAGATAAAGCAAACCATTCGTGATGGTGTGTTTCGAGGCAGTCTATTGCATGCCATTCGTCGTACCGTCACAAAGAGTGGTGCTCGCCTTCTCAATGAATGGTTGAGTGCGCCCTCGGCTTCCCTCGAGATCATCACTGGTAGACAAGACCTCGTCGCTCTGTTTATCGACGATGCAAACGTTTGTGATTCTGTAATTATATTGTTGCGGAGGAGTTATGACTCCCAGCGCCTTGTTCAGAAGTTCACTCTTGGTCGTGGTGACGCCGACGACCTCCTGGGTTTGGCCAGTACCATTGACGCAACTAAGGAGATTGTAGACCTGCTGAAGAAGGCCAATATACCATCTCGCAAAGCCAAGTCCCCCTGCTTGACTTCATTGCTCTCCCGAATCAGTATGACCAAGTCGTTGAAGCTTGCTCAACGTATAAGGGATGCAATTGACGAAGATGGAATTGAGTTACAGCATGAAGTAGAGGACTCTGAGACCAGCCAAATGCTAGCTCTTGCCGAAGACGTCGTCAGCAATGAGGGGTCACTGGATGATGCAGCTTCTCTTCCCAAAGGCAAGCGAAAACGGCCCGCCAGTATTCGCGACTATTACGCCGAAGACAACGACGCTTGGATCATGAAACCTGCTGCCAGTCCGACATTGAAACGGCTTCATGCTGACCTAGCAACTCTGGTAGAGGAAAAGATAGCCCTCAACGAAAGCCTACGCGAATCCCTCAACGCCCCCAGTCTGTCCCTCAGATGGACACCCGGACTCGGTCATATCGCTCACATCAAAGGTAAAGACGCTCGGAATCTTGTTGATGTACAAGCTCTTTCATCGAGTCGTTCCACACGATCTTTCCACATCACCGAGTGGACGCATTTAGGGCAGCGACTCGATCAGGTTCGTGCACAAATTCGTACTGAGGAACAAGTCGTTTTCCACTCTCTTCGAGAACATGTCGTTAAGAACATTGTTAACCTACGCCGCAATGCCGCCGTCCTCGACGAACTCGATATCGCAACGTCCTTCGCTAAGCTCGCTCAAGAGCAAAGCCTCGTACGACCCGTTATGAACAACACGACTAGTCACACCATCATGGGAGGGCGGCATCCCACTGTCGAAGGTGGTCTTTTCGAGCAGGGAAGAGGGTTTGTGCGCAATGATTGTTTGGTTGGGTCGTCTAAAGATGGCCGCATTTGGCTTATCACGGGCCCCAACATGGCAGGTAAAAGCACGTTCCTACGGCAAAACGCTCTCATCACGATCTTGGCTCAGATCGGTTGCTACGTGCCTGCATCATACGCAGAGCTGGGTATAGTAGACGCCATATTTAGCCGTGTGGGCTCGGCCGACAATTTGTATCAAGATCAGAGCACCTTCATGGTGGAGATGCTGGAGACGGCAGCTATTCTCAAGCAAGCAACCTCCCGATCATTCGTCATCATGGATGAGATCGGTCGAGGCACGACGCCCGAGGATGGTACAGCTGTCGCCTTCGCATGTCTTCATCACCTGGCAACAGTCAATCAATGCCGCACTTTGTTTGCAACACACTTCCATTCTGTGGCAGACTTGGCCGCAGCCGAGGGATTGTGCTCGACAGAGGCGGGCATCGTTCAGACATACTGCACCGACGTAGTGGAGGATGACCAAGGAGGTTTCTTCTACAATCACAAACTACAGAAAGGCATTAACAGACAAAGCCACGCATTGAAAGTTGCGAAACTGGCTGGACTGCCAGACAAAGCTATTGGCACAGCAAGACGGGTATTACACAATGACGCTCCTGAGCCAAACGGATCAGGTGAAGTCAGAGCAGGCCAGGATTAGATGATTTGGAAAGAGACACAACACAAGGCGAAGAATACAACATCTAGGATTGAGATATCTTAAAAAGTTTATAGAAACCTATAATCAATGACTGTTAGCTTTCATGATCTGAAAACAGCTTGCAAAAACATGTGATTGAAGATACGTCCGTCATACGGTAATAATGTGTGTGTCAACAGAAAATTCAGGGTTAAAAAGCTCTTGAACAGTTTATATAATCTTTCGGAAAGAATGAAGAGAGAAAAAAAGAGTTTAGCTTGACTAACCTTTTCAGATTGATGATGGCTCGATAGGTAGAATTGTATTAGTCGTTCTGTTAATTTTTGTCACATGCATGATGAGGCGTTCAAATATTTGTAACCGTCGCGACAGATTCAATTGTCCAGCAGACGATCTATGTACCCCATTTCTAAGATCCATAAGTCGTAAACCCAACCAAAGTCCTGGAAGGCGGTCGTACATCGTTAGGATGTGGCTACATTTAGTCGCTGCATGATTGTTAGTTTCGTCAATATCACCGTGGAGTGGGTTCACATACAAAAGACCGCCGAAGCCCTCATCATCCTCCTCCTCCTCGGACTCATCCTTCTTCTCCTCCTCAGCAGGGGCAGCAGCACCGCCGGAAGCGGCAGCGGCGGGAGCAGATGAGGCGTAAGCATCGGGGTTGGCGATGCGGTCCTTGAGCTGCTCAATCTCGGGCCAGCTGACCTCGGTCATGATGGCAACAGCAAGAACCTTCTTGTAGCTGTTGACAACAGAGTGGAGGACGGAAGGCAGGGTAGGGAAGTTCAGGGCCAGAGAGATGGTGGCAATGGTGGTGATAGCCTGAGACAGGGTCTTGAGGAGCTGCTCCTCACCAACGTCGAGAACGCTGGGGGGGAAGGTCTGGCCCTGGTCGTAGACCTGAGAGATACCCATACCGTAGGTGAAGGGAGAGATGTTGAGCATGTTGAGCAGGGTGGCCTCGGAGGGACCGACCTTGGAGCCGGCCTCAACGAGCTTGAGATCAGTGGTGATTTCAATGGTACCACGGGCAATCTTGGTGGGGACACCGAGAGCCTGGAAGAAAGAGGTCTTTCCGGGCTCCATTCCGGTGTTTCCAGCAGGGACCCAGACGTCGGCGGGAGCGAGAGCACCAGCACGAGCGGGAGCAGCGACCTTGTTGGCGAGGATAACGTCACGAACCTCCTTGAGGTCCTCGTTGGTGAAAACGAAACCGACGTTACCCTTGACGTGGGGAAGGAGACGCTCGTACTCGGGGGAGTCGGCGACGAAGGTCTTCAGAGCACGGCGAACCTGAATTTCATCATGTTAGCAATTTTCCTATCAAGTTGGTCCTCGAAAAGATCCATTCTGCGAGGGGTCAAGGACACAGCGGAAGGACACAGATGGGGATAAGTAATATCTGGTGTAAACCCTTCCGTTGTCTTCCTCGGCCTCGAATGGCACGTACCATAGTGTTCTTGCCCATCAGGACAACACCCTTGTTGCGGAGGGCATGTCGGATCTCGTGCATCTGCTGAGAGCTGACATTGTCGATCTCAACGATGAAGATGGAGCTGTACTCCTCGAGCAAGCCCTTGAGCTTGTCGAAGTAAAGCGACTTGTTGGTCTTGGCCCCCATATCTTCTTATTGGAGTGAAGGCAGGTTGTTTAAGGCCAAGGGGTATCGTTATGGAATTTGGGGTAATGAAGTTGTTGATGGAAGCAAAAGCTCGATTTTGCGGGCAACTTTGAGAAAATGTGTGCTTCCTGCCTTTTTCGCTTAGGGCTCTGTTGAGCTAAGCCTGATTTGGACTGATGTGGGGTACATCCTATCGATAGGAAGATACATTGTAGATGTACCTTTTTTTCAAGGCGCATCGCATCAAGTGGAACTTAATAAAGAGTCTGTTGGAGATACGATTCGACATCATATCTCATACGTCTTGTTGGCAGACACTCAATTCGCTGACAGTGTGATCGCCTACCATGAAGATCCCCTATAATGTTGTCCACGTCAGTGGGGACGTTCTTTATGCTGCTCGAGGCGGCAAGATTCACTCATACAGCCTTCAAGATGGATCTCACCTTTCAACATGGAAGCATCCCGACGTCGACAAAGTAGATGCTGCAGTGAAGGCTATCTCAGGCGAGGTCTCAAGCGAGAAACTTGCGAGTCAAGATCCTGTTGGTGCGGAGGGTGATGGCGATGATGATGGTCCACCAGCCAAGCGACAAAAGACTGAAGAGCCAAAGGATGAGACAACACCTGCCGATCCAAATGTTCAAGAGGATAAGAAAAACACCGAGGAGTTGAAGGCTGAAGGCAAGAAGAAGGGAGGAAAGAAGAGCAAGGACAGGCGCAATCAGCAGCGACCGAAAGAGCACAATATCTCACGAGTTCCCGACCGCCCAGTCGTCACTCATCTGACCAGTACCCCTGATGGCTCTCATGTTCTAGCTATCACTGGACATGACAAGGCGATCTGGGTCTTTGAATGTGATGAGAGGGGCTCTCTCAAGGAACTCAGCAAACGGTAAGCTCCTTTGAAGGAAAGCATGTCTCTTATACTGACCCTCATTAAGAACCCTGCCCAAGCGTCCTAGTGATGTAGTCATCGGTCCAGACTCGCAAATTGTAGTTGCCGACAAATTTGGAGATGTCTACTCTCTTCCTCTTCTCTACGATCCTACCGCTGAGAATGTCACTCGATCTTCAACCGCCGCGTTAGCTAGGCCTGCGTATAAGCCATCGGCTAATACCACAACTGTTCACTCGAAGCGCAACTTGCGAGCTCTTCAAGAACAGCAACGTCATATGGAGCTTGCTACACGGACCAAAAATGAGAATGGTTCCAAGTCCGATGGACCAGACTTCGAGATTACCCTTCTGCTTGGCCACGTCTCCATGCTCACTGCCGTTGCGATCGGTGAGAGCGAAGGGCGACATTATATCTTGACCGCTGACCGTGACGAACATATCCGAGTGTCAAGATACATTCCCCAGGCTTATGTCATTGAGGGTTTCTGCTTTGGTCACACGGAGTTCATCAGCGCCATGACCATCCTCTCATCGCGTGGTAATGTCCTTGTATCGGGCGGTGGTGATGAGGATTTGTTTGTCTGGGATTGGAAAGCGAATAAGCTTTTGTCACAAATTAGCGTCTTATCCTTGGCCCAAAAGATCTTGCCAGACACCACCAAGGTGGCTATCACTGGTCTCTACAACTTGGTGTACCCCCATGAAGGCTCTGATCTTATCTACATTCTTGCCATATGCCAAGAGTAAGTTTTGCGGTTCCGTCTATAAGAATTGTACTAACTTCACCCAGTATCCCCGCCATCTTCTCCTGGCAACTCACAGAGGATAACACCCTCCACCGCCCTGCCATCATTCAACTTCCTGGCAAGCCCCTTGGCATCTCTGTCAAGCCTGCTACCGGTGATGAGCCTCCTAAGATCATTACTGCTATCGACCCCAATGATTCCACTCAAGCAAAGAGCTTGGCAATCTACTCGCTCACCATGACTGACGAGAAGCTCGCCACAAGTACAACAGCTTTGGTAAGCGACGACGATATCGAGAATGTCGAGCTTGATGTAGATGAGAAGGTCGTGAGGAGTCTCTTGTACAACACTGAGAGTCTACGAAAACAACCGACGGAACGTGAAGAGGAAAGGGGCGAAGAGCAGGTGCCTGAAGATCAAGTGATGGGGGAGTCGGAGGTTGTTGAGGGGCAGTAAAACATATCAAAATCAAAGGCTAGGACAAAAGGTCAACGTATAATATATAAATACGCATCAACAAAAGCTATAATAAACATTGTTAAATAACCTTGCAGCAGACTTCATCAAGGTTGTAAGAAGCGCAAGCTCTTAAAGCCTTTTAACACCACATACAGCTTGATATTAATACCGTTCATCCTGTTTACTATCCTGACGCCAGGTGACTTCTGTCCGGATTCCGTCAAGTAACTTTTGCAAGTTATCTACCATCACAGAACCAATACGCTATTCGGAATCAAGAGTAACAAACAAATCATCATGTTCATGGTCTACGTCTGCTACTACCAAATTCATTTGAATCGTCTAATGACCTCGAAACGCCTCCCAATCCAGATCGAATGTTCCACCACTGATTTCAACGTGATTCATCAGTGTCTAGATGCCCACTCAACTGCACCTCTTCCCCTTGCACCACGCTTACAACTGCCAACAGAAAACCATATCCTCCGCTAATTTTGGTATCATTAAATGATTAGACGACTTTGCCGGCACCGGCGAACGTCTAGCCTCAGCTGCACATGCCCAGTCAGGTCCGTGGACCTTGAACATATCTAAACATACACGCAGCTGACGCCGTCATGGCATTGTATATTCTTCGTTGTACCCATGATGGGATTCCTCCACCACTGAAAATTTACTGCGAAGCGCACTGCACGCGCTCACCGCCAGGGTGGCCATCCTCATCATCCTCGTCCATCATGCCATCAGAGCCACCGAAGACTCTGCTTTGGGATGAGTTGTCCAGATCCTCGAGGCTGGCGGGCTCGGACATGGCATCTCCAGGAGGAATGTTCTGGACAGCAGGGGCGGGGAGGACCTTTCGGAGGGTCTCGAAAACCTCGGGATCTTCGGTCCAGTTCTTTTCGGGGAACTTGACGTTGAACTTGATATACATGTTGCCGAAATCGTGGTGTCTGGGGGAGGGCATACCCTGGCCGCGAACCATCTTGACAGCGTCTGAAACAAGTTAGTCAGTGTAAAGTTGAATTATGCACGAGGGATACATACCTTGAGAAATGGCCTCACCAGGGAGGATTTCGATGGCGAGCCATCGGTCGTCGAGGTGCTCGATGTAGATGGTGCCACCAGCCAAAGCTGTCACGAGCTCAATATCGCAGTTGTAAAGGAGATCATCCTCTCGGCGGGTGAAGCGAGGATGAGGCTTCTGCTCGATTTCGAAAACGACGTCGCCGGCTTGAACACCAGGTGCTTGGTCACCCTCGCCTCGGAACTCGACCTTGGTGCCACTGCGGACACCCTTGTCAACGTGGACGTGGAGGACCTTACGGTCAACGGTGGTCTTCTTTCCATTGCACTGCTTGCAGCGGTCCTTCTCCTTGATGCTCTCACCCTCTCCGTTACAGTCGGGGCAGACAGTCTGGAAGCGCTGGATCATGGGGCCCATCTGGCGCATCATGGTCTTCATACCGTGGCCATCACAGCCAGCACATCGCTTGACAGCACCCTCCTTTCCACCGACGCCTTCGCACTTCGGGCAGATGATTGACCGTTGAAGAGCAAGCTTAGAGATCTTACCACGGTAGATGTCTTCAAGGGATACTTTGTGGGTGTGGTGAATGGTCCGGGCCTTGGGAGGGCCGCGGTTCATGCCGCCGCCGCCAAACATACCTCCCATGCCACCGAAGCCACCACCTCCGAAGAATTGAGCGAACAAGTCCTCGGCGGCCATGCCACCACCACCAGCACCTCCCTCGAGACCGGCCTCACCATATTGATCGTAAATCTGTCGCTTCTGGGAGTCGGAGAGAATTTCGTAGGCATGAGAGATCTCCTTGAACTTTTCCTCGGCATCGGGGTTGTGTGCGTTCTTGTCTGCGTTGTGTTAGATACGGGAAAGCGAAGATAGATCATCGAGGCTGGGGAATATGAACATACCAGGGTGGTACTTGAGGGCTCCAACCTTGTAAGCCTTCTTTAGCTCCTGCTCAGTGGCAGTAGGAGAGACCTGGATAAATGGTTTAGCAAAATTCAAACGATGCGACAGTCGGGAGGACATACACCTAGTGTGTCGTAGTACTTGGTTTCCTTGACCATTTTGACGGTTTTTGGGTTGTTTTTCTATAGTGTGGTGCAGAAGATAAGGTAGGAGGTGAGGACTCTGTTTGAAGTATTAGTAACCCTTAGATAAAGCAAACAAGACGCAAATTTATTCACGCGCGCACGACTACAACGACTGGATGAAAAGTATGCGATGATGTATGACAACCTCGTATACTTTAGGAACCAGCGAAGGAGGAGGAGGATATTTTATATTCGTACCTTGTCCTGAAGAGCGTATCTCGAGTATCCGACGGCGGGGCTACGCTGCGGCGAATGCTCTCTAAAAATCGAATAAGTGGAGGGGAAGAGAAACGGTCGATAACGTCGCTCGGGGGTTCGCAGACGGAAGAGAAGGGGGAAAAGGATATTCCCACACGATAAGAGGCGAAGAAGATTGAAAAGAAGAAATGTCTCAGAAACAAACAACTTCAAGTCAAGTCGAGTTTAGGCGTAGGGGATTTGTTTTTGAACAGACGGGTTTTTGAGAAGGAAAGGGAGGCTGCAGCACAAAGCCGAGTTAGGTGCGCCTCATGGAACTGTGTGGAAGAATGTCGATTCTGTGGCGGTGCTGATAATGCACGACCTGGTGTTTAGTGCAAGGGATTTGGTGCATGGGGGGAGTCAGGCTTCAGTTGAAAAAGCCTGTGACGCAGCATGGGACCGGTTGAAACTGTCGGTAATTGTTTCTTCTTTTCCCTGTTTCTTTCCTTTCCACTGCTTCTCGACTCATTTGGCTTTTTCCAGGTGTTTCTACTCACATCACAGCTTATTCCAGAGCCTCAGTAAGCCCAACCGCTTACACCAAAGGCGTCATGACGAGGCTATGCATGTACCTCACTAACAGCCTGAGACCACTTCCCCTGTAAGGCAGCCGCAACACCCCCCGGGAGGGGACCCCGAATAAATCCCATCCCCCCTCCAAATGGTCCCTGCGGCTACGACAGTGGCCAAGGTCCAAGGTCCAAGTGCCACCCTAGGCCTTCGATTTTTTTCTTCTCTCCAGCCGCAGGGTCCGATTTAGGACCCCACAAAACCCGATGCCGTTGCCCGGGTTTGTCTTTTAACTGATTCGTTAACTTTTCGCCTCCTCAAAAAAAGATTGTCCCCTGTCCCCATCAACCACTCAAGCTGAATATGACTCGGGTTACCGTACGTATTTTCAGTTTTGAGATATACTCTCTACCGACTAACAGAAACGTTTCCACGTCTCCAGGTCAAAAATAAAGTGTCTATACATAGTCCCAATTCGTTGCTTCATTAAGTCGATATTTCGCTAGGTCAACAAGATCTAGGGTATCCTGATGGTTACCTATCTTGCACAACAAACAAGTTTCTAGATAAGACAAAATCAAGACGGAAAGGCAGTGGATGTAACAGCTGCTTCAAATTCAGTCTTGGTTAAATTCAATCTCAGCTTTAAAGGTTTCAAGTTATTGCATGCGTCGAGAACTTAGTTCTTGTAGCCGATAACAATCTACGGTTATTCGTACATATCTAGTCTCTCCTGGCTCGGTGGTTAACAGAAGAAATGTCCTCTAAGGCTTAGCCTGCCATAATAAAGTAGTATAAATGCTTCTCTAAATTACCTAGCATAAGATAACTGAACTATTTCGTCTCTTATGCTTACGGTCAATTCTTCTGATGTCCTGCGGCCTGGCTTACACCGAACTGATGGATGAGAATTATTAGAACATGATTGGTCTGATTGGCTTAGAAACCAAAGTTTCTTGATTGCGGCGTAGCCTACAACAAACAACTTGGAACTGGTTTGTCTACACAGTCCTGTGAGCAATCGTTGAAGGATGGATACCACTCTATTCGTCCACAATATCACGATGATCCGTTAGCTCAAATACATTTACTTTTACATTCTGATTGAACCCTATCACTTCATGTAAAACACGCTCTCTTTATGCCATCATTCGTCTGAAAACCCGCTTACATACCTACCCTACCTATCTTATCTCCATGTCCAACCATAAACCTACTCATCATGAGTGAGACTGCCAAGGTCAAGAAAGAGAAAGCGTCAGCCAAACGTAATAGCGAGGCACGTCGTGAACAAAACCGTCTCGCGAGCCGGAATTACCGTGTGTATATCTTTGCTGCTTTGCTTATGGTTGATTGATGACCTTGATCTTGCTGACGCCATCACCTTTCGGAATTATAGGAGAGAAGCGGAAGCAAAAATTAGCTCTATTGAATGAACTGCTTGAGCCAAGCAATGTTGCTACTGATATTACCGATGATGCTCAGACGAATCCCGTGCAGGGACTGAACGGACCGAGTGAGTTGTATGCTACTCAGCTGCAAGAACAATCGTTATCAGGAGCACCTTCCTCTGCAACAACGGCTGGAAGCCAAGATATGAGTGCCTTTGGGAGCGCTGGGCCATATATGTGGGAGGACTCATCCCAAACAACGATACCAACGACTTTCTTTCAACCCATGCCTCCAAACACTCTTCCATTGACCAACCTGGACGATGCTTTCAGTCTTACAAACCAGGATCCATGGGGAGACAACATGTTCGGCTTCTCAATAGACTCTCAGAATGCCTCTAAAATGACTTACATAGACTCGAGGTCAATAGAAGAGGTTTTTGAGAGCAGTCCAGAGTCAGGAGCCAGCCCGGAAACACCACCCAGCGACGATGGCAACGATGAGACCCTCAACAATGTCTTGAGTGGTGTAGAGAATCTTACTTTGGAACAAAAACGCTCTCTTCTTCGACGGCTACAACAAGATACCCAACCTGCAACTCCAAAGCCTCATGTTCCTTGGCACCAGGCAAAACCTCCAACTGCAGGTCAACTACGAGCCATTGAGTTTGCAAAAGCGTTGTACAAAACTGCTCATGCCAGACCAACGCTTCTGCCCACACAATACACGATGGAGACAGGTATCTTTGGGGCAATATTTGCCAATTGTTATGCGCTTGGCATGGCGGGTGTGGACGAGATTCTCGGTGAAGAGGGATGTAGTGTCTTTTCTGTGACGCAGGATGAAGGACATCATCTGTCGCAATTGCCTCTTGTCAAATCCAGGTTTCGAGCATTGTCTCCTGATCTAAGACCGATTGATAAACAACTAACTTTTGGACACCATCCATATGTTGTAAGTTTGCTGGTGCTAATATTTACCTACTTACAATGCTAAGATACTTAGGATGTCATCCCATTCAAGAGTTTCCGAGAGAATCTCATCAGAGCTTTAGAAAATAAACCCTCTATGATTGATGAAGGTATTCTGTGCCACGATATACTTGCTGGCGGCTTCACATGTTGGGGGTCAGGGCGAAATCCACATGGCATGGCTGCAGGTGTACCTTGGGATTCGCGGAGCTGGGAACCGAGTGTCTGGTTCCTGATGAAGTACCGGCACCTGGCCGGTGACTGGGACGGAGAGTTGTGGACAAGTGCGAGATGGTGGCATAACGCTCGTGGGGAGAGGATACAGGCAGCAAAAGTCACAGAGATTGCAAACTCATTCGATGGGGCAGCGAGACGATAGGGATATAGCACCACAAGCGCTTTCATAAACGCCAGTCGAATCTTGTAATATACGAGTAAGGATTTGGTATCACTAAGAATGCCTAGCCAAACAACGCCCGGCATCCAAAAGAACCTGACTGCCGGGCCAGCTCTGAAAAAAATAGATTACAAGAAACCAAGGCACACACAACAGGGCGGTTTTCATCACGCCCGTTCTACACCAAGCATAGTTTCCTCTTTTGTCGTTCGTCAAGCTCAATGAAAAGGCCGTGTCGATGCTCGCTTCGCTTTCTCCAACAGGCTATGCATAATGAAAACAAATAATGCGCACGCAGTCTAAATAGACCTCCTTAGAAGGCGTCCTCGAAAGGACAGTCGACGCTGTCATGGCCGTCGCGTTCGCAAAGGGCGCACCACTTCTCAGGGTCCATGACGCCGCTTTCCTTGCCAGCAACCGGGCCTGACTCCATAGGATTGGGAAGGATCTTGACGGCTGGTGAAGGAGGGTCATCTTTCTTGATTCCCAAGGGTGCAAGAGGCGCAGGGGCATCATCGCCTGTTGGGGGCATGTAAGGCTTGAACCCATTGTTGATGTCCTTGACTGCTTTGCTCTCACTGTTGCTCTTGGCGCCGTCAGGACCAAACATGTTGGTGCAGGTCAGGATATCATGACCGTTAGTCTCACAAATCTCACACCAGAGAGTGCTAGTCTCAGTAGCGTTGGAGTAATCGTCGCTTTCCGGCATGGTATCAAGAGTGCTGACTCGCTTGTGTGTGGGTGCACTGGATCGCTTGATGTTCTCAACCGGACGATTTTCCAATGCCTGTGTCATGACGACAGTATCCCGCGAGTCTCTGAAAGATGACCTGTTGGCTGTTCCACCGTTCTGACGGAGGGAGTCGAGCTCCTTTTCGAGCTCTTCTTCACGGTTGTTCTTCTTATCCAGAATAGACTGAAGCTCAGCCACTTGTCGCTCAAGGTTATCGCGCGCAATCTTGTTGGCCACAACGTCTTCAGCGATCATGGAGCCAGGTCTCTGCTGTGGGGGTTTGGGCTCTCCAGGAATAGAGTCACGGCTTAGGGAATGAATAATAGCTTTGAGACCTCTAATCTCATCATCCTTCTGCTCGAGCTCCTTGGAAGAAACTGTGCTGTCGCCGTTTGCAGGGGGGGTTGAGGCTTTCTCGCGCTCACGGCGCAGTTCCGTCCTTGTTCGTTCAACCTCTCCGCGAAGGAACTCGACTTCACCTCTGGCCTCGGCCTCGCCCCGGCGAGCATCCTCCAAGCCTTCCTCGAGCTCCTGAACAAGCTCCTCTAGTTGCTTAAGCTGAGTGGCCACTGAGTCAACGTCCAGGTTCCGCGACTCAAGCTCTCGAACGTCAGCCATCAGCTCCTCTATCCTCTTCTCATATACCCGCTCCGTCTCGGTACTGGCAAGCTCCAGGGTGTCAATAGTGCTCCTGAAGTCCGCCCGATGAGCGTCAAATTCTGCTGTGAGCATGGCGATCTTGTCGTTCTTCTCCCTCAGCAGCTGGCGCAGCTGCGCCGTATCTTTATTATCCCAACTATTGCGCTGTGCTGCTGGCATATCTGCCGATTCCATAAGACTCTGTAATTCTACCAAGCTGCTCTCCATATCGGCCAGGGCGGCGGACTGCTCCTTGAGCTGTCGGTCCCGATCCTCGATTTGCGATTTCAGATGTTCAATTTCCTCGTCGTTCATGTTGATACGTGACGCCGGTCGGACCTTCATGGCAAACGATGATACGGAACCAGCGCTGCCATTAGTGCCGGTACGCTGCAGTCCCATTGGCGGCACATCCTCATCTACTCCTGAGATCGAGCCCAAAGCTGAGGCGCTGCGTGGTGCAAGACTTGGCTTACGGTCCAGTCGATTAGGCCGCTTGCTTGGGTCCCCTGAAGTGCCGCGGACACTTTGGGCGAAGCGCGACTGTGTCGGGCTTCCAAATCTGGACGGGGTCCTGGCTGGCGTCGTCATGGAGGGCCGCGGTCCGGGTGTCATTTGCATACGGCGGACAGGAGACTCGGGCCGCGGAAGAGAAGCTCTAGTTACACGTTTGCCTTGCGGACTGGGAGCGCGGGCGCCGGGTCCAACAGAAGCGCTGAATTTGGGAAGACCTGGGGTCGGGGGAGTGTAGTTGAGTGAGTTCTGATTGCCGGCTCTAAGACCACCATATGTGCTTGCACTTGGTGTAATGGGAAAGGATGGGATCGGTTCGCCGCTGCGAGGCAGAGCTTTGGCTGCAGGCAAGAAGATTCCAGCACCGGGAATATCGGTAGAAAAGTATGATACGCTTCATAGTGTTAGTCCTGTAGATATGCTTAAGCAACATGGAGTCCTTACCCGTCAACATCGCCGTCGTTTTTTCCCCGACTGGCAAATTCCTCGTCGAGTTCAACGCCAGCAAAAAGACCCTTCTTGCCTTGGACAGGGCCGACAAATCGCACAACGCCATGCATTCCACCGGGGACATCAACAATGTCACCGAGCGCAACATTAACGGCCTGCGAACGGCCTGGGGTCGTAGGAGGCATCATGTCTTCAGTTGGGTCGCTCAGGACAGTTTCAACGGCGTAACTCTCAGAAACATCGGGTATGCTGGCGAGAGAGCTCTGGGTGAGCTGGGCAAAGGAAGCTTTGCGCGGCAGAGGCGGTAGAGGCGGCGCTGCGCGCGAATGTGTAGCGTATGCGTTTTTGAGATTAGGAGTCGATACGATGTTGTGGGATCTCCGTAGAGCGCGGGACGAGCTCTTGGGACGTAATTTTGGAGTGGTTGACCTGGAAGGAAAGGTAGATGTTGTTGTTGATGTTGCAGAAGGCATCTTGGGAGGCGGCGAAGCCCAGTCGGGGCCCTTATTTCGCTGTACTGGGGTTGGTAGCCAAAGTGGGCGTGTCAGGTCTCATTTGTTTACATGGACCCCACGCCGCATATGGTAAGGGGGCAACCGACCTAACCTTTTTGTTCCCGGGGGAGCAACAAGGCACCTGCACTGAACCTCAAGGTCGGGCAGTTAAGTTAGTTACCGGCTTTTATTTTTTTGCTGGGTTCTTTTTTAGTTCCCGCCCGTTCATGTGCCGTTGACTTTTTATTTGGGTTTTTGGGTTTTTGCTTTGGCCTTTTTGTTTTAGCGGCTTCAAAGCACGGTTATTGGGTAGGTATGGTATTGATCAAATGATGATCTGTCGTTCAGGGTACATGTAATACCCGATATCGATGAGGCGGACGAGAGCTGGAGGGCCTTGATCGGAGAAATTTGGTGTCGGAAGAAATGAGATTGACGTTGGGTCGGGTCGGGTCGGGTCTTGTCGCAGGTTGCAGAGGGAGACTCCCGTTAGAATGAGGGAGAGGAGACAGTGGGGATGAAAAGAGATGAGAGGGAGTTAACGAAAGGAAGAGACTAAGATTCTGAATGAAAGAAGAGATGAGGAAGAAAGGGGAGTTGCTATGAATAGATGGAAGTGGATGAAGGTATATAAATCAGATCAAGTGCCGTACGTAGTGTATCGTATCGTATGTAAACAATCGAAAACAGCTCGGCTATGCAGACTATGCAGCTCAGAGTGGAGTGAAGCTATTGATGCAGCTCCTTGCTTGCTTGCTTGCTTGTTATTCTGAAAGAAAGGATAGGTAGTGATGGTGATAGACTTGGTGATTTGTCCAATCCAGGAATAGAGTAAAGAGAAGTAAGACAAGTTCAAACAGAAAAACAGCGATCGTTCTTTTTTTCTTTCCTTCTTTTTATTTGTTTGACCCTCTTCTATAACTGTTCGGTCCCAGTTTTGGTTCGTTGTCACCGCTTCGATGCACCTTTCTCCTCTCTAAACTGGTCTGAGGGGCTTGACCAGGGAACGACGCAGGGGATGATATGATGGCAGGGCGACAGGAAACCGGGGAAGTATGAGCGCAACAAGGATTGATGTCTGGATTCTTCTGTGATTGTCATGAAACCTGATAATATGCCTGCCGTGTGATGAATGAGATGTGACAAGATTATCACTGCTGACTATGGTAAGCAGAAAAAGACAAAGAAACATGGGCCATTGCAGAGGCCGAAGAGAGTAGAAGAATGAGGAGTTGAAAGAAAAAGATCAATTCAAAGGAATAAACCCAAAGCAAACAAGGTCAATCCCTCTCTTCTTAAACGCAAGCCTCAATCCAAACGCTATCATGACTTGCCACAGGAGTCAACCCCTAGTATTCACATACAAAAAAAAGGCGTGGTCAACTCGGTAGATAGTAGTCTAGTTCTTTACAGCTTTATTTTCGCTCATCACCTTTTAGCTCTACAAGCTCTACCTATCCTCATATTCATGGTCACCGTTGTCATGATATCATTTGTTTACATGCAACCAAATCCTCTGTAACCACGGCATCGTCCCGCTGCCATGCATAGGTTCGCGCTGCATCAAGCGTTGGCCTCTTTCCCACCGCCAATGGCAGACCACAAACCTGCGATACCATCTGCAGTATCCGCAATGGCAGGCGTCTTTAGCCCTCATGAGGCGTCCCATTCGCTCCCGCATGCAACCAATACAGCCCAACCCCGCATGGGATTTCCTAATGGATTGGATTATTCTGATATTGGCTTCTCAGGTTGTCATGGACGATTGGAGTTTGACATCAGCCATTCATTACTGTAGCCGCTCTCTCTCGAACCATATTAAGGGTCCTATTACTACTCATCAGCCATTGTACAAATCGATATCTGTATCCGTATATGGATGTTCCGACTTTCCTCTTGCTCGGTATTATTCAGTGGCTCTCCTGCACTCCACCAACATGATGGCTTGCGGTTCTAGCCGCTTTCATCTCCACAATCGTCTACCAAGCATGATACCGCAGAGATCTGATTTCTTATTGCCTGTCGCAATTGATATACAACCAGAGGACCGATATGCCACCATCTTTGCTGTGCCGCCAGTTACGTAAAATACGTGTCTTGGAGCGACGTCCTAGATATAAGACAAACGTAAATTACACCCCACAGTCCATCCGACATTAAAGTACATGCTTCAAGTACATAGAGTAAAAACTTATTATAAGTCAACCACAATTTGTCCAAGCCATGGATGGGCCCTTAAGAGATGATCCATCTGAAAGGCTACAGCAGACCTCAAACAAGGAAAGCTGCAGCATCTTCCACAACAATGTCACAAAATAAGAATATTGCAGATATCCCCATAGCCACGGGTTTCCTATGGTGTGTTTAATTAATCAACAGGAAAGCGCAAGATGCAAATTGCGACAATGCGGATGTGCTTCAACACCAGTAAGACATGCAAAGTTCTCCAATCAAGGACCCAAGTCCTCCTTCGTTCTTCGTCGTTCCCATATACCAGTAATAATAATTATAACAAAAAATGATGCGACGTATTTAATACAGTTCCTTCTCTTCCTCCCTCCTCTCAACGATTGGTTCTGATGAGTCTGTAGAATCGATCCTACTGGGTTCCGTTCACCGGCACGTTGTCGGAGGGGCTAGGTGGCGCAGGCTGCTTTCGGAGTGTCAGGGGGAAAGGGTACTCGTCAGGGTCCTCCTCCTCACTACGAATGTTGTTAGCAAGATCCATATATAGATGTCACCCAGTTTTACTTACGGGAGCTTCCAGGCAACATAGTCCTCCGTGCTCAAACCCTCACGGCCTTCCTGCAGACTGGCAAAGTCGCCGGGTGTCATCATACCAGTGCGATCTCTTGGCGAGCCAGGAACAGAGAATGGTCGAGAAATCTTCTGCTCAACACCAGGGATGAAGTCCTCCTCTTCCTCATCACCAACGAAAGAGTTGGGGTAAGCACGGCGAAGAGCCAGTTGGCGAGCCTTGACATATTCCATACCCATTCGCTTCCAGTCGAGAAGATCACTAAGACGCTCGGTTCGGTTTCGCTGGTTGATGCGCTGACGGCGGCTCTTTCCACAGAAGTCGTACATGAACGAGGTGAGCTGGTTGACTGAGTCGTCAACACCCTTGGTTCGTCGATCCACAATGTAGATACCATAGTCGCTCGAGTTCTCAATAAGCTCTTCCATGTAACATCCGAAACCAGAAAGGTTGGTGGTAATGCTGGGAACACCCATAACGGTGCACTCAGCGGGGGTATAACCCCAGGGCTCATAGTATGAAGAGAAGACTCCGAGATGACAACCTCGGACGAAGTCGTCGTAGTCGAGAGGAAGAACGGGGTTGGCCGAGTTGAGGAACTCGGGGTGGAAGATGACCTTGACACGATCGGTGGGGTGGTTGAAGAGCTGCACACGGCGGATCTGGTTCAGGACGGGGTCCTCGTGATCGTTGAGCATGTTATGGGTGACAATTGGGGGCAGTCCGTGGCGCTTCATAGCAAACAGGCGACGACGAAGCAGAACTCGGTCCTGAGCAGAGATAAGCTCCTTCTCATCGGGAAGAGGGTCACCCTCGTGCCACTTGAGGGAACGCTCAAAGAGACGACGGCCGATGCTCTGCTCAATAACGTGTGTGGTGTCTCGTAGAGACTTGATAACTGCCTGGCCCTTCAGCGCCTCAACAGTGAGCGAGGTGGTTTGAGCAGGCATGATGATGAATGCGACAACTGTGATCTTGCTGCCGGCAGCCTTGAGGCGATGGTTCAGTCGCGCCAAAGACTCGATGAACATGTCAACACCCTTATTTCTGAACTCATAACGGCCAGCGGTGAAGAGATACAGTGTGTTATCCACATCGAAGTCATAGTGGCCATAGAAATGTCCGCGAACAAAGTCGTGGATCTTCTCTTTTGCCTGCTGGTGGAGGTTCTGGAACTCGTGAACAGCAGAGAACTTTGTGACGTTGAGACCGTTGGGAAGGACACCGTCGGGCTTTCGCTTCAACAGATGCTCGGACTCGAACGCTGTGATGTGCGAAACGGTGGTGAAGACATCGCAGGCATGGGCGGCTGCTCGCTCGATACAGTATCTGTGGTAAATACCACGCTTGCCAGCCTCGGCATCGACATCGAACCACTGCAGGTTGTTGTAAAAGTCTACGGAGCCGGCGCAAAGGTATCGGCCGAGAAGAGTGGCGTGTGTGGTAAAGATCGTCGTAACATCGATGCGGCGCTTCTTGCAGAGGGGCAGGGCAACGCCAGCAAGCCACTCGTGGAAGTGAGCAATAACAGCCCGCTTCTTCTCGTGGCAGACAAACTACGGAATTAAAGTTAGCAGATCTGATATGTAAGTGGAAAAGTCAAGGGGTTCTTACCTCACCCAGGAACCAGGCAACAAGATAACCAAAAACGATGGCTTCGTTGGTCTCATCGTCGCCAGGTGGTGAGGGAATGCTGGCAGCTTCCCACAAATCGGACTTCCACTCATCCAGGCGGCCATAGGCGGTCTTGGTGTCAATGAGAATAACCCTAGGAGCTCCCTCAATCAACCAGCGCCCATACACGATGTGGATTCCGCGGTCTCTCATAGACTGTAAAGTAGCAGCGATCTCTGGGCTAGTGGGCTCCATCTCTTCAACCTCGACAGCGGCCTACTGCGGTCAGCATATACAAGTCACCGCAATTCAAGACAACGAGCGTACCGATTGGTGGTTGAGAGGACCGATAAGCGTATAGCGGTCGCCATATTCAGCTGTTGTTACAGGAGCTTTGGATTTGATGACAGAGTAGATACCGCCGACTACATCGTGTTCAGGTTAGCATGTGAAGATTGGCGCGAGACTGCGCAGCGACATTCGTCGCCAATTGACTGACCTCGATGAGCTACTTCAGTAGCAATCTCAAAGAGAAGGTGGTTCTTGATGTCGCGAGTCTGCTCGCCTCCGGAACTCATCTTGACGTGAATTCCCCCTAAAAGATGAGGAGTAGACTGTTGAGGGGGTTTTCGGTGGGCGCGATGATCTGATGAGCGTCGACCAGGGGCTGGTCGCGTAGTAGACGAGAAGATCTAGCGCAGGTCTCTCAAGAGGACAGGAACTGGAGAGAGAAACAGCAGAGAGAAGTGGTATGGAGAAGTAAGAAGAAGCTGTAGCAATGGCCCGCGAAACCAATTGAGAAGTTTTCTCGGGAGTAGCGAGACGTGGCTGGGAGGGATCGGTAGAAGCGAAACGGATGGGATTAAATCGAGATGGTGGTGGTCTCGATGTTGCGTCACTGTGCCGCTGTTGAGCACGAACCTAACCTAAGAGATGGATCTACAGGCAATAGGTGAGCAGGGGGTCTTGCACAGGGAGGGAGGGCTCCATTCGGAGATGGATGGATACGCATGTACGTGCTATGTGCCCATGGGGAGCGGAGTAAAGCACTAACCTAGTAATGATAGCACGATGAATGGATCTCAGGTCCTGGCGGTGGTGATTTGCTAGGTTGGTGTTTTGAACCGTTACACCGAGTGAAGGGGAGAGGATGGAGAAAAGGAGAAAGAGTAAAAAAGTAAAATGGTTTTAAGAGGGAAAGGGTCTCAAGAAGAGGATGGGAAGAAAGCGACCAATGTTGAAGAAAAAATTGTGCACCAAGACGTTGAGTTAAAGGAAGATGGTGTATTGATGTACTCGGCAGGTACCTTGAGCGCTGTTGGCCGTGATATGATCCAGTGTTGATGCCCGCTGCAGTACAGCTTCAGCTCGTACTTTGGCGCACTAGCGACCCAAGCTTGGGTGGGGTCGGGGGGATGTCGGGGCCCCAAGCTCCTAGCAACGGCGCCTAAACAAAGCCAACCTAAAGGCCCGCCCGTGGGATCCATTACCAAGCCCAAACACCTGAGGAATCCAGGGTAATTCGCCCATCGGGTTTTCTTGGCTTTTAGGACAGGGGACCAGGGTCAACGTTTTTAGAGAGACAATCTGGGTTAATGCTTGAAGCTACCGATTGAGTAGAGGATCAATGCTCAACAACAAGTCCAAACTTGGGATGATGAACAAAGCGAAGATTCACGCACGATGTGACTGGTCAATTCGAACAAGTCCAGGTTGGTGAAAACTTTTACATCCCGTCCCATCCTGTTGAACCTCAAGCCGTTGGTCCCTCTCAGACTTCCGACTCCGACTCCAGCTGTCAGCATATCCTAAACTCAATCAAGATTAACCACGCAGAAACGGACCAGGCCACACGCCACAAACTTGAGATCAAAAGGAATAGCTCCTTGCAAACCAACGCCACTCCGGTCAAAGAGCCGAGGCCGGCCCATGATCAAGGTGTTTCACTGCCATTTCCAGGTCTCGATGTTACGCCATTATGAGAAGGTATCGCTTTGTTGAGGAGCTTGGGGGTCTTGAGTCTTTTCTCCTTTCTCTTGGCCTATCCCATTGTTTAGTTTTAGTCTCTAGTCTACGCCCCGACGTTTCTTCTCAACGGCATGCACAAATCTCCCACCCACTGGACTAGACCGTCAGCATGGCACAAACTTTTCACTACTGTAGGGACCAAAAAGAGACATTATCATCCTAAAAGTTGGCCTGCATTGTGTTTGGCCAGACGCAGGTCTGGCACTTCTTGGGGGTGTCGGGATGAGGTCATGGAATGCGGGGAAATGCCAGTGATCAACATGTTAATGAGCTTCTTGTACTTCTCCAAGCCCGGTTTCAACTCCTTTTACTGCTCATCTTATTGGAAAAAGGTCATCATCTTGACATTGGTGCTTATCACTGTACTGATTCTTGTGCTGTAACCTGTTTCTCCATGTCAATGGCCCACAATGGCAAACTTTGGTCCTCATGTCCTCAAGTTCCCTGCAGTTCGATACCCGGGTAAACGGACATTGCTTCGAATCTATCTACTATTATTTTCCATGAAGATATATTGACTCGAACACGAATTAGATGGGTGGCGGTGCCTGAAAGCCTGCGGCATATGTTCTACCGAGACCCCGAGCTATGATATCAGTGTTTGGGCAACTCCCTTCATCATGTTGTCTCTCCTTCAAAGACAACAAGATGAGCTCCCACGTCTACGGAATTGCCAAGAATGCATTTCCTCCGCCAACACGCCTCCCCCAACTTCCTTCGAGACATCTGGGGTGGAAGCCTTATTACTCCAAGTCTCCAATGCATCAAATGCCATGGCAACATAAAGAGGATTGTCATTTCTGCCGAGCAACAAATGTCTATAACACAAGATATTGGGCTTCAAACAACAATAAGTTGAAAGCCTAGCGTCACCTAAGGTTTTAACAAAGGAACAAGACACGGGACAGTTCCTTAATTTCTCTGGGTAATGAGACTGGACTTGAACTAACCGCACGGAAGCTATCTTTGGAATGACTTCGCTTCTGCAAACGAGATCTTGCCCCGGTTTAACTCCACCAGGGAGATCTTTGAGGGCGATCTTGACGGGGACTAATTGCGACCTTTCTAAGGGGTGCTCAGCTGGGACGTGTTTCGAGGGTTTACTGAGATAACAGAATCGTCTACTATCTAATCACTAGGTAAGGTTTGACTAATAAGATATCTAACTGTTATGTACTGTCTTCATAGTCTATTCCTTTAAGATCGGACTAAGAGCCTACCTATAGACGTTGCTTAATCTCATTCTAGATTAAACGATCTACCATCAATCAGTCGTGGCTTATATCAGAACCGAGGACTGAGCACTGCTCAAGAACAAGATCTAAGCAGTTCTCGTTGCCCAACAGTGCCAAACACCTGCACAGAGCCGAGCTACGGGTTACAGCCGAAAACCAAGGGGTGATTGTCAACAGCAATAGTTACAAGCCCGGCTGGCGTAATGGCTAACGCGTCTGGCTGTAAGTTCTCTCGAATATAATGTTCGAATCCCTTTCAATGATCTTTAACTAATTCGTGATTCAGTCTAACCAGAAGATTGCCGGTTGTATGTACACCAAGCAACGTCTCAATGATTCTTAAACTAACTAAATTTAGCGATCCCGGCGTCGGGCTAACATAAAAAAATACATCTTTTTTGCCCTTGATTGTATTTTAGTTGTTGTTTGTTATATATAGTGTTGATTTTTTCTGGTGTTGATGGTTTTGATATTGATGTTTGCGAGGTATTGACCATTTCGTGATAAGTGGGTCTGTAATACTATGTGCGACAAGGTTAAGCTTAACGTTCCTTCCTTCTTTACCTTTCCGAGATATACCATTGCCATTACTGGGCATTAACAGAAGGGGAATAAGAAACAACAGTAATAATAGCAAAGTGCCTGCCAATGACACACTCCACAAATGCACTACTGAGCAATGGATGCTTAGGATGAGGAGAAGTGTGAGAAACAACAAAATAGAGGTATGTAGAAAGGGTTGCTATTGACTTACTAATTTTACGCGCAAGCATCATAATTATAACATAGCTAGAATACACATTGCATACCCACTTGATTAACTTCAAAACGGTATGTCTTGAGCGAGTCGCATCGCGGTCAAGTATACAATTGCTTGTCATTTATAATTCCAGAGCCTCGCCCTCTTTCATTGGGTCTTCTGGCCCCCGTTTCCCGCAGTGGGGCCGCTCCGATGCAAGGCTGCGAAAATTTCCAAAATTTTCTAGATTTCGCTAACAACTTTGCGCATCACTTTACTACTGCCAAATCTACACTGTAAATCTAGTAGGATTTCCAAGGCTCAATCGGCCTCAAACTAGCAGCGGTTAATTACCTCTGCTTTATCGCCCCTATATTGCCTACGAAATCAACAGGTATATCCCAACAGCTACGCAAACATGGGGGACGTCGCACAGGTCAAGGTGGTCTTCACCACCACTGAGCAAGACTTGGTGCTTCCAGAGTCCAAGCAACAACTGCTCGTTCCCGCAGGTTAGTCAAATTTGATGAATGAAGATACGGCGCAGGGACTGGCATACTAATATTTTGCAGACATCAAGCGATATGGCCTCTCCCGCATTCTCAACTCCGAGTCTATGCTCGACACATCCTCTCCCGTTCCCCTCGACTTCCTCGCCAATGGCACATTCCTTCGCACCTCTATCGAAGAGTACCTCGCTACCAACGGTCTTTCTTCTGAATCTACTCTGACTCTGCAGTACGTCCGAAGTCTGCTACCCCCAGTCTACGAGGCAAGCTTCGAGCACGACGACTGGGTCAGCGGCGTTGATGTTCTGTCGGCAACTTCGAGGGCAGGTCTTCTGGCTGGTGGCGCAAACATCCCTGAGCGAGTGGCCAGTGCTTCGTACGATGGCCTAGTGAGAGTTTGGAACCCTTCTGGAGACGCAATTGCTGTGTCTCCAGCTGGTCGTGCTGGTGGTCACACTCAGCGAGCCAATTCTGTCAAGTGGATTTCGCAAAAGCAGCTTGCTTCGGCTGGTTTGGATCGCAAGGTTATCGTCTGGAACTACAGCGAGTCTGAGGATGGATTCTCTGGTAGTCTCAAGCCCAGTATGGAGCTTTGGGGCCACGAGAAGGATATCAACAGTCTTGAAGTGAACGGCGCTACCAAGCGCATTCTTACAGCCTCTTCTGATGGCAAGGTCGGTCTCTGGACATCATCAAAACAAACAGCTCCCCAGGCGGATCCCGAGAGTCTCCCCTCTGCGCACAGCACCAAGCGAGCCAAGTTGGCGACTGCTGCCAACACTGCCCAGCGTGGTCCTCTTGCGCTGATCCCAGTCCACGACGAGCCTGTTACTGCCGCCATCTTCCATCCCAACGATGCGACAGTCGCCTACTCTGCATCAAAAGATCACACTGTTCGAACCATCGATTTAACGACACAGCGCGAGGTTAGCCGTCTCACAACAATGCACCCGCTCCTTTCCGCGACGGCGCTTCCGGGATCGTCGCTCATCGCCGCTGGTTCGTCGGCCCGACATATCACTCTCCTCGACCCTCGCGAGTCAGCTACCACTACCTCAGCCATGACTTTGCGCGGTCACGTCAACATGGTTGTCTCCTTGTCCGCTTCGCCCGAGAACGACTACTCACTTGTCTCCGGCTCACACGACAGCACTTGCCGTGTTTGGGATCTACGAAGCGTGAGGATGGGTACCTCGGAAGAGGGTGGCGGCAGTGTCAGTGAACCTGTGTACACCATTGGCAGAGAGTGGCTCAAGGGCAAGAAGCTTCCTCTTGCGGGTGATGGAGCCAAGGTTCTCAGTGTAGCCTGGGATAAGACTTGGGGTATTGTGAGCGGTGGCGAGGACAAGAAGGTCCAGATCAACCGTGGAAGGGACCTGTTCGGCTCAGGATCATAACGTATTGGGTAATATAGATGGGGATATTAAAAAGCGATTATTGATCTTATATTGAGAAATCATTGGTGCTGATTTTTATTGAGTGAATGCTTCGCTCTTCATTCAACTACAGTCATTCTTTGCTATATATGCATAGAAGGCGGAATGATTCAACCAGTTCTACATCTGACCGACAAACATTGAATTCATTTCTGCGTCCTAAGGTAGATATTCATCTTCTAAAATACCCCGAGAGAGAGGGTAAGGCTCTTCATTAAATTCGTTTCCAGCTCCAACTTCTAGGCGAGCCATCAGTATTTGACCGTACACAATCATGTATCCATAAGCTCTAGACAGTCTATAGCTCTTCTTCCGACTCTTCGGCATCTTCTGCCAGTGCTCGATACCTAACTCCTGACAGCGCCTGGGGAGCAAGGTGTGCCAGCACCTCATTCCTAAGCCTCGTCTTCTGGTATGGCAGCTTCTCGGCGATGATAACATCAAGAATATAGCTCACAACCGTATTGGTCTTCAAAGGAGGGGTTCGCAGAAGAGCCGCGATAGACTCCGGCGTGAGGCCTTCGTTGTTGTGCCAGAGGAAATAAGTCCGCAAAGAAGTGGTAGAAGCCCTCAAAACGTGGACCTTGTTGCGGTATTGGGTCGTTTGGCTTTCAGCTGCGATAATACGAGGGTCTCTTGTGTCTTCGACCTTCTTTTCGGAGGGTTCTACTTCTATCGTCCTTGATGCTGTAGGAGGTTGTGGAAGTTCATCATTGGACCCGGCCAATTCAGCTTCAAAGTCAGAAATCACCTCGGAATCTCCAGACTCCGACGTGGCGTCACTTTCATCAACATCATCAGCCGTTAAGAACTTGATAGGCAAGTTCTTCTCGACAAACTCAGGCCGAGGAGGAGTTGGCTGCAGTTTCAAACGCTCCTGCTCCAAGACATGGTATAGTTGTAGACCAACATAAGCATCTGAAGCAGAATCTGGATAGGGAGGTCAGCCGCTGCATATACCAGGCATTAGATTCGACTTACATGCTACTTGACGTTCCGATAGACGCAGCATCCAGTTGCCAGAGCGTACATCGTCTCCTTTGAAGAGCGGGAGGCCTAGAACTTCTTGCGTCTGTGCCGCAAGATTCACCATGACCTTATTGATTCGGTTTAGCTCCCCAGACTTTGAGTATTTGACAAGCTTGAAGAGATGAGATAGCTCGAGAACTCCCTTGCTCTCGATGCCAAGATTATTCCTTAACCGCGTACAGTCACCCTTGATTGAAACGCCCACCTTTGTCACGTTCTCGTCTTCCATGATTTTCTTGAAGGTGGGAGCAACGAAGTCGTCCTTCGGGAAAAGAGCGATATGGAACAATCCAATACGACTGGGGCTAGCGATCTGGATGAGGGAGACGTTTATCCGAGGATTGTTGTTCTTTGGCCTAATCAACCATTCTAGATCGAAGCCGATGACCTTTTCGTCTGCAAAGTATCGCTGGCAGACCCATTCCATAGTATGCTTGGAGGTGCAATAATGGACCTTGACTTTTTGCTCCTCGCCATTTTCTTGAATATGACGATACATCCTGTAGGACCAGAAGGACTCTTGAGAGCCAGCTTGGCTCTTTCGCGCAGCTTCCCAATGGTCGACATCAATGGTGTAATCCAGGTTGGTCAAAGGAGGAGCGACAGTCTCTGTAGTGACAGTCTTGGTCACAACAGTCTCTGTCGTAATGGTTTCTGTTGTAACAGACTCCTGTTTTGAAGGGTCGATCAAGTTTCCGTCTGTGTCTGTCGTAACCTGTGTCCCTTCAGAAATGGTTTCGGTAACTGGTAACTCCCGTTGATCCTGCTGATCGAACCATTCCGTTGCGTGACGTTCAAACTCCTCATCGTCACTGAACTCATCAATTTCGACCCCTTCATTCCGTGCGGCCTCGGAGCTGGAGGCAGGCGTGTGGACAAAGCGAGTAATATCGAGGAAAGGATATGAAGGCTGATGTTCAGCTTTTGGAGAGAACCTGATACCGAATGCCGGATTCCAGAGACGGTTCTTGATAGTTGGAGACATATTGGAAATAAAATGTGTTCTTCATACGAGACCCTCTTGTTAGGGACATTCTTTAAATAAGAGACAACGAACATCTGACCTACCTAGTACAGAGCAAGCGACGCGTTATTGTGATAGAGGGTCTTGATGCACAGCGAGCTATAGATATAGACCCCTGTGAGGACAATCTCATTGGAAGGTGAATTGATTGAAATCTAGCCAGCGTCGGAGAGCCATTGCGGCAAACGCCCATGACCCTGATACACTCACGCACGCTATGGAGACTTTGTTAGGCAACGGCGTTAATAAAGCGATCATTGATTATGGGCGTTTAGCGGGTGGCTTGGTGTTGGATGGCCTGGTGGAGATGCATGAGCTCTCGTGCTGACTCACCACGCGGTCGTAGAAAAACATGGCCCACCAAAACTGCAGTTAAGTACGTAGACTACAGGCTAGAGAATAAACCCTCTCTCTTTATAGCTTTATTTTCCCCTAATAGCTAATAGTTATTATAGTATAATTAGATGAATAAAAAAGAGGAAAGATTAAGGTTTCTTATTATATTTTTATTTTTATCTTTCATTGTATTATTACTAGCCTTTTAAAACCTTAAAGTTGTAGTATTTACAGTGTGCCATGTTTTATTACGACCGCGTGCTCACCAAACGCGAGAGCACGTGGGGACGTACCATTAAGTGGAGGCTCTATATTCACACCTTAAGTTACCTTACCCTGGCACCGCCATAAATCCATCCCACTTTGCGACCAAGTAAGTTGACGACTTCAGCCTAACTCCAAGAGAAGGGCTTGACTATTGGCCACCTCTGTTGGACATCATTTTCGGGTTGATACTAAAGGTGTTTGAGTGACAGCCTTGGCAGACAGTGATCCTTATCATCAAACTCTCCTCACATAAATCTTCACAATGGCTTCCCAACTGCTACCCCTCGGTGAGTACTACACAGCGAATAACAGTTTATTCTATTTTATGTACTGACACTATACCATAGAGCTTATCGACAAGTGTGTCGGTTCCAGAATCTGGGTCATCATGAAGGGTGATAAGGGTGAGATGAGTGTTTGCTGTCAATGAATGTTGTACTGATGAGCTGGCAGAATTCAGTGGAACACTTGTTGGCTTCGATGACTACGTCAGTGAGTATTTTCTACCAAATATTGTTGACATGATACTGATATATGTATAGACATGGTTCTGGAGGACGTAACTGAGTTGTACGAGCAATCCCCCAACTATTGCAATTCGAGCATTAACTAACTTCACAGTGACTACTCCGGTAACCACACCAAGCTCCCTAAGATTCTGCTGAACGGTAACAACATCTGCATGGTACGTCGTCTATAGCTGTTATTCAGGCTGAACGCTAATGTTTGTCAAGTTGATTCCCGGTGGTGAGGGCCCAGAAGGTGCTGCTTGAAGTTGTTGAAGAAGTCAAAGAAACACCGCATATATACTCAATCAGCACTCACCCTGAGTATGATTCTCTTAACGGAGACCAAATTCGGCGCCGTCTACCTTGACATTGGTGTTACAACATTGGCATCAAGAGGAAATTAGGGTCGCAGTGTGCGGATTAGGGGAATCTTAAAATATTGAGCTCATTCCAGTTTACATCTGGCACAAAAGTAGTAATCTACAGCCCCCAAACGCCGACCGTCCATGATACCTGTTCGTTTTGATAGGTCTTAAAATAATGACCGTGATGTTCAGAGACGGAACTTAGTGGCCGTTCTGCATGTTGCCCTGCTCGCCCGCGGTTGTGATTCGCCTCAACTCCCACTCTCGTGTGAACTCCTGGTGCAACATCTCGAGTTGGTTGATAAGCTTCTCACACACTGAAGTGAAGACATCGCGAGGGGTGATTGTCCCGTCCGTCTGCACTCGAATAAAAAGTTCCGGGACGTTAGGATGAGCAACTGTGATGCGAGTTAGCCAAATGTCAGACTAACAGAATGAGAAATACGTACTCTTGTACCCAGCCATGTAGACATTAGGGTGCGCCTTGAGGTGCTCGGAGAGAAGGTTTCCGAGAGTATGGTCTTCCTTCATAAGAACAAAGTCCGAGGTGTTGGACATGCCTGCGAGAAAATGTGAGCTTGCGAAATAAAGATCTTGCCGGAATAACTAACCAGAAAACACCTTCTCCTCGATCTTCTTCTCACCCTCTCCGAGGAGGAAGAGCTCGAAACTATTGAGAATGTTAGCTGATGCACACGTCGAGCAGCTCGAAACAACGTAACGGGTCGTCTTGGAGGTTAAAGTGCTTGGGGTTATTACCAGCCATGTTGAACGGCACGAGCAGGAAAGGTGATGTTATTTTGACGGAGTGAAGGAAATACATTGAGCTTGACATGGGATATTGTTTGGACACATTGTGTTCCTTTTGGAAGGACTGTCTGTCACTGCCACTGCCACTGCCACTGACACAGCAGTCGCAAAGGCAACAGCGACAAACCGCGATGGGACTGGCATCCTATCAGGCTACTGGCTAGTCTCCAGCTTTCAAGATATGTCATGGTGTACGAATATCGACATAGACCTGAGCTTCAAATACCACTTGATAGACTGTATACAGCATAGCCCAAGTAAAGACAGGGGCTGGGCCATCAAAGACCTGGGAGTCTTTGTTTTTATATCGGATTTTGCACAAACAGGAAGTCACAGAAATCCATAAAACAAAAACGAGGAAGCACAGCAAATGAAAAGGTATAGTCTCACCGATCAGGGGCGTTCATCTTGGTTTTTTGTTCTTGATGTTAGGTAATTCGATATTTGGCGGTAAAGTGGCGATCCCAGCAAAAGGCCAAAATCGTGGACAATCTGTCTTCTATATCAAAGATGTCGCAAACCGAGGAGAGGAGAGAATAGAGAGTATCCAAAAAGTGCCGAGTTTCAAAACATTCAAAAAATAGTGAAAAGTTGAGTGACAACAATTTGAGAACAATGGAAACAGCGTGAAGCAGAGTTGTAACCTCTAGAGGCTCAAGCTCCAAGACGCGGAAAAGGCTAATACTCGGTTAAAGTCGTGGGCATTTACAGGGCTGATATCACTGTAGGCAGACACCTGGTAGCCCGTAAGCAGGCAGCTCGACAGTGAACCACCTCTCACCCAATCTCATTCTTTCTCTTTTTCTTTCTTTTTCTTCTCTTCTCTTCCACTTCATGTCAACTGCATTTAAAGTCAAAGTTGCAGGCTCAACGATGAGTTTCTGTTCCAATGCCGCGCATTCAGCCGTCTTTGTTGCGGCGTGCTAATCGCCTCTCGCCGCACCTTGCAAGCCTCCTCCCGGCTTGCCGAGACCTAGCATCAGCCCAGAATGAACTACGGTGGATAAAGAGTCATGTAGATGAGACATGGTCACAGCGAAAACTGTGGCATTTGAATGACCTTTGTCAAAAAAGACGGCGCGGTGTGCCTCTTCAGTATATTCTGGGTTCTCAGCCATTTGGCGCACTCGACATCAAATGTAAACCTGGTGTTTTGATACCAAGACCAGAAACCGAAGCATATACTTTTCATGTGGCAAGCCTCGTCAAATCGGGAGAACTGCTTGGTCAACACGTAAGGAAAAGCAGACATGGAGTTAACTTGATCGACTTCTGCACAGGAACTGGTTGTATCCCTCTTGGCTTCTTCTCGTCCCTTCAGCATTCAGTCGAGAACATGACTGTGAGAGGCGTCGACATCTCGCCTGTTGCTCTTCGACTTGCACAGGAAAATATTGCACGAAATATCAAGCTTCAAACTTTGATCAAACCAACCAGAAATAAGAGGCTTGACATCACAACGGCCAATGTGTTCAGTGATAGCGACATGCAACAGCTCGCAGTTACCCGCTGGGACATCCTCGTATCTAACCCTCCGTATGTCTCAGACGATGTCTGGCATCACGGACGTGGACAACTCGGATATTCTGTGCGAAAATATGAGCCACGTCTCGCTTTGGTACCAACTAACGACCTTCCTTGTCCGAGCGGATGCAATCAAGCGGATGTCTTTTATGCTCGGCTTTTGAACATCTCGGAACTCTTAAAGCCGAAGGTGGTACTGCTCGAAATTGGCGATGAGAGTCAGGCTCGTCGCGTACTACAGCTGTACTTTGCTCATCCCATTTCACAAAGTTCGAGAGTTGAAGTCTGGCGTGACTGGCCTGATATAGAAGGGACAGAGGACTCAGAGCTGAGTGTTGAGGTTGAAGAGTCCAAGGGTGAGAGGTGTCAAGTTCCAGTGAAAGGTGACGGTCGTATACGGTCTGTTTTAATTCGCCGATTGGACGAGGCCTGAGGGAGGGCAACTGCAGTAAAGACTATTTTCTGTTATTCTACTAGCTTGGGCGTCAGACATGAGTTCTATGATACATGCATTTCTATGTCAGAGTATGGACAGCATGAGGTCATGATACATCCGATGCAAGTTGCCACAATGACTGAAATGGTTGACAGCAATAGGGATGTCATATCCCGTACGTTACAAAGCTTAAAAGGTAAGATCAGAGAAATGAGTTTTGCTATCATACACGCAAGTCCCCAGTAGTCGAACTCAACAGACCTCACAGTACCCCTCCATTGACTCTCCATGAATAGAATGAGACGGGCGAGAAGTGATGAATAACAACTTGCAATGAGACCCTCCACAGTTTGATGACTCCCAGTAAAAACTCGATTGAATGCCGGTTTACTAATATCGGATATTCAGAGGTAGGCGATAGATCCGGAAGACCTGAGTAGGCACCCATTCATGACGTGCCTGACTATCGTCCCTGAGGCGATTTAGCCCCGCCAGCCAATCCCCTCCCCTCATCATGCCCAGTGGACCCCGAAGTCTTACTAACACGTGATCCTTCTTTTTTCGAGCTAAGCAACGGACTCATCACCAGAAGCTTCCACTTGGTGGTGTCATCCAATATATCCAATTCCTTACATTGGCGCTGGACCCTTGAGTTCTCGCCGCATACGAGTGCATTTCAGTTCCAGAGTTTATTCGACAGCCTATATTGGCTTGAGTCGTGCTACCTTATGAGATAGCACGGCGCTTCAACTACATATATCTATTCCACAACCCCGGCGGTTCCGCACTTGCGCCAGTCCTCATTACCCATCATGTCGAGACTTTTAAGGCAATCAAGCCAATTCGCACGAGTGACGAGATTGTCATCACAGCCCGCACTACGGTTATGCGCACGACCATCACTTATCACCCGATCGAATCCCGCAAAGACATCCGCCGCATTCGCCATCCGAGCCAGGACATATTCCTCGCAACCCCCACCTTCCGGTCAAGACCCCCGGTCAAATCCTGATAGAGACAACGAACATGGAAGCAAACCCCTAGACCAAAAGAAAGGAAACGATGGGATCGAGGAAAGCAAATCCGAGGCACCGAAGCCGCCACCTCTGCCAGAGGGCTGGATTCACTTGAGCAAGGAGGAAATTACCCATCTCGAAGAATTTACAGCTAGACTCCCAGAGGCTCAAAGGCCGGTGGCCAAGGACATTCTCCAGAAGCTTCAAATTGTTGGTGCTCCTACCGAGACCCGCGACCTCCTCCAAAAGCTACGACAGAACGGCAATCTCTCAATTCTTGACAAGGGTCGATTGATGCGCTGTGTGTATCAGGTCACGGAACGCATTATTGATCTGGAGCAAAACCAAGGCCAGGATGGGCAATTCTCGTCTTTCCGTATGGATCAGGAACCCAAATCCCAGGATGGAAAGGACGGAGCCGACAAGTCAAAGCAGCAGCAGAAGGGTGGTAAGCCACCCAAGAACGAGCGCAGCGGCTGGCTCGAAGCTGTTCAAACTGGTATCGCCATTGGTGTCACTGTATGGATCGCGGAACTTTTCGCCAACCCATTCTCTGAGAAGGAGATTACTTGGCAAGAGTTTCGAAAGGCTTTCCTAGACAAGGGTTTGGTCCAGAAGCTGGTCGTGGTCAATGGATCTCAAGTCCGTGTTGAGCTCCACCCCTCTGCGACGGGAACTACTGGCGAGAACGGACAGCCTGCGAGAAAGAGCTATGTGTTTTCCATCGGATCCGTCGATTCCTTCGAGCGTAAGTTGGAGGGGGCTCAAGACCAGCTGGGTATCCCAACCTCTGAGAGAATACCTGTGAGCTACGAGGCTGGCGGTAGCACCTTCGGCAATCTCCTTCTCGCCTTCGGTCCTACTCTCCTCTTCATTGGTCTGATCCTGTGGACTCAACGGTCAATGGGAGGACGAGGTGGTGCTGGCGGAGGCATGTTCAACTTTGGCAAGAGCAAGGCAAAGAAATTCAACGCCGAAAGTGCCGTCAAGGTTAAGTTCGCAGACGTAGCTGGTCTCGAGGAGGCAAAGACCGAGATCATGGAGTTTGTGAGCTTCTTGAAGCAGCCCGAGAAGTTCGAGAAGCTAGGTGCCAAGATTCCACGAGGTGCTATCTTGGCTGGTCCTCCTGGTACTGGTAAAACGCTACTTGCCAAGGCCACGGCTGGTGAGTCTGGAGTACCTTTCTTCAGCGTCAGCGGTTCCGAGTTCGTGGAGATGTTTGTTGGTGTTGGACCTTCGCGTGTCCGAGATCTTTTCGCCGAGGGTCGTAAGAACGCTCCCTGCATCATCTTCATCGACGAGATTGATGCTATTGGCCGCGCACGACAAGAAAGTGGAAAAGGTTTCGGTGGTAACGATGAGCGAGAAGCGACCCTAAACCAGATTCTTACGGAAATGGATGGATTTAACACTCGTGAGCAAGTGGTTGTTCTCGCCGGTACTAACCGAGCGGACATGCTCGACAAGGCCTTGATGCGACCTGGACGATTTGATCGACACATCTTCATTGATCGACCTACGATGAAGGGGCGTCAGGAGATCTTCAAGGTTTACTTGAAGAAGATTGTGACGAACGAAGACCACGAATACCTCGTCGGTCGTCTTGCAACTCTCACCCCTGGTTTCTCCGGTGCCGACATTGCCAACGTTGTCAATGAGGCTGCTCTTATTGGTATGTTTCACAGGCTGTTTCTAATATTTTTTTGCTAACGTATCCCAGCTGCCCGAGGCAATGCCGACGAGGTCAAGATGGACCATTTCGAGCGAGCTATTGAGCGAGTGATTGGAGGTCTAGAGCGCAAGTCTCTGGTACTCAAGCCCGAGGAGAAGAAGACTGTCGCTTACCACGAGGCTGGACACGCAATTTGTGGATGGTTCCTGGAGCACGCTGACCCTCTGCTTAAGGTGTCGATTATCCCTCGTGGACAAGGTGCTTTGGGTTATGCCCAATACTTGCCTCAAGATGCCTATCTGATGAACACTAACCAGCTCATGGACCGAATGGCCATGACAATGGGTGGTCGTGTGTCCGAAGAGCTTCACTTCCCTACTGTGACAACAGGTGCCAGTGATGACTTCAAGAAGGTCTCCCAGATGGCACGGAACATGGTAACCCAATGGGGTATGTCTGAGAAGGTGGGCCCTGTGCACTTTGAGAACGACCCCAACCGCATGCAGAAGCCTTTTGCCGAGTCCACAGCTCAACAGATCGATTTGGAGGTTTCTCGAATCGTGGAGGAGGCCTACAAGCGCTGCAAGGACCTATTGACAGCGAAGAAGGAGGAGGTTGGCCTCATTGCGCAGGAGCTGCTTAAGAAGGAGGTCCTCGTCCGAGACGACATGGTTCGCATCTTGGGCCAGCGACCTTTTGGTGATAACGAGGATTTCGAGAAGTACTTTGGCGGCGCTAAGCCACAAAGCACGCCTCCTCCATTCCCTGAGGAGACTGACTCTCCCAAGGAGCCCCCTACCCCATCTCCAGCTTTCAAGAAGGCCGAGTAAGGTTGGGGTAAAGCTATTCGGGCGCGTCATTGGAGAGAGCCGTCTGCATGACCCGCACCGGTTGGGTTTACTTGTTGCTGCCGGGACTTGAAAGGAGAAGGAATGTATATCCGGGTACTTTGTGGCAGAGCGAGATTGGCCGTGGTTAGCAAAGCGATGCATTCGGATGATGTCTGGTCGCGGAACCCAGGATATTGGCTACAAAACAGTACGATAATCCGTGGAGGAGGAAGGCAAGGAGAACGACGATACAGGCTCGAAGCGGCCACAGCGATGCGCGAAGAAAAAGCGGCACTCAACTCTACCAGACACTTGATCACTTCGTTTGGATTTGTTTTTTAATGCATTGTCAGCAAAAACCGTCACAACACATCCATTCGCACAAGACACCCATCATTATTATCCTCATCATGTTGGAGGCCTGGAGAGAGAGGCTTGACCAACTGTGTAACATTGTACTTTAGGTGATAGAACTGTAAAAAATACTTGATGACTGAATTAACGAAAACGCATTCTTTTTTACTGAAAGTGATGTTTGTCGATGGGAACTGGAAAAGCAAATGAAAAGGAAGAAGTGACGATCACAAGTTGAATTCGTATGATACTGCACTGTACTTGGGTTACCTCGCAGCTATCAACTGTGATGATGTTTCGCCTGGGGAACTGCTGCTATTCTATTCTACTGGGTTTGGGTCGATGTTGACGCTGTAGAGATCTCGGGGAGGCGGGCTTGACGTTGAAATCTCAATCGCTGATTGGTTTAGAAAGTTCCCAACTACAGGCCCAGAATATTCGGGGACTTTGCTCCTGAAAATGCAGCGCAACACAACATGGTAAAAGTTAGAGCAGAAAAAGGGAATAGGCTCTGCTCTTAAACAAGGATAGAAGGACAGGGTCTGGGTCGATTGTCAAGTCCGATACCCCTGTCTACAGAGATCCGAGTCATGATTAAACTTGCGGTCTTGACGAGATATCTGATGTTTACTTGGTTACCTACAGTGTAGTATTACTTTTACTGTTGAATGGTGTTGTTTAATGCTCTGTACTGTACTGCACCTACCTGCCTACCTAGGTAGTTAATAGACCCTTCAAACCCCCCGATTTACCAACTCTTTTATCTTTCTACTATTTGCTTTTTTTATATACGATATGTATCCGTGTACCCGGATATAAATATCCATCGTCTGTGTATGCACATCATTTACTTGCTCACTTTTGATTGGCCACTAAAGTGTCGGGATTGCATCACTTGGCTACGATAGGAAAACAAGAGGCTTGGAAGGGTCCTGCCGTTACATCACCCGAAGGGAAAGAAAGAAAGAACTACCTGTAGCTACAAAGTTACGAAAGGACGACTCATACTCTGGCCTCTAATTTATTTCTTCTGGTCAGGGAATTTCTCGGGTACATACAAGCGATATCTTTTCTTTCTTTCTTCCCTTTGTACCTTGCGCCAAAGGATCAACGGAACTTTTTTGTTTCTCTTATCGATCTTCAGTTTTTTCTTCTTTCCTCTTCTTCTGTGTGACACTCCTAAAGCGTCTCCAATTGCTCTTTATTGGCTCCTCTCAACACTGTAGTACTGCAGCAGTCACTCAATCTACAGATTACTTCACGAATATTGGCTAAAGCAGTCGTTGACAGGGATATAGAGTTACTGCAGTACTGTATAGAGTGGAGTACAGTATCCTCTTCTCTGTGCTTTCTCCGGACCAGAAAGCAGACTAATAAGAAAGAGACCCTTGCACCGCATCTCTGCTCATCTCATCTGGTTGCATCGCATCGGTGACAGTCTTGACCGATTTTGTTTTATTCTGCGCTACCTTGCTCTTGTTGTATACATAACCTTGTATTCTTTTGTTTTCCTTCTTTTCACTATCGACGCCAGCGACCCATATTAGTCCATCTCGAGTCTAAGTCTCTAGACTAATTATCCAGTCTTATCAACCAACTTGTTTCAATATTTTTGTGACGAGCCAAGCTATCATGGCTTCTGCCTCAGAAGGGCACGACAGAGACCGTCACCATGATATGGCTTCGCCCCAGCCAAAGAAAGAATCTTGGTGGAAGATTCATCCCTTCCGAGGCATGGTCAAAGATGTCCGCCGAAGACTACCTTACTACGTGAGTGACTGGACTGACGCTTGGGATTATCGAGTTGTCCCTGCTACTGTCTACATGTACTTTGCCAAGTGAGTATCCCCGTCAACCCTTCTTCCTCCTTTGACGCATTCATGTTCCCTCCTAGGGATTCCTCTCTGAAATCAACGACGCATACATGACGTCTCATGATCGCATAAACTGACTCGTCACTTCAAAGCATCTTGCCCGCGTTGGCATTCTCTCTCGACATGTTTCAAAAGACAGGTTCAAACTATGGCGTTAACGAAGTTCTTCTATCGTCTGTACTGGGGGCGGTTGTCTTCTCCCTGTTTGCTGCCCAGCCGCTGGTTATTGTGGGTGTGACGGGTAATTTGACCTCTGTCCAACTACAAAGAATCGACTGTCTAACAAATCTATCACAGGTCCTATCACCGTCTTCAATTAGTAAGACTTTCATATATACAAGAGTATGCTAAGAGGGAACTAACATGTTGTGAAAAGTACCGTCTATGATATCATGAAACCTACAGGTGTGAACTACATCGGTTTCATGTGCTGGATTGGCATGTAAGTAACTTATACACTGATTTGTTTTCCATAATCAAGACTGTATACTGACTGTATCAGATGGTCCCTCATCCTTCACTGGATCCTCGCCATAACAAACTCTTGTAACTGGCTTCGATGGGTTACGCGTTTCCCCTGCGACATCTTCGGTTTCTACGTCGCCTTCATTTACCTCCAGAAGGGAATACAAGTTCTCGAACACCTCGGTAGAGGCCAAGAGTTCTACCTTTCTATCGTCGCAGCTCTTCTTGTCTTTATGGTCGCATATATCTGTGGTGAACTTGGTGGCAGCAGCCTTTTTCGACATCCCCTGCGCATCTTCTTAAAGGACTATGGCACACCGTTGACCATCATTTTCTTCACCGGTTTTGTTCATATCGGTCGTATGCAGGAGGTCGATCTTGAGGTTTTGCCAACCGGTATCGCTTTTGAGCCGACGAGTGGCCGAGATTGGCTTGTCAACTTTTGGGATCTGAGCGTGGGCGATATCTTCCTAGCGTTGCCTTTTGCAGTCCTCTTAACCATTCTCTTCTGGTTTGACCATAATGGTATGCTCAACGTCAACTTACTTACGATAACAACTAACAAAAACAGTTTCTTCACTTATCGCCCAGGGTAGCGAGTTTCCCCTACGCAAACCTGCTGGTTTTCACTGGGATGTTTTCCTTCTTGGTTTGACAACCGGTGTTGCTGGCATTCTCGGTCTACCATTCCCCAATGGTCTTATCCCTCAAGCTCCCTTCCACACTGAATCCCTCTGCGTCACTAAAGCCGTCAAGGAGGACGATTCAGACGGCAGCCCAGGAGATGGTGGCTACTCTTTTGAAGCTACACATGTCGTTGAGCAACGTGTTTCCAACATTGCTCAAGGCCTGCTAACACTAGGCACTATGACCGGCCCTCTTCTTGTGGTTCTTCACCTCATCCCTCACGGTGTCCTTGCAGGCTTGTTCTTTATCATGGGTGTCCAAGCTCTCGAGGGCAACGGTATAACCGCCAAGCTCGTCTTCCTCGCCAAAGACCGCGCCCTTACGCCTGCATCTAGCCCTTTGCTGCGGATCCGTCGACGTGCAGCTATTTGGTACTTCGTCCTCATAGAGCTCGTTAGCTTCGGCGCCACATTCGCCATCACACAGACTGTTGCCGCCGTGGGCTTCCCAGTCTTCATCTTCGCTCTTATCCCGATACGTGCTCTTGTTCTCCCTAGAATCTTCTCTGCTGAAGAGCTCTCTCTTCTCGATGAGCCTACGGCTTCCGACTTCATCATGGAGGGTATCGGCGGTTCTTGGGGTGGCAAAGACGAGGAGAAATCCGCGTCGCAACAGGGAGGCCCTCATGAACGATCAGAGAACCACGACAGTGTCCTTGCGCGCTCTGGAGCACAGAGCAAGATCCAAGAGGATCTTGCGGAGCTGGGACAAATGCAATCTGGACGAAGCACAGGTACCAGGAGAAGGAGCTTAGACAGACGACCACAACGACACTCGGACGTATAGATTATCTCACGAACTTTCACGTATATAAAAGGCAACTTAGCTGCATAAAAGTTGGAGTAGAATAACGGATTCTCAATCGCATAAACTGGATATCATCATACATTAGCGAATAGTCAGACATCGAACAGAGATAGCATATTTGCTTGTAAAGCTATTCTGTCAATTTATTGGTCTCTTGAAAAGCCCGATGGTATCGTCCATTAATCTATATAAACACATTCAATGCCGCATATGTTTTACCTATAACACAAGCCACTCAAACGCCATTACCCTCTTATATGCTAACTACTATTCATCATCATCGCTATCCACGACAAATCCACCCCGGACTCGAGGTCTTCGGGTGACCACAGGTACTTCTTCATCCTCGTCATCTTGCTCCTTATTGCCCGTTCCGCCCATTTCCTTATCTTCACCAGGTTGCGCCTTTTCCTCACTAAGACGTCTTCTCTTTCGACTCTCTCCATCGCTGCCGTCCGGCAATGTGTCGCCCATCTCCTCATCCTCTTCTTCCCTGAGAGTACCGTTCATTGCCCTGCGAATGAAAGATGTGGAATCGTCGTCATCATCTGTATCAGCAGCTGTATCTTCTTCATCGCTTGACGAGCTGCTGTCTGTGACTGTAGCCGCACGCTTTTTAGTAGTCTTTTTGGTGGCCTTTTTCACGGGCTCCTTGTCCGCAGCAAGACTTGCGGCAAGTAATCTGACCGGAGCGCGTTTTGCTTGTTCACGCTCTCGAGCAAAAAAGGCTGCATCGGCCTCGGAATCACTCTCATCGTCTGACTTCGTGATATGTAGCCTTGATTTGGCTGCCCGGTTTTTCTTCTCTTCGCGCGCTTTGCGCCCCCGTTCCCGCTTCTCTTCTTTTTCTTCTTCAGTAAGCTCTTTGCCGGGTTTCCTCTTCTTACGGGACGTCTTGGGTCCCTCATTGTCGTCGATAACTTTACGCGCTGTAGGGCCACTCATTGTGTAATCTCCGTGATCAACAACATCGTTGTCGTCGTCGTCGTCAAAGGCTGCTCTCTGGCGTGGAGCAGTTTTGCGCTTTAGCTGGTGCTCAGCGAGAACCCCTTCCTCGAATGTCGGTGGGTTGAACTCGGCTTGATTGATATGGTGGATGCCGTCTTTGAGAACGTCTGCCGATACCTCTGCAGGTATGATCCAAAGGGATTCAGGGGTCTCATCTGAAGATGTGCCTAGAAGCTTGATACCTACGAGGTTCATTAGAAGTCGCATATAGGAGTTCTTGAACATGGCAGTCTGGCGGTCCTTTTCATCTGGACGAACAACTAAGTTTTGTTAGTAAATGGCACAATATGGACTGCTGAGGTAGCTTACAGAAAGTAGGGGGCAGCTTCGGACCAGACTCCGTCGGGTGTTCTTCTGAATCCTCTTGGGGCGGTTCGATTGAGGTCCTTGCCTCCTCAGCTGCTGCAAAGGCTCGACGTTCAGTCTCGGCCTCAGCAAGAATCTTTTTGATCCATGCAATGTGGTCTGCCTGGTTCTTGTCTAGCATCGCGCCCACCACGATGGCAATTTGACGATCCAATTCTTCAGTATTCTTGAATGTCAACTCAGGCGCAGGCTTGGCTTTGCTGGCTGCAGTGACCGTTTGTCTTTCAAAACCGTACTCGAGGAAGAAAGCGGTGCTTCCCGTCTTGCTGAAAAGCATCTCCACGAGAAGCTCTGGGCGTTGTTCAAGCTTTTTGAAGCATTTTCGGAGGATCTGCTTCACTAGCTCTTCCCACTCCTTGAACATGCTTGAGGATTTGTCAAGCGCAGACTGGCCCTTGACCATGTTGTAGAAAAGGTGAATGATGTCCACACGGAACAACATTACACTAGCTTCTGACTTGAAAGCTATACGGTAGAAGTATCGGTGAGCGCGCTTCAGTTGTTCATCGGTCATATCCTGGTAGTATTTCGTAAAAGTGACGAATGTATCAACTACAGGCTGAGGTGCGAAACGATTGGCAAACCGACTGAAATCGAATTTGCGTTCTTTGTTAGTCTTCTCGGCAGATGCAGCGTCGTCATCCGAACCGTCATTCTCGTCGTTGTCATTCTCTACACCTGTAGCATTTTGCGCTGCCTTCTTCTTCCGCCGGGTACGCTGCTTGGAACGAATTTGCATGTCGATATTCTGTTTGGAGTAGGATTCGAGGATACGAAGAAAGTGGTGAACGAGTTCTGTTGCGGCGTCAAGATAGTCGAAGCCTTGATCCTTGTAGTCCCTGATGATTTTGGCAATTGCATCGTGGGTTTCTTCTTCGTAGAACAGACGGCTGAGCACGTTCTCGGCAATCTCCTCATCATCTTCGTTACCCGATTGAGACATCTCTTGGACTGTGAGAAGGATCTGGGTGAAGCAACGCATGACAGCTGTCAGTTCGTACCAGTCCTTCATGCCAATTGACTCATGCAGGGCTTTGGTAAGAGTAATGAACATTTCCTGGTTAAGAACGCCTGCGATAAGATTGAAGCTGCTGACCTCCTCGCTCGTGTTCTTTCCTGACTGTTTCTTTGCCTTCCGTCTCATGCGCTCGGCTTCTAGGAACCATGATACAAGGTAGAAGAACTGGCGGCGATGAAATGGCATCACATGTGGCGCTTCGCGGTCGATTGTCTTGCGGACGTGTTGGAAAAGGGGGTTGAAACCCGCGTCGAGAAATTCTTCCACAAACGACCGCAGCTGATCATAGGCACGAGAATTGAGCTTGGCTGGTAATCCAAGATCCTTGTCGTCTTTGGTGGCTTTGCGTGGGCGGCGAGGAGGTCGATAAGTCTTTGAACTGTCCAACTTCTGATTTCGCAACGACGCATCGGCCAAAGCATCCTGTCCTGATAACGACGACATTTTGCCGTCGTCTCGCTTCACCCAGATCATGGTGCCAAATCGGTTATGACGAGTCGGCCCCTTGCGGTTGTATGCGTTCAGCATAGATTGTTCCTTGTTCATCATACTGGCTAGCTCTCCAGCCTTAGCCTTGCTCAGCTGGTTCTCGTTCATGAAGAGCTTTTCCGAGTCCACCTGCTTTACAAGGTGGTATATAATCTCCATGACGGTTGTATCTTCGGTTCGGAAATCCTCTCCCATGTTGGAAGCCAGGGTCAAGAGCACGAGAAAGATGTCTTGGTATGAGAAGGCGTCAATGGTAGCGGATCGCGATATTTGGGACTCGTCTCCTTCGTATTTGACATCAGGCGGAGGCTCTATCATGGCAACGTTACGGAGGAAGAACAAAACAAGCTTGATAATGCCTTGATCACGTTGTGTTCGATCGCCGATTGGGATTGCCATGGAAGGGAGTGCCACTCGTACAGCTGTATGAAGTATACGAGCTCCATCGTAGTTGATGATATCTCTCTTGTACCGGACCTGCGCCAACTGCAAAACGGGCATATGACGATGGTGGTTTACCGTCATGCGCTCCCTGTCTTTCTCCATAGGCCATGTAAGAGGGACCATCAGTTCGAAACAAGCAAGAGCTATTCGAGCCTTGAATTTGCTGTCTGTAGCGTTCTCGGGCCATGTCGCAAGAATGGGGAGCAAGTCACCCTCGATCAGATTCGCTTCGTAGATGCATCGGGCAACATCCATGCGGTTCGTCTTTTCATCGTAGAATCGAATCCATCGTTTAAGATCACGCAGGACCTCGAGAGCATCGTCTCCGAGTTGGTAGCGGCCATCGTCGTCGGCACTGACACCTCCAAGCTATAATTGAGTGTAAGAAGGTTGACGTTCCAGACATTGGACTTTAGGGGGAGACTTACAGCAGAGACAAGACTGGTGATGTGCGCTCGCACTTCAGGGTGCACAATATCTGTTGAGCCGTCTGCCAACTCCATGATTGCGTTTCAGTAACAGCAACAGACTAGAAATTGTCTATCTCTATTCACATGTCATGTCGTGGGGTTGTGCTGCCTCGACAACAGAGAAAACACCAGTCCCACCATTACTTTACGACGCGCTTGGACGCGTCTCGTCGAGCGTGTTCAATTAACGCGGGTATGCGATAAGAGCTGATAAGATAAGATTTATCTGTCGGCAATCAATGTTCGGGGCCGAGGTTACCCGCAATATGATGGCATGAGCCGTTCGGCGTCGGCGTCTTCACTAACGTCCCCATGGGGAACTTATTAGAGGTGACATCCATCGAATTCTGTTAACTTTTTAGATTTACGAATTCTCTCAAAAAGAAAAAGAAAAAATGGCTGCCTCAATTCTTCGAATGCGCTCCTTAGCAGCTTCGCGTCAAGTGCGCTGCTTTAGCTCTACACCTCGTCAATATGCTGCTGCAGAGGTCAAGAAGCTTGGTGTCATCGGCGCTGGTCAAATGGTAAGTTGCATGTGAAAGACGTTGACCAAGGAAATTCAATTAACAAACCTCACAACAGGGTCTGGGTATTGCTCTTGTTGCGGCTCAAAAGGCGCAGGTTCCTGTTACCTTGATCGATACCACAGACAAGGCTTTGGAAAAGGGCATTGCATTTGCCGAGAAGCTCCTAGCAAAGGATGTCTCCAAGTCCAGAATCACTCAGGAGCAGGCTGATAAGGCACGCTCTTTCCTTACTACCAGCACCAAGATGGAGGATCTGTCTTCTGCCGATATGGTTATCGAGGCTGTCCCTGAGCTGCCCAACCTCAAGTTCGACATCTTCAGCAAGCTGGCTCAGATCTGCCCCAAGCATGCTATTCTTGCTACAAACACTTCTTCCATCTCCATTACCCGCATCGCCGCTGCAACAACTACGGATCCTACCGACACTTCCGCCTCGTCCCGTGTTGTATCTACTCACTTCATGAACCCTGTCCCTGTGCAAAAGGGTGTTGAGATTATCAGTGGTCTGCAGACCAGCCAGGACACTCTCGACACTGCCATTGAGTTCTGCAAGCGCATGGGCAAGATCACTTCCGTGTCCGCCGACTCTCCTGGCTTCCTCGCCAACCGTATCCTTATGCCTTACATCAACGAGGCTGTCATCTGTCTGGAGACTGGTGTTGGAGACCGTGACTCGATCGACGCTATTATGAAGAATGGCACAAATGTTCCCATGGGTCCTCTTCAGCTTGCTGATTTTATTGGCCTGGACACATGTCTTTCCATCATGAAGGTTCTGTACGAGGAGACAGCTGATTCCAAGTACAGACCGAGTGTACTCTTGAAGAACATGGTCAACGCTGGATGGTATGGAAAGAAGAGTGGCAAAGGCTTCTACGACTATTAGATCAGGGTATGTATGTTCTATCGATACTGAGCCGTCAATCTGGTTATCAAATCTATCAGAACTGACATACCCTACCCTATATAACACCAAAGAAATCTAAAAATAAAAAACAATTAATCGAACTTTTAATCTAGCCGAAATGAAACTTTATTAGAAGCAATCTTGAAATTTAATAACTACATAGTTACTGTCGAAAGCTTGTCACGCGTCTTAGATTAAGTGATACTGTCATGGCTGATCCAAGACTCTGGTTTCTTGGTCGATGCCCACATCAATTTTGTCAACAGTCAGTCTAGCATACGGCTTTAAAACATACTCAACTCTAGGTCAAGCCTTGAGGCGTGTTCGTTTATCTTCACCGCTTGTATTAGCTCTGTGGAACCTATGGTCCTTGCGGGAGAAGTTTACCTCGATCGACAAAGCTTTCCATGAAACTCGCACCAACAAGATGTTGCATCATCTGACCATCAATTGAAATGTCTGACACTGGATATAGATGGGAAATAATGCAAGGGGCATCTCCATTCCCTGTTGCTATGCAGTTGAATCATGAACATTTGGTTCGAAAACTGTGAGGTCCATCCAAAAGAAGTCTCAACGCACAATTCAGGTGCAGGTGCAGGTGAGTCTGAAAGTACAATTCAGGTACAGGTGGATGGAAGCATAGTTAAGCAAAGTACTAAGTTTATGGTGTGAGAATACGACGGGAATAGCTTAATGTCAATCTAGTTCTTCTGTGCAGTCAGTCATCCTATCTTTGTTAGGACTAGATCTCATCCTGTACTTTCCTTGATGACAATAAGACCGACCCTACTTTCTTCATCGTAATCCTCACCATGCTGAAACTGGTAAATCAATCGTTGTGATGTGGAGGAAACAATCCGGGCTCTTGTTTTAGTATCGAATGTTAGTTAGTTAGTTGATTAATTAATTAATTACCCACAAGGAGAGGAGGCTAAAAGATCAAAGCTCGAAACAAGCACAACCAAAGTCCAAGTCACATCATTCAACCGCACCGACATTTTTCTCTCTCTAAAAGTCTGAAACCGTCCGTTCGTTTGTGCCCGGTTGATATTTCCACTCCTCACTCTGGATCGTTCCGGTTGTTTTGTTTCGTGTTGTATATCTGTACATTGGCGGCTTCGTGACTGGACTAGGTGAAGCTAAGGAGCTCCTAGTAACATCATATATCTTCGGATCGACCGAGAAGCGTAGACCTCTTCTTGTATTGGATGAAGCTACTTACTGATAGGGTTAGCAAATCGTCTGGAGCAAGGAGGAGGGTGGAAGAAGGCAGGATGTTTAGCAATACAGTATCCCCACAGGGCCAGAGGATGAGATGGGTTTTGGTCGACAAGCTTGAGCCTCTTCCTTGGCTCTATTTACTGTCTGCCTGTATGATAACGCAACACTCAGTTTCAGGAACTCTCAAGTAGTTCTCTTGATCTTTGTGAGGTAAGAGGCAGTGTAATCAGGCTCAGTCATCTGTTACCGAAGCGCCTACACAAGGAAAGCTTGCGAGTTGCAAAAAGTCTGCAGCTCCAGATATGCATATCGGTCCAATGAGGACATCTCTGTGTTAGTAGCAAAAGCAAGTTATGAGACACAGGAGGCCCATATCGTCGTTGAACTAATGGGCTGCTGTATGTGTGTAGGAAGTTAGCCCCAAGATAGCTCCAGCAAGGACAGGCCCAATATGCATATGTATCTCGTTTTTTCGTTGTGGACGAGTTGACTTGCAGCAGCAGAAGGCTGATACAATGGCGTGTGGAGCACTTGTTGTGTTTTCTTTTTGTTGCCTGCCGAGGCTCGGCTCTCATTATGTGGCCATCATCATGGATGGGGAATGCTCCATTGGTTGTGAATGACTCGGCTTGAGAAGATGCACTAACTTGGTTCGAAAGAACGTGGTTATGATCGATTAATTGCTGTGTTTTCCTAGGCTGGTAAGAGCAATCGATGTGAGCGTCGAACCTGTCTGTAGTATATAGGGCCATAAGAAACTCCATACGTAACAAGTTAGCTTTGTTCTCAGAGGGATAGATATAGACGAATCTGGTTCCGTTTGTATCTGCCGAAGCTCAGAATATCAGATCCCTTCGATTAGGTAGAAGATGCGTAGGAATTGCAGTATATGCTAGGAGAAACCAGGCCCGACGGACCGAACAGGCGGTTCTTGCAACCACGATGGCGCCCGTTGTTCTGCTTCTCCCTGGGAGGGAGCGGTCAAATAGGAGTTGTGATGAAATGTAAATTCGAATTTTCCATATTGGGCAGTCTCAATCTGTATACCAGCTCAAGGTTCATTCTTGTAAGTTTCACATCATGTCCCGTAGTCTGATAGTGCAGGGATCACGGAATGCCCGTTGGCTACATGTCACTGTACGATTCTTACAGAATCTTGCTCCATATTAAACAGGCCACTATAGAGGCCCTGGTCGGTCAGAGTCGCACCCTCAACATATCAAAAGCAAAAGATATTTGCATCCCCAAGCCTCGCAGCCTCGGTTGATAGCAACTCTGGTATATAGGTCTGCCAATCGGATGCTGCTTCAATGTTGGAAGCAAAAATTGTCCAAAGATACAGTCAGGCAATACCGCTCCTATCCTTCCTTTCCTTCGAAGAACTGACGCAAATATCTCATCGTTAGGGGGATGCTGGGTATTGCGCATTTCGGACCCGGATAATAAGCAGAGGATTCAATAAGCTTCGATAGTTTGATTGGCTTATATGATATCTTAATCTTAGCAGCAGCAACCGTAACTTTAATTTCTCCGCGAGGGCTGCCCTTGTGTGACGAGGCTCGCGATAAAGTTGAGGGTTTACTGAATGGGGTTGCAACGTAATCGAGAAACTGTCAACTCAGTAATGAATGCGACTGGTTAAGAGAATGTCCAGGGTCTTGCATTGTCTGGGTTGCAGGATACGAGGGCGACAAGATCCAGCATGGAGAAATAAGTATGATAATATCCCGTCTGCCAGGCTGCCACACGATACGGGAACCATGGCTAGTGGGCGATCGATATGGGGCGGTTGGTGGGCCAGAGTAACATTCTCAAATATGAGCATTCGCGTATATGCCAGCTTTTCAGATCTGGTTAATATGGCAAGGTCGAACAACCAGGAATCGTGTCGATCTTGAAAACTGCCGAGTGCACAGAGATGCTGAAAAGATCAGTGATGTTTATGTGCTTCTCCAACCCTGCACCTGACTTACATTGTAGATACAGACATGACTGCGGTCATATTCATGACGCCCGTCATGTTCTAGAATGTGCATGTGCTGCAAGAGTAATGAATGCAATGCAACTCAAGTGCTTACGTGAAAGATCCGATTCTTCCGGACTAAGTTGAAGAAACGTAAGGCACCCCCTGGAAGCTATTTGAGTTGCAGGCTGCTTTGCTAAAGTGACCTTCAACAAGAAGGAGCTGTCGAATCTTAATACCAGAATAGGGAATTCAAACGAATAAGAACAAGGGCACAAATTATAACCGGGATAAAGTTCTGGAAGAAAAAGAATGTTTGGGCCCTGATTGATACGCCAGTGAGATCCATGGCGAACGCGACGTGACAGGAACCCTATGACTGTTGATCGAACCAAGGTTTTGATGTTTGGCAAGGCATCTGCACCTTGACAGTTAGTGCTGGGGGTCGAACCAAGGAAGAAATGGCCTGCTTATTATGGCTGTTAGTTGCAGCATTGTTCGCCATAGCATCATTTAAGCAGTGGTGTTTCTGCTCTTCACCACTCTTGGCTTCTGCTTCAGCTGTACATACATGAGGAGCTCCAAAGCTCGACTCATTGAGGAAGACAAAACAATGCTCACGATTGATCATACTCTGCCAGATCGTGGATCCTCCAGTCATCAAATTCTCAGACGACCGTCCTGGATTTCGAGAGTAGTGATCGATTGGAATCAGGAACCCGTGTTGGAGGGCCCCATTCGCCAGAAAGGCGGAGACACCAGTCCTGAAATCTGGGGACAGGAGGGGCGTGCTTGTAACAAGTATATCCTTGCATACAGTACAGTACGTAGCTGTAGCTGTACGTGAATTGCCGATTCGAGATGACAATCAGATCTGGGCTGACGTGAATAGGAAAGAAAAGCACTGCAGACTACCGATCAGTGTAGTGAGCTTTTACAGTGACTCCTCCAAGCTATGACTCTTCCACTCCGAGATGTTACTCTGACCCTGTGAAATGGGATCTTCATAACTTTGGAAGTCCACACTACGAACGCCTCTCACAAGCGCATGTCTGACAGAGGCTTTGTTGACGAGCCCGTTTCTTTAAACATGGTTTGACATACATGCGAGAAGCTGCATCGAACCGACTGGGTACCGTGCGAGCGGGAACGGCTTTCGGAAGAGACGATGCTTATCCAATGCCGAGTAACAGAAAAGGTCTTCAGCATTTGTGCTCGCCACTCAACCGTGATCATTCGCTGTTGACCAAGCTTGTCGCTGGTTCGGTTACTGGCAGCCCACTGTGCCATTATGCGATCGAAATAGTGAGGTTGCAGGTATCGTCCTCAGCAAGATCCCGTTGTATTGCGAGATGATAGTTTGTGTCAAGGTTCCCCTGTCTGTTGGCTCGACAAGCGGCATTACAATTCGGCATCTTCAATTGAAGAACGAAGGTTCATCACGTCGCTTTGTATGACGTATAGGCCCTACGTGAATTCAAATCCGGCTGCTTTTTCATGAGCTCACAACCATGACTTTGAGCATATGCGCCTGTGATTGAAACCCGCCGCTGATCTATCAAAGGCCCAAGACTCCTAGCTCAAGATTGTTTTAGCCCAAAGATGAGACATATGACAGCATTATGGTTTTCCCGTGGATCTAGAGAGCTGCAGCTTGGGGTTGGGAGGTGACACGGCCAATTAGATTAGCGCAGTCGATCGAGTTGACACTCAACAAGCATGTTTGAGTTGCAGTCTGAAGAGATCGAATCTTAGCAGTAATTGCAGTACCTAGTACCAGGCAAGAAAGGTGGATGCTGGAAACACCTCGGTCTCGAAGTATTGCGATTTCACGGTTGGCAGCGCCAAAGGGTCCGTCTCAGTCTCCTATCACCGCTTGTTTGTAATTGAAAAACTTGGTGTCCTCTGCTCTGAGACAATTAGCCATGAGAACTCGAACCGATTTGAAGCTGGCTCGACGCTGGGGTGTCAGCAGAATTACCCACCGACACACTAAGAGAAGAAATAAGTTAGCCATCTGATGCCAGCTTAGAGTAGTACATCAACTACTTTATTTTGGTAACCTAAGCCTTAGAGGACATTTCTTCTGTCACCTAACTGCTCGATCAAGCAGGCAAAAGCGCCAATTGATAATGGATCGATATGCTGGAGCTCAAGCCCAGTTGAAGGATGAAACGTCTAGATTCGGGTTTGCCAGGTTATGGTCAGACCCTGGTCCTGGCTAGTACCGCCACCCGTTAGCAGTTTCGCATGAGATGAGGTACTATGTGGTCGTCCGTGCAGAAGAGCCCGTCATTCTGCGTATTGTACTTTATGTGAGAACAGTTTGAAAAGAAGATGCAGTTGCTAGGTGGCGAACTGGATGCATACGGCGGCTACCTACTCAACATGAGGCTCTGCTGCAACTTCCAAAACAGAAATGAACGGTCTTTGTAAGGCAGGTACAGTAGTCTACACTACAACCTGCTAAACTTAGATCGGGAAGGGGCGTTGGCTAACCTAACAGGTAGCGAGCGGGCAGGAACAGAACAGCCCGATGATCGGCAGTTGGCCGTTGCGACTTCCCCTTTCTAGGCAGGCAGAAAATCATGCTGGGCGGGCAGGCGGGCAGCCTGCAGTAGGCTACTACTACCTAAGCTAGGTTGGGTAGTACTTTCCTGTTCCTGTTCCTGCAGAGCTGGAGGGAGCTGGACCTGCGCTACCAAATCTTCAACTGAGCACTGTCCACTAAAGATTCATCAATGCATCTCAAGCAACCAACTCCACGACAAAAAGGCACGAATCAACGCCCGTATGTTGGTTATTTGAAACGCCACTCATTCTTTTTATAGAGATCGTCGATATGTAGATCCGGACAATTTTCAAACTCTCGGCTCTTGATTGTAGGCTCAAGTCAGATGATATCGACTTCATGTACTGATATCAAAGTAGGGACTTAATCTATTCGATCTGTCACGAAACGTTTCTCTCGACTAGTCTACTGCATCATGCTGTTCCATCGACGGAGAATTAAGGCTGAAGCATCGCGAAGTGGGAGTTGGTTTCTCGTTTGTTCCGTCGCGCATTGACTTTTAACAGCAAGCACAGATGATCGTCTGTGACAGCCACAACCACAACAAAACAACATGCCGGGTTCTGCCTCCGAGCCTTGGATGATCCCAAGGATTCCCTCATCGCCATCCTCCAGAAATAGAACTGGTTGTGAGCCTCTCGACAGGTATCCCATGGCTCAAAAATGGTTGAGGTCTTAACCCGAGGCATCTCATGTCATCCAGCTTAAGACACTTGACACACATTGGCAAACCCCATCGATGCGTACTCTATAGACTATCAAACTACGCAAATAACTCCTTACAGTGAATCGGGCTGCCCCAAGTGCCGCTCGACAGGACCTCTATTGAATCTCAATGTCTCCACTGTCTCGACCTTCACCTTGGAACAAGAGCACAAGGGTCAGACTTCGTCAAAAGGAGTCCGCACATGTCGGGCCGGCCACCATTTATGACAGCCTCTAGCTGATTTCCGCACCATCTTGCGAATGCCCTCCTGCACGAAAAAATATGTTACGTTTAACAATGTCTTGTTCTGAGCTTCATCCAGTTTCTCTGGCTACCAGATATGTACAGTATGTGTGGGTTTGATACGCTGTCTCGCCTCACATCGCTTCACATCACCCAAGTCCACCCAGCAGCCTTGTTACATATCTCACAGGGAAGAGGACGATCATCCCTACGATCTCCCCATACTCGTCCACTTTGTCAGTGTGCTGTACGATACGTACGTTACAAGCCTTCTGGGCCATCCCCTCATCTCGTCTTGACCAACTCCCCTTCCCGACCATTCATCAGATATCCCTGCATTTTGCCCAAATATGCTTTCACCACGAGACCCTTACAATCTTGTAGGCCCAGTTAGATCCTCGACTAGATTTCACGCCCCGTTCACAGCGTTGCAGCACACCCCCTTATCCTTGCAAGAATCTTATTGGATGTCCCCGCCCAAGCCGCGACAACGGTTATGCGCAACATGCGCTAAACCGCAACGTCGACACAAGTTCAAGATGACGAAGGATCAATGCAGTTTTTCACAGAGAAACAGGCCCGCGCTGTGCCCTTAGTTGATACTCTGCGGCTTTGTTGTCCTTTCTGATATATTCAGTGTACTGATACTCAGCCTTGTTGATGGCGAGCAAAACCCTGGATGTAGTCTGACTCGTATGTCTCTGGCTCTTCACTGCCCCACGGTACCTACTAGCAGGAAACAACAGCCATACCAAACAGGTGCCATCATCCATCTCTGAATGTTGAATCAGAGATGGGTTGATAATCAGAAGCGTCATGAATCTGGCATCCCACTCTATTCAGGATCACCATGGCACGGACATCTGACGGGCCCTATTCGCTACCGACGTACATACGTACAGTATCATGAGGAAATCGATGGATCAGCAAGGATTCTTAGTGATTCTCTGTCTATACTGTAAAGTATACATAGAAGCGTAGAAAAAGCATATAGTGGGTAAAGAATCTCCCATATGGGGCCTTTTGAAGCACCAACAAGCATAGACACGCAACGCTTCGCTCAGTTGTCCGCCCCCCACCACTTGTTAGTCGTTGCGGTTTCCACTCCCTGTACAGGCTCCAGGGTGCGCCTGCACGAAGCAAGCACCTCTTTTTTACTTTGTTTTCCTACACCTTACAGGACAGGGAAATACCTCCCAACATGACCTTGTTCAGACCCCTGGGCAAGGACATGGCAGCTACGGCTTTTCGTTGACCCAAACCCCACTCTGAGGCGTGTCCTTGCTTGTCATCTTGAACTCATATATCCATCCCAAGCCCGGCTTCAAAGTGAATGATTATGACTTGGATATCATTCCTTCTGTCCTACGACATATCAACTGCGTTTTTCGAGCTACATTTTATGTGCTTATCCTTTCATTTCAACATCCAGTCCATTCGTTCCAGAGATTCTTCCGAACCATCGTTACCATCTTAAACTCCAACCAATCTTTACCTCTCATGCTTGTTTATTAAGAGACCAGGCCTCACTCACATTCCTTTCCGCCTAATTTCCTTAACATCGTATTCTGCTACCCGCTCATTACCACGCCCTTGCTCTATACTCCGTTATCATCTCGGGGGCGGTTTCAAGCGTTCTGCAACATACCGACCCGTCCGTGAAAGCAGGGCAGAAACATTAGAACTACACTGTGTTGGTTGTACTTGCTCAACTTACACTGGCCGGTTTCACTGCCATCTCTTCTTACTTAAACCTGCCTGCTGCTATTCGATCTACGCCTCGTCCAAATGCTCGTTACAAGGCAATACGATACTGAGCATAGCCGTTGGCCATTCAGCAGATACGACCCATCTCGTAACTCGATAAGCCCTCGCATGTCGAACCCTTACGATGTCAATGTCGAGCTGCCGGCACCTTCGAGCTGGCAAGGGCACAACTCCAGTTCTACCCAAGGAACCAATGGGTTTTCCCAATCCTACACTCCACGGAATGGACACTCGCAGCTTTCTCAGATGCATCAGCCAGCGGAAGAGAAAGGCAATTCTCTGGGAATTCATATGAGGTCCGGAACAACACCGCTATACTCGTCTCAAGTCCAAGCCGCAGATCACAGTGGGATCCTTTCAGCGCCGAAGCCAGCAGCAGCAGCTGGCACCTTCGTGCCCCTTGGCCGCTCAGGATCTGAGGTTTCAACCGCCCAGTCCAGTCAGGGGGGAAGAGTCAACTTGTCACCGGATGCAGAGGATGACGACCTTGATGAGGAAGACTCACTCGATGGCGATGAGAACTCGTCTCAAACCCCTGCGGAACGGGCAGCTGCTCGCCGTAAGATGAAGCGGTTCAGGTTAGTACCTCTATGTCAAAAGTCATAGACAATAGCTCACCATGTTAGACTTACCCATCAACAAACCCGATTCCTCATGAGTGAGTTTGCAAAGCAACCTCACCCCGATGCCGCGCACCGTGAGCGATTGTCCAGGGAAATCCCCGGGCTGAGTTCCCGCCAGGTCCAGGTCTGGTTCCAGAACAGGTATTTAGCTCTCTTATAGACGATTGTACTGGCATAGCTAACCATGAGCCAGACGCGCCAAGATCAAGAGACTTAATGCCGACGACCGCGATCGTATGATAAAGATGAGAGCAGTCCCCGAGGGTTTCGACAATGTCCAGGCACTCCACTCCCCTTATGGTGCAGTCCACGGCATGAACGCTCCTATGCACTCTCCGGGGCAGTTCAACACTCAGTCATACGCCCAACATATGATGAGACCCCTGATTGTCGATGCTCGAAGGAATGATGCCCACGAGCATTCTTCACCCACCAGCCTGACCCCAGGATTCGGTGGAATGACATACAGCCCTGCCGGTAGCATGACCAGCTCCAGCCTAGCATCGCCACTCACCCCAGCCCCAAGTGATCGATACCCGTATGGTGGCCACTTCTCTGCTCCTCTTACAGGTAGTCCGAGAACATCGCACCCATTTGGGCAGCAGCACGGCCTTGGTAACCCTATTGAGATCCATCGCTCAAGCCCTCATCCTATCCCGCCGCCACTGCTTCGTGACTCCCTATCTCGAGCTAGGTCAGAGTCCTCGCAGTCGCCGCTACGACCCAGCATGTCATGGAAAGGAGATGTCGTTGAATACACATACCGAGCTGCGAGCAGCACGAGCCCGAACCTCCCTGAACGACAGCCACCTCTGTATCAGCCAACACCTATAAGCCACCCTTCTGGCGGCATTAACAACTATGGCACAAACCCTATCCCCAACACGACGACACCGCCAGGCATCCCAGCTTCGAGAGCGGACATCTGAATGGTGTAGAGCTTTCCGCACAATCTTTGCCGTGTCCCAGTTCAAAGTACCGTTAGGAGTGCATGAAGTCGCTTGAGGTCGTGGGCGTTAGACAGGTATACAGTACTTATCACACCAGGACATGTTGGCATGAGGCACTTCTCACTGCTCCCGCAAGACCTGGAAAGAGTCTTGTCAATTGCATTGTTGGGCTCGTCTCTAGTTTCTCTTTGGCGAACACTGTGCCGCTGCCACCTTTGGTTATATTCTTTCTCTTGTCTTGGGGTCATGTTGTTGATTTCGGCCATGCGCGTTGGGGAGGGTTGAACTGGGTATTTTGATAATGATCACGACCCTTTCTTTTGTTGTTTATGGGGGTAAGGTAATTATCATGATGATGAACATCTAAAGCTGGCATTTAGTGAGAAAAAAACATACGGGGGTTCAATGGGGGCCAAGGCGCAAATGTTCTTTCGGTGTTCTATTGCTGGGTTTGGTTTACGGGATGGGCTGGTTCTTCCCTTCTTTATCCAAGTTGGACATCTTCGATTGGGGATATTATAATACCAACCGAGGTATGTAGTCTGCTAGATAGGCTCTGGCCCTGGTGGCAGCTTGTACACAGTTAGTATGACAATGAATGATATTATGAAAAACTCCAGGTTCCAGATCAAAGTAGAAGTTGTAGTGATGATAGTTACTGAAGTGTGACTGGAGAATGTGATTTAAGAATACTGGTTTGCAATATGGATCCTTGAGCCTCCGAGCTGAAGATATTTCAGATACAGCTTTATGACGAGAACTCGGTATTGTATTTGGTGATATGTTGCACATCATCCTATCTTTTCTATAAAGACGGGTTGGTTTGCCAACTGCTCGGAAGTATAGCCTATATAACCAACGATTAGTGATTAGTCTCTGGCCCTAACCTCAAAGTCGATATCTGGGGCACATGCAAGGTCTTTGTAGTCAGACGAGCCAGTTCTCCTTCTGGCAGCCAAGCGGTTATCAGTGATGGGAAACATCAGGCCGAAAACAACAGACAGGCTACTAGGTTTACCAGATGTTGGGTGTCATCACGATACAGTGCCAAGAGCATGAGCCAGACGAAGGGCTAAAGACTTACCACCTAACACTTTTCTTATTTCATGCAAGACAATGGCTGACTATACAGAAGCGATTCACGTCACGATACGACGCCCAAACGGGTTTTATATCCTTTACGTCTCTTTTCCCTCTCATCAGATCCAGGACAAAGAGCTCAAAAGGGTGAAGAAATGTCACTTGCATCAGGTCATCACCGCATCATGGTAGCCGCACGAGGGGCCCTCGTGATGATGGTTTTAGGCAAGGTTACTGAAGTGTGCTCTCGACCACAAATCCCGAAATGTTACAGCAGCGTAGGGTCGAGCAAGCTGACAAAGGTTGAGGGATAGTGGTGGTCTTGTTTGTATAAGAAAAGAGAGGAATTTTTTCGGCGAGATGTTTGCGATCTTATCGGAAAAGGAAAGGTCATGTGACATGCTAGAACCTCCACTTGCTGGGCGGGCTGCTAGGCGACGAACGACCCAGAGTGGGTTCTATGGTTTTATGGTGCCTCAGGTGCTGAAAGGACGGAGTTGCCTTATTATTATTAGCCTCACATTGGATGGAACCTACTAACTGAACCCATGGGTCATCAGACAGACGCGTCAAAATGACTATTTGAGATACTACAAAGACAAAAAGAAAGATGCTTTTGTTATGTTATCAACATGCAGTTACCATGTATTGATTTCTTTGTGACTATTCATATAGACAAGGAGCTTTAATTTGGTTAATCTTCCAGCACAGTTCATCACTTGAGACGTGATTCGGTGATACCGTCTGCATTGAATTATGGGGCCGACAGCTCACTACAACTGCGACTGCGGAGGGCAGGTTAGTTGATTAAAGGAATAGGTACCTCCTAAAAGAGAGGCCTTTGTTCTCCTGTGGGAAAAAAAGACCAGCCACTCAGATTCACGGAACATGTTCCCGAAAACTGGTCAGTGAGCCGAAGGGCACTGAAAGAACCTGTGTTCTGCCAGTGAAAGGCCTGGAAATAACGGCTTGTCCGTGCTGGAACGTTCCTGGCTCCGAGCCATTGACTGGTTTCACAGACCACCCCCATCTGAAATTGCCTCGCCTCTCAGGCTCAAACTCTGGCAACAGATTAAAAGCTAATACCAATACGGATGGTGCCAAGCCCTTACTCAGGTATCTTTAAGCCGAGCCAACACGCAAAAGTGACTTTCTTGTCGGATCAGGTTGACTTGGCGTCAGGTTATGTAAGAAAATACGTACCGCGTCTCTGCCTCTGCCTCTCCCTCATTCCAAACACTACGCTCAACTCCACACCTTTCGCCCCCGATTCAACCTCTGACAACCAAACCAACCATCGCCTTATTCGACGCCAACCCTCGCTCTACGCCAGCGACATTCGCCCATTTCCCTCGGATTCGTCGATTTTAGATACCCCGATCCTTCAGCAACACAGCAGCCGACTTTAAATTCGTCTGCGCCGCGCCCGCTCATCTCACCGAGTCCCGAGAAAAACCCAGTGCCAGTGCATGACGTTTGGCTGAAGAGAGAAGCGGAGCGCAGCGACTTTCGGTCGACGACCGGCGCGACTCTCGCACAACCCTCCCTCGCGGAGTCGTCCACGATGTCGTTCCATCCTCAGACTCCCCAGAGCCCATCGCAATTCTCCTCCGGGACCTCGGAGCCCGTGTTGAGCGTGGCCACCTCCATGACCACCACGACTACGCCAACAACTTTGCCGACTCCTGCCCACAGCGTCACCGGAAGCGCACATCACGACCTTGCAATGGCCGACGACTCACCCCAGAAGCGGAAACGCTCCATGGACGACAGCGGTGACCGCGAGCAGAAGAAGGTCCATGTCGAGGAAAGCAAACTGGGGATTGAGGACCTACATCTTGATGTGGGGAAGAAATACCTGCTTTGCCAAACTCGTAAGACTCCCTTCACAGCCCTTCTCCCGCTCCCTGCAGCGCTCGGATTCTGGCTCTGAATGAGAGCTTTTTGCGGGCATTATATCATATCATTATGTGATTCCCGCCAGAGAATTGTTTGTTAACATCACTCTTTTCTAGCCCATCCCGAAACTTTGCCGCGCGTCTCGGAAGACTTGTATGATTTGTTCAACCTCAATGCACTCGCCGCCGAAGTAGCCCGAGAGAAACCCAACGGAGAAAAGAACGCACTACGTTCATCCTATACTGGCCATATGAAGCGCCTAGGTGTCGCTGGTCACTGGAAAGTGCAAAGGACGGATAAAGACTCCAACGAGAAACCCGACTTCTTTGACATCCTTCACATGCCTGATGAAGATTGGGACAACACGATTGTCAAGGGACAAAATATCAAACATGGACTATCACAAGCAAGTCTATCCGCTCTTGGACGAGCAGTCTCTATGGCTAAAGGTCCACTGAGCAAGAAGGACTGGGACACTTCAGTATTGGGACTTCAGTCACCCGGCGGAGACTCGAAGCTACCATCATCGGCGAGGCCTACCGCTCCCAACACTCCTCTGAACGTTCCTGGTGCAGTAGGACGGCTAAAGGCTCAAGGGGCCTCGGCAAATGATCCGAACCGACCAAAGCGTAACGTCAAGAAGAGGACATATGGCGACAGCAGCTTCGAGGGTTATGGCGAAGGCTACCCCGATGATGACACAGCCATGGAAGGAGGGTATTCCACAGGAGAGGGAGAGGGTGGCCAAAAGCGACGCAAAAAGGTAAATGAATCTTGGTCATCTACCTCTAGGTCTGCCAACTGACTCAAGCTCGTATAGAACCCGGGTAGCGCCTCACCGTACCCAAGCGCGATGCGCCAGCAAAGCTACGGTCCTGGCATGGTTGGCGCTTGAGGCATTCCACGAATGTATCTCGCTCCGGCTTGATCAGCCACCAAATACTCCCTTCTTGGAGTCAACTCTTCTCGAACCAATTATCAAACCTTACCGAAAGGAGGTTTGCAGTTTGATTGAGAGTAATCTCGTCACAGCACGAGGACGCTACCTGCCAAATCGCGTCCAAGTTTCACAAAAAAGACATTTCATCAACTTTTTACGTTTTGTATACACGTCATGCTACGATTCCGCCAAAGGCAACGCCCTCCCGAAATGGAGATCACGCGAAACCAGAAGATGCGATCGTCCTAGGATTCGTATCAGCGACCAAAAAATCACTGTGCAATTTGCTTTGACAGCCCTGCGGGCTTTTATTTAATCTTGGTTTTTGACTTTCTTGCATTCTGAAGGGGCGGGCACACAACTTCGCCGTCCCAACGAGCACGGCGTTCGGACACTGGGGAGAGGGGACTTATGGTAACGGCCGGCCGGTATGTTAATGCGGTCACGAGGGGGTTTAGGATGGGCATCCGGGGGAGGTCAGAAGTCATAGTTCGGTCGCCGTAACTATACTATGATACAAAACTAGCGCTAAAATGCTCAAAACAAATAAAATCTAAATACTTGAAAAGGAGCCCACTCTGTTTTCTCTTCTCTCTGAGTCCTGTATATCGTAGCGCATATCTCATTACATCCGCCCGCCCTTCTCTAAATCTCCCAAGCATGCTGTCAAACAACCTGCCATACATAGACTGAACCGTCGTCCCCAAGGTTGATATTATACTTGATCCCCCCCAAAATTACCATTCTCGACAGTTGGGTACGCGCCAGTGGTCATCTCAGCCCAGCTCCAATCCAATGTCATAGGCAAGGAGAAGAGATCTTGTGGAAGGAGTGGCTGTTGGAATGCTGATACCGGCATTTGCGGAGAGTTCATACTACCTTCACCATAGTTCATTGATGAATCAAAGTCGCCATTTTGATTAGGTTGCGGTACCGGGAACTCTTGCGGCCAACCAGCTGACATTGCCGATGGAGAAGGATCGTTCATCGGCGTGCTTATAGGAAACGATCCCATCGAATCACCGTTTGAGGGTGGTGATAGCTGGGCTTGGGAAGATCTTCTGGGTGCAGTGGAAGACACAGAAGCAGACCTTACCGACTCTTTGGTAGCATGTTGTCGGACTGAGGACGCACCGGCGTTGGTGGATGTTTTGCTTGCAGAGTCTTGGTTCTTACGCTTGCGCCTAGAAGACTGCTCCTTTTCGGCCTTGTCGATAACAGCTTTGGCTATACGTTCGAATTCGGCACAAATACCGAGCATTCGGTGCACACCACCCTGTTCAGCTTCTTGTCCGAGCATAGAGAGGAAGGTGACGACAATATTCATAAGTCGAGTATCTGACTTGGCGCGTGGGTCCAGAGGATTCTGGAGAATATTTCCAAACAATGTTACGAGTGCAGAGACAGGGAAGTAAAGAATCATCCTAATCATTTACGTTAGTAATCTGTGGGGATGATCCCGACTTGAAGACTTACCAGACACAAGCAAAATCGCCCTGAGGCACATACTTCAGCAGAGAGACAGACGCTCGCGCTGCGGCCGTGCAAAGTGCTGCTGAGGAAAAGACACGCGGGTTAAGAGGTCGAGCGTTTAGACCCTGAATGGCATAATTGGCCAGTCGGCTAGTCCAGTAACCGTGATGAACAGACATGCGATGAATGGTCGTGAGGCAGTTGTAGTACGTGAGGTGCAACATAACAACATGGAGGATCAGAGGAGTGTGCGAGGCATTGATGTCATGCTCAGGGCGATAATCAATGGGAATACTGTCCTTCCACTCTTCCAGCTTCTGGTCCAGTTCGCCAATGGTGTTGAGAAGTTCGCCATCGGATTGCTTGGTAGCCTGAACAGAATATAACCTCTTGTAGACCTCGCTTTCGATAGTAGCGAATTCACACATGACGCGGAAGAGGTTCATTTTGCCCTTGCCATCAGCTAGTGGAATGTTACCGATGTTGTCTGCTGGATCAGCATCTGGAAGCTCGACATTCATATCATCATCATCCTGAGCCGGTGGACGGCCAGCGCGGAGACAGAGGTCTTTGTCAAGCATGTAAGCGATCCAAAAGACTCTCTTACGTTGCTCAATTTCGATAGGATTGAGGTTAAATCCGGTACCGCGCTTATGAAGACCAATGCTCTGTGCGAGACGCATCGCCGCTGAAACGAGCAAAAACGTGGGCTGAGGGTTGGGTGTCCCCTGCAAGAACAGGGCCATACCAAGGAGAGCCTGGACACTTAACAAGTCGGTGTTTCGCATAGTCAGCTCTGGGAAAACACCGATGGCGTTCTTCAGATAGCCCCATGCCTTCTCATCCTCATCTTGTGGAACGAGATTGCTCATGACGCGCAAGCGGTGGGCGATAGCGAGCGCACAGTTGAGACTTGCCCACCATCCAGATCCCTGGTAGGGCTCAGCCGAATACTGCATCTGTACCAGGTGCATGAAGGTTGGCTGATGAAACAGAGGGAAGATGCAATTAAAGTTGTCAAAGTAATCCTGGAGCAGAGACAGGGCCTCGGGCTTGGGAGGCAGTGGGCGGAAGATAGGTCGCTGGAAGAGATCGCCAAAGACTTCAGGTTTCCAGTTAGTCCACTTGTGGTCGTCGACAGAAATGTCCGATATAGTTCGTTGGAAAGAGTCATCGCCAGTCTTTGAGTTCACCCACGAGACTCCCTTGGGCGAGAAAATAGAGAAACCGGAAGATGAGCCTGTCACAGGTTAGTAAAGGGCACCTGATACGTTGCAGGTTGGTAGCTTACCAATATATCTAGTCTCTCCATAATTATTTGTTACTAGAGAGCACATCATCTCTGACAAAGCCTCAACTTCTTCCGGCTCTTCAGGCTGTGCTTCGTCTCCATTTGCATTTGGTGCTGGCGCTGTTGATGGGGCGTTCGAAGGAGCTGGTGTGGCTGACTTGCGCTTCTCATCCTTGGCAATAGAGTTGGGTGATGTCAGTGAGCTCTGAGGGGTCATTACAGTGCCGTCTGCGGCCGAAGGAATAGATATAGAGTGGGATGGTGAGTTTGGTCCAGATCCAACAGCCATTGACGCTTGTCTCGACTTTTCCTGTCGTTCCATTAACCTCTTCTCCAAAGCGCCAAGATCATCATCATCCTCGTCGAGGAGGCCTGCATGGCATGTCAGTTTTCGTTACAAATCAAGAGCTGTGTGAGTGCCTCACGTACCAGAGAGCCTCAAAAGGTGTTCCATGCGATTCAAACGGTTCTCAAGACCCTCAATATACTTTGCACTTTGAATTTGTAAGCAATGGCTATGGCAGCTGGTAGACTTGAGTAGCATACCCTTTTGGAGGAGCGCGCTTTTTCTCGACTTGAGTAAAGACACACTCGGTCTTGTAATTAATGCAGTGCGTACAAGAAGGCATCTTGCCGTCACACTTGATTTTCTTCTTGCGACACATATCGCATGCCTGTGAAATTTCCCAATCAGCACTCTGAGTCTTGAGCCTGCGTCCGTTTTCGAGGTTCATTCATACCCTGGCAATTCTCCTTCTTTTTGGATCGTTGGCATCTTCGAGCATCATAGCCGAGTCGTTGAACATTTGAGCAGCAATTTCGGGGGGCAATTGCGGTATGCCATCGTAGCTACCAAAGACCTGTGGCGGTTGGTTCATGATGGGAGGGGCCATGCCCGAGACCTGAAAGGCCATATGATCCATCTTGTTGGAGGTGACAGCGGAAGGATTCGCTGATTAGAGTATAATAGAGTATGTTAAAGTCGAGTCGAGTAAAGTGGTTGTCGATCGAGGTTCGCAAAGCGGCGCGAGCGGCGTGCTCGTGAATCAATCTGCGGCAAGAAAGCGTCCGTCCGTCGACTTGCGACACGAGAGTATACAGGCGCTCGAGGCTCGAGGATTTGGTGTGAATTAATTATTTATAAGCAGATCATGAAGAGTGTATATTTGAAGCGATGCGCAAAGAAGGTTTGTAGCTTTGTAGCTGTGTCGTGCTGTGCTGTGTGGAGAGAGCAGGCGAAGGAAGGTCGAGTTTGGGGTAAATCGCAGATCGGAGTCGACGGGATCGCTTAAAGTTATGATACAATACTGACTGTACTGTACAAGCGGCTGCGCTGCCGAGGACTAACCTGACGGTTAGGTTAGCTAAACGAACCGAGCCAGACAAGGAGACAAGGGCGACAGGAGACAGTAGTCTAGGATCAGGACCAGGCAGGCCAAGGACCAGGCGACTAATAAATGGCCTAGACTGGACCGCGATTCTATGACAGCCACTCAAGTTTCTTCACTCACTGTCAGACTCGGGGGCTCTTCTCTTCTCTTGACGGGGAATTGAGTGGGGTGGCGGAGTTTTGCTTTGGTGTGACAAGAGGGCTTCTTGGCGGACAAGTAGAGAGAGTACTAATAAGTACCGTTCGTTCTGCAGGCTTGTGCTTGGGTAGCGTTTACCTAGCGTAGTAGTGGAGTGGACTAGGTATAGGTGAGTATTTTATAGCGTGAGTATTAAAGAAAGTCGAAGATTAATTAATGAGAGTGAGGAAAGAAGAGAGAAAAAAAGAAAAGTCGCGATGTGTCGTCTTGGTGTTGAAGAAGATAAAACAGATAAAGATTATTAGAAATCTTTCAAACAGAAAAAGGCATAAACCGGCAAGTCTTGTATCCGTCCATACACGTCTCCAGCTCTCTGTCAGGTAACAAACTCAGTCTCATGGTACCTTGCTTACCTCACTTAGGATCGGTGAGACGAGACAAGTCGCAGGGAAGCCCAGGACTTAATGCGCGGGTATTTGTTTCGAATCAGGGAAAGACCAGAGAGAGAAAGTGAGTGCATCCCCTTAGAGGCAAGTGCCCGGCAGTCCAGTCCAGTCTAGGTACTTGCCTATGGAGTATGGAGGTAAGGAAGGAAGGAAGGCTTGGATACCTACCTGCCCAAGGCACCTAATCTTAAACGACATCAATATGTGCCAAACCTAGCAGCTAACTCTATCTTCTTTGACACCAACCAATCGCATTATCTAGCGAACTGGACATCACCCATCAAGATATCCTCTTCAGTTGGTACTATACCCTTATCATGACTCAAAGCGATGGACGTTCAAACAAGGTCCAAATGTGAAATACATACGGACAGATGATCGTCAAAGGACCCCTGAATACCGGCATCCAGCCTGCATCATCCATCCTTATATACCACAGTACAAGGTCAAAACCCAGTATGTACAGTAGGGGATGCCTCTAAACGTGCTTATCAAATTCTCCAATCCTGGTATGTGCGTAGTACTGACTCGATCACTTCAGGGCGAGGATAGATAATCTTTTGTCAGTCATTCGGTCAATACTCCACATGCTGTTACAAGATGATATTTTTCTCTCGCTGGCAGGGAAGATGCTGCAGGTTCTACGCACATTTCGGGTTCTGCAGGGACACATCCGTCACTAAATTAGCCCTTTCTTCAAATGGCCGCAAAGAGCATAGGCTAGCCTCTGCCAGAGTGTGTATCCGAGGCTAAGGAGGCTGGGTCGACATGACAGAGGAGAGCTTCCTGTTATATCCGTAGGCTTTCTCCTCAAGTCCTAGACCGAGTCCAGCCTCACCAATTCAACGCAGGTCATCCATCACACAGACATTGACCACGTTGCGCGTCCCTACAAGGCAAGACGAGACAAGACAAAAGATGTACAACTTCAAAGTCTGGAAAGAGAAAAGAATCATCGTTTCCCCTGATGACGTGTCTCAGACTTAAAACACACAGACATTGACAAACCGTTGGAACCTCACTACTGGGAAAATTTAGTACCCGCAGCCAACCGATCGACAACCCAACCAACCAACCGTTCTGGCTTTCAATCCCTCTAAACGCCCAATGATAGCCTTCTTTACTTCACCTAGGTACATACAGTACAATACTTGGCAGGCCCCGTCCCGAATACGTCGCTTCATCCGAACCTGAGGGGAGGGGGCTGTGCATCCTGAGACACTCAACACATGGCATCAAGCTGAGTGTAACTTGACCAACAGAACCAACAATACATACATTATCAACTAGTGCTGAAGAAAGTAACCGCCGCGGGGATGGTTTCCGTAAGATCAGCAGCCGCCTAATTCTATTCTAGAGCCTCTTCTCAGCGTTCTAAACTCTGTCAGATTTATACTAAGTTTAGCGTGACAATTAACTACCCATGGTCTAAAAAGAATAGGGGACTCAACATGACCTAAACTCTACAACTTTTATAACCTTATTCCTGTCCGTACATCAAGCACAGATGGGGTCGAATAAGCAATTACCATCATATCCGCAGCGTTATAACAGATGGGATCCATAGAAATCGTAATTGCCGTGTTTCCTCCCTCATCTGTAGACTCTCGCTTATTCTTATTCTTTTTCAGGGTCCCTTGTTCCTTGTCTCTTGTTGTTTCGGATCCGCCTCGTGTAGTGTTTGATGGTCTTGTACCCGATCGCGCACCGAAAGCCTAATAAGACTCAAACATCTATATCAACTGATACATCACAAGGAGGTTTCTGGGATCATCATGTTCAAAAGAACCTTCTAGGCCTTGGTATCTTGTTTGTTCTCGCTCCTGCACAAATCGTGCGTGTGTGGCGAGCTTGCTATAATATATACAGTAAACCAGACCTCTCATCCCCTGACTTGCTGCCTGCAAGTCTCATCAAAAGGGCTGACACCTTACCAGTCCTTGGGTAGCAAAAGACTTGGCCATCAGGAGTACAACAAACGAAAAGTTCAGTCAGTCAATCGTAGTCGTAACTAGATATATCTGCTTGCTAATCTTGCACATCCCTCCACGGGACCAAGTCCTCCGCTACCCCTTCCCCAGTACAGGTTGTGAAGTCGAAAGTGAAAAATGTAAGAAGAAATAAACGCGCGTCTTTAATGAGAGTCAAGAAGGGAATGGATCGTCAAGCGTCGCAGAGAAAAGTATGTGTTTCGAATCAATTAGCCCAGCTTCCTCCTTTTTGTGATAGTAACCTCTCATCTTTATCCTTTTCGCAACAATTCTAATGTCCCATATCTTCAGGCTTTTGTGCTTCCCAAGAGATCCCAGTGATCCGATGATGACCACATTTGAACGCCGAACAAAATGCTTCTCGCGTCACTCCTATATGTGACGACGATCGAGAGAAATGGAAAGAAATGCAATGACCAACAGCAGTCGTATATATAGCTGGTGAGTATAGCACCAATGGCGGTACTACAAGAGCATGGCGAGGTGGTCGTGACGAAACAATGAACAGAACGCTCAGGTATCTAGAAATGACAAAGCAAAGCGAAAAAGCAAGCAGGATCGATCAGATCCTTTCCTGGAATCTAGATGGCGAGCCAAACGACCCATCACGAGAAGCGACGGATCCTCCACCCGTTGAGCCTCCAAGGCCATCCCCATCGGGTTTCGGCCTTGGAGGATCAGTGAAAGGATTTGACTCTGTGACCGGTGTACGTGCCGGACCCGATCGGATGACAGGCACGCCACTTATTGGCCGCATCGGTGTTCCAAGAGCGAGATGATGTGAATCTTGCTGTCTGGGATCCCATGCCATGGAACCTCTCCAGTAGTCAGAGGTGCCGCTCATGACGCTTTCTCGATTTGCTCGACTGCTAGGAGGAGGAGGTCCAGTTCGAGGATCAGAGTAACCATCTCCGCCCACTTGAAGGACGGAGGGCAGCTTCTTTCCTGAGACGCGGTAGAATCCTCGCTCACTAACGGGTTCGGGTTCGGGTGTTTGTTGTTGTTTCCTGCCTATCAGTCCCGCAAGTACGGTGGACACAGCAGCAGATGCGCTGGAGCGCTCTGCCATTGATCCACCGTCAGGGCCAGACATGGGGCCAGCGATTGATCGAGACCCAGATTGGTTTCCTCCGAGGATACCACCTCCAGGGTGCTTCTTCTTGTACCTGAGAGCAAACAGGACCAAGAACGCCAAGAACGCCACACCCGCAACGCTACCCACAACGCCACCAATCACTTGCTTTTGCTGGGGCGAAAGGGTGCCAGTATCGGTGTCATTGGCACTCGACGAGTTCGTTGGTGCCGGTGGTTGGCCGTCTGCTGTTGCGCCGCCAGCTCCTCCAACTCCTCCTTCGCTGTCGTCTTCCCCCCAGTACCCTGAGGACCAAGTTTCTTCTGCCGATATGCTCGAGTAGACGGAATCTGAGTAGTTCTGTGTTGAGAGCGTGGGGTTGACGGAAGATGTGACAAAGGTGGATGATACCACTACGACAGTGGAAGAACTGCGAGCTCGTGTAGCTGTGTCTGTTGTAGTCGGTGTTGTTGTGGTGGTTGGAGGGTTGGATTCAGATTGAGTCGCATCCGTGGTGGCTTCAGCAGTTGCCTCTGAAGTCTCTTCGGTGACCTGTGTTGCTTCCGATGTAAAGTCGGATGTGGTCTCTATTTGAGTTGGTTCATCGGTAGTCGTGGCACTTAGGTCATCTAACATAAAGATGTCAGTCAGCACATGGTTACGAACTCAAGCTATAAATAGGAGGGGCAAATATTCGTACCGGTGGTTACGAGAGTTTCTGACCCACTAACATCCGAGGCCGTTGTGTCGACAGCGGTAGTGGGCGCAGCTGGTGACGTTGTTTCTTGACTCGCAACGTCAGGGTCTGTAGTGGTCACGGGGTTGGTTGGGGGGACCGGGTCGGATGGCAGGTCGGCGGTCGGAAGCAACGTCGTGTCGTTGACAGGTTCTGGCACTGAATCGGAAACGGTTGCATCTGGAATTTGCACGGAGGGTAATGGATTGGTCAACCCTGGTGTTTCCACGGCGGTCGGAGCGGCAGCAGGAGGTGACGGGGCATTATAGCTTGCAGCTGGAGCTGGATCCGACGCCGCGGCCGCCACGGAAATGTTGGGCTCCGGGTCAGAAATGGCGGCGACGGTGACGCCCGTGGCAGAATCCACGACGACGGTAGCAGGTGGTGCGTAGTGGGTTTGAACTTCGATAGGTGAGCCGGCTGCGTCAACAACCTGGACAACCGACACAGTCTGGACAACCTGGGTGAAAAGGTCCTGCTCAGCGCGAGGTTTTAGGTCATTGGGATCGGCGTGCGAGTGAGCGTTGTCGGGCTGGGCAGCGCGCTGACGGAGGTTGGATGGCGAGACGCTTCGGTGCAGACGCTGGTGCGAGTGATGGGAATGGTGGCCGGTGTTGTGGAGCTGGGAATGACTGTGGTCGGCTGGTTCGTCGCTGGTTTTTTCATCAACAGTTCCGAATCGATGCAAGTGAAGATGAGCACGATGAAGAATATTGTGAGTGATGGATTTGTCGGATTTGGTGGAACGAGAGTGGTGCTTGTGGTTGTGGTTATGATGATGCGAAGCTGAGCGAGCGTGATGAATTGATTGCAGCTCGGACAGATCCGAGGAAGAAAAGGAAGGTGAATTTGAGGGAGCCAGGGTTGATGTTGATGGCAATTGATCGACATGGGCATCCCTATTTCTGTTGGATGAGGAGGAATCCTTATCCTGATCGATATCCAATGCCATATCCATATCCAGGGCCTGAACGAGTGAAGACCCGCTGGATGAGTAAGTCATTAATAGGATGCGTCGTGGCCTGGGCGGACGTGGCCCGTTTGGTCGGGAATGGGGAATGGGAATTGGGGGGGACGTGGCGATGATGGACTGATTTGCTCAACTATTGAGTGCTGTATTTTTAGTGGATGCAGTACAGCCTAGCCGACTAACGCAGGGGACGTGCACCAGCACCAGCCGGTTTCAGAAACGGGTACCCTAAAATAACAACACGAAGTGCGCTGAGTGGTCCCCAGGTGTTGGTGTTCCTTCTCTGGGACGAGGAGAAAAGAGAAGATCCCCGATGCAGCGATCGAGTTTGCTAGTGCAAGTGTTGGGTTGTTTTTTCGAGAAGAATGTCTTTGCCAATTGTCCACTGTGGATGTGTGCTAGTCTGGGCTGTTCGTATTCTCGCTCCACTCCACTCACTGCCTTTTGAGATGGATGTCTTCCAGAATGACGGGCACAACACGGGAAGTGAAAGGAGTGTAAAGATCAAATCGGATGCCAATTGCTGCTGCTGTTGGTTCAACAAAAGCACATGGTCCATCAGATCCCAGGAGAGAGAAGATAGGCTCAACAAAGAGGACAAAAAAAGGCACTGATGACTGACCAACACTCACAAAACAGACAAAGAAATGGACTGCTGTGAGCGGAGACAGATAACAAAGGATGGAACGCTGTCCAAAAATGGGTGTTTTTCGAGGATATTCCGCCCCTTGCACTTCTTTTCGGTTGTCCGTTCTTTGTTCAGTCCTGCAGGTCCTTTGGGATTGAGTTGTTTCGCACGGCGGCAAAAAGACAGTTGTTTCCAATATCGGTCCGTCGACGTCAATCTCGGTTGGTTGATTGGTTTGGTTTGGTTTGGTTTGGTTGCGAAGTCCAAGAATTAATGAGCGACAGGGCTATCGTGGTTGATGATTGCTGTATTGCGTGGTGTTTCCTTGCATTCGTCCTCTTGTCCACTCTCTAGTTTTCTGTTTGGTTCCCTCTCTTGTCTTGTTTTCCTTCTCAGCTTTCCGTAATTACAATTATCGACGATAACACAAATAGGAAGCGCTAATTGATGTTATTGCTATTGCTGTTCTTGTTGTTGTTGTCGTCGTCAAAGTCGTGTAATTATGTTCGTCCAAGGTCGTCTCAAAAAAGGAAGGGAATAACAGAGAAACAAAAAGAAAATTGAAGCCGACAGAAAGTAAAGAGAGAATGAATGAGTGATTAGAAGCAAAAGAATAAAATGAGAGTATTAGGGTTGGTCTGGTCACGAATAGCACAGCACAGTAAAGAGAGGGAAAAGGCCAAGAAGCGGACGGAGCAAAAAGAAAGACAAGAGGCAGGAAACGAGAGACAAAGCGGAAGGCGCCTATACTATACCTCCACGGGCTGCCAAAAGAACCTCCCTCCCCTATGTCTATAGTGGTGATGGTGACCCTTTCAGAGGTCGTGCATCCATACCTGGGTAGTAGGAGGTACCTGTTTCCTGCTGTAATACCTGCTGTGCTGTAAGTTACTGGTTGCGCATGGATCAGCAAGGGTCCTGGTCTTTTCGTTCCTGAAGCTATGCCTATTCCTCACGAGCGTTTCCCTCTCTGTTCGGCGATCATGCCTGGGTTCAACTAGGTAGTACATAGCACAGTAGACGATGCGCGGTTATGGGATGGGACTAACGGTGATGGATCAGAGGGCCCGAGATGGAGATAATCTCGCTTGAGATGAGGTTTAATCAAGAGACCAATCATAGGTAAGCAAACGTACGACATAAGGACATGGGGGGGTATCCATTCATTTCTTGGCCAGTCTCCACGGAATACGACAAGAAACATGATTCGGAGAGTATTAGTTGATGAGGCTGCTGCTGAACACAGGTGCAGTGTTATTCCGACCTCTGGTTGGTGTAATTCTAAATCTGTCTCTGACCAACGATCTCTCTCAGATCGATCATCCCCCTAGAGGATCCTATAACTGTCGTGCTACGTGGGACAAGACTTGATTTGATTTGCTTTGTCTGTCAAAGTCGCGCTTAAACAATTGTCCTCTGAAAAAGCAATGCGCATCGTTACCAGGAAACATTCACTAAGCTATACGATACACACAGGACGTGCAGTAATAGTTACCTAGTACTCTTTGGTCCCACATGAGCCACAACTGCACATAAAGACCAGGGTCAGTCAGTGTACCTTGCAGCCTGCAACTGCAGCTGCAACTGCCCATCTTCTTCCCCTCTCTTGATGATGGATCTTTTTTGCTTTTTTCTTCTTTCAAGGGCACAGCTCAAATCACGAGACTAAGCGACAAACAGTCGCCCAAATATCATCTGCAATGTCCCCCCTTTTTAGCTATAAGCTAGTCCTCAACGCTATCATTATATTCATCCAATAGTCGATTACAACCAACGGAACAAAGGAACAAGCACTGGTAAAAAAGAATCCCCCATGTTCTCGGTCCTTTCACTTTATAGTATAGTGTTGGTTGCTATTATAATAAGCTGCCCTTTACGTGCTGCTATGACCGAAATAGCCGCTCACTAGTAGGGGAAAACGGTGGTCAATGCCAGCTCCAGCTCCAGTTCTAGCTATCCATTACAGTACAGGTGAGGTTCCAGGGGTCATCCTTTTCGTATAGCATCCATTCATTCCCGTTGCCATTGTTACTGTGCTAGACGAAAGTGGGTGAAGCAACGCAATCGGGGGAAATTACACGCGTGTCACGGAAGACAGACAAGTCTTGACGACGAATCGGGGCTAATATTTGAGATTCGATTCAAAGCTTGGCATTTCTTTCTTTACCTTAGTACTCTGCTATTATGGTCAGTCATTCTGTTGTTGACGATAGTTCCCCTGATTATAGAGGTCACGTTCACAATTTGGAGTTTTGCCGCCATGTCCCTGTTGAACAGTAAAGGGGTCAGGTGCTACATATCATGTATCTGTTCCTGATGGTCATCTTCTCTTCAACAACTGTCAATTCTGCATCAATTGAATTTCAAAGTCATTGATCAGCATCGATACTCTCCATGCCTGGTTAGACAGATCGTCATTAAAATACCCGACAATCAAACTCAAAGTAACATCAAAAACCTGCTGCCAGGCACAGAAAATGTTTTGGACTCAAAGAGCCTCATCTCGCTCATTATCTGACTGACGTCTTTCTCTCTTTTGTCTCTCCCTTTCCTGGCATGTCACTGTGTCCAATTAAAGATGATCGAATTTCCAAGACAACCCAGCTATTAAGAAAAGATGCCAAAAATACATATGAACTGAAGAGTCCAGGTCCCGGCCTGACCCTGGACCTGGGTCTGGGCCTACTCGCTTCATACGTATGGATTCATTCCGTACCATGCCATGACATGACATGCTTGGTCCGTGACGACCTGAGTGCCCTGCGACAGCGGGTCATTGCTTATGCCTGTCCTCTTCCTTTATAATAAGAGTCTACTCTGTACTCTCTATACCTGGAGCAACGACTACGTACTCGGTCATCCATCGGGGCTACACATACGTACTTAGGTGTGTATGGGTACAGGTTAAGCTGCCGCTAACATCAAATCGCGTACAGACTATTGTTTGTTAGTCAGTTTGCTATAGACTCACTCATCTCATTGAATGTTTAGGTGGGCTCCGTTTGAGTGTCGCAGATACAGATACAGATACAGCTACAGCCTGCGACGATGCAATCCCACATTCCGTTTCATGCCTTTGTGGGCTGTCTCTAGACCTGGATCCAGAACATGACCTTCAAGGTTCCTCCTCATGAATGCAACTTGTCTATGCTATTTGAAAGAACAGGGTCCTCTTTTCTATAGACAATTCACACCATCTGGAACCAACCCTTACCAAATAGCCTAACCTGTAGTGCTCCTAATAGATACATGTCGGTTTATATTCAGGTTTGCCTACGATTGAGTTGTGAAAAACATACGACACAGTCATTGACAGGCAGGTGTTGCCTTTCGTTAGTTGATATAAGCCATAGGTAGAGAGAGGTTGCTCAAACACTTGGATGATTGAAGACGTATGTAGGTTAGATAGTTACGCTATACGCGTATAGATCAACATCTATGTAATCCCACTTGAAATACAGATAAAAAAAAGTTGGTACATCACGGCCAAAGTTGGCAGCACCAAAACAGAAAGGCACTTGCCTCTATCAGATTACGCGTTTCAGATACTCACTAACAAACATTCCCATCCCTATCCAGTAAAATCAGCTGTAGGTTTACCTACTGTAACAACGTAGCGGCACAGCCTCTCTTCAGGGTCCAAGAAACTACCCCACGTTTTGTTCTTCACTATCACTCGCTATCAGATATCAGGCCTCCACTACATCTTGTCACCTCATTCAACGTCAACAGTAACATCAACATCCACGTCACTATCAACGACTACGTTCATTCATTCACTGACTGAAGTTTACTTTATCTCATCATTCTCTCTACCAACCGTAGCCATCCATGGACTCATCACCTCCTTCATCACCCCCACCAGCCTACTCAGAAATGCCTCCAATACCACCACGCAAGCCAATCAACTCTTCTGTTCCAGCTACATATCAATCCCCTCCTCAACCTTCACTCCCATCGTCTTCCTCAGGACCTTACATGCAGAGACCATCAGCTTCAGCTTCAGGACCATGGCTGGGCCCAGATCCAAGATCTTCCTCTACTCAATCTCTCCTCCCAGATGACTCTCTAGACAACAACTACACACCCAACGGTGATTTTCTGGGTCGTCGAAAACTGCTTATCATTTATATTCATGGATTCCTGGGTAATGACCAGTCATTTCGATCATTCCCTGCTCATGTCCATGCCCTCTTGGCCAATCTTCTTGCCGACTCCCATGTTATTCACTCCAAGATTTATCCACGCTACAAGACTTATCGTTCTGTAGACGTTGCTCGAGATAACTTCAGTGAGTGGCTTCGTCCTCATGAGTCGCCCACCACGGACGTCATTCTAGTTGGGCACTCTATGGGCGGTATCTTGGCTGCTGATATTGTCCTTATGGTATTAACATATTCAACTCATTCTACATGAATTTTGCTAAATCTCAACAACAGCCCAACCCAGATCCGCAAGGCGCTTACCCTTTGAAGCACAGAATCATTGGCCATGTATCTCTGGATTGCCCGTTCATCGGCCTCCATCCAGGCATCGTTGTGTCTGGTATATCGAGCTTATTCAAGCCAGCACCTACACCACCCCAGGATGACAGTCAAGAGAGTGCCAGTGGTGCGCCTCCTTACAGCCCCGAGACCTTAAGCCTAGCAGACCCCAGTGTCTCCTCGCTACAACTGATCAACTCTCAGAGCTCTGGTCTCGGGTCATCAACCAGCCTTCCCTCAGTAGCATCCTCATCTCGGCCTCCACGAGATCCTCTCCAAAACCAGCCCTTCTTCAACCAACCGTTCTTCAACGATTCGGCCCTGCAAGAACGTCCCTTTGTTCAAAGGATGGTCCATTTCGCCAACAAGTATCGTAACGAGAATCTCATCCAAGCTGCTGCCAGACATATCTTCTCATACCTTGAGTTTGGTAGCTGTCTTGCTGATCCTGCAGGACTTGAAGCACGATACCGCAATATTCGTGCTCTTGAGGACATTGATGATCTTCAGTCAGGAGACATAAAGCCAGCATCGTCACGACGCATGGCCAGGGTACGATTTGTCAACTATTACACTCTATGTACAGGGCGCCCTAAAACACCAAAAGGGACCCCCAAGGTGGGCAGCCCTTCAGTCGAAAAAGAGAACACAAATTCTCTTGAAGCAAGCCTTGATCGGCCGCAAAGCTCGGCATCCTCTTCGTCTGTGGAGTCAGAATTTTCGCCAAATAAGGTGAACGCCAGGGACGCCAGCCCGATGCCGAGCATCACTTTAGAACATCGTGATACGATGGGCAACTCGAGAGATCATAAAACATTACTTGATGCAGATGCTCAGACTTTGAACGCCCGGGCATCAGATACTACAATCAAGCGCAATTCGTTTGGCGAAGACGAATCAGTTGCCTCTGACATGAATCGACTGTCAATGCACAGCATAGAGCCAACCCCTATCGAGGAGGACATCGCTTCTCCCCCACCTCAAGAAACTGCTGCTACAACTCAAGATCAAAATCCTATTGCTTCTGTAGAATCAAATAATGCAGAACCCCAGAAAGTAGATGCTGATCTTCCTCCTCTGCCTGACGCCCCTACAGCCCCTGAACTCCCTGATCCGAGTGTATATACCGACAAGGATGAGCGCAAGCAAGTCGAGCGCGAGGTTAAGCGTCTCCGTCGTGCCCACGAGAACGCCGTTAAAGACCACGCCAAAGCCGTAAAAGAGCGTGAGAAGCTTGTCGAGAAGCGGCAGAAGCGTATCCAGAAGGAGTCAGAAAAGGCAATCAAGGAAGCTGCTCGGCAAGAGAAGGAAGCATTGAAGGAGTCTCAGCGGAAAGAGAAAGAGGCTGAGAAGGAGCAGCAGCGCCGGGCTTCTGAACGCGAGAAGCAGGCTCAGAAGGAGCTAGAAGACGATGAAGATTATCAGCAGTTCAAAGTAGAGGAAGAAGAAAGCCAACGAACAGCAGAAGCCGAAGCTGTCGCGGAGGCCCGCAATAACAAGCCACGAAAGCTGCGCAAGTTTTGCAACTTGCCTACTAAAGGCGGCAGGGTTGAGGACCCCACATGGGTCGATATATACATGGCCGACGTGGATGAGGTTGGTGCACATTGCGGCCTGTTCTTCTCAGGGCCGCATTACGAGAAGTTGGTTGGCGATGTCGGTAACCGAATCGTGGGTTGGGTGCAGGACGATCTAACGAAGAGGGCGATTCAGGATATGGGTGTGTGAGCGTCTCAAGGCATACTACAAACACGATGAGAACATAGATACCCAGTCTTGAAGCAGTGAAGAAAAATGGATCTCAGTGTCTATCTATGGCAAGCCTTTACCCAATAAGAGTTATTCCAAACAAAATAGAATATTAATCATAAATAATTGCTATGCTTTATCCCCCAAGTACGCATGCGATGGTATCTTGATAAACAGGTATCCAATAAACACCCCTTTCCGACCGTGCAACCATTCATACATTTGTCCATCTTCTTTTCTCCTTTTCCGTATTGTCTAAGACAGTTATTATATGTATATATATGATATCATGCCGTCTGTGCCTTTGCAGCTAACTCACAGTGCCATTTCAAACAAAACTGCTATGAAATGAACGATATCATATTCAATATCAGGCATATATCAAGGTATTAGTATATATCAAGCTCTTTCAGCTGCACATCCAACCGTCTATCGTTGTTCATCGCCCCCTTGACGACAGCTGTGTCTTCATCAACGCCTAAGAGGCCACCAGTACCAAGTTCGAGAGTACCCAGGCGGACAAGCACATCATCAGCGTCCCAGTTTCGACGACCACATATCAGGATGTTTGCAGACTCGTAGGACTCATCTATCTTCCAGTCGCGTCCAGAAATGAAGCAACCGATGAGTTGATGCTCGCCAGGTGGGGGTTGTGAAGTTGATTCGGGAGAATCAGGAGAGGGCTGCGCAGCACGGAAAAGGAGAGCTGCAACAGAAGGGTGCATATCGTCGAGGAGGTCGGGCGACGTGAGTGTGGTTCTCGGAGTATCGAAAGATGTGGAAGTTGGGGTGTCGGGTGGAGGAGGAGGCACGGTGAGGTGGATTTCAAAACAATATGTCGTGAGACGCAGAAAGGAGATAGGTGTGGTGCGGGCGTCAATCTCTTCACCCTGTGTTTCCCAGTCGAGAACCTTGTTATCCTTGAAGCCCAGGGAGATGGTCATATTAGGTACGGATGAGACGTTGTCAATAAGGGGTGTTTCTTCACCAATTTGGTAAAAGTTTAGGTTAGGACCATAGCCAGTATACTCTGGACGAAGCTTCCAACCAAGCCAGGTCCATGAGGGGAACGGGCCTTGACGCTGCATAGGGTGTGTTGATATATTGGCATCGCCTGGAGGGTCGTAGTACCAACCGAGGCCAACGGCAAGGCGGTCTGTCCGGTTGGGATTCGGTAGGTTTTTGAAGTCCTTGGTATGATACAGAGGAAGACCAAGAACGCTGTCAAGGGGATCATCCAACTGAGAATAATGGTCCGCGATGCCTCTGAAAGCGTCCAAACGATCTTCTGGAATGGTGAAATCACGGCTGAAATAGCCGCTAGCGATATTCTTGTAAGTGCTCGAACGGCCAATAGCATCTTTCGCAAAAACACGACCGAGGTTGAGGGTTGGATTTGTCTTCAGGGGAAAAGAGATCGATTCATGGCAATGGAAGGTCTGGCACTGGAAGTAGATCTGCGATGGGGTGAAGACCAAGCGACGACGTGCCATGAGACCCTCTTGATATGTCCAACCACGAGATGCCCATTTTGAGTTGGCGACTTCTACGTCTGGTCTCGTAAGCGATGTCGTGAAACAGCCAGCTTCCGTTTGCAGGGATAGTTGCTCCTCACGAGACACACTGATGCCAGGAATACCATCCTGTACGCCCTGGCCAGCTGCAACAATGATAGTAAGCGCAGAGCGTGCATAGATTTCTCCCATCTTTTCCAACTGTCGTCGTCTTTCAGCTGCACTGAACTGAGGGAAGCAGAAGCGGTCGATCCAGAGGTAACGGAATCCAAGAGACTTGGTCACAGCTATAGCATCCGTGAGTAGCGGAGGCAGCACTTCAGGCAGTCCTTTATGGTCCCATTCATCGTCTGTTGGGGTACCTCGCACATAACTTAGCGTGACATACTCGATTGTCTCCGCATTGAGATCGTCCACAAACACCACCTGGTTATTTCGGCAGTCCACAAGCTTAAGACCTCGAATCGGTGGCCCTTGTGAAGCGCATGCTGTCTTTTTATGATTCGTCATACAATGGTCGATCCAAATCCGAGGTAACGCAGTATCGAGCTTGGGGGGTATCACGCGACCTCGGATCATCGGCGTAGCTTCCTTGTATCCAACCATGTCATCCTCGCCCTCGACCAGTCGTACAATATAGCCCCACGGTAGCACCTTGCTCTTGGTAGTGACCTCAAACAATACAGCACCACCAAGCTCGTGCTTCTCCCCAACTCCGAGGCGCTCAAATGCTTGGCGAATCCGTAGATAGGGTGTGAACTTGCGCGTGGTATCCGGTTCGGCGCCAACCAATGCTTGGAAGAAAATACAGTATGGACAAGCAGATAATTCAGCTAGTGTGTGAGCCAGAGGAATCCAAGGTCGCGGTTGGCCGGGACGCCAATTGAGCAGGGCAGGAAAGTCGATTGTCGCACAAATAGCGCAGGCCTGGTTTTCTTGGTCGGCGACAAGGCGACTAAGACCGTTCCTCGCAGGCTTCCTCGGTTCTGGTCCTGCGCCGCGGCGCCGTCGAGATGTAAGTTGGTGAACATCGGGCGAGCTTTCTCTCGTGGAGGCAGGGTCTTCGGTTTGGATATGGCCATGGGGGCTTTCTGGACGGCCGCGACCAAGTCGTGTAAAGGCAAAAAGCCTTGATATCTTCTTTATTCCTGCACGGGCGGTTGCATTTTGACCCGCGGGGGGTTTGGCTGCCGCCGTGCTGCCATTCTGGCTCATTGGGCTATTCGAGCGTATGCGAGATTCCTTTGCGTGGGGTGACGCGACAGTGACGGCGGTTTGCGACATGCGAAGTCGCCTGTGTTGAAAATGAATAATAGGAGAATTCGAGGCGAAGGCTTGGTGGTTTAGTTGATTCGCTTTTGGGTGCCTTAGTACTGTACACTACACACGCGGGGCTGCTGGGGTGAGCAACAGCGTCACCAAAAGGGGTCGAGTGGTGGGGGGAAAGGGAGACGGAGAGACAACGGCCGCATGTGTGATTGATGTTTGTTCCCCTTTATCCTGAGTCCATTGTAGTGAATGAAAGTGGTTGTCGAGTCGAGAAGATGTAAACAAAGTTGAGTGAGTGCAGTACAGTACTAAGTGAGAAATGGCCCTAGGGAGACCTAAGAGATGGAAGGGAAGGGGTAAGCCTACTTCCGACTATAGGTGGTGTGGTTGTTCTTGGCATTGGATCGGATCCAACCCACCATGGATGACCGAGGACCCCGAGATACAGAAGGAGCAGTCTACCGAGTGCCTGCCATACTAGGTATACTAGGTAGTACCTTACCTGGGGATCGTCGGCTCAAAGACTAGAAGTGATGAAATTATTGATTGATTTATCAGACCTTTGCATATCTGTTTGGGCGTTAAGTTATCTACTATCTACCTATTAATCTAACGGCAATGGATTGATAACTTTACAAAGACGGACATTGACAAGTGGAAGTCTCGCTGGGAAGTTAGTAGCTGAACTGTCCATATATCGAGCTCGCTATGAGAATCAGACGATCCCCTATATCAGACTCTGAATATGCCCTCTCCTCAAATATCGCATTTCTTGGATCTGGATATTGTGTGTCACTAATTCTGCCAAAAGCGCCAGCCGGGCGCTATTTCAGCCGGCAGCCAACACAAACACATTGGCAGCAGCGTAAAAGAAGAAGAAAAAAAAGCTTGGATGTCGTCAATGGACCCTTAAGATTAGCTGCATCAAAACTAGTCAAGTCTGGACTCTTGATGGAGATATCGGCTCCGTTGTTTCCCCCTTTTTTAGTTTTGTCCCGGTAGATGCTAATATTGTTAGTTATCAAGCAATTCTAAGCATGCATGGGATCTTGTTTATTTTTCACTTCATCTTGTTAAATTTTTATTCTTCAGTATTAGCATTGGCATTTATCCGGCTCTTTCTCTGTAGACCCTTAAGCAGAAGCAAACTAACCAAACCCGGGTATAACCAATCGAGTGTCTCCATCTCACATCTCGGTTCCAGATTAGGGACAAAGAATGCAGGGGTCAGGGGTCTATCTACAGGGGCCTTTCACTTTTGACTATGGACGGGGCGACTAGACTATGCTCCTGGTATTGCTCTTTTCTTCTTCTTCTTTTTTTCCCCTAGAAACATGCTATACTCTTTTGACTCAGTCAGGAAAGCTTATTTGCGGGAAAATTCAACTGATCTATCAATGTCTAAAGACCGTTAGCCCGTTCTATACTGGAGTATTGATTAATTAACGTAGCATCGTCCTCCATCTGCAACGCTAAAAACTGTGTTCGGTGCAACCATCTCGGCCGATTCCACGTGGAACTTCTGCATCCGAGACCACCTCCACTCGGAATGTTTAGTTACAGACGGTTTCTGTTTCTGTTTGTGTTTCTCCTACATAAGTACCCAGACTAAGAGACCCCATTGTCTCGAGGTAGTGTCCAAAGGAGCTTGCACTTTCGGTCTCGTGCATTCCTTTCGACCTGATTAATGGATAAACGATGGGCGGAAATATTATGATCTGCTCTTCTTACTACGGTGCAGCTGTCATTTCAGCCCAAGTCCGTGCTATTCGACGTCATTATTGGAGAAGACCCTTGATTCGTCGACTAAGATCTGGCCCCCTTGGAATAGGTCCTGATGGTATAGGGTAACATATGTCCAATTTCTACGACTGGTCGTGTGACCTTGGTTCACTTTTACTGGAAACCGAAATTGAACGGCATGAGATTGCAGCGAGTTGCAATCCTCTATCAGCATGAAGCATGTATCAGTGCTATTAGTTGTCCGCTTAAATAGGGGGACAAATACTTTATCGAGGCTGGTAATTCCCTAGGAAAACCACATTCTATGAACAAGTTTATTGCTTGCTTCACTGCGAATAAGAAAATATGAAGAGTTGTGACTGCATGCTGGAATGTTGGACTACTGGATATCTAAATTTGAGGGAGGCGTGCCAAATAAATAAAACCCTGGACCTTGATAACTTGGCTTTTGTCATCAACATATCCATGGAGATCTATTTACCTTCCCCAACCCATCGCATCCTCCACCAGCCGCCCCGGTCAGTATTGAGAAACCCCCATTCAAGCATAAGCTAGAGTGTTATCATGTCGAATCTTTCCGGCAACGCCAACGTTGACCTCTCCTCCTGCAACACTAGGTCCTTTGACCACAATCTGTATAATATTAGTGCACCGTCTCAAATGAATGAATCAGTGTTCCGAGAAATTACGTACCTGACCCTCAATCTTGTCATCAGTAGTCTTGTGGACACCACTGTCCTTCAGGAAAACCTCCACACTGGTTAGCGGAGGCCCAAAGTGCGTCTTGGCATCGGTGGGAAGTCGGTAGTCGTAGAAAGCAGTCTGGCTAATAGCACCTGCAACCTTGGCCGCTGTCAGAGCGTACACAACCCTTGCACCCGTGAATATGCGCAGGTCAGACAGAACGTTCGCAGACAGGAGAGGAGTGTCAGCACCAGCACGCTCGGCCACCAACACCAGGCGGAGCTTGCCTGGAGTCGTGCCAAGCGACGGGGACGCGCCAGAGAAACCAGAGAAGAGGTTGGATGTAGAGTGAACACCTTCCAGGGCCAGGGATCGAGTAGACATAACATGTGAGACGTTGGCCAAGGCGGAGCCAAGTCTAGAGGTTGACTCTCGGTGAGTCTTGAGGAGCGTCTCGGGGCTAGCTACCAGAACTGTAGGAGCAACACCTTGAGTTGCGAGAACCAAGTCTGGTGACTTCCCGGCAACCGAGTTTAGAGCGATAGAGGCATTCGAGTAGAGAGCGCCCAATGTGTGCACTAGAGTGTAAACGTTGGTGAGAGAATCAGCTGGCAGAAATAGATCGGACGGGTTAATGCGCTCTTTGGTTGGGATAGCTGCGAGTTGAGCTGAAATAGCCGAGACAAGGTTGGCCTGACTGAAGCGCACCATCTCTTCGACCTCACCGGCCTCAGTCTGCCAAAAAGTAACGACATCGGAGGGAGTCTTCTCGGGGTCAGTAGCAGGGAGCTCGCTGCCGGCATGCGCGGGAGATTCTCGGAGGATATCCTGCCAAGTAGCAACATTGATATTGCCGCCAGTGCCCTCAGGAACCTCGTTCCAGTCCATGTGGTTGCTTCCTTCGTCTGTAACCCAGATGAGCTGTCGAAGAGATGGGTAGGCCTGAACAACAGCGTCAAAAGGAAATGCGCCAGGAGCAGTAACCATCGTATCGGCAGCAGAACGACGAAGCATAGAGACCAGCTCTTCGTTTGAGACATCAAAAGGGATCAGGACTGTCGTTAGGTTTGGATAGAAGCTGCAGGCGAAAAGCGTTACAAGGAGTTCAATGGAGTTTGGCAAGTAGATGGCGACTCTGATACCGCCAGCCTCAGCAATGTGCTGACCGATCAGGTTGATCTGGCGGGTAATGTCATCTAAGTATGTTAGCGACACTGTATTATAGAACATATGGGTACCATACCGAGTTTATGGTCTACGACGTTCTGCGAACCGAGAACAGTCAGGACTCGTCCCTTGGCGCCATTCTCACCAACCTCCGCGGCCTTCCTCCAGACATCCCTCAAGTCACCGTTACGACCACGAGACCACTTAGAAGCGCCAGGATCCTTCACATTGAGACCAGTATTGAGCGGCATGCCGTGGGGAGCAGCCTGGGATCGGTATACGGGACTCTCGCCTTCATTTCGAACTGACGACGGGACAGCTTGGCGAGCAAGAAGCATTGGATGCACGTCAGGATCGCGGCTTGAAACGATACGGTATGTGACAACAACAAGCAGCAGAGTCACTAGACCGGTCGAGTAGCCATTCCACTGACCAAACATGCTGGTGATACCAGCATCGAGGCTGTCGAAGACACCCATTGTCGCTAGCCTTTGACTGTCGCTTATTCAAATTTCGGTCGGCGGATGGTTCGGAATCGGGATGGTTAATATCTATGCAATATAATCCATATAGATGCAAGTTCTGCGCCGGGCAGAGTTGAAGTTGAGATAGAAAGCACAAGATCTCAAGTTTAGATGGAAAGAATTGAGGAAGGGTGCTCAGGCGAGACTTGAGGTGGAATGAATGTGGGGAAAGCTCCAGATGGGCTGCGCTGAGCTTCACAGCATTGGAAGCGGGCTGCGTCCTCCTATGGCATCATGACTGCCTACTGCACTCAGCACGAAAGATCAACAGCCTTTCAAGCGAAGGTGTGTAGTATGTAAAGGGCTATTCATTTTAAGAACCTCGAGTATGTCAGCGATCTCTCCCTTTTCTCTAATTCTTTGTCCTTTGAATTCTGTGTCTTTTTCTACAGGTTACATTCATTTCAGATATGTCCAAGAAGCTGGGCTTGGCCTAGTCGGCCTCTTTATCTGGACCCTGTCTCCGGACGGTTCGACCCGACACTACTTCCCGTCCACAGTTGACACGTTCATTTTCAAGAATGGAAGACTATGCGTTCTTGCTAGTATCCGTCAAGCTTCAAAGACATGCAAGTCATCACAAGTATCAAGAAAACAATATAAATCAAGGCGTTTTTTTATTTAGGACTCCTCAGTCCAGTCAGGTTATCTGTTCTACTACGGGAAGCATCATGGCCCCGTCTTCAGAAGCCTCATGACCCAGTCATTATTCCATGAGTCAAAGCCTTCATCGTGTCCATGTTCCTCCTAACTTGCAAAGAGCAAGAGCTTTTATGTTCCTTTCCATGCCGTGCCGCCCAAACCAAATTCCATAACCTATGGGCGTCGCGCGGCAACGCTCGTGCTCTCCGATCTGCTAATAAACAGACGTAACCGTCCTGTTGACCATTATGCTTTGTTCCCTCCGGGTGCGCTCATCGCTCTCCCTCCAGTCCCCATTCCCAACGGGGACCAGCGAGCGATTCGTCACCAGAGAACCGAGAAATCCACTTTTGTCTATGTGAACGGCGATAACATGACCCTCTATCGTGAATGCGTGAAAAATGCCTTGGAGTGAAGAAAACCCCAGGTAGACGACGGAAACATAAACTTCGTAATGCTGTGTCAGATCTTTTGGCTCATATCGGAGCCTAGATCCATGTGCATCACAGCGTGCTGTCAACGTCTTCCAGCTCCCCACATCTCGGTCTAAGGGTATCAAACGAGGAGTATGCCGAAATCAAAGAAACGCAATCTATCAGATGCTTCGTTAAGCCCTGGGACCGAACATTGCCTGTTGCCTGTAGCAGAGACATTCGTCTGTCTTCGCAGGTCATGGTGCCGCCGTGTCGTTCAAATGCAAAGCATGCAACCAGATGACAGTAAGAAAAAAACAAAACAGAAAAATCGCAAATGTGAAATGCTGCAGAGCCAAGTGTCTACCAGCATCGTGTCGCACCTGAGGAGTGCGTAGATCTCAGTGGTGTGAGGTGTTTACCACCAAGAAGATTGAGCGCCAGGGCCGCTGGGGTTACCATAGCCCCCACCGCCGTAGCCAGCTCCTCCGCCGTAACCACCACCTCCGTAGCCACCAGAGCCGCTGAAGCCACCGCCGGCGGCAGCACCGTAGCCGGCACCTTGAGATCCAGCGTTGAAGCCGCCAGAGCCGCCGTTGTTACCGCCGAAACCACCACCGCCAAACTTTCGGAAATCGCGGTTGGCACCACCTCCTCGGCCACCACCGCCACGAGAGCGGCCACCTCGGCCGCCACCACCGAAGGAAGATTCACGGGCGATGGTCTCGAGGAAAGAAGGAACCTCCTGGTTAGCCTCCTTCAAGAGATCCATAAGCTCTCGAACGATTCCACGGTTGCCACGGTTAAAGAAAGCAGTAGCGATACCAGTGTTTCCAGCACGACCGGTACGACCAATACGGTGGACATAGTCATCAACATCGGTAGGAAGATCGTAGTTGACAACGTGGGTGACGTGAGGGATATCGAGACCTCGGGCAGCAACAGCGGTAGCGACCAGAATGGGGCATCGTCCGTTACGGAAGAACTCAAGAGCACGCTCACGTTCGCGTTGGGTGCGATCACCGTGAATGGAAGTAGCGGGGAAGTTCTGGTTGATGAGGAAGTCGGAAAGCGAATCAGCCATACGCTTGGTCTCGACGAAGATCAAAGTGAGACCGTTGGCGTGGGAGTGAAGAATGTCCAGAAGAACGGAGCGCTTGTCGACATCCTCAACGTACTCAACCTTCTGAGTAATGTTCTCAGAAGTAGAACCGACACGACCGACAGAGAGGAAGATGTAGTCCTTGAGGAAATCACGGGCAAGCATCTGGATGTCGCGGGGGAAGGTGGCTGAAAACATCAGAGTCTGACGGTCCTGAACTTGAGGCATGTCCTCGCCTTCGACAATGCGGCGAATCTGGGGCTCGAAACCCATGTCCAGCATGCGATCAGCCTCATCGAGGACAAGGTACTTGATGTTCTGGAGAGAGATGCGACCTCGCTCTATGAGATCGACCAATCGACCGGGAGTAGCAACAAGCAAATCGCAACCACGCTCAATCTGGCGGAGCTGAGAACCAATGTCGGCACCACCGTAAACGACACAAGGTCGAACCCAAGAACGGTAGGCGAACTTGCGGGACTCGTCAAAGATCTGAGAGACAAGCTCACGAGTGGGAGCGAGAATCAAAGAGGTGGGGTAAGCCTTGCGCTGACGACCAAACTGACCGGCGGCATTAGCAGGCACGGGAGAAGGTCCGTTAAGGAAAGCCTGAGAGAGAATAGGGAACAAGAAACCACCAGTCTTTCCGGAACCGGTTTGAGCACAAGCCATCAGATCACGACCGTTGCTAACGATGGGGATCGAGTATTTCTGGACAGGAGTGGGGACCTTGTAGTGAGCAAGCTCGATGTTGCGGCACAGGTGCTCATCCAGAGGAGGAGTGGTGAACTGGTGAACGGGCTCAGGAACATCTTGACCAGAGGCCTCAACGGGAATGTCGTCGTACTTCTCGAAGTTGATACCGGTGTGCTGCTTGGAAGGATCGTCGGCAGTGGTGCCGAAAAGCTCGCGCTCGATACGGGGGTTAGCCGGACCAGGAATGTGCTTTCCATCGCGCCACTGTCCATCGCCAGACCCACGGGCAGCAGGAGCGCCAGAGTGACCGTCGTTGCCGCCACCGCTGTAACCACCTCGACCACCCCAGCCGCCTCGGCGGTTGTTGTTCTGGTAGGTAGGGACATCGTTGCCCCAGTTGGACTGGCGAGCACCGTAGTTTTGGCTATAAGCAGAGGTTAGCAAATGTCTGATATCCAGGAATGAAAACGCAGGTAGATAGAGCACTTACTTAGCCCAAGCGCTGTTGCCGATACCGTTGGGTCCGGGGCCAGCAGGAGGAGGACCGCCGTTCATAGCGGGAGGACCACCTTGAGGGCCGGCAGGAGGAGGACCACCACGGCCACGCATGTGAGGGGGGATGTAGGATCGGTTACCCTGGGGAGGGCCCTGCTGAGCGCCGTCGTTGATGGAGAGACCACCCATGTTGATCTGATCGGCCATGTTGACAGTCGTGTTTCGGGTCAAGTGAGTTGTGTAAAAAGATAGTCGGGTCGTAAAGACGCGTGAAATCCGAAATAGGTAGATAAACCCTCTCAAATATCAACGAGAGTGGTTATGTGTTTGGTGAAATTCCCGTCGAAAGAGAAAGACAGGAAAGACGAGAGAAAGAAACGGAAGACCAACGCTTCCAATAAATTTCCCAGATAGACGAAACTTTTAGGCACAGGCAAACGTTAGTGCTGTGCAAATATCCCTCGAAGAACACGCAGAATCTTCAAAGGAAGGACGAAGGAAAGACAAAGTCTTGAGAAAATAACACGGATAGAGGGGGGATGAAGGAGGATTGTGAGATGAAGGGTTTGTTGTGGGAAGAAGAGGGAAGAAAAGGGACAGAGTTAAGAGGCGAAAGAAGAGTGGGAGGGAAAAAAAATTGGTTGGAGTTTCAGCCAATTAGGCTTAGCGCGGGCATTAACATCGGGTCAAGGATTTGGAGGGGGTTGCCTCTGCGGTGAAGGCGGGTGGGAGGATTTTAGAGTGAGAGTGGGTCAGGAAAGGCCGTGAGTGGGCGACACCAGCTTCCAAGTACTCGAAAAGTACTTTTTGGCCACCGCTCACCTCAGATGCAGCCAGTGAGATCCAAGGAATATGCAGAAATGCCTGTCAAAGGCTTGCTATGGCTGGGCAGAAAAAATTGGAAAAGGAACCAACCTGGTACTTATGACGATGAGGGCACTAGATGACTTTGTTTATATTTCTAACTGGATGAAAGAATCGTCCTGAATCGTTGCCGGCTGTAGATACGTCAGAGTCAGAGTCTTCTGCTTTAGATCCCATGTATCTTAGTACTAAATGTATGCAACAATGGATGCCTCGTGCAAAATCTAGTCTACGAGGCAAACGCTAGTCGACTGTAAGAGATCCCTAGCAACGTGGAAGCTTGTGAAAGTTGAAGTCTGAGCGCTGACCAGGAGCAAGGGAGGAAAGAGAAGAGATGGAGAGAGAAAGAGGTACTGGTAGGCACTCGATAAGGCGCTGATGTTCTGAAAGTGCAGTATTGCCTTCGAGGCTCTAGTCTCTACGTGAACGTATACACATCTTACCCCTTTCAGAGTATAAAATAAAATTTGATCAAGTCTCACTCAAAATTTTTAATGATAGTGCTCTGCACGATGAAGCAGTGTCTCAGTGTGGGGGTTAGAGAAGGGCGGAGAATCCTGGTGGAAGGTCGCGTTTTGAGTGAGGATTAGCAAGGGGGCGACTCTTAAAAAGTGACGAAGCTTAGAAGGTACTTTCATGGTACCTCAACAGCCTGGCTCAGGTTCTGAACCAGCCCAGCCCAGATTCCGGGGCGGCTGACGGGGCCGGGGTGGTTCGGTGGATAGGGACTCCTAGCAACCACCCGGACCTGTTGATTATGACGATTGTTGTCTGGCCATGGACTTGTTATCGAATGTTGAGACAACTCTCGAAGCATTATTGAAAGAAAACAAAGCGACATATAAACAAGACTACAGTATTACAATTCTACATAGGTAGATAAAGAAGTATAAGCAAGATTTGATGTTACTGCTTCCAGGATCAGTAGCTGGTAGCATACTGCAGCAAAAAATATTTCAAGACGTTGGATGTTTGATCCATGTTCTGCCGGACGGGAGACGGATATGACACAAAATGCTTGCACTCGACAAACCTCAGCAATACTGTATCGCATCAATGGAATGATGCAAAACAATTGCGGACACAGCAAATGCGTCAGTTTGTTTTGCTACTTCTATCGTAGCCCCTGGGGCTGCAACGGCCGCAAGCATCATGTACAGGGATATAGGACCCTGAGCTTGCCCAGCCAAAGTTCGGGCGCGTTGTAACAGCTAACAACCTGATGGATCCGTATCGCGGGAAATCTCCGATAAGCGGGATACAGGCGATCTGAGAATTATTTAGGTGAATATCCGTACTGAGGAAGGTAGGTATATAGGTCAGTAGGTTAAAGAGATAGTTTGACCATGTATAAGGTATGCTTAGACAATAATCAATGTCTGCAACTTGGTACAGTAAGAAGTGAATAATGATTTTCACCTATCCATGATAATTCACGTGTCTGGCTGCTTCGAGTACCGGGTTTGTACATATAATGTTGTCCAGTACTGTCCAGTACTAGCACCTTTCCGGATTCCAGCCCGCATGACTCTCTCGATGCCCTGGTTCCCTCTATATGACCATCACCCGCATGTACTGTATCGTGTAAATCTAGAACTGCTGATCATTTCTAGCACCCTCCACGAATATTCGAGTCATAAAAATCGAAATGTGACTGACGTATCTCTGTACCGTGCCTGACATATACTGCAGCCTCGTGGCCAACTATAACCGTATTCCCGATGACTGGCCTCCTGTGACACGAGTATACTGTTTATGAAATTGTACCAGTCTCAATTTGGCGGTCTTTCTCTTGGTAATTGCATACGATACCCTTTCATCTGGGCGGTTGTTTGTTCGCCATCTTTGTTTTGACATGTGATGCCAGGCAAGTAGGCGTAACGAATGAAACCAAGCTTGTCGTAGTCCATGGTCTATGATCGAGATTTCCTATATTGGAAGTAATTTCAAGACTATGAACGATTCAGTTCAGTTGAGTGACTGCAGACTCTGATAGTATTACCAAGTCGCTGAGTCTGGTCATATTCAAAAGTACTAGATACTGCTTCAGCTCCTATATCGCGGTAGTTTGAGTAACTATCCAACGGCTCTTCGATGCAGTCACATAGATATGCATCCACACACGACTACTTCCAAAAACATGTATTCATGATCAATTGCGGGTTTGACATCTAATGTATTGTAGACATGGCCCGGTCTTCTGAGGTTTACATGGTGCCTGATGGTTCGAGGCAGGGATGGTTTATAAACTGCTATAGCAAGGAGAGTGATTCTTTTCTTCAATAAATTCATATAAGGAAAAGCTCCCCAGGCACTCTTAATGAACAGCTACCATGCCACTCAGAGGAACCGATAATGGGAACAACGCTGAAACTGCAAGATTGTGCTCGTCCGACGTGCATGAGCTGCATATAGTGTGGGTTGCGGTTTATGGACATAACGTATCGTAGATTTAAATATGCCAGCTGGGGTCTCAGTATCACCTAGACCAGTATCACCATCTTGTGGGCAACCAGTTGGAGGAAACCATCTTGATGTAAGCATCAGCCTCCAAGACCCATCTAGTAATACAAATTCATGTTTCCTTTCTATCTGCCGCTCGATTCTTAAGCACACTTGACCACCTTGTCATCGTCAAACTCTATGTCGACAATTCCGTCTGCCTTGACCGCCTTCACCACCATACCCTTGAAGTCAATCGGTAATCGGCGCTTCAGCTCGTCAGTGCACATTGTCAGAATCTTGATGCCCTGGTGGAGGGTAATATCGGGGTGGTGATGCTTGTCGAGGATAGAAAGGCAGTAGTATCTGTGGTAGTATATATCAGCACCTGCCGGGACCCATTGGTTCATGATGCGTGTCTCTTGAGTACACGTATCGAGGAAACATACTGTGCGTATCCATGCGCCGCATAAGGGACATCTGCTAGCGACGCTAGGTAGTCAAGCCAGTAAAGAGATGGCTTGCCGGTGATGGGGTCAACGCCACCCATGAGGAGGTTGACATTGTAAGGCTTTCGAGATCGCAGGCTGGTGGCTAGCTCTCCTCGGACAAAGTGGGCGAGACCAGAGGGAGATAAGTCGGACTCGTTTCGCATCGAGTAGAGCTGGGCATTTCGTTGAATGTATTCGGCGAATTGCACTGCGTAGCTATGGTTAGCTGTCGTCATCGCGGGGCCGGTCGACAGGCCATTGCCATTGCCGCCGGTAGGAAGATGGATCAAGTACCTGTGTCACCGGCCTCTCCAGAGAATGCGAGCAGGGTGTGCTTGTTGAGAGCTCTGGTCTTGTCATCGGATGCCTTGAGGATAGTGGCGCCTCGCATCGCAGCCTTGGAAGCTGCGATGATGGTGAAGTCCTTTCCAGTGATTCCCAAAAGTACCTCCCTGTCAAGAAATGTTAGTATATTCTGAAACCTTAACTGTAGCTTGGTTATAGCTTACATGTTGGCGATAGTGTGTTTTGTGGTTTGGGAAGTATCGTATGTGTTGTTGTGGAGGTTATTCAAGGTAGTTGTTCAGCCTTCTTCGAAGGTCCGGTCCAGCAGCAACCAAGCAAGCAAGCTCTCCCGTTAGGCTGTAGCGCTGCGCGTCAACGCTCACCCGGGAGCTTCCCACACCTGGCTCGATTATGCCAAGGTCCACCGCTCGAATTCCGGAAAAACATGGCCCCATTCGCAGGTCTCTGATTCGCTAGCGTAACTTACAAGCACCTAACGGATTTTCCGTGGTCCACTGTCGCTCAACTTTTTTTTTCTGAGAGCCCAGAAATTTATCTTCAAGGTGGGTGTGAAAGTCGTGAACAGCCAGCCAAGTTCCCGACATCGCCAATATGCCGTCTTTTTTCACAGTACCGGGTGCTCAGAAGAAGCGCAAGCGCCCAGAGGCTTCAGAGCAACCAAAAAAGAGAGTTGCTGCTTCAAAATCTGCTGCAAAGGCACCATCGAAGAATGCCGGCCCCACCAAAAAGCGAGTCGAGCGAGACGACGAGTCGATCTCTGGTAGCGATTCTGACGATGACGGGAGCCTCGACAGCGCATCAGTCGCAAGTGATGTTGAAATGGAGGACAACGAGTCGGATGAGGAGGAGGGTGAGACAGCCGCCGACAGGAGAAGGACTCTGGCGGAGCGATATCTCGAGAACATCAAGGAGACTGTGGACCCAATTGGTTTCGACGCCGCCGACATTGACCGCGATATGATCGCTGAGCGACTTCAGGAGGATGTCGCAGAGGGAAAGGGCAGAGTTTACCGCCAATTAGCCTCAGAACTGGCCTTTGACAACGCCTCGCGCACATTCTTCCGAAGCAACACCAACGCCGTAACCGCCATCGCAGTATGCGACCCATACATCTACACCACGACAAAAGACCTATACCTACACAAATGGAAGGCGCAAGATCTTCCTCAACACCAATACCCACAGACAACACGACGAAAGCCCAAGAAGCCCCCAGCGCCTCCGAAGAAGCAGCCGTCCCTTGAAGCTTGGCTGAAGGGTGATACGAGAAAGTCAAAGGACAAGAATTACCAGCGTCACACTGATCGCATCCTGGCCGTCGCAGCCTCTCCTGACGGCAAATATGTAGCTACCGGCGGTGCAGACCATAGGCTCATCATCTACAGCGCCCATGACCTCAAGCCAATCAAGGTCTGGACACATCATCGAGACGCTGTCACTGGACTAGTCTTCCGCCGAGGAACAAATCAGCTGTATTCTTGTTCCAAAGATCGAACGGTTAAGGTCTGGAGTCTGGATGAGATGGCCTACGTTGAGTCATTGTTTGGTCACCAAGATGAAATCCTCGATGTCGATGCCCTTGCGCAAGAGCGTTGCGTTAGTGTTGGCGCTCGAGACCGCACTGCGCGTTTGTGGAAAGTCGCTGAAGAGACACAACTTGTATTCCGCGGTGGTGCTGTAGACAAGAAGTCTCGTCCAAGTGGTGTCAACCCGCGATCCCTACTCCATGAAGGTAGCATGGACTGCGTCGCCATGATAGATGATGACCTGTTTGTCACGGGCAGTGACAATGGTGCACTCGCTTTGTGGAGTGTCCAAAAGAAGAAGCCTGTGTATATCGAACCCATTGCGCATGGTATTGACCCGGCCCTCGATCCAGAGCAGGCATCAGCCGAGCAAAACCCCGACCCTCAAATTGTACCCCCTCCCACCCCCCGTTGGATCACCGCTATTCGAACCATCCCTTACTCCGATGTTATCCTTACTGGCAGCTGGGACGGCCACATCCGAGTCTGGCAACTCAGTGAGGATAAGCGCAAGATTGAGTTCCGTGGAGTTCTCTCCAAGCCTGAAGATCAGGGAAACGAGTCGCCTGAGGAGAATACTCAGGGCCCCATCAACGGCATTGTCAACGATATTGATATCTTCGAGCGTGGAGACAGAGGCAAAGATGGTCTTTGCGTCGTCGTGGCTGTAGGAAAAGAACACCGGCTAGGCAGGTGGAATCCACCAGCAAAGGTCGGACGCAATGGAGGCTTCGTCTTTGAGATTCCGCGGATACAACGGCAAATGGTGAATGGCGCGGACGAGAGCTCAGACGCCGAGCAAGATGAGTGAAAAGCGTAATAGATTCTTGTTATAACCACAATAGACGTGGCGGAGACTGCAACTCATACCACTTGTTATATATTATTAGCATGACAGGATTCGGTCTAGCATCCGTTCGTGATCCTTTAGGAGTCGGGTGTTGAATGGAAGATATTTGTGATGGGTATAGACTTTAATAATCTTTTTACTCGAGATGTCCTCTACTGTACACATTGCGACCATTCTTTCTGCGGTGTCTAACGACATAACTCATCTGCATTGCCATCTTTGCCATGTATGCACCGAAACCCTCTATCCGTGAACCGCTTTTCTTCCTACATAATAGTCCATCCAATATGTTGTCATCTGGCGAGACCGGTAAGATCAACCCGTCAAGTCAATTGTTCGCTCAACACCCTCATACCGGGGTCCTTTGGGGGAGGGTTTATTGTCCTCAATGCTCTTAATAACCCTTGGTTGACCAAGACCACCCCGATTACGCTGAGCTGGCAGTGGCGTCTTTTGCCTTGTGGCCAAACTCAGTGATGGCGAACTGTTTTTCTTGACAGTGGAAGAGGTGGCTACTGGGCCTGCCTCATCCGACGATTGCGATAATCTCTGGACAAAATTGGGTGTTGAGGGCTGCTTCGGTCCTCTTCGTTCGCTACGTGGGGTATGTCCTTCAGTGGCTAAATCAGGAAGGACTTGTTGCGCAGTATCGACTGGGGATGAACGTGCTGAATGAAACACCTCTCCTGAGCTAGAGGCCTTAGACTCGTTGCTCGAATCCTCTCTTAAAGGTTGGACGAAGGTTGGATCTTCATTTCTGATGGGAGTTTGTGGTTGAACTGGTTTCTCTGGTGGAGCAAGCGCAAAGTACGCTGAGGTGGTACCTGTTTTATGGCCTTCTTCACTGGGGGCACGACCAGTGCTATTCTCCAATCCGCTCTTGGGATTACTTTTAGGCCGTGGCGTCTCCGGATCTTTCTGGGGGACTTGAGGTGAGGACGGGGCTACCTGTGGTGATGATACAGGCCCCTTAGACGCCCGTCGTTGTCTCTTCAACTCCTTTTCTTTTCCTAAGCGCGAATGCTGCTCTTTCTGAAATTCGAAGAGGAGGTCTCTCACCTTGGCGCGGATTTCTTGGGGTTTGACAACCCATCCACTAGGTTCTTTATGAAGGAGCCTCCGGACAGCGTCATCTGGATTTCTCAGAAAATTTTCCATGTAACCCAGGACGTATACACCACAATCGCAATAATTGTCCTGTTCAGGTATGCCCCGCGCAGTCATGCCCCCAGGCGTTTCCGTGATAGTGAGCCCTTTTTTGTCCTTCGCTTCCTCGATGAGATAGTCTCGTAAAACCTTGCAGGTTGGTGCGTGCGAAGCACCCAAAGAGTCAAGAGTGATGATCCTGGGCTCGTCGGTACTGTACTTCTGATTCCCTCCTGTCGACTTTCGCTTGTTCGTTTTTGTGGGAGCTTCAGCATTGGTAACAGTATCATCATCCAATAGCACAACCCCGTCGCCATTCACTGCCTGGCTTCTTGTTGACCTAGAAGCTTCTAAATTTAAGGACGACACAGGTGTTTGCTCGACGGAAGCATCTTCTGCAGTGCTCACTGCCGGGTCGTTATCTTCAACAATGATTGCCTCCTGGGTGTTTGGAGATACATCCGTTTTGGGTGTCTCTGCTTTTGCCTCTATAGGTAAGAGGCGAGGGGCATTATATATGATTGCCAAGTACCAATGTGCGTTCTCGTTGACTGGTACAACAATGTAGTCATAAGAAAGAAGATCAACTCTAGCAGTCCATGCTTTGACGCCCGAGTAATTGATCTTGGCGCGATTCGACCTCAGCTTTTCGAAGAAGAAAGTGTTGAAGATATATACCCTTTTCAAGATTTCTGGTCTCTCTTTCTCGAGTTGGACCTGCAAGTAGCAGAGATAGAAACTGATAAGGTTGTCGTTGAGGAACTCACCCTCGTTCAGCCGCAGAATATCCTCTTTGTCGACACTTGCACGGTTCCTTCCAATTGGGGGGTATACCAAGGTCTTGTGCCAGTCCTTGTCCCAACCTGGGTTCTGAGCCGTCCATGTTACAGGACTCCTTTCACGGCGTGGTTCTAGGGAGGATCTTCTCGTTTGTCGGGTCTCAGGTCTGCGCCTCTGATTTAACTCCACGAATGGATCTTCGACATCCTCTGATTTCATCTGCGCATCTTCCTTTGGTACAGGCAGACCCTGCATCCTGTCTTTAAGTTTTGGTCGCCGAGGCGATATGGGCTCTCCCTTGAAAGGGTCTCGTGGCGAGGTTCGGGACAGTGATCTGCTGGGTGTTTGCGCTGTGAAAGTGATTTTTGGTGAGATCGGGCCCGAAGAATCCTTCGAATTGGCTGCAAATGCTTTGGCATCTGCCATAGCCTTCGAGAACATGGCTTCTAGCGAGTCCCTACAACTTGTTAGTTTTCTCCCAACACTGACACAATCGCCGGAAAATACGTACTGGGTAACTTGTTCCAGACCTCGGCTCCCTTGTAGCCAATGGATAAAGTGAGAGGCGTCTTTAATGGTATTGAACTTCAACAAAACTTTGCCCCCGGCTTGACCAATGACTGAGCGAGAGAGAGCGACTATGGGACTTTGGGAGTTGCTGTGTTTTATTCTGAGAATCGACTGTTTTGAAATTTCGAGCCATGAGAGATCTTGTCCTTGATGAGATAGAATGGATGGGCGAGCTACGTCGGAATCAAGACGTAGGTTGACGCACGCATCAGCGCTCTTAGTGGCGTATACGCACTTTCCAGAGGTAGCAGCTCTCACAGCAAGTTGTTCTTCATTTGGGCCATGCATCGCCGAACTTTGAAGGTCGGTAGTAATTTTTGTCGCTGGTTCAAAATTGGTCGGTTTGATATCCCCTCTTTGAGTTCGTGACGGAGGAGGCTGCAATGCTGATCTTCCACTGATGGTGGACTTTTCAGCAGTCTCTCTACCGGAAGCAGTGCCAGGCCTTGACAGCTCGTCCTCAGAACCAGTGCTATGCACTTTGTATCTCTTTGCTGCACTCTGAGCATACTCTGCCGCGGACCGCTTCGATTGAGGGGGAATATCCGATGTAATGTCAGCGGGCGGGGGATCGTTGCCGTTGTCGATGCTCATAGATAAACAGTCCGGGCTCATGGGTGCATGCGATAATTGAGGAGGGAGGTTTCGGTGCGCAACGACACTCACATCGTCGTCAATCTCGAGAGGCGATGAACGGGTATTGTGAGCACCATGCCGTCTGCGCCCAGAACGTCTTCCACCATGGCGCCTACCACTTTGCACGTTGCGGTATTCTTGTACGCTGGTGCTCGTTGCTGGAACTCTGCTGTTGCTGGTGACACTAGAGCCGTCAACAGTGTCTGCCTGAGATCCTTCTCGACTGAAGCGATGTTGCATCAGTGACAGCTTGCGCTTAAAACTCGCCCCTTCCTCGTCTTCGATTGCTTCCAAGGATGATAGACGTGCATTTGTGACAAAGCGGGGTGCGATGGCGCATGAGGATTCGGGACCCGATTTCTTTATACGTTTGCTCGATCGTTCGTCTCGGGATTTGTCGTTCTGACTCATAGTCTGAGTAGATAGCCCAGTGCCCATGGTACCTCGCGGTCTCTGGTCATTGATCGCTCTCTATATAGGAATAAGTATCAAGCCATAGAGCTGTATAACCCAACAAACAATTAACTGACCAGCCGTGAGTTCGTCATGTTCGCCTCGTCACCCGGAGCGCTCCAGGGTGTGTCAGCAGGAACGTCCTATCCTATTGCTCGTGTGGGCAGGAAGCATACCCATAGTCCGGGAAAGAATTGGCGTCGGAATGATAGCGTGCGAGAGGACTAAATCGCAGGTATCGATTAGAGTAAAGCTCGGCGAAACGAAGTGCAGAGAGAACTTGAAGTTAGGAAGAAGGAAAGAGCAGTGCGCACTCCCATCGAGCCCTTTTCCTCCTCTTGTCCTCTGTGGAGGAAGGCTGCGCGTGGGCCTCCAGTTTTTCACCTTTGACAGTTCACGATGCGTTAGGCTAGAAGGCGGTGATCTTCTCTGCCCTCCACTGTCAGTTTGCTGTAGCTGAGCTGAGAGTCAACAATGCCTCGAGCTATCGGCGGGGCACTGAATATCTAAGTAGAGGGGATGACTGCGGGCAAGAATTTCAAAGACCAACAAAGAAATCGACAAACAATAATTTTCGCGAGACAGAAATACAGTCTTGTTAGGTGGAAGTCCGGGCAAACATCCTTGGCGAGACTGTTCTGTTCAGAGGCCCGGCTCTAGTGGGGATACGCAATGAAATTTAGGTAGTGCGACTTCGGCAGCTGGAGATTTAGGTGTTAGTGCCTGGGCAGAGATGGATGGAGGTCATTAAGTGACTGCTTCTCTATCCATATTGATTACCCCTAGTGGGAATAAAGAAACTGTCTTTCAACTAGGTTATGACGCTAAAATAAAGTAACTACTGAATTTATATAAAGTAACTAAATTATTTCATCTTTTGTGCTCTTTCTGGCTAACTTTTCTAATGCTCCAATGATTGGATGTAAGTAGATGTCAGCCTTGCACGGTTATGCATGCTTCTATCCAAGCACCAAGAAAAAACAGAGGATTGAACCCCAGCAGACATCACTGCAATCACTTGGCTTATAGTTGGCATCGCAACCTAAGTAACATCAATGCCGAGATACCTGGGTGCACAGGTAGATGAGTTCGCTTGATGGCTGCTGGCATATTTGGTAATTTAGATACTGTCTTCTTACTCACAAACATGGAATATTTAGATAATTAACTCTACCGTAAGAATTATTATCCCTAGCTAGGTATAGATAACATAAAGCAGCCCAATTGCTTGTGGAAGCTTGTGTAAAACGATCAAATTATTCTCATGGTCTCGCTTCTTCTGATACTGACGTCCCACAGTCCAATCACAAGGCTGAAACGACACCTACAGCTCCAGCGCTGACCAGCCTACTAACCTAAGGTACTACCTAGGTAGGTAAGCTCTTTAGCTCCTAGTCTAGTCTAAAACGTGGCCAGTATTAATTATAGGTCGTCTTCAACACCACGACGCGACATCATCAACGTCCGTCTTTCACAACACTTCCAAGGGCAATAGCTGCACAGGCAGCTAACATATTCGCCCGTCATGTACAACTCCCTCACTCGTATCCAGAATACTTTCGGCTTCTTCACCACCGTCGCCTTCGTCGTTGCAGCCTTCATCGCCGCCTCGGATTTCATAGCCCCTCGCACCCCCGACGCAGGTATCTTCAAGGTTTCAAACTCCCAGGTGTACGGCTCCGATTAATTCTTCCAAATCCATGTGCTATTGGCTAATTGTCTTCGTTTCTCAGCGTCAAGGGCCGACCGCACTACTACAGTACCAAGAAGGAGGAATATGCCATTATTAGATTCAACCTGGATGCCGATCTGAGAACTCTCTTCACATGGAACACCAAGCAAGTCTTTGTCTATGTCACTGCCGAGTGGCCCGGCCCCAACAACTCGACAAACGAGGCTGTCATCTGGGACAAGATCATTACAAGCCCCAGTGCCGATCATCTCCAGAACATTGGACCTGTTGCTATGAAGAAGCTCAAGCGCAGCGCTGAAGGAAAGACCATTGACCCCGATCGGTAAGTCTATATATACATTTCAACCGCAGTTGCATGATCTAACACTTTGCTCAGTGGCTCCATTGCTCTCAAGAACCAGAAACCCAAGTATCAAATTACCCACCCCAGTGGCAGGGTAGCGGAGACGGAGGATGTGAAGCTGAAGCTGCACTACAATGTCCAGCCCTGGGTTGGATTTCTTACTTGGGACCAGACACGCGATCTGGGCCACTGGAAGGCTCTTGGTAGTGGCGAGTCACCCAAGTTCAATCTCCCTGCTCTCAAGAGTAAGAAGAAGGATGCGCCAAAGAAGAGCTATTAGATCGGTCGGCTGTCCGTTTTAGCATGTGTTCTAAGTGAAACCGGCGTTCCTATATAACTAAGTTGATTACGCAACAAAGAATTCTGATATTTCGTATAGCAAAGACGTTCATCCTCGTGACTTCGTGATAAAGGTATCTAGGTAGCTTTTATCTGTAATACATTTTTCACATCTACAACTTTCATTTTAACGCTGGCCAATATCTCAACGCTGGTCAATGCATACAATGCAAGCATCTCAACGACATGTTGTAAGACATGGTATCACGACCAAAATGCCAATCAGAATCGCCAATATGCAACAAGACTGCTGGGCATCTAGCCCTGGCTTCCATTACCACCGGCTCCTGCGCCACCTCGTCCACGATTAGGCCCTCCACGACCTCTTCCTCCGCGTCCTCGACCTCGACCCCTACCTCGTGGTTGATCAAGACTGGCGGGTGGCGGGACGTTACCATACATCTGTTCCTGGCCTGCTCCATGACCGCCGTCAGGAGCTGGTGAACCGTGATGGCTGCCACGGCCTCGGCCACGACCTCCTCTGCCTCTGGTACCGTTGCCGTTAACATCTTGACCCTGGGCCGCACCGTTTGGAGGACCGTTTCGATAAACCAAGGTGCTGTGCATGAGGTTGGGGGCACCTCCGCGAACACCGTTACCGCGGCCGCGTCCGGAAGAGTTGTTGCCGTTTAGAGCTCCACTCCACCCACCGCGAAGGGGACCAGGGGCCGGTGCATCTCTGTATTGAGTGACGCCGACATTTGCATATCCACCCTGTGCGGCAATGACTGGTCTTCGCTGCTGCTGCGATTTGGTGGTGGTAGAAATGATTTGTTTGTTAGTGGTGTTCAAGACCGAGGATGATGCCACGGTCTGGCCACGGAACATGGGAGCTCTTTCGTTGAGCGTTGTGCCGCTCATAAAGGATGTATCCCACACAACATCCAGAAGCAGAGCAGTAGCAGTACGGCTGATACCAACGACGGTACCGCGGGTGGCGATGGGAACCTTGCCAGCAGCAGAAACATAAGTAACTCGGTCTCCGAGCGTAAAGTTCTGGCTGCCAAGCACCATTTCAGCATCAGATGGCTTGAGAAGCGCTGAACGAGGAACCCCACGCAGCTTCTTGATATCAATATCTTGAGAGGCAGCATGCACCTGTTCTCCGGCATGGGCCAAGGCCGTGACTACCTCTGAATCAAGTTGTTCGGCCTCCAAAGGAACCCGCTCGAACTTGCTGGTCTCCTGCTTCTTGAGCCAAGCCACAACCTCCTTGACTCTTTGGGAAGCAACGCTGGGGTCCTTCCAGAGATCTGTTTCGTGAACCTCGCTCTTCTGTGGTTCTCTCTGAATGGCAGCAAAGAAGTCAGGGAAGGCGACCATATAGTCAGCAATCAACTTGATAGCCATGCCACTGAATTCCCAGCCTGTATGCGACTTCCTCGAATAGCCCAAAACCTTGAGCTTTCGGCCCTCAAACTTCAGGTTCAATCCCAAGTTCAATCGAAGTCCAGCAGAATTAATAATCTGGTAAGAAGAAGTGATCTTACTCAGAACAAGAGGATGGATACCCAGCTGCTTAGCGACGGCAAATGATGGGGTATAGGGATTGGACCGTTCGGCTTGATGAATGATCTGCTTGGCGAACTCCTGTTCCTTGTTTTTGAGCATCGAGACAACAATCTCTGTCTTGTTGTTTGCGTGGGAAGCGACTTCCAGGGGACGACCGTAAGCGTACTCGCCAAGGAAGAATGCGCGAGTGCCTCGAGGGAATTCTTCCTCGATGGGCAACGCTTCCTTCTCAATGAATCGTTCGTCCTCATTGACGACTTCATCAACAATGGTTTGCGCGGCATATGTACTCCTGAGACTGGGGTTTTCAGCATACTCCTTGATCAGGGCACCCTCCTCCGTACGAAGGAGGCCCTTAAGCATATGGACGTATACTAAACATTCGACTTGCCCAATAACGATCGCAAGGCGCTTAGCGTGCCAGTTTTCGAGGTAATCAGCTTCCCTAGCCCAGTCAGCAGCCTCTCGATTGTTGTGGTCCCTAGTGACAATGTCTTTCCCATTGTCGGCCAGTTCGTAGCTGAAGAGCTCATCTTGCACTTTGATAACCTTGGCTTCCTGAAGGAATGGGTATCCCACGAAGCATCGTTGGCCGAGTTTCGCTTTCCAAGTTTCTATCTTGGTACGGTTCTCCGTCTCGGTCAAAGTAACGCAAACACTTGGATTTCTACTATCCGTTTGGAATACGTTGACACCATAACCCTCCACAAGCTGCGCGTTGTAAGGAAGAGTATGAAGAGTAGGGAAGCCCGCCAAAGCATCGACGTTCAGTAGAGCACCACTAGTCAATCCTGACAAGTATTCAAGGCCTTCCACATCTGGAAGGTCAAAAATGTTCTCGATGCAACGGCAGTTCTGAATCTCGGGGAAGACACCAGGCAATGGGGAAGGGTAGACAAAGTCGACGTCGGGTGAGTATGTGAACTTGAGAGGAACACCAAATCCGTTTCGTGCCTTCTCGTCAGGTTCCAACAAATCGTTCTTGGGTCCCATAGCGTCCAAGAGACGTTTCTCATCAATGAATGGAATCTTGATGACTGCCTCCCAGTCCATCTTCTTTCCATTCATATCCAGCTCGAAATCGCGGGGATAGAAATCAACAATTGGGGAATCCGGGTTCGTCATCAGGTCATGGTAAACCTTGGGAACAATCTTTTTACTTCGGTCAGGCAACACACCCATAAGCTGTTCATAGGGTAAGAAAGGCTGGCCCTTCTTGAAGTTCAAATCCGCGCCGACGCCCTTGACGACATCTGTGTCATGTTAGCTAAACATCTTAAAGTGTACATAAGATAATAAACTTACCTGAAATAAGAGGCGCGTAGTGGTATCCATAGAACCAAGGCCACGAAGCGATTCCGCGGTAGTAGTAGTACAATACCCATTGTAAACCTTGCACGTAGTTTTCACACAATGCTGTGAGCTCCTTGTCGTAGTTGTCAGGAGCCCACTCCTCGAATTTCTGAAGGTAATACTTCGTCTTCCAGCCCTGGTACTTGTCTTGGTAGAGTTTCTCGTAATTTTTCTGTGCCTCTTCGGGTGTCAAATCGATTACCAAAGCCTTGTCGTAGGTCGTCATGACCCGGTAAGCTGCAAGGTTACCTTCCTCTTCCTCGTCGTCATCATCGTCGTCGTCGCCGTTATCCTTAGGGGGGAATGAAACAATCAGATGCCGGTGGCCCTCGTCATCCTCTTTGGTGGTCCATTGTAGATGCATCGAATCCGCCAAATCCTGAACGAATTTGCGATCAGCAGCCTTCAGGTTGGTGCCGAGGTCTAAAGGCTCATCCGAGCGCTTGGAGATGTACGGCCGAATCTTTTGTTTCCACAGGTCGCGTTGCGCCGGGGTAAGTACAAGCTGGCCTCCTTTAGGCGCCTTTGTCTCGACATTCTTGTTCTCAAGCTTCTTTTCCATCTGCTTTGAAGCAAACCATTTCTCGTCTGACATGTCGGTCTCAAAAGCGCTAATTTCAGTGTTGGACAGTTCGCCCAGAAGGCGCTGTAGTCTTTCCATGTTAATGACTCCATTCTCGTTGATATATCCATCGCATTTAGGAAGAATTGATTTGTAGATCCTGAACATGTTCGCCAGCGCACCTTCGTTAATGTGCAAGCTTGGTAAGTTCGGCAAGAAATCATTTCCAACAAAGAACGCCATCAAAATAAAGTCGTCGATGACTCTTTCAAGATCAAACGGGAAGCTGAGAGTTCCTTCTTCTTGAAGCTCTTGAAACTCCATCTCAAGATACTCTCTTACAATGCAAAGATGAAGAAGATAGAAATTTTGATGTTCGAGCTCTTTGGATTTGGTCTTGGAAGCCCGCCCAAACGTTACCTCTTCTCGTAGAAGACAGAAATGGGGGTCATGGCTGAGGAGACCAAGCATGATTAAATCAGCATCAAGACCATAGAGACAATGTCGCACGTTGTGGTTGTAGTTGGGCTGGGCCTTGGCGTTTCGAATGTATTCCATGATCTTGTGTTCTCCCTCACCAGGGACTTCGTGGCCAGATAGGACGATCTCACATCCTTGCCAATCAGTATCCTCAGACACCTTCTTGTTGACAAAGTATCGCAACTGCTGGGATAGCTTCGCCATAAACTCAGTACCTGTTAGATGTAAGTATCACAACCTACCATTGATCAGTCTTAATGCAGTGAACGTACCTGGGGTAATGCAGTTGCTGTCGAATGGTTCCTCTTTGGGAAGCTCAACGCCATCTTTGATGGCCTTATCACGGGCCTTCTCGGCGTCAAGAGCCGTCCGGAAACGTCGAGAGCGCTGCTGGTTCATCTTGGCTCGAGGCGCAACACCATCGATAGCCATGAAGAATAGCTGTTTGGGCTTGATTTTTCCAAACAAATGTTCGATGTAATTAAATATACGAATAAACATTTCCTCTTCGCTAAGGCGGAAGGATACATCTTCGCCTGCATCCTTATGAGTACAGTTATGAATGATACCATTCATGTCGAGCTGGGTAACAGTCAGCGTATGAAAATAGCGGATAGCTCAGGAGCGACGTACGTAAAGGCAATCGAACTCGGGTATTCTGTTCTCTGCGATGAGTTGGGAGATGGCAGGATATCGCTCGGAGAGCCATCTGAAGAATTTGGGAACACTGTAACGTCCCGGGTTAGCTTCTGAAGTTGTGAAGAGCAGGAAGATCATACCCCATCTTGAAGGAAGATGGACAATTTTCAGTCCACGAGAAGATTCAACAATGCTGTAATTGAGGTAAAACAGGAGAAGGACTCCAAGTCGCCCCTGAAAATTGGGCGCAAAACGTAGAAAATCCTGTGGCAACAGGACAGGATCGAAAGACAGGACGATGACTCGACGTGGCGCCAACAAACCGAAGACAATAATGCTGCAAGATGTTGCAAGACGAGTTCAAACCAGCTGCGCCCTACAATATCAGTAAGAAATGAAGGGTTTCGCAAGAAAGCGTCGTGATGTAAGGGTTTAGGAGGCGGGAATGGTGAAAGTATGCGACGGATCGTGTATCGTGAGGATTGGAGTCCAGCAGTCATGGAAGCTGCTGGGTCAGAAGAGGTAGTGGAGGTGGGGCTGAACACCTTTAGTAGCACATCAACCAGGACGCAGCTTGATTCATGGAGGGGTTTGTTGGTCTACATGTTAGGTACATCTTTAGTCGCCATATCGTGGGTCTCAAAAGTGTATCTACCAAGTATACCCAGATAGTTCCGCCTGAGCCTGAGTCAATGGAACTAAAAGGATGTGCATGTGGGGTAGAAACAGCTAAGCCACACCTTCTACCTCAACCTTCTCCCACTTCACTGTGGCGCATGCTCGTTGCTAGGTTGATGTTTCGCAGCTGTTGTCGGGCACTTTACGCGCGACGCGCACCTTTACTTTTCAGCCTTCTATCCTGAACCTCACTCTCAGCCGTGCAGATTCACTTTTGTTCCACCAACAATCTAGTGTCGATATCATCAGCATCGACCACAAATCACCACTCATTTCTTTTTGATTTTCTACGAAACTTTCTGTAACAAGCAACCAGACCATACAAAGTTCATCATGGCACCTGCTCAATCGGCTGAGCGCGATATGGATGGTATGTTTGCGCGCAAGCTCGCATGGGAGTCTATACGACAAACTTGGTGGGACTTTTTACTTACGCAAACATAGTGGAAATGATTCACGATGAAGAGGATGATCAAGGCGAGCGTCTCATTAATGAAGGCATGCGAAACCACTAGAAATGGAAATATTATTCAATACGCTAACGTTCAACAGAATACAAGACATGGAAGAAGAACAGCCCTTTTCTGTACGACATGATCTTAGGGCAAGTCACAACCTCTGGCCGTCACAGATAAGCTCAATCTAACACTCGTCTATAGTACAGCCCTCACATGGCCTACCCTTACAGTCCAGTGGTTCCCCGATGTCAAGGAGCCCGAGGGCAAGAACTACAGAATTCACCGCCTGCTGCTCGGCACTCACACCTCAGATGAGAGCCCAAACTATCTCCAGATCGCCGATGTTCAGATCCCCAAAGCAGTGGCGCCCAACCCCGACGATTATGATGAGGAGCGAGGCGAGATCGGCGGTTATGGCAAGTCTGGTGATGTCGCTGCCATCAAGTGCGACATTGTCCAGAGAATTGAGCACCCCGGTGAAGTGAACAAGGCTCGATATCAACCGCAGAACCCCGACATCCTTGCGACACTTTGTGTCGATGGCAAAATCCTCATCTTTGATCGAACGAAGCATCCTCTCGACCCTACTTCGACTGGAAAGGTCAATGCTCAAATTGAATTGATCGGGCATAAGGCTGAGGGTTTCGGTCTGAACTGGAACCCTCACGAGGCGGGCTGCTTGGCGTCAGGTAGTGAGGACACTACCATGTGCCTTTGGTAGGTGCTTGTAGCGGATGCTCAGAATACGAGACTAACAAATCTTAGGGATTTGAAGACCTTGACAGCTGACTCGAGAATCCTCCACCCTTCTCGCAAGTATACTCACCATACCCAGATTGTCAACGACGTTCAGTACCACCCTATCTCCAAGAACTTCATAGGTTCCGTATCCGACGATCAGACTCTTCAAATTGTAGATGTACGACACAGCGAGACCGCCAAGGCCGCGGTTGTCGCTGAGCGCGGCCATCTTGACGCGATCAATGCTCTGGCTTTCAACCCCAACTCTGAGGTTCTTGTGGCCACGGCTTCAGCTGACAAGACAATCGGCATTTGGGATCTCAGAAATGTTAAGGAGAAGGTGCACACTCTAGAGGGCCACAATGATGCCGTCACATCTCTGGCATGGCACCCTACTGAAGCTGGCATCTTGGGAAGTGCCAGCTATGACCGGAGAATCATTTTCTGGGACCTTTCCCGGGTCGGCGAGGAGCAGTTGCCCGACGACCAGGACGATGGTCCACCTGAACTGTACGTTTAACTAGGAGAGCAGCGTTTATGATGTTGGAACTGACACTCTACAGACTCTTTATGCACGGCGGCCACACGAACCATCTTGCTGACTTCAGTTGGAACCCCAACGAGCCTTGGCTCGTTGCAAGTGCTGCGGAAGACAATCTGCTGCAGATCTGGAAGGTCGCCGAGTCCATTGTGGGCAAGGACGATGGCGACTTGCCTGTCGATGAGCTCGACCGATAGGTGAGGTGGAAGTTCGTGCTGAAGTTCCGGTCTTCATAGGATGAGGAGACGCAGCAGCTCTGGAAGCGGTGGCAAGAAAAGAACAATGCCACCAGCGATGAGAAGCGATATATCCTAGTGTAAGATTTACATGTACTGAAGGGGTTCGAGACTTATAAAAAGACGTACATTAATACATTTTCCCCAAACTTAATTACCTGCTTGCTGTTTGCTCTGCTTTGAAATGGAAGAGTGCTGTTCCCTAACATCTAACATTTTGCCAGTGCGGGTCACTGACAAACAACTGGCGGGCACTGTCATCTACTGGTGAAATTCAAGATGGCTATGTGATCCCTTGACTAGATAGGTACCTACTCTCTGTTTGATTCCGGTGTTTGTGCTTTTTTGTTCCATTCACTTCGTTTGATGCGGCTGCTTGGCTATTTGCTGATTTCATGTAGCAGCCTAACAAGCCTTTGCTCTTCAACACCATCCTCATTCCGTACATGCATGCTTCAGTCCTGTTAGAGATCTGGAATATTTCGACACTTCTGCCCAGAACACCGTCTGGTTGAAGCTTTCCACGAAACGCCATGTCTTTCAATCCCCCCCCTCATGATGGCCTCCCATCTTCGACAAATAACGTACCCCCTGGAGCCTCGAATCCGCAGTCGACCGCTAGTAACTCTTTTGGACCATCTGCTAGTCTCCAGTCTGCTCATTCTAGCGTGCTTCTCAACACTCCGGAGCGAGAGTTCGATATCCTGACAGACGGTATGCGCCGACGTTTGGAAGAAGCCATCGAACGACAAGCTCGCACAGATGAAGATCTCGAGAACATGGGCATTGACCCCCAAGAGTACGATGAAGACGAGATCATGAACGGTGTTCCCGATGTCACAGTCGAGGAGTATGAAGACCTTTCAGGTCCGAATAAGAGGCTCAAATTCTCTCGTGCTTTTATTCATGGTTTCTTCGACGGTGTTGATCCCTACGAAGCCGATAAAAAGCCAGACGAGATAAATGAGCTTACTCTTAGCCTCAAGCATGCTAGTCTAGATCTCATTACTGCTATTTGCTCCAACCTGGAGTTGGCCATTGAGATTGGCAAACACCTCCGACCCCAAGACATCGTCAATCTCTACATCGCTAGTCGTTCATTCCGCAAGGCGATCAATGGACATATGCTATCATGTATCCGAATGTGGATTGACACTAAAGCACCAGAGGCTGGAAAAGTCTTCCACTGGAAGCTTTATGGCAGAATGTTGATCAGAGACCCAGTCGAGCGCAAGTCTGAGGTAGATGACGCACGATTTCTCGAGAACCGTTGGAGAACCGCAAGAACAAACCCCAAGAACATCCGTCTTATTCCTGGTTTCAAGTATCTCAAGATGGTCATGTCTCGTGATCGATGTTGTCGAGAGATCCTCGCCATGATGGCCCGCATGGGCTTTCTCATGCCAAAGTCTATGTATAGCACCTTGTTGCGACTTTGGGTGCTCATGGAGATTTCCACTACTCGTCAGAGGCAACTTTTTCTCAGAAATGAGAAGTACTGGACAGATCAGCACATCTACAACGTGCAATTCTTTCTCGTCAAACTCACCATGGCGTTCACACATCCCTTCTTTCATCCTGTTACCACCGACATGGTCGAGCTCATGATGGGACAGAGGGGCTTACATCCACTATGGCAGTTGCTTATGCGGCAGAGGTACACCAACCTCCCGGAGCTCATGGAGCTCAAGACACGCTATGACATGCGCTTCCCTCGAGACGTTTGGGCCGATATCCAACTGCACAATCATCCAACGGCATACAATGTCCCTCTCAACATGGTCGGCCTCGGTCATATGGAAGGTTGGGGCAAAGGACTCCGTCATCTTGCACGCCCGGATGAGCTTCTTCCTATCGAATCAGTCTACCGTGGACTCTATCTCGACGAACACATTTCTCAGATGGCGATCTGGGGCTACATCGATTTTGAGACAGGAGAAAACCTTGTTCCTACAGAGGACGAAATGTACATCTCAGACGAAGAAGAGAAGTTGGGCAGTGTTGATACCTCTTATCTTTGGCAACGGAAGCACGCTTTGAAGAAGCGTTGGGACAAGCTCACGCCTGAGATGCAAGAGGAGATTAAAGAAGACGACAATGATGAGCGGTTGCGAGCCATGGCATGGTCCTCGTTCGACCAGTACAACCAACGAGGAGAATGGGAGAGCGAGTCAGAATCCCAATCTGGCCCTGAAGACGAGTACGACATGAACGCCGAGATTGAGCGTGGCTATCGTTTGCCCTCTCTATTTGGGAAGCACCCCAAGAAGAAGGACAAAGTCAGTGAAACCGAAATGGAGAACCCTCTATTCACTTTTGGGGAGGATCCTACGACCTGGAATATTGCTTTCAGTGAACTTCACATCAACTCAAACCCCCAAGTGACCTATGAGCAGTTCCAGGAGGCCAGGGGGTGGCAGAGGTATATGGATGCTGGAAATACTGGTGATCATCCAGCTGGTCCTCCCACTAACACCCAGACCATGTTTGCACAGAATCAGCTTGCTATTCTCGTCGATCAGGAAGTTGGTGACGAAGCAGACGACGAGGATGAGAGTGATTACGACGAGGAAGAAGAGTACTTTGAAGGCGGAGAAGATGAGGATAATTTCGACAGCATTGGCCAATGAATCTGGAATTTGTCAGGCAAAACGCATTATTTTGATTCACAGGCTGACAGGGTGAGATAGATAGATGCCAATCATAGTAATAGTGATGTTGCGTTGCTGTTATACGATCCCATGGCCACATCCCAATGATGCTCGAAATCGATACACGTCACAAGCATATGCGCATTTGCAAGACTGAGAAACAAAATACTTTTGAGCATGTCACTACAAGATATAGTGACAAGCAGGTACAATCCATGTCTAAAGTTACCTATCGATCATGAAAGTTGGAAAAATTCAAGGAGAGAAGAAGAAATACAATATGCAGAAATGAAATATGATAACCTCCAGCAGCCCAACCGTCCAGCCTATACCGTCTAGTCCCATATACTGACTGCCCTTTGATCCTTATTGCGCAGATCATGGCGGTGGTTCCTAATAGAACCTTTGTGAAAGGAGGCCCGAAAAGGAGATGGACTCTTGGTACTAGCCATACCATCAATTTCGAGCAACAAACAAAGATGCAGCTTTGGCCAATCCTTGAGGCATAATGCCCCTTTTGACACCCCGACTCCTCCCAACCGTGGCACAAAGATGTATTGACCACTCCGTCCAGGCACCCCAGCTCCTGCGCGTCCCAAACAAAACCAAGATGAGGGTAAAGACATGCAGAGATTATCAAAACAAGTAAACAATTTGAGAAAGACAATGTCAAACTCGTACAGTATATAAAGAACGAACGACAGCAACATAAACAAAGACAGAGGCAGAGATGAGAGGCAGATAAGTAAGTAATAGAGAAAAGCAGTTAGTTGTTGCCGGGTTCAGTATTGAGCCGACACAGGCGAACTGGATATTTGAGTCACAAAGGCCAAGCAAAACATACCCTTACACACTCCCCTTCGCTATGCACCCAACCCCGTAACCGATTTCCCAGTAATACCGCTACCGTCCCATGAAGCCCAGAGACAACAGCATCGATGACTCCTTGTGTCCTCCTCTGCCGTCATGTCGAGATGAACGACAAGTTGAATCAGAGACCTTGCCGTCCCCGGGCTTGTGAAATATAAAACAGACAGCGGCCCCAGCAAACAAAAGTCCATACCATATAGACTCGTCCGTCAACACCAGAGAAAGCAAGCCCTTGACATTGGCGAGTAATCAAGTCACTTTTGTCTTCCAACCCTTGAGATTTTGTAACATATTCCGCCTTAGAATCAAGCATCCATCACTCCGACCTGATCTTCCGAAACCAATACACGCACCGTTGAGGCTTCCTTTGAGAAAAGCCAAACTCACTAATGTTTGCCAACAATAGATCTTCTATGTGCATCATTCAAAGTCATTTTCGCGCAAAATTTGTGACGCGAACAGCCGCGCCCTTATATGCGGTGCTAAAATTTCAGCTTCGTATACACACAGCGACTCGGCTGTAGAAATTTTGACTCTGCTTAAGCAGGAGACTTGTTAGGAGGGGCAGAACCGCCGTTCTGGCGTCCGTCTCCTCCGCTAACCGACAGACCACCAATACCGCTTGAGAGGAAAGCAAAAGGGTCGTTCTCGTTGTTGCCACCGTTGTTGTTGGCATTGTTGTTGTAGAAGTTGTTGGAGGGTCCACCAGATGCAGGTCCGTTGGTGGCGGACTGGAAAGCGGCCTCAGCAGCTCGGCTGTCGAAGGGACCAGCAGAGTGAGATGCGGGACCAGATCCAAAGCTTCCGTGTGTGTTCAAGGAGCTGGGGTAGGCCGCAGCACCGCCTCCAAGACCGGAGGGAAGGTAGTGGCTGGGAGGACCACCAAAGTGCTGCTGGTTGTAACCACCGCCGGAGCCACCAAAAGAGCTGCCGGAGCCAAAGGGTCCTGGTCCGGGGCCACCTCCCATAGATCCCTGGTTCATTCCATACTGGGAGGCATTGTCCATAGGTGAAGGATAGCCGGAATCAGCAACAACTGCAGCGCCTGCGCGGCTGGCACCGCAACGAAGACAGCACACATTTTTAGCAAAGTTGTGATAGCCACAAACTTCGTTACCACATTTCCAGTCACCAGCACGGAACGGCACCACGCCACTGCCACCCATGCGTCCACCGCCGTGTCCCATAGGGCCGTGGTGACCACCATGAGGAGGAGGGGGCATCATGGCAGGGGGTCCGTAACCATATCCACCTCCATAGTTGTTGTTGCCGCCTCCCATATCGTTCGAGGGGCCGGCACCGACGGCGGGGAATGAGCATCGGAAGCAGGCAGTTCGGCGCTGGAAGTTGGAGAAGCCGCAAGAAGGGCAGGTCCAGTCACCGGGTCGGGGACGGTTCTTGCTGGGAGGGAAAGGTGTCAGGATGTCCTGGGCGCGGTCGAGCACACGGCTAGAGGAGGGCGAGACCTCAATGGCCTTCTCATTAAGGGCACGGCCATTCATACAAAGGCTCTCGGCAGCCTATCTAATGTCAGTATTGAATACAATGCAGGCTTGCACAAATATCGCAGGAGGGCTGGTTCAGGGAGAGTGCTGAGGGAAATTTCAAACTCACCTCCTCGTGGGAAGAGAATACGGCGAATCCAGTGCCAGTGGGCTTGTGCTGTTCCGGAGTTCGAAGAGTCCAGAAGGCAATGGGTCGGCCGCCAAACTGGGTGAACCAACTCTCAAGTTCGGACTGGGTTGTATCGTGGGGGAGACCAGACATGTGGAGAACCTTGCTCCTCTCGGAAAGGAAGGCTCGAACATCGGCTCGAGCATCCATAGGTCGGGTCAGAACATCCGGGTGCTCCTGGGGAGGCTGGGACTTTCGGATCAATCCACGGAGAACTCGGGCAAGGGTAATGGCCTCTTCCATCGCACGTCGTGGCGAAGCAGGGGCAAGGGCCTGCAGGTGAAACGGCAGGTTGTGCTTGATGGGTGCACTCGACTGAACGGGCTCAACTTCGAGAGCGGCGCAAATATTGGAGAGCATCGAGGGTCCGAATGGCAGAGACTCGGGGTGGTGCTGCTGCCAGCGCTGGTACTCGGTGCGGAGGTCAAAAGTGCGCGAGTGCTGTAAGTAAGGAGGAAGGACAACAGCCTTATCGCGAGCTTCACGAGGAAGCTGAACGCGGAGGTCCCACGCATCGAGAGTAACGAAGACGAAGTCAAGGTTCTTGGAGGTCAAGTGCTCGGTAGCGAATGCATCGAATCGAGTGATAGCGTCTCTAAAGGTACCAGCGTTTCGAACATGTTCCCAAGTCAAAGTTGTCAGGCTCGCTAGAAAGATATTGCGTTAGTCAAAATGTCTGATTTAGCAAGAAAAAGCAAACAGCGACGAGAAAAAAATTGTTCCTCAAGCGGCGCTTGGTTGGCGGATTCAAACAGCGTGGAGCAAAAGCAGATGGAGATGTTCTGGGTTTGTAGTAGCGTCAGAAAACTTACTGCACAGAGGAGTAATCGGGGTGTTGACGGGCTTGACAAGGACGCTCTCGTGGGTAATCTGGGGAGTGAAGAGTTGATTAGCAATCCAGTAGTCATAGAAAGAGCATCAAGACCCTTGAAGAGATTCGTGGACCCTGAAAAGTGTGGTCGTAAAGCGGAATGGAGAGGGGAGGCTCACCTCCTCAAGGGTGTTTGCGTCCATCAAGATCCAGCCAAGCTCAATAACCTCTGCCGAGTCCTTTGTCACATAAACGCCGTGCTCATCGCAGGTGGTCGCAACATGAATCACAACATAGCGATCGATGTTAAGCTGAGGCAGCTGTTGTGAAGCCATATTGTGGTGGAATCGAGATAGAGAGGAGAAAGAAAGTTGGGCTAGGTTTGTTGGCAACGCAGACTCGGTAGCAGCGGCGAATAGCGGACGGATCTCGAAAGAAGGTTTCAGGTCGTCGCAGTGATGAACACTCGAGATACGTTAAGAATATTAAGTGCAACTAGCCTGTGGCCCGGCCAAGTCGCGATAGAAGAGATGGGAAAAGAGTATCCGTACGTGAGGTCGGGTTATGTGACAGGAAGCGGAATGGATGTGAATGTGGCCAGTGAGTGGAAGCTTCAGGGGAGACGGGATGGTATGGTGCCAAATACGAAAAGGACTGGACCTCCTCAGGCGCTTTTCTTAGAGGTGCAGGCCATCAAGTAAATGGGCCCGTGGTCCAGGTAGAGTACAGTGGGGAAAGCCGCCGGTCGGGTGTCAGCAAGCACACGCTTGACTTGACACGCTACAGTATCAGGTTATTTAAAAGGAACAGATAAATTGGATGCAGGGGAGCAATTTCACATGTTGTAGATGATATCTGAGATTTCTGTCTTTGAGGTTTTTACACGATTGATTCGTTCAATCCCAATTGGCCATGGAGCTCACGACGTTGAAAAGTGTAATTTGTCCATAGTAGCCAAAAAGCTAAGGCAAATAAGTATCCAACGTTTCGTCGGTCTCTTCTGACTCCAGCTCCGTTGCTCCAATTCAGTCCCACGGATGAACTCGTTCGTTCCATTCTCAGCATCCTCCAGTCTCATCCCGTCCCCTGAGCTGATGCGGCCTTACAGCGGTCACAGCGGCTTGCAGGGGTAGGATAGCTTCTGCGAATTGGAGGCCCGGCTCCGACTGGTAGCGAGTTCTGGAGGCAACCGTTAGTGACGACGGGCGGGCAACTTCCCGCCCGCTCTCCAGGTACCTATCTCCAGGGCTACCTAAGCCTTACATCATGGAATCAACTACATCAACAGAAAGTCGAAGAATTCACTCTCAAACTCCGTGGCTCTTGACCTTGATGCAAACCTCCAGAGAGCCCATTGGTAACCAGTCAGCCTATATATAATACACAAGGAGTGATGTTAAAATGTCCTGACCCCAGGAGAGCAATCATCAATAAACTGCCAAGGTACCTTTACTTGGTACTGGGTACTGGAAAGTACATGTGGTGCTAGTTCATGATGGCAACCTCCCCCGCCTCAACGAGGGAGAAACACGAAAGGAAGCTTCTACTTTACTTCCCGAACCTGCCATAATTAAACTTTCTATACAGGCATCCAATGTTGATAATCATCTGGAATTGCCAATTCTTTTTACTTTCCGATAGCTCCGAATCCTACCTTTTTCACGAATCCTTGACGGCATAAACTTGCAATTCTCTCAACAGGCTCGTCATTCAGAGATTGCTTTCGCCAAGAATACATCTAACCCTACCGCCTGTACTCCACGTTTTTTGACAGCTCCTAATTCGTCCTCATAACTCTCAACCCTTCTACAGCTAACGGCACGGCAGCCTCTCGCCCAATCTGTTGAATTGGATGGTCATCACAACAAATACTGGCCACCGTCATCCGGTATGCAAGCAGTTATGCACAGTCAAAATGTCGAACAAGGTCTCTCGAGAGAAGAGATTGGTGATCGGTGCTGGGCTTCGAGTTGAGGTTCGTCGCCGGGAGATTACAATGCTATTCAATAATAGTAACCCTGTTTATCGCCAAGGTTGTGTTCTATCAGAGTCAAATTCAACAGGGAGACATGACGAGGCAGTAAGAGACATGAGTTGGTCGCAGCCTTGTCGTTGAAGCTCGCTTGAAGGTTATGTGCACTGCCAGCTCGATCTTGCTAGTTTGATATAAGAAACGATAAGCGTACGGTTCCCTTTATGTATACTGACACACCAGACGAGACCATCGCAGAAAGGTTTATAGATGATGATGAGACAGTATGACCTTGCATATGCACATACAAGTCCCGCAGATGCGGGAACAGAATTGCCGCCATGTTTGAGGCGCCATCAATCTCGCTCCAACAATATCAGTCCACAATGATGTCGGCCCCCTCATCTTCCCCTTCACCTTGTTCCTATTATATACGAGCAGATCGGAATGAGCCTCGCCGAATAATTTGGACTGCCGAACGGGTTGTGCGATGGTGATTCGACATGGGAATCTCTATCTCATATCACGGATGCCTATTAATATCAACCTTGCGGGGCCTACTTGGCTGGCTGCCTCTTTTGGCTGATTGATGAGGAACTTCGACCGGGTAAAAGACGTCGAGGACATCTGCAAGGGTCTCTTTCTCATCTTGAATCTCTGTGCAAGAACCAACGGCTGAAGATGCCCATCGTTCTATCGAGGTGGTTACGATACTCGGTGCAGACATTCAACGCAACCGTCTGCGTCTTGAAAGCAGTTGAATGCAGGCTGCAGTGCTTTTCAAGATGCAATTCGAATACATAGAGGCAGACAAAAACCAAATTGATCACAATAGATACTCTAGGTACCTAGGCAAAGCCGTGACATTTCCTGCCTGGAGCAACTTTTTGTTTCTCTCAGAAACACGAAGTTTATCCCACGAAACTGGTATCAACTGGCACACCATCAGTCACTGGCCTGTTCAACCACCCACTATAAGGTCAACGCTTCTGAGCTTTCTAGCACAAACATATTGATACTGTATGCCGTATAAGACAACGGTCAGGTTACCACGCTGCCGCGGTCTTCATTGCTACTGTACTGATAGACTGGCCCGGGAAGTAGAAGCAACATTGTAGATCCGAACTGCATATGAGACATACCTTACCTCAGTTAGGACAGGGCAGCCGCAGGGTATCAGGAATTGACCGTCATTAGCATAGAATACATCCATAGTACTCAGGTCAAGTGGATTTAAAGCTGAGAGGACGGGATTGCAGAACAGCTTCTTCTTAAGGACTGGATAGTACATTGTGACTTACTATCATTAATTAAGCTGGAGATCCTCCCTTAATCCACTCACTGCTTGTGTTGTTGGTAGAATCGAGAGTCAGCTTGCTACCCTGGGTGGGTAACAGAAGAAATGTCCTCTAAAGGCTTAGGACCCAAATAAAGTAGCTTAAATGCTTCTCTAAATTGCCATAAGATGACCAAACTATTTCGTCTCTCATGCTTAAGGCTAGCTCTGGATACGGCTTGTCACATGCTCTCACATTAATGCACTTGAGGCATCTGCCGTTTGTGATTGAAAACATTATGCCGTTACAAACATTAATTGCACAGAAAGAGAGGTATATCACAGAACTGATACATAGCAGGGTTACAACGCAGAGCGCCGCATTAGAATATTATGGCTCACATACGGGAACTGCTGTGGCATGAACAGCGCGACATATATGGCCCCAATACGCACGGTTTAGCGCAAATACGACACGTTCGTTCACATGGTGCATGGCAGGATGGATGACCAAGTGACGAGACCCTGTGCTGATTGATATATCTGATAGGTTGAGGCAGGTCGGTACATATCCCAGACTGGCGCGCGGTTCTCAGGTACAAGAATGAACACAGGTCGATCGCGTGCATACAGAGAGTTTTTCTTGCGCTATCTGTCCATGTTTCTAGTCAATTGATTAATTCCCTTGAGTTTCCAAGGCGTTTCCTGGGTTTTGGGGCTTGGAAAAAGTCATGATTGTTCTTGGAGTTTTCACGGCACACTCTAAGCCGACGTGGCCTACGTCATATCCTATCAACGTCAGGTCTAAGGCAGAATTCTTCAAGGAAGGCCTCACGTTACTTGTTTTAGCACTGATTGGTTACGCGGCTCGCAAGCCTTAATTATTGTCATTTGTCGCAACATTTTCCTTCTACTTCACTTCTTTATAGTTGACCTGCTCAATACCTTAGCTATATAATCCAATAATTGTTGACCACAACAACAACACCTCACCAGATATCGCACGCTGCCTGTCTTGCTCACGAAACCGACCTCAGCACTTACACAACCATCTCTACCAAATTTCTTCACGACAAACCGCAATCATGGGTGGCATCTCAGCAGTTCTTCTCATTCTCATCACTCTCTTCTGTACGTCACCAGCGTCTCGCGATCGCCAGTGCTGCAGCAGAAACTAACGCAATCGCAGTTCCTCCCATCGGTGTATGGGCCATCTCAGGATGCGGAATGGGTAAGCCGGCCTTTATCCTCCGGTTCGCTTGGGGACAATACTGAAATTTCCCAGATCTGTTCATTAACATTTGCTTAACCCTCCTGGGTTACATTCCCGGCCACATCCACGCCTTTTACCTCGAATACATCTACTTCGACCGCAAAGAGCAGGCCCGCGAGGGCCGTCTCGCTACCGGACCCGCGCCTGGCGTGTACTCTGATAACGTTCAGACTGGAGGTCAGGGATATGGAACTATTGGACGCACTGGTTAAGGAGGTCTGAAAAGATGTGGAAGGATATGCGTGAGAGATCAGCGGATTTTGGCGTAAGACACTCGGCTGGTTTTATCTCGGGTACTGGTTGGACGGATATATCCTATGTAAGAGAGCTGACAATAGGCTTGGACTGTTGGGGCTGAACCATGAGGTGATTCGCATCCTTTGAAGTGGCCGGGCTACCGACATCGGAGAAAGCGACATGGTGGGGGTAATTACGATGCTTCTATGGAATAAAAATTAATGATACATGGGTTGGTTACACGTATGGTGTGCTGTCTGGTTCATCTCATCCTACAGAGGCGGATATGCTCTATCAAGCTTAGTCGTCTGGGCATTGTAGGAACATGTCTGCCGAGTATACGCCTGGCTCAATGATCATCGTGCTGATCTGAGATGATGCATGAAATGCATGCGAATATGGTCCTATGATGGTGTCTTAATGATTGCTTAGCATAGACACAAGAGAAGGGATGAAAGCTCCAATCATTGGGGAAATGACAACGCAGCACATGTAAATGACCCCGCGTTGGCAACGGGCAAATGCATATTAGCTTGGAGAAGGTTCCCTGGATTTGGTGTAACTGAGGATGAGTTGTCACCTTGGCTATTTCATGAGCTGCATATGTAGGTAGGTATTGTGTACTTTGACGATGGACTCAGCAATTGTATAGGCCGTTCCCTGATTGATCCGTTATATCTAAAGCAGTGTAAAATGCAGATACAGAACAAGCCAATTGACCATGTTGCATCTATAATAGTTAATCGCCAGAATGACCGAAACGCCTGTTTCATGGGGAAACGAGAAGGACCAAAGATATCCAATGTGATCGACATTTTATCAGGCGGTTATTCAGGGTAGACATGCAGAGGAAAGCAGTCAAATGTCAAACCACCAATGAGGATTAATGCGGGGATGTTGACCGAGACCATGTCGACCCTTTTAACAGCAGCCACGACACTCATGCATGACGCTCAAGTCAGTTTGACCCGATTGGTTTCTTTTTGGTTGTTATCGGCTTCAAATATTAAACCCAGCTAATTAACTTAACGAAATAACAAACAACGAGAAGAGAAAGAGCAACAGAGCTTCCCCTCTCCTTCCTGTTTTTTCTTCTCCCTCACCGGACACCTACTTGCTTACTTCTAGGTACTTGCTCTTGCCGTTGGTGTCTTGACTCTTCAACACCTTAAGTTAGTTTCCTTCAAGGCAAGACCAGTCTTACGGCCCGGTAAGGCATACCCACCTGCCGCCCACTATCTTCTTGTCTCCCCTCCTCTTTCCCTCTTTGTGATTAACTTTATCATCTATCAACTCTCAAGATTCAATCCATACAAACCTTGCCTTACTGCGCCGTACACACTACCTTACAGTCCAGTACAGTGCAGTATCGTACCTGTAGCCGAAACAGAGCCAACGCAGCCGACTGTTATATCTGCTCTACTACTGGCAGTTCATTAGCTACAGTACCTACAGTGCAGTCTGCTGCATATCGACCCCACTGCGTCGTGGCGACGCATCGTTCTGCATCAACCGCTACCTTGGACCGACTGTCAGCCAAGACAAGACGAGGCAAAACAGAACGACACAAGACAAGGCCCAGGACATTTGCATTGACTTGCTGTGTTCGCTCCCACCACTCGTCGTCAATCTCCTCAACTGGCCTGCTTGTCATCGCCATGTCTTCCTAACTGCCGGATCTATACGCCAACTTGCACGCCGTATATGTACATACTACGCACTACCTACAACCTGACCTACGCTACCACCTGCCACTGGCTTCTTTACCGCTGTCGTCTGCAGCATTTCCGGGATACCTTGTATGTCCTAGACCGACTGCCAACAACCACGATAATTATTATCCCAACGATTTTATCCTTCTCACCGTTCGCTTGCCACCCTTGAACCTACACGTCTGTATATAGGCAGACTAACCACAGATCGACCTGCAAAGCTATCGTGCTGTACTGTGCATACCTACCTAGTCTTGCGTCGGAGCTTCCAATGCCCGCTCCCATTGATGCACACCTGGGGTGACATTTGCGCTTGACCACAATTGACAACTCGCTCTTTCGCCTCAACACACCATTGAAGACAAGAACAACACACACACGTCTATTATATAAACACGGAGCCCAGGTTCCGACTTTTGATCATGTTGTCTTCTGCCGCTCAAGAATCCTCGCAACCGACCAAGACCCATCCTCACAAACCGCCTCGACATCACGCCGCCGCATCCACGGCGTCGGCCCCGGTTCTCAGCAAACCTCGCCGGCACTCTCTCCAATTCTCTTTTCCTCCTCTGTTCCAGTCCAACACATCGTCAACAAGTCTTGTACCTTCAACTGCTGAAGGAAAGCCTATACCTGTGGACAATTCCACAGCTGAACATCGAACTTCAGCTCTGCGTGAGCTAAGTTCCAATTTTCCGACTCGTCACCGATACACACAATCTACCGGCGCACAGAGCAGTACTTACTCACAGCCTGTGATTGTCCGAAGCTACTACGCCCCCGTACCATCACAACCAGCCGACAGAGGTGTCATCGTCGTCAACGGCCGAAGACATCGTCCAGCACTGTCTGAGAGTAGCGGCCCATCGGCTCTTGTAAGGCGTGTTCTTCCATTTGGCTCGGGTGCAGCGCCATCCAGGAATGGAATGCTAGGAACAATGGCGCGAAATCGTACGAAGAAACGATTGGAGAACGAACCGGAGGAGCCAAAGCTTCCATCAGTTGATGCTTTTCGTTTTAAGAGTTTTATGGCCAACTTGGAAGAACAAAGTGGCGGCACAGATATCAATGCTGACCTGGACCGAATCGCTGAGATTTGTGCTAAGTCGCGGTATTCTCTTAGCAATCAGTATGAGGTTCATTATGCTCCCCATGGCTCAGGCTCGGCATTCCTGTCTGGAGGTGTTGAAAGTCAAGAAGCTCAAGGCCCCACACTTCAAGCGGTGTCATCGGATGATGAGAGGAACATCAAACGATCTAGAAAGCGACCGATGGGGGTTAGGAGGAACAGCAGAGCTATGGGGACACTGGAAACCATAATGTCCTCTAGCAGATCGTCAGACGAGGATAAATCCAAAAAGAAGTCTGCCGCAGAGATTGCCGATGAGGTTCGAGGCAGGGCTACCCAGAAAGGATCCAGCAGACATGGATCATTATCCCCATCTGATGACGGGGCTGTCGAGCATGCGATTTCACAAGAAGAGTTCACCCAAAGAACTCCTCGACAAAGAAGGTCCGGCTCACTGGCCCTTATTGATGGTACTCGGCTGAGCATGAACTTGAACGATGTGGACACAACTCGAACTTCAGCTGCTGGTCTCGTGAGCGAACCCGCTCTGCCACAGACATCAAGCAGCCAACTCGAAATCCGGACAGCTCCAGAGACGACAAACAAAGAACAGGTTCCCACAGTTCCCAAGAAGAAACCTGCGATTGCCGAAGGACTCGACCGACCAGTCGCCCTTGGTTCCATGTCTTCTACTGAAGCTCCCTACACAAAGGGTAACTTTATATCTACGCTCAGTGGATGGATGAGCTGGCGTACCTCTAATTCTTTGCCAATAGCTCAAGGCCGCGCAGAGGGCAGCCTTCGTGAACTCCTTAAGAGTAGAGATATCAAAGGAAAAGGCATCGAATCAGCAGCGTACCAATGAAGGGGGAAAAGAAAAAGGTTACGAGAACGACATGAGAGGAACACAGCACTCTCACTTAAAGCACATTTCAGCACCCTCGAACGGTTATATGTCTCGAAAGGTATCAAAACTAAAACCCAACGACTGGCAATGATATTATGAATTATTTACGATTTCACGAAGGCAACAGAAATATGTGATTAAGGGCTGGAGAGTCACAGAGACGTCAAAAGTTTGTGATCAAGTTATTTATTATTCAAAGTACGACATCAATAAAGAAAGGTATGGGATTATTTAAAAGAATGGACAAGACAAGGAAGGGGCCGGTTTGTATTGTACTCAAAGTTTGCTTGATGCAAAATGTCCGCATTGACTAAATAGATTGGTCTTATGGAGCGACCACAGAATTGTGTCAGAGATATTGCTTTCTCCGTGAAAATCACGTTATGCGCCCATGGGCTATCAGGCTTTATTAATGTGTATTCTTTCTATGACAGATAACCGCCTCCGTTATCTATGAATCAATATATCTAACTGCATCTTCACCATCGAAGAAAATTGCACCCCAGCACCACTGCTCATCTCATGCCCGGATAGACAAAACAATAATACTAGACCCAGGCGCCGATGAGATAAACAAACGTAAATGCCTATAGCATGTTGCGTGCACCAACGTCCCCACCACGAAATCGAAGCTCATGAATCCCAGCTGGATGGATGCATGGAATAATATATATATATATATATATATATATAAACAATAAAGAATAACGCCAGGTTTCGGCGACAACAGCCCGGGAGAGTAATTAAAAGACTGGTCTTTTCAGACGACCCGCATAAGCGACATAACGCCTTCTATTGAACTGATGTTGGAGTTGTTGAACCGATGGTTTCAAGAGACGTGCGAGTCGAACTCTGACCGATACTATGCCTCGGTGGGCTTTGATGAGTTCGTCGCTGGCGCGGGTTTGTTCCCGCCAATCTTTTCAAACTGTAGCCGTTTTGCGTCTGGTTGCTCAATCCCTTCGTTGGCCCGTTTCTTATCCTTTTCTGTGTCCTTATCCCGGCTCGCGCCTTCTTTGGCCAACTTTCTGGCTTCCCTCTCACGCCGGTCGTTTTCTTTTCTGAGGGCTTTCGACTCAAACTCATGCCAGTCGTTGTGAGTGGAGAGCCCGTAAGATGGTTAGCTGTGGAACTATTTGTCAATGGTTGATAGTAACTTACTCTGTGGCTTGCCGAGCTGGTGGCTCCTCCTCTGTGAAGTAGGTGTGCTGAAGGACTTCGGCTGCGCTAGGTCGTCTGGCTGGGTCGTAATGGAGCATGGCTGATAGCAGGTTGAAAGCAGCCGGTGACATTTTCTCGCGATACTTCTCCGCAAAGATGCTCTTCTTCTTAACAGTCGGGCGCATAAGCTCGAACCAGGGCATCTCGACTAAACCAGGCCATTCCTTTAAACTGGGGGTACCCATGACATTATAAACCTTCTCTAGTTGATTGAGCTCGGTACCGTCACCAGGAAAGATGGCGTTGCGATCGAAAATCTCAACCATGACACATGCTGCGCTCCAGACATCGACAGCAGCAGTATACTTGGTTTCACCCAGCAGAAGCTCAGGTGAGCGGTACCAGATGGTGATGACTCGGTTGGTGTAGTCTAGCTGATGACGCTTGGCGTAGAAACGCGCAAGGCCAAAATCAGCAATCTTGAGTACTCCCTCATTGCTGACGAGAATGTTTGCCGCTTTAATATCGCGATGGAGGACACCCCTTGTATGCAGATAATCTAGCCCTTCGAACATCTGCTTGGCAAGGTCTTTCTTCTGGGCAGCCTCTAACTTGAAGGTCGGGTGATTCAGAAGTCCAGTGAGATCATGCGATAAGTATTCGAATACCATAAAGCAATCGTTCTTCTCAACCATAACTTCCTGGAGATTCACAATGTTGACATGCCTGAGAGACTGAAGGAGCTTGATTTCTCGTACAGCCGTAACAGGAAAACCATCGCGTTCACCTTCCATGCGAATTTTCTTGAGAGCAACCATCCCTTTGGTGTAGACATTCAGACCCTTGAAAACCTTGCCGTAAGTGCCAGAACCAACGACAGATTCATTGCCCGGTTTCCTGAAGAAGACAGATTCCGAATCCACGAGGTCGGCCGGGAGAGTCGGTCTCGGCTTTGGCCGCTTCATAATCTTCTTGACTTTGCGCATTCGAGGCACCACTCTTGGCCCTTCAGGAGGATGACGGCGATCATTTCGGGGTCGTGACGATGCTGGTTCCGTAGGCGCACTTCGTGGGGGCTCTCGGTCACGGTCTCGATCACGGTCCCTGCCTCGTTCTCTTTCCCGTTCTCTTTCCCGGTCCCTATCTCTATCTCTGTCTCTGTCTCGATCCCGGTCTCGATCGTGATCACGACCCCGGTTATCATCCCGAATTTCCTTTTGAGCGTCTCGTCTCGGAGCGGCATTAAGTTTCTGAGATATCTCAGGTTTCGGTGCGGTGACCGCTGGTTTTGACGAAGGCTTGAAAGCAAAACTGAATTTGCTACCAGATCCGCCTGACTGTGACTGTGAGCCTGGACCTGACGGAGGTGGTCTGTTAGGAGTAGTCAGAAGATCTGCTCCTTCCTCAACATTTCGATCATGATTTTGAAAGGATCCATCCTCATCCATGCGATCGATGTCCATAGCGTTAGAGTCGTCCACGTTACCGAACCGTCCATTACCCAAGTCATCGGGATGCCCTCGCTGGGGAGGGCCTTGGTTCCAGTGAGAATTCTTAAAACCACCTCGCCCACGGTTGCCAAACGAACTGCCTCGGAAACCGCCACCTCGATAACCCCCACGGTAACTGCCTCCTTGGGGATACTGCTGCATTGGGCCAGTAGGGGCAGCATGTGGAGGAGATCGTGAAGGATTGGGGTGATATTGACTGGAAGGACCACTTGGTGGGCCGTAGCCACTTCCCTGAGGATGTTGCGAATAGGGCCTGAGTAGTCAGTTAATGTACCATGGGCTGGATTTGAAAGTAACTCACTGCTGGCCGTTCCTACCACCACGCGATGATCCGTAAGGTGACCGGGACGGTGAGTTGTGATACGAGTTCTGAGGCGACTGTGTATATGGATCATTGCCTATATGTGATTTTTGTGGATACATTGGATTGTAGCCTCCTCGAGGGTTAGATCTGGATGTCATGTCCTCGTCTATATCAGATCTTGAAGAATGGCGCCAGCCGGGCGACGCTTCTCTAGAACGTCGTTCCTTACTGGCGTGAGGTGACCTTGGTGGAGGTTGTCTCCGAGAAGACGGTTGGTCCATGTCTGACGCACGCTGACCTTCGTTAGATAATGGTTGACCTCGTCGAGACGAAGATGGTCGATGCTCTGATACAGGCGATCGACTCCGTGACGGTTGCCTGGCCACCCCTTCTCTTCCTGCTCGGCGAGAGCCTGATTCCGATTCTACCGGGGATCTAAGACGTGATCGCACCGGAGAGTTTGGAGACCGTACGTAATGACGAGGAGATGTTTGGCGTCGCCCGCGTGATGTGTGTCTGGTGTGCTTCCTCGAAGTAGAGTCGGGGCTGTAGTCCCTTGTTCTTGGTCGAGGACTTCTATCTCTCTTGGACTTCTTTCGGCTTGAGCCTGTCAAAGACGGACTGCGACTCTGATGCCGCTTGGACGCTGACGGAGAAGCCCTTATTGTTGGATCGCGACTTCTACTTCGACTGTGGCTCCGACGGCGTGACTTATCATCAACTTCGCGGTGACGTTCCCGATAACGAGGAATTAGGTCTTCGGCTTCTGGAACCCGGCGCGAGGGTTCGGGTGATTGACGAGCAGCGCGATCACGACTACGATCGCGTGAATGACGGCGACGGCGGGATGAACGAGGGTCTGGTCTAGTGGATGGACGGTCGCGGCGAGGCTCAGAAGCGCGGCGGGGGTCACGCATTTGACGGGAGGGTTTTGGTCTTTGTGAGAATTTCACGCTTTGCTCATCGAGAGCCCGGTCTCCTTGATCATCACGTTCCTGGTCGTCTCTCATGGCAGCATATCGAGGTCGACGTGGAGGCTTGGGTGAGTGCTCCATGGCTGCAACTGGCGTCGAGTTTTCAGTGGTTGATCGTAAAATCGCCGCCCGTACCTTAGCCGACGGGAATGACCAGCTAAGAGTGAAAGTGAAAGGTAAGGTACAGAGAGAGACCCGCTATCAGTGAGCGCCCCGTGCATGGGAACTGCGGGGAAGACCACCTGTAGGTGACTTTGAGCAATTGCAGGTCGGAAGATTTTCTGTCAGCGCAAAATCAATGTAACAGAGAAAATAAGAGGGAGAAATTGACTAAGCACGAATTAAGGTCTGATGGACCCAATTCCCTGTGCCCAATTCTCCTTCTCTGCGGTTGGTTCTTCAGCTGTAGATATGGATTGGATGTCCATATGGATGTTGGTGATGGGCGCGTAAATAGCTGAAATAAGCAAGGACGTGGAATAAGCCTGGCAAGAGAGTTTTGCGCATGCACTTGCAGGCTGTTCTTTCTGCAGGCTCTCCCGTCTCGCCCATACACTGCTTCTTGTGCTTCCTCCAGTCGAGAGATGTTGGCAGAGATGAAGCGCATTGGCTCTGGCTGGTGCTGGATCGCTTGGGTTAACCCCCAATGGTTCCACCAAGTGAAAACCAGCACGATCTCATCGCAGCTCTCAAGAACAAAATACTATATACGAATCCATGTGGATGATTTACGACCGGTCATAGTCAATACCGTGACTTCCTCCTGATTTGCGAATACCTCCCGTCGATGCCATTCCACACAATGACCAGAGAGCGGTACATGATGGTGATGCAAGATCCAACCTCTGTGCATAAAACAAGCATCTCTGCAGAGTACGCATAGAGTCCTGCCGCAACTCCCCTTCTGGTCAGAGTTTCGCGGCCATAATTTAGTGGCCTGTCCAAAGCCAACTTGAAGGTGGCTATTCGTAGGAACAGTACCAGCATCTCAGGGTCCGATCCGCGTATCTGCCCGCGACAGCCTCCACGATGCGTAAACGGGATGGTTCCCATACTAATCTGTTGCATAGAAGAAATGGCATCAACGGGGACCACGAAGCAGTTCCCCATGCCTCCATAGCAGACGATAGATCCGTGGTAGAAAGATGTCTAATAAAACAACACAGCCCGACGGGCGGATTGCAGTACCTCTGCACTGGAAGAACGCAAAGGTCGAAGACGCTTTATTCCTCCACTACCAGATACGACGGGATCAAACTTGTGAGTAACTGTAAACCGCACACGCAGCAGCGCGATTTTTGCTGCGGTTGGAGAATACCATGGGGATGTCTCGCTGCAGGAATTAGGTCTTCCATATTTCCGTTCCTTGACCAAGATACATGGCTGTTTGGATGTTAGAGGAGCACGCGGTGTGGTGGATGTCGACTGTCGTGCTTATGGCGGATCGGATCGTCGGTAATGGGCTGGTTGCATGCTGTCCGCTCTTCAGAAATTAACGAGCGTCATTTCGTTCAAAAGAAAGCCCGTCATCGCTCGACATTATATCAGGGGTATTTCCTAGAGCTGGCGCTGTAGTATATAATTGAGGCGTCGAGAAAGCACGTCGAAGCCATTTTCTGACGGGTTGTGGCTCGATGTAGGACGTCGTTGAATCCTTGTTGTGCGAATCCAACCTTTGGAGATGGGGAATTGCAAGCGTGCAAGTCACGTGCTACAGTATGTAATCTGGTAATCCTATTTTCACCAATGAGAGACTGGATATCTCCGTTAAAGAATAAAGTTTTGTAAAGTGAGAGTTTTATTGATATCAGTGCGTGGATAGTAGAATATACGGGAGACTGCAAGAAACTATTGAGGTCTTCTGTGTGATCACCAATGTTGTTCAGACAGAGTATCTTAGTATTTGACTTCGTCGCCACAGCCAGTTTCTCTGCAGACCAGAGATATTGTAAGAAGCTGTGACTTGAAGACTTGAAGACTTATGGGATGATCCTAACCACTACATATTAAATTATCAGATCCCCATGGTTTTGTCACCTGGCTATGAAGCCGTCTTTTCACTGCCATGCAGATGTCGACCAAAACATGCCTCGGTTCATCGCAAGCCTCACCCCACTTACGGAACGCCAAGGTTAACTTAATGCCAATTAACATCAGACGGGGAGTTTAAAAAGTAGCAGGCCTCGGACAAGACTAACTGGCCGGACGGTCCGTTCAAGATGCAGAAACGACTCGAGCCAACAAATTTTATTCTTTTTGTATTCGAATAACTAGACTGAAAAGAGGAATACATGCCGAGCCGAGACCTTTTCTAGGAAACAGAGTAATCATGAAACTTGTAGCACGATGGACTTGAACAAAATGTATCACACAAAACTGCTCTTATCTAACGTCGTATACGGTCTAGAGAAATGTCGGACATCGGAGGGAGTGGATCCCGTAGGTAGGCCCGTCCTTTTTAACCAACATCCAATGTAGGTATCCAGTAACCCCCGTTCCGTCTTTTCGGGGGGCGATTTGCGATTTGCTGGCTGAATGTTGGAAATCTATTAATACAGTCTAATCTCTTGAGTCTAATTTTTTGACGCTTCTCTTTCACTTTCGTCTCTTCGATCATTACAGTGCCCTACCACATCTAACGTTGTCTCAGACCCTGCATCGCCTGCATTTTTCATCATGGAGTGGCTTGGACGTGCAGCAATCGACTTCACTCATGCGCCTACACCGCGCAAGGTGAAGGAAAAGGATGGCAATGAGACTGATCTCTTGTCCATCACCGAGAAAGCGACGCCGCCATGCAATTTGAACCCCTTGCTCTTCAACGGTCACCTGCAGACAATCTGGACTGCTACCAAGCCTGCTGGACCTAAAATCTACTACAAGCGCAAGATTTTTGATGCCGACCACAAGATTTACCGTGGAACGTTTGCGGTGGATTTCGCTACTGAGCCCTTTGAGGCCCCTGAAGATCCTACCTTGTCGCGACGAACAGCGTATTTCACCGAGCAAGAGTTTGAGAACATTGGATCCGACGACAACAAACCCATGCTCGTCATCTTGCATGGCCTTTCTGGTGGCTCTCATGAGATTTATCTGCGACACACTATTGCCCCCTTGATTGGTGAGGGCGGCTGGGAGGCTTGTGTTGTCAATTCGAGAGGTTGTGCCAGATCCAAAATCACCAGTGGTGTTTTGTACAACGCGCGAGCGACGTGGGATATCCGTCAGGTAAGATCGACAGTACTTCAAAACCAAGGATTCTGCTAAAATAAGCCCCAGACAGTGAAATGGCTTCAAGAGAAGTTCCCTAACCGACCTTTGTTTGGTCTGGGATTCTCACTCGGCGCAAACATGCTCACGAACTACTGCGGTGAAGAGGGTCCCAACTGTGTTCTTAAGGGAGCCGTCGTTTGCTCCAACCCATTCAACCTTGATGTTTCCAGCAAGATCCTCCAAAACAGCTACATTGGCAAGGAGGTCTACCTCCGGGTCATGGGAAGTGAGTCGCTTGCCAATACCATTTCGCGTTGGAATGCTTGCTAATGCGTTCAGGTGCTCTGAAGGAACTCGCCGCCACACACAGGGAAGAGCTGGAGAAGTACAGCAAGATTGACGTTGACGCTGTTATGAAGATCACTTATCTCTATGAGTTTGATCGCCTGATCCAGTAAGCTAGCCACCACGCCCCTCTTTGGAACGAAACACTGACTTTTGCAGGTGCCCTTCTTGGGGATATCCCACCGAGACTGCATACTACCGAGATGCCTCTTCTGTTGACTCAATCCTGTCTATCGAGATTCCATTCTTGGCCGTTCACTCAACCGATGATCCTGTAAGTTTCATTCCTCAAAACTGTTCCTGTAGACTGTTCTAATCATACAAAGATTGCTGTCAAGGAAGCTATTCCTTATGAGGAGTTCAAGCAGAACCCCAATACCGTCCTTCTCACATCCAGTCTCGGAGGACATTTGTGCTGGTTTGAATCTGGCGGTTCCCGTTGGTTCACAAAGCCCGTAAGTCTTGGCAATCCTTATATGAGAAATTAAAGTTAACATTCTTAGGTTACCAATTTCTTGAACCACTTGGCCTTCAAGACCGATCTTGACAGCCTGAAGCCTCAAGCAAACCCCAACAGCAGCGACTTCACCGAGGGACACGGATACAGCCCCATGAGACGCAAGCTGGTGATTGTCGAAGACTAAAAGCGAGCTGAATATGCTGTCCCCAGCTGGTGATCACGATAGACTGTATATTACTTAGATCCACACACTTAGACATATGCGCCCCTAGAGAAAAATAGACCTGTCACGTAATGATAATAGCCCTGGAGGTATTCGATCGCTTCTGCCGATTAACCGCATCTGCTCCTACGGGAGCAACCATGATTCAATAACTATGTTGTGCTTTTGTACCGTCGATTCTCCAGTGATAACCAGAGAGGGCCTAGCCTCAGCCCATCGACCAAACTCCATGCGCCAAACAATGCAGCAACTCCGAAAAATTTCCCACTATTTCCCGTTAGGTTTGGGTTTAGGCAAACGACACTCGCTTCTTGCCCTTGCCCTTGGCCGCCTTGGTGCCCGCTGTAGAGAACTCCTTGACGTTGGCATCCTCGTCACCGGTACTCTTGCGCTTCCTTGACTTTCGGAGAGAGTTCTTGGTGTCTTCGAGCTTAGACTTCTTCTCTTGTTCCTTCTTCTCGGCCTCGACCTTGCGCGCTTCGCGAATCTCCTCCATCTGACGCTGCTTGATCATCTTGGACTCGATTTGACCGTCCTTCTCGGCTTGGACAAGAGCCATAATAGTGCTCATACTCTCCTGGAAGACATGCGATGTTAGAATTGCCCATATACCGTCAGGAATGGTAGCCTTACCTGGTCATCAGCGAAAACCTTGCCCTTCTTCTTGCCTTTAGGCTTTACAACGCCAACAGGGGTGATAGTGTTGAGAGTCGGGATTCCAAGTTGCTCGTCCGTGTACTTCTTCTTCTTAGAGTTCTTGAACTTCTGAAGAAGCGCCTCGCGACCCTTGTCCTTGACCTGCTTGGACGGCGGGGTGCCCTTTGGCTTCTTGGACTTGGTAACGCCCTCTGTGGCAGATCGCTTGGAAGACTTTGCGCCGCCTGCAGGGCCAGCATGCTTGTTCTTGACGGTTTTTGTTCGTGTGACACCCATTGCGACGGTTGTGGAGGGATGCGCGTAAGATGTCTCGTAGGTCCCTGAACTTTTCAGTGCAAGTGTTGAAGCTCTGCCCAATTTTTTTCTGAGAGATAAGAGTTGCGATAACTTTAAAGTGGAGCCTCGCGGCGGTGGCTGGTTGAGAGACACGACACAACAGCAGCCAGTAGTAGGAGAGCAAGCTTCAGAGTGGTCGCGTGGGGATGAATACCTATGCCTTGAAGGAACCAGTATTGACCTAGACTGCTAACCTATGTATAAAAAAGGTGAAGAGGACTTATTTCATTCTTCTTCGTCTAATAGAAAAATAATCCTTTCGTTACTTGCAGTCTCTTACACCGAGAATTCACACCTATAGATGGATATGGAAGCCACTGTCTTGAGGCTTGTGGCGCAGTCTTTTTTCTTCTTCTTTCTTTCCCGCAAGCACGTTCCTGCTTCGCAATTACAAAAGGTAATTTGATCAATTGAACCGACTTCAAGAGGATCAATGTAAGAGTGGTTGGCTGCTCATGTCATGGATAGTACAAAAGATAGAGAACAGGTAATAATGTCTTGCATTGTGCATGCTGTAGCTGGTTGGAGAAACTTATGATGATAGTAGTCATGATCATCCGTTTCTTCATGAGGCAGGGGTTTCACACTGGGGCTGACAGGTCTCACATCTCGGAGCCGAGCTTTAAGACCAAGTTTGCAATGAATAAATGTGAGGTGGTATTTAATGTACTGTATGGGGCTGAGCGGCATTAATAGTTGCTATCGAATTGAAGATGAAGGGCGGAATAGTTTCCTACCAACTTGTAGGCAGGTCTGCTTAAGTTACCATGATCATATTGAAGATGCACGGTTTGTTTTGGTAAACGTCAGTGACGACGATATGAATCATGGGGATTGATTACTTGCATGATGTATACATAGTAGGTACATCCATGTTATTTTCAGCTGTATCATCCCAATTCCAGGCCATTTAATTGCCTAGCTTAGTACTTTCATCATTTTCTCAAAGTAAGTGGTCTGCCTTGGGGAGTTTTTGTTTCTCTCGTGTTATGAATTACTATTTTTCTTTGCCGATCTCATGAGAACGGGATAATTAGGTAGGTACGATACAGCACAGATACGTTAGCACCCAGGTGGGCAACAGAAGAAATGTCCTCTAAGGCTTAGACTACAAGAATAAAGTAGCCAAAATGCCTCTCTAAATCACCATAAGATGACTAAACTATTTCATCTCTTATGTTTATGACGGTCAATTATTCTGACACCCTGCGGGCACCAAATCCTTCTAGAAGCTTACACTCAGACCAAAGAATTTGCCGACAGCTTCTGAACAAGGGGGCACTCTGCCCTGGTGCGTGCTAATTGTGTCACTGTCATTTTCCTCACCTTTTAGCCTCTGACGCAGGGTCGGTCGCAACAGCCTCTCTCATGGGTCCCTGGACTGACCTGGGGGTTGGGGCTGGATTAGCGCGGGCAGTCTGAATGTCTCGTCAGTGGAGTGGAGGTTAGGTACTAGGAATGGAGGGTTTTCCAGTGAGCTGGGTGCTAGCCTTCAGGGCTTTCCACCTGCAGAGGTCCGGGCAGGTCTGGTGCGAAATAGCTGGAGGTCAGGTACCCCTGGTGTAGAATGTGGCACAGACTAGCAGCGAAGCTACTCACGAGCTACCTGACTTTGCCTTCCACTTTACAGTGCCTTGTCTTGGATCGCGACTCGTCCCGTCTGGATTTTCTGGTAGGTGGGCTGCTAGGTAGAATTTCTTCCAACACTAGGTCCATCTCCTCTCTCGCAACTCAAATTCCCCAACGTCCAAACAACTTCATCATCTACCCTCTCCCAAACTCTCAGATATTGCTCTTCGATCTAACATCAACTCGACGTCTCCAACAATATTCGATACCCCTCATCTCGTCACCATTCATCGTTGCACCATAGTTCCATAAACCAAACTTTTGCCGTCAACATACTGATCATCCCCTCATTCGACCTCGAAACCGTGTAACATCTACAGCTAACATCACCAACTTCGACCGCTTTTTTCCAACAAACCGATACCGAAACTGCCAAATCTGTTCCAAACACTCTCCACGTCGTACATACTCCTCTCGATTCTTACCTTTAAGCCTCTTCTAAGGCATCTTGGATCAGCCTTCCCCGCCCTACTTTAATTTGCAGACAGACCTGCAACGTTCAGTCTTAATGGATACTAGCAACCTCTGGGCCCGCCGCACAAAGTAAGTCACCTGCACTTTTACCTTAAGAATCAAGGTTTAATCATGACTCCTCAGCCCCGGCAAGCTTTCCCTTGCTACACCAAGTCAAGGGTCCAGTGGTGACACCTTCAGTCGCAATGCTTCTTTCTCTAAGCGTCAAGGCGGCGAAACCCCATCATCGATGAAACCGAACCCTTTCAACACTACACCTGGAGGTCTTGTATCTCCTACTAGTGGCGCTTCCAGTGCATTTGGTCTAGGCTCTGGAGCATTTGCCTCGTTTGGATCGGCTAAGACCCCTAAGACGTCGGGCAATCCTTTCGATTCGGCCATGGCTTCAGCGGTTCCCAAGTCTGGTATTAAGGACTCCTCCAAGGCCGCCGGAAAGGCTTCTGGTATGGCCGCGATTTCTGAGAACAACCAGTCCGGGGCACCTACGGCACCTCTTTCACATCCGCTAGTACACCCGTGGACCTTCTGGTATCGACCTCCGATCTCCAAGGCACACGGCTACATCGAGTACGAGAAGACGCTGCACGAAATTGGTACCGTACGAACAGTGGAGGAGTTTTGGGAGATGTATGCCTACCTGAAGCGTCCTTCCGTACTTCCCGTCGTCTCAGACTTTCATCTGTTCAAGAAGGGCATCCGCCCAATATGGGAGGACGATATCAACAAGAAGGGCGGCAAATGGGTCGTTCGGATGAAGAAGGGCGTATCTGACCGGTATTGGGAAGACCTTCTTCTCAACCTGATTGGCGACCAGTTTGGTGAGGCGGGTGATGAAGTTTGCGGTGCTGTGTTGAGTGTGCGTAATGGTGAGGACATTCTTAGTATCTGGACCCGAAACGATGGTGGCAGAGTTATTAAGATTCGGTAAGTTGTTCCGCATGGACTAACACGTTGTTGCAAAGATGGCTAATTAACAAAGCAGTGAAACCATGAAGCATGTCCTCAACTTCCCACCCAATACTCGCGTTGAATTTAAGAGCCACGATTCCAGCATCCAGCAACGGACAGCGATCGAAGAGCAACGCCGCGAAAAGGCTGGTCAACACCATCATCACGACAAGCGCCACGCTGGCGGGGCTTCAAAGCAGGCAGCCGAGCAGTCTCAATCATAGAGAAGACAGATGCTGGCCTTGTGGATGTTTAACCCCAGTGCGATCTATGTATTGTATTATAAGACAGTGCTTCACCTTCGAGATGTCGTGTCTGTCGATCTTGGTTGAATCGGTTGTTTATTGTCTCCTCTGTTCCCTTTTCTCACATAACCATCATTGAGTTGGCGGGGTTGAAGAGATCTTCCCGGGAGTGCTGTGATAACGCATTCATGAGAACCGAGGCGGATATCTAAGGGATAAAGAGGTCAATGGGGATAGTATTGTCCACGCATAATGTATTACTAGCTGCGTCCTAGCGGGGGTTGGCTTGCCTGATAGCGGATTTCAGCGAGACCTACAATTCAGAGCAAGCTTTGGGGGGTTGAGGTTTCTCGCCCCAGAACGAGACATTTCATCATGTAACAATTGCAATGTGCTATGATGCGTAAAGCGATGCCAAACGTGATAGTGCTGTACAAGGAGTCGTCAGTCAAAACTCTGGCATAGGATCAAGATACGGTTTACGAAACTTTTCCTATCCCACCCAAATAGCAAGCCAGCCTTTCGGTCTGCTATTTGATCGGGATCCAAGAGGTCTGATTGCCGGAGAGGGTATAATACTCTATTATTCAGTCTTTTCACCTGAGTATACTTTAATGGCATCTAAGGTCATGAGGCCTTGGCCTTGCCTTTCCCAGGCTCCCTCCTTCGCTCCCAGATTTGGAGGTACGCTTCGCCAAGATACAGAAGCTCACTCTGCACCTTGTCAACATAAAGATCTTGGCACACAACCCATTCACCCGTGGCCTTGTTTTTTAGTTGTACCTTCCATGTCTTGCGCTCCTCGCCGCTGTCAACCACATCTTCACGTGTACGCACAGCTTCGTGGATCACGTTTGCAACGAGATCATACCAAATGGGCTCGCCTGGGGGCCACTCCTTGGGATTCGGCTCCACGTAGGGAGACATATCAAGGTTGCGTGCATCGAACGTAACGATTGTGGGGTTACGTTCAGAGACGAACTTGTTCTGTGAGAAGCGCTTCACATGGAATGCAAGATAGGGGGGGAGGGGATGCATAAGTCTGTAGCGCTTGCGCTGAGCATGGTGTTCCTGGGCTTTCTGGCCGTCGTATTTTGTAAGAATGGTCGTTAGTGGGACTTGGGGAATAATGTTCTTCTCGAGCTCGTCCTGGAAAAGCGGCGTTGAAGGAAGGTCAAGCGTCAGAAGAAGGAAGCGCACGATGTCGACCTTGACGTCTGCATCCTCGAAGCGTAGTCGATCGGTCGCGTCGGCGCGAGCTGTGATGGCTTGCGACTCGATCTTCATCTTGCCCTGGAATGTGCGCTGGACCATGGAGCTGCCTGGCTTAGTCTTGCTTCCGCCGAGACCGAGATGGAGGTTGTTAAGAAACCAGGATAAGAAGTCGACAGGGTCCGATTGTGTGGTGAGGTTGAAACGTTTGTTAGAGCGGAGGGAAATCTCTTGGAGGAGTTCGTGAGGCGAGACATGGGCTTTGAATGCCCTTGGGTTCCAGATCTTGCGCACGAGAATACTGGCCCGCTTGACGAGCTCCGTCTTATTCGAAAAGTCCTCAAGAAGAAGGTAGTTGCGTAACGGAGCCACATGCGCCAAGGCCTGCACAACAACATTGAAATAGTCGTTCTCCTTGATATTATTCATTCCAACAAATCCAGGGATGTATTCCTTCCCATCAAGAGTTTGACTCGTGCGTCGCGTGCGATCCATCTCGATGACCTCTTTCTTGGTGTATCGCGGATCCGACACATATTTAATGTCGTCGAGCGCGCGGTTCTTGACCTCGTATCCTTCGGGAAGAACATAGACGCGCTGGGTTTCAAGATTGATATAGACGTGGTGGTCCTCGTCGAGAGAGTGGAAGTAGGCGTGCGACTTGGGGCCGCGACCTTGAAAGTACTTGCCACACACTAGACATGCGTAAACGTTGATATTGGAAAGGGATACGGAGCAAAGCTTCTCAAAGTCGAAGTCGAGCACGTTGCGATCAATGGTGTCGAGGTAGAGGTCATCGTAGCCTTCTGTAGGGGCTGACTGTCTTAATGGAGCTACCGCGACTGGCTCTTGGTCGTCGAAGTCATCATCGTCATCATCTTCTTGCGCGTTTCCGTTGGTATTCGTCTCATTGATGAGTTCTTCTGAACCCGGTTCAGGTGTATCGAAATCCAATCGAGATCTCTTGGAAGCTGGCGAGGCGACGTCTTCGAGTGCCTCTGAGGCCTGTCGCTTGGACATATTCAAGCTGTATCGATGAGGTCGTTTGCCGTATCTTTGTGTTGCGCAGCTTGGCCGAGACTCGACGTCGTGGATGAAAGATCGAAGTCGCAGGTATGAAGTTATGGGTGGAGTGGAGCCTCCCATTGGAGCTCAGGTACAGGCCCACATTTGCTTCAAGGCAGCCTAGCAGCCTCTATTTAAAGTTGCAACAACAACTTCTTGAAGGATATAACAATTTTCGAGCTAATGACAATGATCGAATGAATTCACTGATTTCGGATTATATTTGCTTATATTGATACCGGAGGGCAAAGGAGTCTTGTATTACCGTCACCTCCACTAACACAAGCACGGCTTTTATCAATATTGATCCTGAAAAGAAAAAGTCAAATATTTTATCTATAACCTTGATACTCCAAGAAATAATGCGAGTGTGATTATATGTGGTCAAACAAATAGAAAAAAGCCATCGACAACCTGTAGTATTGCCCTTTCAACCAGCCATGACAACATCTTCACTGCCGTCCTGTAGCAGAGCTTTCTCATCTTCCAGCATGGGCGCGAGGTCGTCCATCTCCTGCAGGGTATATTCCACCAGATAACTCTCGTCAACCAACTCCTCTGTTCGCTTGTAATGTCTCTCAGTGTACACTCGAAGAGCGTGAAGCACATCCTTCAAGCTCTTTTGTCCCTTGGCTCCCTTGACTGACAAGTTCGAGAACTTGGAAGCAGGATAGCTTCTAATTAAAGTCCACAGAATCCTCTGGGCCACAGGAGCGGTACGCGCGTTTGTGTTCCAGTCACGTAATCTTAGAAGAAGTAAGAAAATCTGCTCGTCAGACAAACTAGCAAGCACCTCATCCACAGCTCTCAACCCACTGAGACTACCCTTGTCAGGATTGTTTGTTGTGGTGACTGAAGTGAATAAGCTGAGTAGTCTTCCAGGGTGGTTGAGCTGCAACGCGAGTGTAATAGCCTCACGGAATGAACCGGCATGGATATGGTTCTCAAGCTCCTGCTCCTGCTCAATCACCTTGAGTGCAGCCTGGGACGCTGCAGCTTGAGTTTCGGATGATGTATCTTTCCAGAAAGTGACAGTCGAGTCACCACTGCCAGACACAATGGTGTTGTTCTCGGGGTGAACAGCCACAACCCAAACGCGATCCTCGTGGTTATCAAGAGTGCACTCAGTTTCTCCCGAGTTGGCGTCCCAAACCTTTACGAGACCATCACCACCGGCACTAGTGAACAGAACTCGTTGCTTCTTGGACTGTTCTTGGCTGGTAGGCATGTTCAACCACGCAACCTTCAGGATACTGTTGGAGTGTCCCTCAAAGGTCCTTATACAAGTGTAGTTAGCAAGGTTCCAGAGCTTGATAGTCTTATCACCACTGCCGGTAAGCACAACGCCCTTTCCAGTAACAGGTCCGTCTTCACCCTGAATTGCCGGTACCTGAGCAGGAGAGAACTGCACCGACCAAACACCACGCTTGTGTCCGCGTAAAATGCCCTGAACTTCACCCTCCTCTGCAGACCAAATCTTGACTGTCTTGTCTTGGGACGCAGACGCAAAGAGCTGGTTCGAGTGGTGGATGTTGATGGCATTGATGTCCTTGTCGTGCGCCTTTCGGGTAAAGATAGCACGAGAGCTACTTTTGGTGCCTTGTTGTTGAGCTGTGCGAGGGATCTCCCATTTCTTGACCGTTTGATCCTGGGAACCTGTAACAAGGAACGCTGGGGGGTTGTTGAGGGGATCGGTTCTAGCAGGCGAGGATTCCGAGGGAACGCTCTTGGGAAGCGCAACAGCACCCAACGATTCAGCGTGACCAGAGAAGGTAGCCCAGCAAGTGTAAGAGTTGTTTGCAGGATCGATGCGCCAAAGCCTGGCAGTATTATCTTTCGCTCCTGTTGCTATCCAATGGCCTGACCAGTCAATATCTAGTGAAATAACGATCTCATCGTGGCCCTTCAAGAGAGCAACGTCTTGACCGAAGTAAGGACTAGACTCGGAATCCAAATTGCCTCCGTCGTCCTGGTTCTGTGCCTCTGCAACAGACACGATCCTCACATCCTCAGAGTTTGTGGCCAAGGCGACCATTGAACGGTCAGGGAGTAGGTAACCCAGATCAATAATGTCGTCGTGTGTACCGGATATCCTTCGGAAGGGCTCGGGTGCGGACAAGGAGGAAGCGTCTGCTTTTTGAGGTGGCTTGTAGAGCGCGAGAGTGTGATCGACCTGAACAAGGAGGATAAAAGGCAGTCCCGGGCGATAAATGCCAGACACAATACCCTCCTCTTCGCTTTTCGCAGGTTGTTCGGGAGTAACTTCCCTCCCAGTATCGGTATCCCAAATTCGGAGGGAACCATTGGCACCAGCGGAGTAGGTCAAGCTTCCATCATCAATGAAGCCAGCTGTTTCCACCAACTCTAAGCAAGGCACGACCTTGCGAATCTTCCAGGACTTGGCATCCCACCAAGTAATGGTCTTATCTCTGCCAGCGGTGACCAAGGCATGTTGTTCGGGTGAGTAGTCAAGTCCCTGGACATCCGAAACGTGCGAGTCCAGATTGGCCACGCAGTTGCGCTTGTGCAAGTCCCATACACGAACCTTGCCATCTTGTTGACCGCACGCAAGACGGAAGTTGATAGTGGTGGAGTTCTCCTCTTCCTCATCAGACTCCTCCTGGCGCTTGGATTTCTTGCCCTTTCGCGATTGGCTCTCATTTGAACGAGAGGCAGCCTCGAAGAATCGAAGAGATGATACCAAGACTGAAGATCCACGGAAAGTATGGGTGACATAGCCGCCGACAATGTCCCAGACTTTGACAGCTCCGTCGGTTCCTCCAGTGGCCAGCAATGTGCTAGTTCGATCAACTGCAAGCACACCAACTGGGGTTGAGTGAGCCTTGACTGTTCTCGTGGGAGTAGCCTCAATGGTTCCGTCATCCTGAGATCGTTTCAGAGAATAGACTCTCATGGACAAGGAGCGGGAGCAGATGATGAGATGGGATCCAGAGGGCGTTACTATATATGTTAGTTTGGTTGCATTTTCCACAATTTCGAGAGACTAACAGGTTAATGTAGAAATGAGCTCTCCGTCCTATGAGATGTCAGTTCTGACCTATAATGCGGTGTTTGGTAATTCTTACACCCTCAACTTGAGCCAAGTGCTTGCCGTTGGTAGGATCAGTGAGAACTGCATCCTCACCGAGGGCTGTCGCTAGGATGCGGGCGTCATTACTGATAGAAACTGATCCTCCAGTGAATATAGGGCGGATGACGTGGTCTACGTCAAACGTCGTCTTTAACGGCTGCTTATTTGCCATTGTGTAGTGATGTTGTTGGTTTGGCAAATATTCGATGCAAAGAAACTCTCATGGGTCCTCGACTTGAGCTTTCCTAGATTTTTTTTTGGCTGCCGTGGCGGTCTGTAGATGATTGGTCAGATGGCGCATTAGCGCGGCGATGTCAGCCACATCTCCAGCCACACCTCCACCCATGCGCTTCCCATCATGACTTCGTACCTGGAGCTTCATTTAAGCTGTTATCCCTTAAATCAAGCACAACTCAAGTTTATCACCCGAACAAGAAAACGCATTAACAACAACAAAGTCATCACTAGAGTCATTACGACTTGAACAGTCGCCATTCGCGGATCTAATTTCCCCAGAATTGTAAAAACAGCGCCAAATGTACATCTACTATTCATGAGTCGTTGCTCGCCTTCATCATGGGAATGCAAGGTCCTTTGACTGCCCAAGCCCTTGTGAGCAATTCTTTCATCTGAAATGAATGATCTTAAGTGTAAATAAATTGACATTCATAGGGGCGGTCACCTTATGATGATGTCGTAGAATGGGATAGTGACCATGACGATTTACAGAATGGCGGCGATTCTAATCAACAGTTCGACCACCGCGGTCGTCCCATAAATCCTGAGACAAAAAGAATCAACAGAGACATCATCAGATCGCATAATGAGGTTATGTTGGTCATTGGTGTTGCTGAGCAGGAGAACCCGACCACAAGTCCTGAGGCCGAATCTGACAAACGACATGCCGTCTACGAAGACGATGTAGGCACAAACCTTGCCGTTTCAGCTCTTCGCTGCGTGGATGCCGCTGGTGCTTTCGGTTTGGATGGTTTTCGCCAGCGTATACTGGTATGTCATTGCACATGAGTTGGCTTCTTGTACTAATCCTGATAGATTTATAAGCGTTACTCACATATCCCATTCTGGGATTTGTATGCAAATTCTCGAAATATATTCTCCCTCACCAGACATATTCTACCTGGTGCACCAGTTAACCTCTTAAGCAACTACACTGATCGGCAGGTAGCTCTGCTGTGGCGAGATCGGCCAGACAGATTGTTTGGCCGTCGATTGTAAGTCAAGGTACCTAAGTGATCGTATACCACAATGGCTCACAAGTCCTTTAGTGTCCATGAAATATGGTCGTACGTGCGTGTCCATCTGGAACTCTTCATAGCTTTGCAAAGACTCGGCTTAGCTTCGAGTACCAATTGGCTCCCAAGTCTCTCATTCTTTGTCCCATTTACCCAAGACTCACCCATCCCGGCTCCTCCGCCACTTACTGGCCTTTCTTTTCAGTCAATGCTTCAATGGGTAGGGGGTCTTTGCATTTCTTCAACACCCTTCCTTGTTTGGGTAATCACCCAAAGATTGATTCGTGACTGGAGGCCGCAAATATGGGCAAGGATATTCAGACGCCTACCAAGCACTGGCTCATCTCCAGGGATGACCACCACTTGGATCCCACCCGACAGACCTCGCGAAAGGCCAGAGCATCGACGGAACCGTAGTTCCATTCATGATGTTTCGCCGATCAGACCTGTTGACGGGCAAATGCCCAGCGATACAGGCCCAGTGGAAGCTGTCCGACGACCCAGCACTTTCTCAGCCAGAGGGGACGACTACGCGAGTGACGAAGAGGACAATGAAGGGGTCAGCGCTACCCTGATCAGTTTTGACGTTGAAGCTACTGCCGAAACAAGTGAAGCACCTCCTGGGCTCTGGAGTGCGGAACTGAGACCGAGTGTCGACGCAAGAGGAGCGATCATTCCCACAACAACTTACTGTGATACCATGCTAACGCAGCTCCCTCCCCTCATCGCTTCGCATATATTTGCTGACGCAGCCCTGAGATTGGCAACTGCACCCTGGGAGGCGACAGCACTTCGCTTAATAGCAGGAACTTTTCGTCAACGCCTTGGCCTTTCAACCCATGACATCTGCGGGATCAACCTTTTGGGAGAGATGAATCTCACATTCGCTATCAACTTTCTCGGCAGCCAAGTGTTGCATCTGGCCGTGTGCGGCGAGGTTTGGGCTGCCTTTACAGCCGTTGCCACCGTCTTTCATACAAGCCCTGAAGAATGGCGTGAGGCTGAAGAAGAGGAGCAGGGGAACCGAGCAGATTGGCAGGATGAGAGAATCTGAATCAAGGGCTACGGATGGAAGCTTGTTAGCCGTTGGACATATCGCATGTTTGGCCTGCATGCGACCAATGATTCAACCCAAGGATTAGAGTGCTACAGATTAACCCGGACACCAGACAGCTAGCTTGTCAGTCTCTTAGGCCCATATACGCCACTTACAAGGGCAAGCTTTGTGCTCACAACCCTGGCTTCTATGTTATCCTGATGCGACTCGACTAATTCTGTCTGCCGGCGAAAGAGAGAACAGCCACTGCATTGTCATCCATGTCACAACCCTTATGAAGTTGCTAACCTTGTCATGGACCGACGCCCACTGTCAAGCGATCACATCATTGTCTTCCGCAGTTGAAGGAACCTGTCGTGACATTTTGGAGTCCCTTACATCCTCCTAGGCTATCGTCCGCCTGGTGTGGGACGTGAAAAAGGTGTGCCGTCACGCTTAGAGGGTCCGAGAGAAGAGAAGAGAGAGGAAAGAGAACGATTGTTCTTGTACAGGGACCGTGGCTTGTAGAGCTATAAGTTACTTTCAATCTTAGCATCAACCAGAGCCCAACTGCGCCAAGGACGCTGATTCCTGTAAACAGGAAAGCCTTGTTCATCCTAGCCTTCTCTCTGCTGATCTCAAGGTGCTTGTCTCGTTATTGGCCACGGAAGCCCTGTCCTAAAAACGGCCGCTAGGGTCTTCCGAATCTTATGTGCAGCTATTCCCAACGTAGGTAGCCATCGGTTAGCCCCCGGCTGCGCTTTGACCTAGTGTTAAGGTCTCGAAGTAATCGATTACGGAGCATTGCAACATCAACATCCTACTGCTCATGGCAATAATGTGCAGGACTGGTTGAGGCAGGGGCAGCCTATCACGCCGGAAGCAAGAGAAGAGATTTCAGTACACCTCACTCTAATTTGTGGCGTCAAGGGTCTTGAAGTAGTTGATTAAATCCGCCGGGCATGGTTGTTTCTCGAACTAGGTTATGAGTTGTCTAGGTTGTTTACTGGTCCTTTGGCATTGGGAATGCCGATAACAATTATTACCGAGTTCACTAGAGCCCTGGATGGAATGCCGTAAAGGTGTTATTATCCCAGAGCCTATTGTTCCGTCCCATCCTGCACTTTACCATACATGCTGGGTGCTGGCGGTGGCTTTGTTTACCAATTGAACCTCTACTCAAATACAATCGTGAAAACGTTATGCCTAGAGTTAGCCTCGCCCATATATAAGTCCCATTAGACCATTGATTTATAAATGTCATTAGGAAAGCTTCCTAGTCCTAATTAATTACCTTCAACTATTCTCAAGAAAACTGCCCCCTGTCGATGCCGTTTGCCTGATGGCTTCCCCGCCTATGTTCACCGACTGACCCGACAACTTGTATACATATGGGCTTATTTTCTGGCCGTTAAAGCTATTAAGTAGTCACATATCATTAATGATAACACTGACTCGGTTTGGACACTGGCCATCATGCCAGTAACCTATTGTGTGAACTCACAGGAAGAAAAGTTGCCTCGATGGGGCATCCATTGCGTTGAAAGCCTCGACTTTGACGCACATGAGCGAGATAATTGGATTATTTCCTATTAGCTGGGATGTTAGTCTCGGTTCCTTTGCTTTCCATATCCTAAGTAGATCCCGGATCTGCTGCTACCCCTGGAGTGTCTATCAAGAGTCTTGGCTTGAGCACTTGCCGCCCCTGGCAATGGATTTTATTATTCACGTCTCGATTTTCCCCCTTCCCTCTTCTTGCCATGGAGCAAACAATGCAGGAATTAAGCGAAAACAACGCTTGTTCGCCCTGCCATTGTAGTCCAGATCTAGAAAGTTTTGTCTCCATATGGACACTGAAGCTCGAAGTATAAGATGGGCAGGATGGCCTTAAAATCTCATTCACTCCATCTCATCTCTGTCTCTATACATTCTGCTCTTGCGTCTACGAATGGGTATCATGAGCCGACAACACCGTCTATCCCGGCATGGGATGATTGTACCACACCCTTCACCTCCACGACCAAAACCTACCCGTCGCTGTCCTCGCCCCCAAGACAACAACCTCGGAAAACACGAAAGGGATTTGGATCACTCCAATAAAGCCTAACTTCAGCTCGGAACCCTCTATGTCCATATCCCTATACAGTGAGACCCCTGATGTCCAACCCGGCTTTATTTGTTCATGGGTAATGGCAAACTTCAAGCTGAAAGTAACTAATCTGTTTGGAGACAGATTGTATTGGCTCTCGAAAGGGCTATATCCAAACAAGGCGATTGAATTTCGAGTTATCTAGCACTTTGGAGTTGTTCGACAGCACATCAAAGGTCCTCCCGCTTTATGTCACGCATTTTGCACCGATCAAACCAAGGGCTAGGCAGTAGCTACTATGGAGATGGGGAAGTTCAGTTGAGAGCTAGCTTATCATATGTATTGAAGATACCGATTCCCTCTGTCTTGCTAGCATACTGTCATCTATCAATTGTTTGGTTAGCTACTTGCGTGTTCCAATTCTCGAAGAAACCTCTTAAAATCATTGCATGTCGTCAAGTTGTAATCCTTGTAAGCGTGGTAGCCCTGGGATCGGTTATCTTTGGTAGATTTGACGCGGCTAGATTTTGACAGGTGTTCCGAGTGACAAATGAAAGTGATAGATGCTTGGACTCTCGAGGTACAAGATCGCTACCTTTTTTGTGGCTGTGTTCTTCTTCACCCCCCGTTACAGGCTGCAACATCGCAAGGCAATTGGCAGGCCCCCACAGAGTGTGTGGACTACACGGCACTTTTCTAAAGTCATCTCCCAAAAGTGCTTCCCATCGTCTTCGTTCTTGTGCAGCTAATGGACTTTGAGGGCTGTGTATGATCGAGCTGATGCAATGGTGTTGTAGTAAATCGAAACGCAAGGTGACGTTCAGGCGCTGAGAATTGTTTCGATCGTAAGAGATAAATAACTGCGTGGTCGACCCTGTTTTCAAATGACATTACTCGGTTTTGTTAGCAAGTAACCTCAAAGTACTCTTTACGATGCCCCCTGTCGATACCCCAAGTTTGGCGTATCAGATGTCATACCCCTTGAGTGACTTGGAGAGCCAAGAAGTACGCGCGGTTGAACAAAGACATACTGAAGCCAGATCATGTAGGTTTGTGGAGTAAGGAAATTAAACCCTGAGAAAATCTAACTGCTTCCAAAGGTGCTGAAACTAGCGAAACTGGTCAATATGGTAGGTCGTCCACCAATTTAGGTCTGCAGTTGGCTGCTAATACTTGGGAAGGCAGGGGTAAGCTTTTAGAGCTTGCCGCCATAAGAGGGAAGGACCCAACACACATCCTCTTCCGTCGTCATGTAGAAACTGGTAGCTTGTGCATAGATCTGGAAGCAAACTATGTCGAGAGAGACGCAATCGCACTCAAAAAGATGGTAGAGTCGGGAGACCAAGATCTGGAGGAGCATCATGAGAGATTCATGGCAAGACTTCGTCGTTTCTGTAGGGCATATCATTCTTTCTTCCAGTCTATATCCTGCTGACACGCATTCAAGATCAGTTTGGATGTCTATTCAGCAAAGTCATGGAGTTCGAGAAACCCAGCGGAGTTTTCTTGAATACCTCGCTATGGCTTGCGAGAACAAAATGGGGTGAAGAAAATGGAACGCACCTCGGAGCCAAGGACGATGACTGGGCCTTTCTTTACAGAACAGAGAAGTTGGACCAGTGGCTTGTTTTCTTAGTTCATCACCCTTTGTCTCGTCGCATGATGGTGAGTTGCCATCTACCCTTATGGTATCGTTATTGACACCAGATGCTGACGCGCTGATAGAGGGCCATGAAGCTCGTGTCGAAAGAAGGGGATATCACAACCACATACATTCCCGGTACATATGCTAAGTTCGCGCTAGTTGGACTGTTCAACTGTTTTGTCTGCATCTTCGTATCAGCTCCCGTGGCTATATTAACCCTCAACGCCATGACCCCAGCGGGCACGATTGCAACTTATCTGGGATTTGTACTAGTAGCTGGCTTCCTGATTCAGTGGCTCATCAAGGGTTTCACTAGACAGCTCTTGGTGTACTTGGCATACGCAAGCGTAATGGCAGCGGTTATGAGGTTGAAAGAATGAGCAGTGGTGAAGTTTCCTCGAAAGGGATGAGAAGGTGGAAAGAACCTTCCTTTGGCACAATAAGTTACTAGTTCATTGTAGTTTCGTCGCGTTTATATATTGGTGTGTCTGCTGGGGAACATGTGAGCCCTACCTGGGAAGGAGAAGCCAAGGCCATTATTTTCTTTGAAGTGCCTATGTTGGAAATATAATCGTTTGGTATCCGACGTCACGACGCTTCTTCGTATGGGAATTCAAATACCTAGCACTGACAGGTTGAACAGTATAGCACGTATCTTCTAATTCGTGTTCGTAGGACATGTGGAAAGCAAGATGAGATGGATGTAATATCAGGGGCTCGACTTAGGTAGAAGAATGCAAGGTACAGTACGATGTAGGGAGAAGATTGGGATCAAGAGGGGTATCTGATGGGGACAGGAGACGAGGCCTGTCAAGGAAATTGGCCAGGCAGGAGTGACACAGGTCACAAATAAAACGGCATGCCCTTCCCGATTCACGGTCTTGGTAAAGTTGGCAGGCGCACCCCATAGGTACAGATTGGCATTTATTGCCTTGAAAGACAGGCATACACAGGTAGGAACTAACGTTACCTACTAACCTTACCTGCCTAATTACCAGACAACTTCACTGTACTATATCACTCCCGATGTCGGGAGCGCACCTACGAGATGGACGTGTTGGGCTTGATCCCTTTCAGTTGGCAATTGTCTCTAGCTACGTGAGTGTCAACTCATCATATACGACGCGACCTGCATCGAAAAGCTAGTGCTTTCTAAACCCCAGCTGGAAACGACATATTTGTGACTTGTCTCGTACCATTTCAATGTAAGCAGAGTACTGAAGAGGTAGTATTGACGACGAAAACCTTTGAATAGCCCTGACTCGAGACAAGACAAAGCAGTCCGTGGTAAAACTGGTGGCTGGGTACTGACCAGACCGAATAGGTACGCAGACAGTCCTAGGGCTTGCCAGGAATAGCCTTGCCATTAGATTGCAGTTGCTCGATCAACGGATTGGGGGCTATCAGACACTTGTGATGGTAGCACTCCAGTACCCTTGCATGAATCGTTGAGCCGAGTACCCAAGCCTTGTTTTGATTGCAATCTCATGAAGTCGAGGATGACTGGGATAGACACAACTCCAGGCATGATCCGAGACGGGTTGAACGACACTGGTCAGTCCGATATGCTTCAATCGCTTTCGCAACTGGTTTGATGAGCCGGAACTCTGGTACTCGCCCTCGTGGGCCACATTATCTTCTCATTATGGGCTGCTGCTCACACTCTGTTCTCCGCCGTGCCTGTGTTTCTCGTATGGGCATGGGTTGTTGCCCTGTCGTGTCTGTCATTGGAGCCGCAGAGCCTCAACAAGGCATCCAAGCACGCGTGCGCGAACCACTGTTGAAATTTTAGATCCAATGAAACTACGTCAATCTTGAACGAACATCGTTGTTGCCTTTGACCGAGTACAATTTACAGCGGCTCATCCTAGAAACTGTGCTTTGTCTCGAACCTGTCGGCCATAATCCTCTTTGTGACAAACCGCAGCCATCAACATCACTAAGTCTTCGAAGCCGTTAGACTACCATATACCAAAGTTACAACCTTAGGTCTTAAGGTGGTACCACTGCTTTTGGTTCAGCTCAAGCCGCGTATCTCGGCGGTGCGGCATGGTGAGCCAACGCGTATGGATGGTCAGCTTTGTCGGAAGCCTGTCGAACACGACGCATTATTCGTTGACACACAATGTACTCAAGGTTCCGTCAAGTATTTGCCGACGAACCTATTTGTTGACAGCTACCCAGGTGCATTAGATTCCTCGACGATAGCAGGATCCTTTTATAGTCACAAAACTCGGAAATGGCTGAGAGATTGCCATTGGTTTGGCTATCGTCCATTGCACTGCTTTTCGACCCGATTTGTTCATCCAGCATGCTTCAGAGAACCCATATCTCGTCATAGCTGGACCTCCAGTCCATATCTCAGGAGTCGAGGCTCTTCGCTACACTATTGCTGTTCATGTTGCCAATATACCACCCACCATTCAGGGGCATTCTTGAATTGCGAACCGATCGGACATTGGTTCCTCGTCATTAAAACCAGATATAACGGGGAACGACGGTTCGCCAGTCTTTTTGCGCGACATGTTCTGCCAAACTCATTCGTTTTTGGATTCGATCTCTGCCTCCAGGGGGCCCATGAACAACGCCATTACGAATCGTTGCTAGAACAAAGTAACCCCAGAATTAAATGAGCATTGAAACGGGGCAATGAAAAGGACTGGTTCTCAGATATAAATTGGGACCATTCGAGAACCAAAAGCGATCTGAGAACGAGCCATAGTGGACTGAATTGGGTTTATGCCAGCTGAGCGATATATGTACAAATCAGGGATTATCCGGACGATAATAGATACGTCCCCACCTCCTTTCCAGTTCATCGTCTATGGTTAGCCGACTGAAACCAACCGCTTGGCAATCGCAGACAGAACCGAGCTCTACAAGTCCATTCCACTGGCAGAGTGGTACCTTGGGTTTCAATACGAACCTCTGCGCTGTACTTGGGGCTGATGGCAAAGCTCCTCCCCAAATCTTAATGACAAAGCCATCATCTGCTGGCTCGGCATACTCTTGACTACTGCAACTTGGCATTTTTCGAAACGCTCTACCCATCAAATGAGGTCGATCACCAGAGGTTCACGGCGCACAAATACTACAAAGCAGTAGGTCATGAAGGTGGCATCGTGATAACAGATGGTGGTGTGAACCGCCCAACAACGTGTCTCATCAATGCCACCTCACGCTGCGTCTGTTAGTAGATCCTTGTTGAGTCACACTCCTGGAAACAAAACGGAATTTCACACACAAGTGAATACACGAAGTGCAAATACATGGCCAATTCATAGAGCACATATCCCCCCAGGGTTCAGGTGGTAGCCTTCATCTACTCCATGAGCCCCTATGCCCCGCCAACTATAGCCGACAAGACAAAACAGGAGTCTCGGATGTAGGCCTGGTCAAGTCTGCACCACGTGGTATACAGAACACTATTCTATACTGTCTTCTGTCAGCAGGTGCTCGCCCATGCTGGGCACACTTGATCAAGCGCAGCGTACTTTGAGGCCAGCCCAGTTGTTACGTGACGTAACATTCAAGACGGTAATATTGTGCATCTCTTTCGGGACTTTGAAGGAGGCTGCGCTCAATTACAATCAGCGGTCAATGGAGAAGAAATGGGGTAAGATTTCAATGCGCTTCGTCAGTCAAGGTGTTTAACCATGATAGGGCTCCGAAGCTTGAGTGTCATCGGTATGGATTACCAAGGTAGAGGCGGACCTGGAGCCTCATTGCCCAGGCGTGCTGGTCTACACCCTCAAAATGAACTCCAGTCTTCCTGTCCAATGGTTGACTGACCGACATCTGCCTCTTGAAGAGACAGTCCATTGTATACTTCAAGTCACCGTCTCGTACCGCTCAATAATCACGGTTCTAGGCCGGGCCGGCCCGCTGAGGAGACTATATTGGGCTATAGTGTCCACCGATGAAGTCATATTAGGTTGGATGATGCACTTTTTGGGATACAACCCAGAGCTGCCAGAGACACCTGATGCACAGCCTTTCAGCATTGATAGTTCGCAGGCATTGGGCTGCATGTTGAATCATCAGAACATCCGAAAGTTGAGCCGCTGATACATACAGGACGAAAGGATTCGGCCATCTTCTACCAGTCTAGACCGTTTATCTCGACGCCCTAGAGCTAAGGATAGCTATTTTTCTGCCCAGCAGTGTGCCAACTGGGCTTTCTAGGTGCCATCGGACTCGCCGAACGTTGTTGAAGTATTATAATGACCCGGCCATAGACTTGACGCAGGCTGGAGCTTTTGCAACTGGCTATTGGTGTTCAAGACTACCGCTTCAGCCCAAAGCACACGGCGGCTATTTAACTCACTAACGCGCATCCACTAGACTGCATGTCACAGTGTCTACGCCATATGACAGATCAGTTTCGACTACGTCCTAGATAGATCTGGATCTGTACCATGCAAGTCATGAGTACAGTAGCTAGAGCGTCTATGTTCGTCGGATGTAGAATATATCGGCGCTAGCTTGTATCTTGATCTTATGATGAGAAGCCATTTAGATCATATAAGAAACAGTGGTGAGCGAGTCCGTTCTCCAGACCATCCTGCTGGGGTGACTGCAACTCGGGTGCTACATTGGCTCCAATTATACAGGCACAATGGTCCATCTGCAAGTACTGTGTTTCTCTATATTGGCAAATTGATCGTGAGATACCAACATGAGAAAGCACAAGGGCTCATCTTTAGCATTGTTTAGAAGGCCAGACTACACCACTATTATCGGGCCATGTACACTGAATCTGTGTCCCTACCTTGGAGAGAACACATGGATGATGGATGATATATGGATCTCTATGAGAAATCCGAGTATGGACGTGAGGTAACAGATCTAATACATATCCGTATTCGCAACAGAGTCCAATCCATGGATATTTCTCTTTGCTACAATCCTGTGTTGTAAGTGTTACATCACCAGCTGTCAGATAAAGTACAGAGCGTTCATCATTTAGCAGTGCATGTGCGACATTGCCTCTGCCCCTCATGATAAAATAGGCAAACCCCACCTTGACCATATTAGGAGGCTATGACGTCTCAACTGTCGCTTCACTTCTTACACCATCAACTTATACATAACCGGAAACCTCAAACTAAGAAATCTCTTACTTAATATCACAATGCCTGAGCGTACTGTTCTTGTTACAGGTGCCACCGGCCTTCTCGGGCGGGAAGTGTCTGCGGCTTTTGGGCTCAAGAATTGGGAAGTTAAGGGAACAGGTTATTCCCGTGCAGACGGAATCAACACTTTCAAAGTCGATCTAGGCAATGAGAATGAAGTATCAAGTTTTCTAGATGAGACCAAGTTTGTGCCCTTCTCCCTCAGTACCGCATCTATCCTTGAACTAACCTAGACACTCAATGTGCAGACCTCAGGTCATAGTCCACTGTAAAGTGTTGAACTAGCTATAGGCCAAAACAAATACTGACTATTGTGCTTTCAAGGCGCTGCACAACGTTTCCCAGACAAGGTTGACAAAGATCCCGAGGGAGCTAGGGCACTCAACGTCGCCGCGAGCAAGGCACTCGCTAGATTGGCTGCCGAAAGGAACATCTTTCTCATCTACATCTCCACTGACTACGTCTTCCCTGGTGTGCCCGGAGATGCCCCATACGAGGCTGATGCCGAACCTCGACCGACCAATCTTTATGGCCAGACCAAGCTCGATGGCGAGCGCGCCGTTTTAGAAACTTTCAAGGAAGCTGGCAAGGAAGGTTTGGGCGTTGTGCTTCGAGTTCCTGTCCTCTATGGCAATGCTGAGACACCGTCTGAGAGTGCTGTCAACGTTTTGATGGATGCTCTTTGGAAGGCCCAAACACAGGGAGCCCAAATTAGCATGGACCACTGGGCTCTTCGATATCCCACGAACACTGAAGACATTGGTCGAGTCTGTCACGGTATGTGTTACTGTGGTTCGAGCAATTGCGTTCTCCAGATAAGCCGTCCCGATTTGTTGAGGGCACAAGGACAAGAATGGATTCACTGACAACGTATTTCAGATATCTCGGCCAAGTATCTCGATACTCCCAGCAGCGATCGAGCGTCGCTTCCAAGTATTCTTCAATTCTCTTCTGAAGATCGGATGACCAAGTACGAGATAGTAGCCCTGTTTGGCGAGATCATGGGTTTGTCAACGGAAGGGATCAAGCCCAACACCGAAGGGAATGACCCAAATGCCAGTGTGCAGCGACCCTACGACTGCCACTTGAGTACCAAGGCCCTGAAGGACTTGGGTGTTGACGTTTCGACGTGCGACTTTAAAGGCTGGTGGAGACGTGAGGTTCGGGCGTTTCGAAAATAAGGGCGCACATATTTCCCTCTGCCATCAGCAGTTAGTCAGATATGCGTAGAACATGTGTTCTGAGTACAAGTTTCAGATGAGACATGTTCTCTTGAGCGGTCCTTGGCAATGGAAAAGGGGGTATGTCTTGAACTGTAACCGGGGCTCTGTCGAAGCCTACGGCAAAAAGAAGTACTGAACATCGAACTTCATCCATTCACTCACAGCAAGATGTCGGATAGGCTCTGACTCTGATTCTTGAGGTGCATGATTTCTCGCTACAGGAAATGCCAGTGCCTGATCCGTTAAAGCTGCATGACGTGTGGCTCGACAGCTTCTTGGCGACCATGTGCACTTATGAGATGGGAGTATATCAGATTTACTCTAGTATAGCTAGTTCTATTTAACTTGTGAGCAACAGCCCCTGGGAAGGCCACGGGGTTCTTTTGCTGATTCATTCGTTCGAGAGGGTATGTCGATCGTCGATTGCAATATTTGTCCATTATCACACTATGCGAGTCAAACCTACCAGTCTAGAATGGCATCATGGAAGTCATCGAAATTGTTACTATTGGTACTGGAATGGGCGCTCAACGACTCGAAGGGATGAGTTGGGACCTCGGCCCTTCGCATACAGGGTACGTATCTGGCTTCATACCAGAGCCTTTACTATTGCAAGCTGCTGCATACCATTGTCGCTATTGCATCGAATTATATTACATTGCTCACTGGTAAGTTGGAGGAGATGGATCCTATCGAGGGAGAGTTATTGTAGCGTCGAGGAGATCTAGATTGGTGCCATGGTGGTTTGTTCATAGTGAAATGACTCCCTTGAACCATCCTTTCTTTCTCTTTCTCGTCAACTGCCTCTAACATTCATCAAAACTGCGAGCTGGACACTCTCCTTTCAAACGACTTCACTGATGCAAAGTTATTGTCTTGTCATTGAAAATCGAAACAGTTCACCCGGTGTGAACCGAAATTCACGAAACCTCGTATCGGCTTCTTTCTAGAACAAGGCGCGATAATTGCTTCTTGCAAGACGAATCCCATGTTGCAAGCTCTCCTATCATCAACGTTTAGATGTAAACCAAAACCGAGAAATAGGTGTATCCAGTACGACAATCATCAACTGGAGACCAACCCTGGCGACGATCCCTTCTGATTTACGACTCGATCTCTTACAACGGCGGATCGATCCGACAACCTTGGTGCGTTTCAGGGCCATCGCTGCTCCGATAGGGCTGCATCAGCGCTCCAGGGTCTATCCACCACTGCAGGAACATCCTATTTAGCGGCATCGCCGTTAACATGGCGTCGTCAGTGGCGGTTGTTGCGGCCGCCCCGGTGCAATTTCACGACTATTTGTTGTATCCAGTTGATGATGAGAAACCGCCCATACCAGACTTGTCTAAATATCGAAATTCGCGTGGAAAGAGTATATCTTCTGCATCTCATAAAACGTTTGAAGTTTACCCCGACACGCCAACGGACGGAACCCATTTGGCTGAGGGAGATTGTTATCCACGACTCGATTCGCCAACATTTTCTACAAAAGCTATTCGGCTTCGATCCAAAAGTGTAACTTCTTTGATCACGTTGAGACGAGAACGGCGACATATTATATCGCCGCCGCTCCCAGCGTCACCGTCCCCCGCGGTCTCAGTTTCAGTTGGCAACCGTGGAGTAGAGTTCTTCAAGGGTCTAGCAGAGAGTGTGACTGGGGTTATCGGCAGTTTCTCTCCACGAACCGCAGTGGGAACGACAGTAGTCGAAACTGACAATGGAAGCACAAGACACCGCCAGGACTCATTGTCATCTGGTCCTCCAGTTGTTCGCTCACCGGTTCCGTCAGTGTTGGTGTCACCATGCGCACAAAGCTTTGCCCGCGCATCAAGCAATTTAAATTTAAATTTAGCGTCAGACTCTCAAACTGCGCCGTCGCCCGCTGTCCCGCCCGGCCCCAGCAGCCCCCTGGCCAGTCCGTTATATGTCCTAACGCCTAAAACTACAAACATCCCGCCGTCACTTCCATCCTTAGCTTCTAAACCTCTACCTTTACGATCGCCAACGTTTAATCACGAATACTTCCAAAATCTTACGCAATTGACCGGTCGCGATCGTAGTCGCAGTCCAAGTCGAAGTCCCAGTCGCAGTCGTCCTCGAGGCTCAGACTTCTTCAAACCCCTTCCACCGACATCTGCGTTTGACCTCTCACCACCAGATTCACCTATACTGCGCACAGTACCGTCTGCCAGTGATATTGCGCGATTCAAAAGTCGTAACCTTCTCGCCTTACGGATCAACACTGAAACTGCCGAGCGCGCTGCAAAACTCGAACGAGAAGAACTTGAGCGGCAAGAACAAGAGGCAGAACGTTTGGCTGACACAGTTGCCCGTCTTGAGGCTGAGAACGACCGTATTCTCGTCGAACAGAAGAAGCGTGATCTTGCGCGCATACACGCACAGCTCCCAACCCCGTCTCCAAGATTTCCAAGATTATTTGTCCTTGACAAGCTTCCTTTCCTGTACCGCAGCAAGCGATCGAATGCTGTAATAAGCCAAGCCGGCACGCCAAGCCCTGGGGCACCAACTATCTTTTCTCTCGATTTCAGCCGTTCCAACAGTCCTGAGGAATCTTCTTCACCAGACAAGATGAGCTTTATAGAACAGGGCGGTAAAGGCATAGTGCCGGGCACTGATGCGCCAACTTCTGCTATTAATGGGGGCGAAAGGGTGAGTTTCGCATAGCATCTTTATGATTGCGCCAAGTAGCTAACATGGCACCTCCTCTAGCGTGTGTGTGTACGATGCCTCTCTTCCGTGATCAATCTCCCCGTCAATGCCGACACCTCTCCCGTAGATATCATCTACTCGACTGCCAACTTGACAAGTCATGACATCGACCCCAAGGCTAGTGTTTTGATCGAATGCTATGTAGAGCTAGGTCTTGAGCGACGGCTTCGCCGTTACGAGCGTATCCGCGACGTTATGAACTCATGGGATCGGGACCAGCAGAACTCTCTTTTGGTTGTTACAAACGATATCTCGCAGAGTAACGATTCTGATCTTGACTTCAAATCAGTGCCACGGACTCCAACACCTCCTCCCGGTTTTACTCTGCAGATGTATCATTCATCTAGACCAGGCAAATGGAACAAACGATGGATCACCTTGCTGGAATCTGGTCAAATGTTTGCCTCTAAGAAGCCTGATTCAAAGGTTTCGGATAAGGACAGTACAGTTTTATGCCATCTGTCAGACTTTGATATTTACACGCCAAGGGAGAGCGAGGCTAGGCGTCATTTGAAGGCACCACGACGTTTTTGCTATGCAGTGAAGAGCCAGCAAAAGACCTTCGTTTTCCCCAATGGCGAAAACTTCGTTCACTTTTTCTGTGCCGAAGACGGACAAATTGCTAGGCGATTCCTGGAGCTTGTGCAGCGCTGGCGAAGTTGGTACCTGGTCAACAAGCAAGTTGACTTCGAAAAAAAGGAGAACAAGACACCTCAGATCTCTATGGGCTTAGACAGTCGAAAATCTCCAAAGGCCATGTCCAGGTCAAAGAGTACGGCTGCCAAAGGACACAGCACTCAAGCTTCTGTCGATGAGACTCCCTACACAATAGGCGCTTTTCAGCCGCTCCTTGACATGGACCGGTTTGACAAGCCTCTTGAGGAATTTGGCAAGGATTTGAATCAGCAAAAGAACAAGGATGAGCCCGACTCCGATCCCGAATTCAAGACCGGACTCGTCCGTAAGGCCACTTGCAAACAGCCAAATGTTTTGTCCAAGTCCAAATCCGTGCACCATAAGCATATATCACCAGCGGAGGAAAATCAGTTTTCTCCTGCTGGACTCTTGGGTCAAGGCTACGAGGAGAAGCGCAAGATAGCAGAACGAGCACCTACGATCAGTCCCGTTACTACAAATGCGGCTTTCACAAAGGGAGCGTCGCTGTTGGGCCAAGGCTACGAGCAAAAGCGCAAGATATCTGAACGAACGCCAGTTAACAACAGTGTGCCTTCGACTAACGCAGCTTTCACCGATGGACCTTCTCTACTGAATGGAGGCGTGCTTTCACCTACAACACCCAGGGAAAATACGACAGACTCTAAATCATGGTTTCCTCTAGGTACGGACCAGTCTGCACGGCCCAGCTATCGCAGTCGATCTGTTCGAGACACAAGCAGACAACCTGTCGCTGACAACGTTCCTGACATGCCACAACAACCTCTAGTCAACTTGACCAACAGTTTTCCCGAGCCACCTCGATGGCGTGAAAACAAAAACAAGGGCCATGGTGTAAAGGCTCCGGCAGGCGGTCCTCTAATTAGCCTTGCCACAGGCGGTCAAAGTAACAATATGTTCGGTACCCGCAGCACTTCTGGTCTTGTCAACCAGTCGCGCGTTCCGCTCTCGTCTTCGACCATGACTGTCGGCAGTCGTCCTCGGAGCCGATCTACTGCAGGAATGCAGCAGCCACCGAGCCATGCTCCCCCTGTGCCCCCTGTGCCAATCCGCTCCTTGCGCCGGGAGATGACGGCTCCAGTCGATCAGTCTCGCGGTCGCGATCCCCGTCCTCGAGAACCTCTGATCAACCGCGCTGGGACAGTTGGTCACTCGTCAAGGATCTGAGCTGCGGCGGACTCCAGGTAGACACGCTGAATGTTATTATGATTTTACGCAATTATGCCTATGATGTTGCAGTCAAAGGATTCTCCTGTCATGAGTTTGCGGTTTTTTTCTTTCTTTTTTTTTTCTTTTTTTTCTTTTCTTTCCCTTTCCTTTCCTTTCCTTGTTTGGAAAAGAAGAGTAGACAAAAGATTTTGGGGGAGATATGACACGAGGAAATGTCGGGTAGAGGGTTTGGTGTTGGATCTGTCATACAAGATTAGGCTTATTGCCCTTGGTCTTGCTGATACCTATTTCATTTGTATTTGGGAGTTTTCTCAGGCACCAGAATGTTTTTTTATCTGAAGCTCATGACGAACGACGACCACCGGGTATAGGATGGGCTGGCACTATCCTTCTTACTTTGATTTATGGGCACTGTATCTGTATGATAGGGGCTGAAAATGTTGAAAATATCTTGATTTGTATCCATTCATTAGAGGTATCTCTGGTCTATCTGATAGTGATGTATCTCTAATCAACTTTCACCTTGACCATTCAGCTCAGGCTCTTATTATACTTTTTCGTTCTGCACTCTATTAAATAACGTTCCACCTTACTTGCTGCGCTTGTGGATCTTGGCAAGGAAGGCCTCGAACACGCTCTTCTTGAGGCCACCGCTCTCATCAATGTTGGCAATACGCTCGCGAATCTGGCCAACAACCTTCTCCTCGTAGTCGAGGTAGCGCTGCTCCAACTTCATGTCGTCGTAGAGCTTCTTGATGACCTTCTCCTTGTCATCATCCTTGCGGCCGTAGTTCTCCTCGAGTATTTGGCGCTGCTCAGGGGTAGCAACGGCAAGGGCCTGGTTCACGAGCCAAGAGCACTTGTTATCCTTGATATCGGTACCGATCTTGCCAATGTGCTCAGGGTTGCCAAAGTTGTCGAGGTAGTCGTCCTGGATCTGGAAGTACTCTCCAAGGGGGATGAGGATATCCTCAGCTTGCTTCAGGTTGCTGGGGGTGGCGAGGTTGAGCTGGTGCAGAGCGAGAGCAACAGGGAGGTAGAAAGAGTAATAGGCAGTCTTGTAGATAACAATGAAGCTGTACTTCTCAAGGGAGAAGTTGTCGAGGTTGACACGGTCCTCGGGGGCGGTGAGCAAGTCGCACAACTGGCCGAGCTCGGTTTGGAAGGTAGTCTCGTGGAAGAGCTCGATGAGGTCGACGTAGGCAGGGTGGGAGCGGAAGTACTTCTTGAGAAGAGTGTAGATGGCTGCCTCGAGCATGAAGGCGTCGTTAATGGCGATCATGCCAACACCCTCCTGGCGGTACCAGCAGGGCTGACCGCGACGAGTGATGCTGGAGTCCATAATATCGTCGGAAACGAGGAAGAAGGCCTGCAGAAGCTCTGTCATCCAACCGAGAGTAGCAGCCTGGAAGTACTGCTCCTCAGAAAGAGGCTTCTCGAGGAGGAGGGAGACAGAATCGGGGACGGACATGCCGCGGTTGCATTTTCCGCCGAGAGGGTTGACCTCGAGGGACTTTGAGGTAGCATGTTAGTTGAGTTTCAAGGAGTTGGATATAGCTTCAGATTTGGACTCAGACTTACCCGCTTGTACCAATCAAGCTGCTCCTGGGGGAGCTTGTAGGAGCGAGCATGTTCGAGGAGAGCCTCCTCAAGCTTGGGGTAGACCGAGTTGAACTCGTCCAGGGTAGTTTGTTGAGCCATTGTTGGTGATTTGTGTGAGTAGAATTAGAGTAGAGTACAAGGGACGAAATTAAATGGGCTCGGGTTGGTCTAAATAGACATAAAGTGACTGGCTAATAGATTCCCCAGGAGTAACTCAATTCATTTGTTAGTATGGGTTCTCACCGTTGAATCCCCCACTGCGACTAATTTACCAACTCTCACCGCCTACTATCAAGCTGCTGGCTGCCCCTCCACTACCCTGGTCCCCTAAGGGGGAAAGAAAACACCGAACTACAGATCTGCAATTTCGGTGCATTTTGGTGTTGGAAGGTTCGCTGTATTTCTTTCCTCCTGAGGGGACCCTTTAAAGTCTGAGTACTGTCATGGGGCAGGGGACTTACCATGTTTGTTCTCACCGAGCAAATCAAGTCCGAGTGGCTAGCCCCTCCTCCTCCAATTCGCGAATTGAATAAGGAAAGAGGGGCAGCAGGCGGGGAGCCCCTCCTTGCTCCCTCCTTGTCTTCAACTAGAGGATATCCAGTAATTATCGTGCATGTTCCGGCCTGCAGTAATAAATGACTTCCGACAGATTTCTTTGTCTCATTTATTATTTTCTACTTCCTGCTTCTTCAGTTCGAATTGAGGTCTCGACCTTTCTGCTGACCTTTTATCAGGTACTTGGTAAGGGCATATTTATTGACAACCTGAAGTCTTACCCTCTATTTGCTGGATATTGGTTCTCTTGTATCGAGCATCTCTATTATTGGACAGTCAACTCAAAGTTGTTAGTAGATACCTGTTAAGTGATTGGTTTCTGATTCCTAACTACTATCTGCCTAGATGAACTGTTAGCCAAGATTATAAACTACTTGTCTGTTACCTACTCTGTGTATACGTCAACTGCTTAGCTTTGGCTTCTTCTTCCTTGTACCAACTGATCCCTTGTGGGACAACATACTTGATCCTATCATACCACTCAGTGTCGTTCTCTTGAACCACGCATAACGCTTCACGCAGAGACTTCTCTGATGCTCCGTCCTTCATCATCTCAACGATGCACGCTGCATTGAGTCCTGCATTGCGAAACCCTTCAACAAAGTGCTCCACATCGTACATATGCGCAAATCGAGTATGCGTTGGCGTACTATCCATGTCTTTGCGGTTCTGGATTGGCGAATCTTGTCAATAACGTCTCATCAATGACGGCTACTTACAGGGAAATATATGCACACGCATGTACATACCGTGCAGTCCAGGCACTTTGCTCCCAGGGAGTCGACATATTCGTTACACTTCCTACTACCCCAGTAATGATTACAGGGCCATCGCATGATCTTGTGTGTGTTCTGCTCCTTTTGCATCTCGTTGAGGAGTTTTGGTATCGCCATGTCGCTCACAAAATTACTGATTTCTCTAGGTAGGTATGCTTAGCCAAAATTCGCGCTCCTTTTTCCATGACATGTCTTGTGCGCTCGCTCTTATACTACGTCTCGCTCGGTGACGCTGATGGTGACGGGTCTTAACACTGCGATGATTCGCTTCGCACGTGCTGCAGCTGATTGTACAATGTTGTAACTTTCGCTCATTCTGTGGGACGTTGCTGGCATTCACAAGCGTTCGAATGCTGTGATACATGATGTTTGGCTGGACGATCCATCACGTTTCGTTAGTCAGAGAGACTATTAGGTGCAGGATCTGTGAAGCTTGCCCAGGACAATAATTTGGAAGACGCAGCTTGAAAAGGACCTACGTTGCCTGTAGATCAGGATACCAGCTATAGCAATACTCAGAGGGCTATCGTTATGACACTGCCGTCTCAAGTCACTGAACAAATTCTATTCAGAAAGGACTGATGGTACGGCCGTGTTGTGATTCAGTAAGATGTGGACTAAAATTGACAACTCTAACTTCCTTTTCAACCCAGATAACAACAGTATCGGTTCCTGGTTCGTCTAATAACATCCATCTTAAATCCACTCGCGATATCTAACCTAAGCGCTTGCAGGAACTCCGTTATCGACCCTGTTCGGTTTCAAAATTAACGTTCATCCAAATATCTCCCCTTTTGATCCCATTCGTGTTCTGCTCTCACCCTCTCCAGCCTTTCAGCCAAGTTATCTGGTGTCCATTGCATAGGACCCCTATCTCGTGCGATCTCGACGGCATCACAAACAGCATGATAGAGTTCGCTGAAGTTACGAAAGATATAGTCCAATGCCACTGTAAGAAGATTGTCCACGTTGACTTCCTTGGCGCTCTCGATGTACGCGTTAATCTTTTCGTAGGTGATACCGTCCCTCTCGGAATACTTATCGAGAAGGTATCGTACAAAAGTTTCGTGGACATGTGATGCAATCTGCTCGTTCTCTCCATACTGCCTGCGCATTCTCTAAAGAATATGGTCAGGTTGTGAAACTCAATTGGGGGCGTGGCAGATAGATGGGTATGTTTTACCTCGCAATCAACGCATATGCTTCGCTTGAGGAACACGTAGTTGGGACACTTGACTTCTGGTGTCCAGCACATCAAGCATGGGAAGATTCTGACTGCTCTATTGGGATACATTGTGTCGTACTTGAGATACTGAGGAGAGGGTCCTTGTTGAAGTTGGCTGTATATCCCGACAGCAGTAAAACGCATCTCCTGGAATAGGATCTTCAGCAATACTATACCAATCATTAAAGAAGACTAGAGTAAAGTAGACCTGCCATCAAGCATAACTTGTGGCGATCATGCTCGACTTTATTCGACGACTTGATATCCCTGTCTCCTTCATTTGCGACACTCGAATAAACCAGCATCAATGTTCATAAAACTCTGTATCCATAAAGAAGAACGATCAAATATCCGTTGTTTCACCAAAATTTCGGAGTATTGGCCGAACTGAGTTTCTACTGGAGCCGTTGTGGTACAACATCTAACGTTGGGAAATGAGTGTAAGTGAAGCAAAGTTGAGTGGCTGCAATATTGGTTTGACGGTGCAGTAAAGATAGAATCATGTTATATCACCAGCAAAAAATATCTCCTTATTCAACATCTGCATCTAATTTTGAAATTGCTGTGTTACTGATGACGAAGACCAAGTTCAACGGTTTTGGTTCACATTAATATTCCTCTTGTACTACCTTCACTATGCATACAGTGCTTCAATACAGTGTTCGTAACTATATGTACGGACTTGTGATGCGCGCCTAAGCTGTTGACATGATGATTGTCATTTTGTCAAGCACTAGGCGGTCATGCTCATGACACCTCCAATCTCCATACTCCGGCCCTCAATAACGCCCAATTCTGGTCTTTCGAATGCCATCAGACTTCTGCTAGTCTCTTGACTGACTGATAGAGTTTTTTTTTTTTTTTTTTTT